CCTGCACCTGACTCTGTCCGTGTCATATGCCTTAACAACCATGCCGTTTGAAAAGGAGAGTTTGACACTTTTGAGGCACCCAAAAAGGCCAAAAGGGGCTTGAAATTTGGTGAGGGGGAAGCTACTTCAGGATGAGATTGAGTGCATTTGGGCTGCTCAAGAGCTTGACAAAAAGACCAGAGGGGGAAAAAAGAAAGTAAATTCGCCTTTTGGCGAGTTGTACGACCCAGATTCTCAGGGGAATAACAGGGAATCAATGGGGAAGAGGAAGGAAAGAGAGAGAGAGAATAAAGAGAAACAAAAGCGTCTTGTTCAAGTCAGGAGGGCCGGAGCTCAGTCAAAAGCTGGAAAGCAGTCAGAAGCCAGGGGCTGTATAAAATATTATACCCATGCATGCTATGGTTGTCACGCAAACACAGATTTCCTATACATATTCAAGGAGATGTAAAGTGTCCAAAAAAGTGGTATGTCTGAGTGTGACATCATTACAAGTACTGCCTTGAGGTACAAAATTTTATTTAGAATGGCCAGTTCAAAAGTGTCTGTATATAACATGACCAGTTGCCAAAAACAGAGGCGCCTCTGGGCAAAAAATTGTTTTGGACATGGCCCACATGGGAATCTGGGCCGCGCAGCCATGATGCTGGAGCAGAATCAATCTGAACGTAGAGATGATTCATCAATTGTCACCGCTGGCACGCACTCAGTGTAGCGTGCTAGGCACCTGCACGCCCCATGGACTCTTTGACCCTTGCTCGCCTCCGTCTTCACTCTTGTTACTTGTTCCTCTTCTTGTTCTCCTCTTCTAGTAGGGCTGTCCGACATACATTGACATGCCATATTTACTACCCTTACCTTCTTTTGCCCGTTTCCTCTTCCTTATTGTCTTTAGCCTTTCTGTACATTTGCTGGTCGACTTGTACCCTTGTTCACTTTGTGTCATAGACATATCACATAGTTGCTCCTTCTATTGTCCCATCACTTATTCATGTATATAAGAAAGGCTAGGGGTTGGGAAAGAGACCTCAAACCACATCCCTTGACTCTCTTCTCTCCCCTCCTCTTCTTCAGTAAACCTCTACTCCTCCTTCAAAGACCTCCTCCAAGCACATCAGTGTCTTTCTTTTCAAGTACTTGGACTCCACCCATAAATTTACTCTCAGCTGTTGCCCCCCCCCCCCAAGCAGGCCTGAACACCACACTCAGGCTGGCAACCTGCTGGTTATTGATGCATTTATTGCTTGTTTCCTTGTATAAGATGGTGTCATTGAATAATTGAATAGCCATGGTTGATGCCTGTTATCCTCCCATGGTTCATATGCCTTTTGCATTTGTACAACAATGTATGACACAGCACTACATACCACTTGCCTACTCCTAGTCTGGGGGAAGGTGTCCCCTCGTCCCCATCCTCATCCTCATCCTCCTCAGCTCCTGCCATGGGCGCGCACCTTCCCCAGGAGCCGCTTGGATTGGGGCCCTGCACATGAGAGTATGCTGCAGCTGTTCATTGTCCTCTGCCTGCACCACAATCCAAAAAGTGAGTTCCAGCATGGCTGCGCCATCTAGCAACATTTGTCCATGCTGGCGTCGTCAATGTTCTGGAGGGGTGTGTGGTTGATGGGATGTGTAGCAAGTGAGGGATGGACTGTGAGGGTGAGAGTAAATGTTACAGCAAAATACAAAATACACCATGGCGTTCTTGTTGACAACCAGCCAACATGACTGAGTCCAGCACCACTCAGCCGGCTGCCCCAGCCAGAGTGCAACAAGGCCCAAGCTAGCAACCTGGAGCTGGATGACCCCGTTGACATGCACCTGACAGCGGTGAGGAGTGCTCAAACTGCTCATCCTGGGATCCTGAAATGATGACCGGTTTGCTGAACGGCCTTATTTCAAATGACCGGTTGCCACACAGCGGCTCAGGAGGGGCAACTTTGGCCCATAATGCGCTGCACTTTGTTGGACGCAACCATATACCCAGTATGTTGAGGCCGGCAGAGAAAGCAGGCAATGTTGCTTGTATCTTCTCCCCAACCTACAGTGGTAGTCGCGAATTTTCTGCAAAATTCAGTCTCCGCTGCATTGATGCAGCTTGGGGTGTATATTTCAAACCACTACATATAACGCTGTATCGCACCTATGCATATCAGATTTGATGAGGACAACAATGAGCATCTCCTGCATTGGAAATGCATAGCTAGAAGCTGTTTAAACAATACTTGGTATGCCCGCCTTGCCTCTTTATCACCTCCTTCATTCTGGTCAGCATGCGTAAGTTCTGCGGTGGTGGTTGCCCTTCTCCCACAACTCCTGATTCTCTCTTTGAGGAGCTTCCAGCAATTTTTGATCGAATTGAGATTAGGAGAGCAAGCAGGGTGGGGAAGATAGTGGAAGCCGTTTGCATGGCCTGCTCCACGTGCCACCTTGGCCGTATGGACCCAAGCATTATCCTCTAGAAAGAAGGGGTCTTGCTCACCATCCACACCCAATTCTGCGGTCTCCCAGAGGTTCTAGAGGTGTTTATTCACAATCTGCTCTTGGTAAATCTGAGCAGTGACACCGCCTCGCTTGCCTGTGCTTTTGCTGGTGTTGAAAACGACCAGCTCTGCCTCCCGCCATGGTAGATGGCTCCCCAAACCATAATGGAGACCACAGACTGCCCAAATGCAGGCCTCAGATGCTCCAACTACAATGCCTCTCCCTCTTTCCTTGTGACCCAAGTCACATGGTCCCCATTGGCTTTGATGATTGCCTTGTCGACATGAATGCCCTTTTTGAAGTCAACATCTTGGTGGGCAAGGGCGTACAAGTAGCGGGCACACATGTGCTGCTTCTTCAGGAAAGGTCTGCGCACCGCTTTCCTTTGTGCAAACCCATTGACAGCCATAAATCTCTTCAAGGTAGTCAGGGAGATTTCGACTCCACTGGCAGCCACAAGGGTGTGAAGTGTTGTGACCAGAGTCCACCTGTGTTGACAAATCAGGCGGCTGAGTCGGCAGCCAGTACAAGGGTCGATGCTCTTCTTTTGACCAGTGTGCTTGCAGGCCCTTGTACTGCCCCGCTCCTTCACATCTTTGCAGGCGTTGTGTATGGTACTCTCAGCAACTCTGTGGATGCGACCCGCTTGTGTATTGCCATATCTGTTGCCACCTGCAGCATATTGGCGTCGTTTAGATGGTGAAGCGTGTACAGTCATGGCGGTAGAGTCGACTGGTAAAAAAAAGTGCATGCATAGCTATGTTGTGAAAGAATATATAGCTGATTGAAGTGTATAGGAGGTCATAGACGCATTTGCTAAAGTAGGGGAGCAAACGAAAATTTGCAGAAAATTTGTGACTACCACTGTACATGCATATTGAGGCGTGTCTGAGCTATGTATTGACACCCTATACAGCTCTCTATCTTGGACCATTCAAGAAGCCAAAGTCCCAGAGTGGGTGGGGTTGACTGTCAAGGAGAGGGCTAAGTAGCAAATAAGATGGTTGGTTTTGTAACATTGTTGCACATACACCAGGATTGAACCTGCCAAGCAATTGTTTCCAATCATGTTGTTGGATTTGTCCATAGATTCACAGTTCCTCTCCACATGCAACAATTTTGCTCCTTTGTTGCCCCCCGCCTGCCCACCTGCCTTTCTTTCTTGAGCTCTTGTCATATCTCCTTGATTGCTAGATCTTCCCAATCACGCATATACTAGCTGTTGACAAAGGTTAAGTCAGGCTTACCTTGACCCTTGCAAGTAAATAACTCTCATCCATCCAGTCTTAGGTGTCCAGTCTAGCTAAGACTGGTTGTGACACCTTCCAACTTTCTGGCCTTCTACACCACCGGTCAAACGAAATATCAACATGACATTCACAGCCAAAACCATGGAAATGTCCCCGCGACATTGGAGATTTTTGTTCTGGGATGTCATTCTGACATTTTTCAAAAACATCTAACAGACATTCCGCAACCAGAATATCCCACGGACGTCTGCAGGGGCCCAAATGTCCCTGTGATATTCTTTGGAGGATACCTTTACATACAAAACCACCATATGGATAATGCTACTATATATATGGTTGCTTGTTATGACACTGCTTTCTAGAACAAATTTCCTATGCATGTGGTGGGTATATGTCATGTACAACAGAAGACTATGAGAGGAATCCCAATCCTCCAGAACTAGCCGGTAATAGGCTCGTCAGCAGCTTCTCCTTCTCCTCCCCCTCTGGCGAGTTCCCCTTCTGCCTCATCCGCAACTTCTGCACTTTGCTGATGGGGGAGATCGACAGTTGTTGAGTTTGTCGAACTCTTTGCTCATCTTCTCCTGTAGAAAGTTCAGCCTTGCGATATTCCCAACATCTTCATCCCTTCCCCTCTGATCTCCTCGAACGCCCTCATTGAAGACTTGTTTGGGTTGAGCTTGGTAACGTTTTCCTTGTTGGAAAGGAAGCGAGTGGTCCTGTTGAGGAAGTTGGGGTCTTTGGTGAAGAGATAGATATTGTTGAGATAGGCCATGGGGGCTGTGTCGGGGCTGAGGGACTGGGAGAGGGCATAGAGAGTGGGGCGAAGCGCTAACAAGAAGAACAGCAGATCAAAAGGGTCTCCTTGATGGACACCCTGCGAGGAAGAGAGGATGTTACCAGAAATCACAAGCGCTGACTTGTCCCCGTATGCCCACTTGCACAATCTCCACATTGTTGGCGCAACCTTCCTCACCGCCGCTGCCATCTCCTTCCTCTCCACCTTACTGAACATGTTGGACACATCCAGAGATGCGAGGTGCATAAAGTCACTCTTGTCCTCGCCCACCAACACCCTCTCTGCCATTCACACAATGGGCTCAACACCGCCAGGAGACTTGACCCCAAGTTGGTAGGGGAGGAGGAAGTTGGGCTGGAAATGGGGGGCAATGATGACTTTGGCACATAGACAATACAAGTAGGTTCCATCTTGCAGCTACACAAGATCAGCTCAACTCCCAGAAACAACTACCCAAGATCACACTCACCATGTCCAACTTCCTCACCGCTACCTACCCCTTTGCTGCTGACCATAACTTGGATGACTTGAGCGATAATGAGCAAACTATACCCCTGCTACTTCTTCAAGTCACAGGCTGACCGGACCGTAGACAAAGCTGGGAGAGGTGTTGGGCCCTGTGAGTAGCAATCTTCCTCTTCCAATGCTATGTTCAATTGCTTCAATATGTACTTATGCTTGATAGATGACTCTGTTGGCCAGCTCGTCGACCCCTGTCCTTCTGGTATGCACATGTCTCTCAAAATGATGTCTACTAACCAAAACGTAGTGGATCCACAAGCTACCTTGCCGGCATCCTTGCAGCCCCCTCTCGACTGGCGTCCTCTTCCAGACTGTCTCGACTGGTGTCTTTTCTACAACTCACCCAACCAGCATCTGGTCCCATCTTGTGAGTGCTCCGCCTTCTGTGTCAGCAGGTGCCAGGCAGAAGGCAGATGAGATGCGGGCTTCTCAAAAGGCCAGTAGGACAAGGGATAAGGAAGAGTAAGCAGCCAAGGAGGGAGGAGCGGGCAGGCAGGCAGGGGCGGACAGGGAAGGCAAGCAGAGAGGGCAAGCAGGGAGAGTAGTGAATGAAATACACATTCTATAGATGTCTGATGTAGCTTGTCTCAGTGTCATTTTGATATCTGTAACAGCTGCATACAATGTCCACCGGACATTCTAACATACCCTTGAGAATATATTGATAAAATGTTTTTGGTACCCCAGGAAAATATCAAGGCAACATTGGCAACAGCTGTATACAACGCCCACCAGACATTCTGACATACCCTGGAAAATATCCATATGATGTTTTTGGAAGCTGCATAAAATATCTGCAGGACATTTGAGTTGACCGGCGGTGTAGATATCACTGCAGTTAGTGTGTTTAGATCAGGCTGAGTCATTCTTGCAGGGTTTCAACCATCAATGTGGTGGCCTTTTATGCTGAAACATTGAGCTGTGTGTATAATATATCCCATAGTGTATGAGTACATGGTCATGGATGTATGCACATGTCAGCTTCAAAGTACAATCAGCAGAAGACATGGCACAATTCCTGGAGTTTGCAAACATACCATAGGGCCTTGGGTTTGTACTTATGACAAAATGAACATATACACCAAGTGTGCAACCTTTCTGGCTGTGTTATTACAATCTGAATCCAGCCTCTCCTATTGAAAGGCACAGGACAACATAGTCATATGTTCACATGTGATGTATACATATCTATCTGATAACAGTTGCCTTTTGGACACAGCTCAATATTACCTCCCTGCATGGTTTATATACATGTACTTTCAGGACACTCAGCATTGAAGGCATCATATGTTTTACCTACCTGATTGAAAGCCCACTGCTCATGCAACAGCTCCAGTGTCTCTGCCCTGTTGCTCAAAGCGCACCAATTCCTTGACAAGATTATATCCCACTGAGGATATGAATCTTCTGGACAAGAGGCCTTGGGCAGCTACATGAACTTCATTAGCAGAGAAGTTTTTCCTGCCAGACCAATGACCTTTGTTTGTTTGATTTACCTGTGACTGTCTTCGTCTCTTTTTTGCTAGAGACACAGGTGTCACCAGCACATTGGGTGGAACTCCAAATTTAGGATAGCACATTTTGCCCTTAGCCTTTTTTTGACACAAAATTGAAAAGCTCCCTCCCTTTCCAATGAGGGTACCACAGGCTGGCCATCAGGCAACCTCTCCTGGGAATCCCAACCTCCATCATTGGATGTGTTGGGCCTGAATATGCTTCCTGAGAATCCAGCAAAAAAGCCTGATTGGCATTCACCATGCACTGGCCAAAATGGTGCTTCAGACTCTTCTAGCCCAACTTGCTGTAGGTGGTGTTTCCTCCCTAGCATTGAGACACCCAAAGGCATTGGTGAAACCAGGAGATGGCTGGCCATTAGGGGATCTTTGAGAAAGCAGGGCATAGTTGTTGATTGTTGTATGATAAAAGCTGTACCAAGAGTAAGACCTGTAACAAGTAGAACCAGAAAGTTGAGGCCTGCATACCATAGGCACAACTTTCTCCAAACTGGCATTGAGTCTGACAGTTGTGCAAATTCCACTAGATGCACACATCTGACATGGCTTACAAGTCCTTTAGCTGAGTCAAAGGACAGTGCCTGGCAATTTTCTGAGTGACACATGGGAATAAGATTCCTGTTTCAGTCATGTCAGTCAGTGTGCTTCAATCACTTCAGGTGTGACTTCACTTGCCTTATGATTTCCAAACCCATCACAATCACCTATAGCATATGTGAGGTGCTTGGAAATATGCAATCATCAAATCAGGGAAGTTGAATAGGTACACACTGTATGCTTGCTCACCTTGAGAAGGGTGTCTGTGTTTGCAAGTGCTGCATCACATCCCACATTGGTCCACTTGCAAGGGATTGTCCTTGGAGGTGCATACAATTCCCTTGAGGGGCCATCAGAGGCTGTGGTGCTGGGTCCTAATGAATTGTGTGCCACATGTCAGGCAGAGTGGACTGAATAGTGGAAGGTGGGTGTTTGCTGTTGTGCTGGCCTGGTATTCCCAATTTGGGGATGGGACAAGACTTTCCAGTTGCCTGTGAATCATGCATCAGTCAGAGCACACTTCAGGCACCAGCAACTTTCCCTTGCTCTTGAAAAAGTGCAGGCAAACACAGTCAATCAGTGCTGCAAAGAAAATGACTCACAGCAGACAAGGAATAGATGTGATTTGTGATTGCTCTCCTACCACTGCAATAATTGCAAAGAGTGGTTGTTGCTGGGGTTAGAAAGCTGTGCGTGCCTTCACCCTTTATCTTTTGGAACAGGTGATATTATCAAGGCTCAGATGGCAAATGAATGCAAAAGAAACTCAACAAGACAAACCCATTCTGGGCTGTGAACTACAGACATGATGATGTCATGGTTTAGTATGTCAAAGATCATGATATCCTTGTGTCCCAAATTTGGTCACATACTTGTATTCCATCAAACAGTTCTTGCGCAGGAGCAGATGCCTACAGTAGTAAGCATGTAGAGTCCATGTGCCCAATATTGGGAGTGTTGGAGTTTTGTACCTTGTTGTTTGTGTTGCATGCATATGAGAACCTTCAGTCAATGCTTCAAATTTTTAGCAATAACCATGTTTAACCTGTGCACATCCATCACCATACTGACTCAGCACCAGCCTCTGGTGCACACTGTGGGCCCTGGATGATATGACCTCAGTGCAGAGTTGTTCCTGCCCATCAGTGGGTTGTTCCTACCCATGCCAATGGTCCCAGCCTGTTGCATTTGAGTGCTTGGACTCAGCAAATGAGAAGCGCTCCTGCTATGCATACATGCAGGAGGCAGCCTGATAAAGCTGTGGGACAAAGAGCAGAAAGAACTTAGACAAATGAGAAGCGCTTCCATTGGTGTTTACGTAATGTGTATTGCCACGTCATTGCAGAGTTTTGCAGAGCTTGCCACACACTCAGACAAGGACTTGGTGGAACGTTGATGTGGCTTCTCTTTCTTTGCCCATTGTTGTTCCCCTTTGGGTGCCCTATTGCTTTACAGCTTAGGTGTCTGTGTGTGTGTGTGAGTTCCTTTCTTGTTACCTCTTTGTAAGCAGCGTGTGGGCCGCTTCACTGACGGCAAGGGAGCGGCAAGACAAACGGCGGCAATCTCAGCTATGAGGAGCTGGACTGGAGAACGGCGAGAGAACAAGGAACGGCGGAGGGCGGATGGGGCGGTGCAACCTGTAAACAGGACCCCAATGCATATACTTGTCACACAGACAGACAAAGAGGCGGTGACTCTGGGCAGAGATCAGTCCTAACTCTAACGACCTGCCCAGGATTTAGCTATAGAAGGGAACTCACACACACACACAGACGCCTAAGCTGTAAAGCAATGGGGCACAAGAAGGGGAACAACAATGGGCAAAGAAAGAGAAGCCACATCAGTGTTCCACCAAGTCCTTGTCTGAGTGTGTGGCAAGCTCCGCAAAACTCTGCAATGACGTGGCAATACACATTACGTAAACACCAACGGAAGCGCTTCTCAGTTGTCTAAGTTCTTTCTGCTCTTCGTCCCACAGCTTTATCAGGCCGCCTCCTGCATGCATGCATACAGGAGCGCTTCTCATTTGCTGAGTCCAAGCACTCAAACGCAACAGGCTGCCTTCCGCTGATGCTTACTCACATGCAGTCCAACAATCAAGGCAGAGAATTGCAGCCAAAGGGGTTGACGGGTCGTATGTTCAGGAAGGGTATGAGGCAAGCCTCTTACACTCTCCCCCACCTGGATGAGACCGCGGGTCGAAGGCCCCTCTGGCGAAAAGAAACTGAGGTACTATTAAAACAGATCAGCGACAATAAAAGGGAAGTGTAAAGAGAAGAAATAATTAATCAGAAGAAAAAATATCGGACTCTAGCGCGTGACACACGGTCTCACAATTCCACAATGTCCACCATATCCAGGTATAGCTCATCATCTCCCAAGTACTCCTCCCACACAGCATCCCAACCCTCATATTTCTCCGCTTCATCTCAACCCATCCATCGCCCACTAACTCTCTCCCCTTCAATCCACACCCGCACCTGGGGGACCCCTGGATGACGTTGATTTGGCTTTAGAACTCATTCTTCTATGACTTGCAACAGCCGGGGAGGGGGCGGTTGATCAGAAGACAAGAGTGTGGGGGAGACATTGCCGTGATACTGGGTAGAAGTGCGGAAGGGCTTCAGAAGGGAGGCATGTCGGCGTGTGGTAGAAGTGGATTTGGAAAGGACAAGGTTGAGATCGTATAAGGATTGTTTGGGGAAAGCTGCAGTGATGGTGTAGGGACCTTCCCATCGCGGGACAAGTTTGGCTGAGTTTTGAGTAGACGAGGTTTTATACTCGTGTTGAAAGTCTTTTGTGTTAAGGTATACCAAGTCTCCAACCTTGTAGACCACCTCTGGCCGTCTGTGTCGATTTGCCTGAATGGCCTGGGAGTTCTTGGCCATCAACAACGCATCTCTGGCCATCTTTTCCTCCAATTCCATCCTGTTCGCTGCCATCTCCCATTCTTCCTGACTCGGTTGCACAAACCCAAATTCCTTCCATGCCGCCTCGTCTTCTGCCGTCTGGATGGGGGGTAACAATGATAGACGTTTGCCATATACCAATTGAGTCGCTGATGTTTTAGAAGTAGGGCGGACAGAATTGTTCATAGCAAACGCCACATGTTGAAGATTGTTGGCCCACCGATTGCCTTGACAATTGGTGTAAACGCGCAAGGTTTGGATCATAGTCTTGTTGGCTCGCTCTGAAGCACCATCGGTCTGGGGGTGGTAGGCCGTAGACATCTTCAATTTGGTACCACATAGTTCATGGAGGCGATCCCAATAAGAGGCTGTAAACAGCTTATCGCGATCGGAGACGATGGAGCGAGGGAACCCAAATTTGGAGACCCAGTTGTTGAAATAAAGTTGGGCGGCAGCAGAAGAAGTGACGGTGGTGACAGTAGGTATGAGCACAACTTACCCAGTTAGACGATTGGTGATGACCATGAGATAGTCATAACCGTTACTGGGTGGAAGAGGACCAACAAAATCAATGGCGATATCGGCGAATTTGGCTTGGGGAACTGGTAGGGAATGGAGGAGGCCGGCGGGTTTGGTTGTCGAGGATTTGGCGATCTGGCAGGGGTGACACGTTTGAACATACTCCCTCACATCCTTCTTCATCTGCGGCCAGAAATACTTCTCCATGGCCGCCTCCATCGTCTTCTCCACTCCAAAATGCCCCACTGCGTCATGACACTCCTTCAAACATTCCTTGCGCACTCCTTCACTCTCCGGAACACAAATTCGCTCTTCCCACTTCATCAACTCCACCGTCTTCCCTTTCTTCCCAACCACTGTAACCATCCTAACTCCTGGAGGACGCTCCTCTTCCTTCAACCACCGTTCCATTACTCCATCTTCTTTGTATCCCTCCGCCAGACGCTCCAGAAAATCGTGATTGACAGTGGTAGTAATGAGAGAGAGAGCGTTGAGTGATGCCTCCTCCGAGTGAAGGCGGGAAAGGGCATCGGCAATGACATTGGTAGCGCCGGGAATGTGGGAGATGCGGAGGTCATACTCAGCAAAGACAAGCAACCATCGTTTCTGCCTCTCAGATAAGTTGGGTTGCTCAAAAAACCACTGGAGAGTTGCGTGATCGGTGAGAACATGAATGGGAAGACCCAAAAGAAGAGGGCGCCATTGCTTGAGAGCATGCACAATGGCGAGCAGTTCTTTCTCGTGAACCAGATAATTCTTCTCAGCCGGGAGGAGAGCACGAGAGTCATAGGCGATGGGAGCCGCGTCCTCTGCTTTTGGACCGCTGCCTAACCAGGCTCCTATTCCCGTATTGCTAGCGTTGGTGTGGAGATATAGATTGGTCTCTCCCGCCGCGATAGCTTTGAAGTCGAGGGGAGTAAGGCTGGTGATATGGGCCACAAGATCCTTGAGGGTGACGAAGGCGCGATGGGCCTGGGGAGTCCAATCCCAAACCCAAGGCAAGACAGGGAGAGAATGGGGAGGTTTCCCGCGCGCAAGAAGACGTTTTCGAACGTCATAAGCCTTCTCCGCAGCTTTGTTGGGGGGCAGGAGGCCTGATAGCACCGAGGAATAAGTAGCAATATCGGGGATAAATTTCCGAAGATATTGAAGCAAACCTAGGAAGCTTCGCAGCTCTTTGACAGTATGGGTGTTTGGCCATGAGCGCAGAGCAGAGATCTTCTTGGGATCAGGACCAATAGAGTTGTTGGAAATGACATGACCCAAGAAGGTGACCGAGTCGGCGAAAAACACCGATTTCTCCTGAGAGCAGCGCAACCCGCCCTTCCTTAACGCCTCCAAAACCTCCCGAATCCTCCTTTCCAACTCTTCATCATTGTCCGCCCACACTATTACATTGTCCACGTACGCCTCACATGTCTCTCCGATCAATCCCCTCAGCGCTTCGTTGACTCGTCGTTGTTGAGTGGCAAGGGAGTTGCGAGCACCCTGTGGCATGACTACCCATTCATACAGCCCCCATGGCGTAGTGATAGCTGTCTTCTCGATGTCTTTCTCTTCCATCAATGTCTGGAAGAACGCATCGGTCATGTCCATCTTGGCAAACACCTTGCCCAAGGCGGCGCGTTGAAGGATATCCTCAATAAAAGGGGGGGAGGTTTGATTGGGTATGGTGACTAAGTTCAACCCACGGTAGTCACAGATGAACCGGAATTTCCCATTGGTCTTTTTGATGAGAAAGGCAGGTGCAGCCCAGGGAGAACTGGAAGGTCGAAGATGGCCGGCACGGCGATGTTTTTTTCGATCTCAGCAAAGAACGCCTCTTTCCAGGCGAGAGGGACGCAAAAACCGGGACGAGCAACTGGCTTCACACCGGGGAGGATGTCAATACGATGGCGTACCTTGGATGTGTCAGAATAGACAGCCGGGTAGTTCTCCACGTTCCCTATGTCACTGGGGAGGACGTCGGCAAAATCGGTATGGATAGATGCTATGCGCTGTTGGCGTCGAGGAGAGATAAGAACAGTAGGTTGAAGGGTGGGATTGTCAACAGCAAGAGAGCAGACGTTGGAAACTGGGGATTGGCATGGACAGAGCGACCTTCGGCCATGAGTTTGTCAAGCCAAGCAGCACCCTCCAGTAAGCGGTGGTGGAGGCAGAAGGGGAGGCCAAAGATGATGTCGACACAATGAGGGGTAGGAAGAATGAGAAATGAAGAATTCTTGTAACAAATTGGACCAATAAAAACATCCATCCTGACTCTGGTATTGACAAGTGGTCCAGGTCTGCCATCCGCCATACAGGTCTTCAACGGCTTGACGTTCTCCTTCCGCAACCCAGCCACCTGCACGAAACTCTCACTAACAGCATTGATAGCCGCACCAGGATCAATGAGACCTGTGGTGATAGGAGAGTCAGCCAAAAGACCAACGTCGACAAGGATGAGGGGGACTGACGAAGCGTCGGTGTAGTCGATATCGTGTTCAACCATGGCAGCAAACACATCGCCATCCTCGTCGAGATCGTCAATAGAGAGGTTGGCGACAGTGGCAGCCGCTGCACGAGCAGAGCACTCGTGGCTTTTATGACCAGGCTTAAGGCACCAGTAGCAGAGGTCGTTTCGGTCGAGGAAAGCCCGGGCACGAGCGCCAGCATCGGTAGTCTTGTCTGGGAGTTTCTTCTTGTTGATCCATTGGGTTTCTTCCGCCGTCAGAGAACGGCCATTGAGCTGAGCAGGCGGAGCAGAGGAAGGGTTGGGGACATGCAATGGCGCCGAGGGACGAGGGGTTGCGGCGGAGGACTGACGAAACTGCCGAGTATAGGTGGCAGGGGGAGGGGCTGGGAGTTCCGTGGTTCGGAAGATGCGATCAATAATGTCACACAGGAGGGGAAGAGAGATTTCCGAACGACTAAGTCCTCGATCGGCAAGACGATCCTCAACTCAAGTAATGATGTTGGAGGGGAGACCAAACAGAAGCTTTCGGCGCATGTCGGAATCGGTGATGCCGCCGAGACAGTCGCCAAGAATCATCTGACACTCTCCAGCCTTCTTCTCGAACGTTTGCCAGGCCGACAAAGTCGATCCCTGGCACTGGAGCCCTTCAAACACTTGTCGAGTCTCGGACTCCCACTTGGTCGAGAGAGCCTGCTTCTTGAACTCCTCACGCCAAGCTTCCCACGAAACGCAGGCAGCACCAGTGACCATAGACCAATAATGGTACTTGTCTACCTTGGCGATGGACTTATTCGCTCGAGCAACCCGCCATTGAGAAGCGGACGGCGTGCCATCGGGAGAGCGAGAGTCGCATTCAACGAAATGGCGCTGAAGGTCGTGGAGATGTCGAACGACGCCAAGCTGGGACGCACATGAGGATGACAGCATGGGGAGTTTAGGAGGGTCAACTTGGGCACGTTGGAGCTCAGCTTGGTTGCGGTGCATTTCGTTGATAATGATGCGAAGGTTGTCATACCCAACGCTCTGACTGGACGTCTGACCGTCAGAAGCTGGGGCTTTGGGGGTAGCACCGGACAGCAGGTGAGGAGGGTTGTCATAGGCGATGCGCGTACCATTGGCTGCGCAACAAGGGGTAGTGACGGCAACAGCGGGAGGATGGGGACCAAGAATCATCGTGCCGTCCTTGCCAAATCTAACAATGGGGCGGCCAGCAACGTTGGCAGTGGTGATAGCGTGTCCATCCTCGCCTAAAAAGACAGAGTGAGGCTTGGAGGGGGATGTGCCCTCGGCGTTCTTCGTGCCATCGGCGTTCTTTGGTTTGTTGGGTTTGTTTTTGTTCATTGTGATGGGTATGGGGTGTGAAGTTCAAAAAAAAGTGTAAGCAGCGTGTATGCTGCTTCACTGACGGCAGGGAGCGGCGAGGCGAACGGCGATGGTTTCAGCTATGAGGAGCTGGACTGGAGAACGGCGAGAGAACGGCGAGGAACGGCGGAGATCGGGTGGGGCGGCGTAAGCTGTAAACAGGACCCCAATGCATATACTTGTCACATAGACAGACAAAAAGGCGGTGACTCTGGGCAGAGATCAGTCCTAACTCTAACGACACACACACACAGACGCCTAAGCTTTACAGCAATAGGACCAAAGACGGGGACGACGACGGGCAAGAAAGAGAGGCCACGCCGTCGTTCCACCAAGTACTTGTCTGCGCATGCGGCGAGCTCCGCAAAACTCCAACGCTGACGCAGCGTTGCACATTACGTAACACCAACGGAAGCGCTTCTAATTTGTCTAAGTTCTTTCTGCTCTTTGTCCCACAGCTTTATCAGGCCGCCTCCTGCATGCATGCATACAGGAGCGCTTCTCATTTGCTGAGTCCAAGCACTCAAACGCAACAGGCTGCCTTCCGCTAATGCTTACTCACATGCAGTCCAACAATCAAGGCAGAGAATCGCAGCCAAAGGGGTTGACAGGTCGTATGTTCAGGAAGGGTATGAGGCAAGCCTCTTACAGCAAGCACAGGCGACAGATGGGCGACTTGAGGTTGTGCGGCGGAACAAGCGTGGGACATGTGGCCCTGTTGTCGGCAGCGGAAACAGATGTCCCTCTGTCGCAGGTAGTCTCGGGCACGCACTCCCGCATGGCTAATGGGAGGCGGATGGATGGGTCGAGCCAGCCCTGCGCTTCGGCCGCTGTGGGAGGGGCCGCGGCAGGAATGGCTGAAACTGCCTTGATCGGCTGAGTAGAGCGATATGCAGCGGCTTGGGGAGGCAGGGGGGCAGGCGCAGGTCGTGGAGGGGGCATGAGAGCTTGGTACGCCGCCATTTTAGCTGCGCAGGCTACCACCGTCTTGGTCATGACATCGATAAGTTTGCGGACCGAAACGGTTCGGACGGACTCGTTCCTCTGCTCTAGGGCTTGTTTGACGTCGATGATGAGCATGTCTGAGTATAGGCCTTCCATCAAGAGGCGCTTCATGTCTTCGTTACTAAGGGGATCGCGGGAGCTCGAGAGAAGATGCTGATGATTGCGGATCAAATTCACGAAAACATCTAAGTGACGGGGGGTGTGACCTCCCATGCGGATGAGCTTGAGCGAGCGTCGAGCATGGCGGGCCCAGTGAGGGTCAAGGACCTTCTCTTACCACCAGACGCTCCAAGTTGTGAATGTGGGAGCACGTCGACCCACTTCAAGGCCCCACCTGAACCACTCTCCAACTTTGGAGATGGAAAGATTGCACTGCTCTATGATCCAGGCGTTGTAGTACTCGGGGTTTGTCGATAGTCGTGCGCTGTCAAGATAAATCTCTAGAGCATATAGGTGACGGGTGATGGCAAACGTGTCGGCGGTAAGCTTGTCCAAGGTAGGACAAACCAGCTTGTCGGCCCTCTTAAAGACCGGGCGCGCCAGGGGGGGGGTGGGCTGGGGTGGGAGCGGTGGTATGCTGCTCTTTGACATACTCAGCAAACTGCTGCTGCACGTTTGCCAACTGGGTCATCAAAGCCATCACCTCGGGGTGGGCCTCGGGCCAGGGGGTGTCTTCCTGAGGGCGGGGACGCGGGGTTTTGCCGATAGAGGAGTCGTACGAGGTGAACGAGCGAGTCGTCGGCTTTTGTCGTAAGGTCTCCCTTCTTATCTTTCTCATCTTCGCTCTCCTGATCTCCCACCTTGACGCCTTCTTTCTCTTCTTCTCTCTCCTGATCTCCCGCCTTGACGCCTTCTTTCTCATCTTCGAGCTTCGGAGCCACGCTGCCGGTGGAAGGGGCAGGGTCGCCACCGGGGACGGTGGGCTTGATCTGGGTGTAAGAGGCTTGCCTCATACCCTTCCTGAACATACGACCTGTCAACCCCTTTGGCTGCAATTCTCTGCCTTGATTGTTGGACTGCATGTGAGTAAGCATTAGCGGAAGGCAGCCTGTTGCATTTGAGTGCTTGGACCTAGCAAATGAGAAGCGCTCCTGCTATGCATGCATGCAGGAGGTGGCCTGATAAAGCTGTGAGATGAAGAGCAGAAAGAACTTAGACAAATGAGAAGCGTTTCCGTTGGTGTTTATGTAACATGTCTTGCCGCAGCATTCCAGAGTTTTGCGGAGCTCGCTGCACGCGCAGACAAGGACTTGATGGAACGTCGATGTGGCCTCTCTTTCTTTGCCCTTCGTCGTTCCCGGTTCTTTGCCCTTTGCTATACAGCTCAGGTGCCTGTGTGTGCGTTTCGTTAGAGTTAGGACTGATCTCTGCCCAGTCACCGCCTTTTTCTGTCTGTGTGACATACATGTATTGGGGTCCTCTTTCACTTCAGGTTGCACCACCCCGCTTGACCCTTTGCCGTTCTCCGCCGTTCTTCGCCGCTCTTCCGTCCAGTCAGCCCATAGCTGTGACCTTTGCCGTTCGCCTTCCTCGTTGCCGCTGTCAGTGAAGAGGAACTACACCTCTTACATTTTCTCTTGGACACCAACACACCTTAACGACAACCACCCCAACTACCGTAACCACCCTTTGAAACAATGTCAAACCCCCCTGGTACCAGGCGCATTGCTACTAGGTCCTCTAGGGCTACTGCTAGAGTACCGTTGGTTAGGGGACTTGCTGGTCAAGGTGAGACCGTTTCTTGGCCAGGCTCACCACAAGCTGGACCGTCAGGAACACACACTGACAAAGAATTTTCTAATGACGACATTACTTCTTCTCATGGTGACAATGACCCTGACAACATTGACGACAACAACCCACTTGTTATCACACATCCATCACAACACAACACCACCTCAAACCCAACACCCTGTTGACATGAACCACCCCAACGCCCTTCATCCATGCCGTCTTGTCAACACTCCCCCACCCCATCCGACATCGACGATGACCCTTCACACACAACAGTACCCCAAAGGAACCTTGAAGATGAGAACATTGATGCCATGCAACAGGAGGCAGGACCCAGTTGTAAGGGCAAGGAGAAGGAGCTTAGTGAATATGAGAAGCTGGTCTTGGCAACTAAGTACTTCAAGAAGCGCAAGGAGGAGGAAAGGATTAGGAGGGCAATGGATCAGAGGCACATAGAGACTAGCAGGACGGATGACAGAATGACCGAGGCCTTGTCAATGATTGCTCAGTTGTTAGCTAGTCAGCAGCAGCAGCAGATGAGGGTAAGCGTGTCTGCCCAGGACTTTATGGAACCAAAAGTCAACAGTCCTGATGTGTTCACTGGAAAGTGTTCCAACTTGAAATTGTTCTTGGCAGCGTGCCAATTGGTATTCAACCTTCAACCCACTCACTATCGGTCTGACGTGAGTAAAATTTGCTACATCATCTCGTATCTCAGAGGATCTCCTTATCAAAACATCAATGGGTACCATAAATTATCTCTAGAGTCGCAGCCTGTATGGCTAAAAGACTACAAAGAGTTCAGGACTTATTTGAGGCAGAATTATGGAGATCCCAACAAGTACCGTACTGCAAGGAATAAGATCATGGAGCTGACACAAGGCAAACGCTCTGTCATGCAGTTCCTTGCCGACATCAGTACCCTTATTGCTGTACTTCAGAAGAATGTTGGTCAGACGCCCCTATCATAGCACACGCTTATAGAGGATTGTCCACAGAACTCAAGGATCGCCTTTCTTTGTCCAGTCAAGAGCCGAAGACCTGGGAAGAGTTTTGCGCCAAGCTCAACCGTCTCGAAGTAGAAATGAACTCCTATTGACCCACCGCTAACAAAACCAACAACCAATCCAAAGACAAGAATACAGAGGATAGTCAGAACAAGGGAGGAAGGAACGATAGCAGGAAGGAGCGAGATGGAAGAGGTGACAGTAGGCGAGACAGAGATGGACAAAGAAGTGAGTGATACCCCTCTCCGGAAGAAAAGCAACACCAGATTGAGAATGACTTATGCTTATTGTGCGCACAGCCCAGGCACTATCTCAAGGATTGCCCAACAAACAACCTCAACAAGACTCCCAACAATTATTTGTTGCGTGAAAAAGTGAGTGCCTCTTCTCAGTAAGGGACCACAGAAGAGGCCATGCTCATGTAAAGAAAAGCCGGTCCGGTATCCGTCAAACCCCCTGTGAATACGGCAAAAAACGCTCATGACATTTCACAAAGACTGTAACGAAATATCCTCCTGTTAAACTTCAACTCTGTCCACAACTCGATCTATTCCAACTTGTATCACGGTCCCACCGCCGTTCGTGCCCTCATCAACACAGGTGCTACAGAAAACCTCATCAACTTTGATTCTCCCCTGTTACGACCATCCCTGATCAAAGAATATGATACACCTTATACCCTCTCTGGTTTTGGAAACCACAAAGCCCAGATCCGTTATTTTGTTGAATTAGAAATCACTCTCCATCCCCAATACCTACCAACCATCCTCAAATTCGATATTATCCACCTTCGTTCTAGAACGACACAGGTCGTTATAGGATTTGAAGGATTAAAGACTCTTGGAGTCAATATCAACTTCGGAAGTAGTACTATGACTCTTCCTCCAAAAGTCAGCAGCTCAAGCGCAAAGGCCTTGAAGAAAGTTGATAAATAACCAAAGAAACGAGTTGTAGCCACTCATCCAAACAACATCCCTCTACGCTTCAACCAATGGCCAAGACCCGAAGCTATCAAGACAAACCAACAAGAAGTAAAGATCTCTTCTGCTCAAGACGCCCGGGCTGCGGCAACAAACTTCCAAGATGCACCTGCTGAGAGAAAGAAGGTTCAAGACGTACATGCTGAGAAGAAATGTCTTCAAGATTTCACAACTGAGAACACTTCACAGATAATGCCTCAAGACGCATGGGCTGCAGAAACAAATATCCAAGATGCACCTGCTGAGAGAAGGAAGGTTGAAGACATACATGCTGAGAAGAAATGTCTTCAAGATTTCACAACTAAGAACACTTCACAGGTATCCCCTCAAGATGCATGGGCCAAGGAACAAGGTTCTGTGGATGCACCTGCTGAGAGACGGATTGTTCTTGATGTACGTGCTGAGAAGAAGTGTCTTCAAGATTGCATGACTAACAACACCCTGCAGGACAAAAACTCCTTTTTGACCCTGCCAAGCTTATCAATGTCCAAGCTACCGAGCCCAGCATGCTCAATCATCCAAACTCCTCCAGAAACACACCCGCAACCCATCTTTAAAAACCACAAAAGCCGACCCAATGGTTGTAGACGAGGACACAGTCATGTCAACCAACGACCCGTTACCTTGGGATCAAGGGGCATACCTCCAACACGCTGAGGTACGCAACAACATGGAAGACCTTGCAGATAACGAAGTGTCTGAGAGAGATGAAATCAGGAGTTTGGTTCCTAGTGAGTTTCAAGACTTTCTTGATGTGTTTCAGGCCAAGGAGGCGAAGCAACTATCTCCACATTGCCCATATGATCACACCATTCATCTTGAAAAGGAAGCTAAGCTGAAGCTTCACCCAGCATACACCTCCAGTGACCTTGTATTTATTGATATACGGCGGTTTTCAACAACTCGACCCTCTAGGAAACTTGACTATAAAAGAATCAGACCGTTTGAGGTAGAAGGAGCTGTTGGTGCAAATGCTTATCGCATCAAGATTCCTTCTTCTATTAAGATCCATCCGGTCTTTCACATTGCCTACCTAGAGTTGTATAATCCGCCAGCCCAAGGCAAGTCTCCTAATCAACAATTCGAACCATATCAGACTGTCATTGCTGATAAAGAATGGGAAGTAGCTTGCATTCTCGACTCTAAGGTCACCCAAAAACGCAATACAATGGATGTGAGTTATCTTGTTGAATGGAAAGGCTATGAGGGCACTAATGAAACTAAGTGGGAACCGTCCGCCCATCTTGTCAACGCTTGTGAGTTGATAGAAGAGTTTCATAAGAGTCATCCTGACAAGCCTGTAGCCCCGCGCTTCCGTCCCCAAAAATCCTTGAAACTGTCCCATCCCACCGCCTCAGCCAGTAATTCGTCTGACAAAAACAACAACTCTGTCGAGACGATGGCCAAAGATGATTTGAGCACAGAGATAGATATTGATGGTTGGGAAGAGAAGGAAGTCGAAGCAGGAGTCAGGCAAATGACTAGGATGAGTCTTTGTCTGTTGAAGAACGTTGATTATCAAGTATAGTGTAGTACATAGCATAAATAGATTGTAATACCTAGTATCAGCGTTAGTTATTTTGGGACTTCTTTGGATGTGATGTTTTGGATTGTCAACTCACATGCCAATCCAGAAACAACCCAAAAGCAACTAACTTATCGCTACTCACAACAACATTCAAGGAAATTCCCAAAGAAAACCAATGACCCCTTCTATGTAGATCATTGTTAGTCATTTTCTTAAGTAGCAAAGACCATTTGGAACTTGTAGACATTCAAGTAGAACGTAAAACCCAAAAACCATAGACATACCACCTTGTAGTTTTGATTGACAGAACCCACCTGCCTGCCCTTTTTCTGTAGTTGTTTCTTTGACACCTTTTGTCTTTACCAAGTATCTGTGTCTCCCATTGGACTGGAATGGTCTGGTCAATTTTGTTGGAAAACCAAGTAGTACTTCGAAGCTTGAGGGACCTCGCTTTTCACAGGAGGAGGAATATGTCACAACCACGCTCCAGCTTCCACATCATCCCACACTCTATTACATAAATACTAATCGAGCTGGACGCGTCGCAACACTCATCACTCAACACTTGTCATTACTTCCTCATTTGAGACACCCCTCTTGTTTATTCTGGTACATCACAACCATCATATCGTACCAGGAGCTACTCATATCTAGGGACATTGCTATCACCCCACTTACATAGCAATTCATCTCAAAGATACAACCAACCCCGACTCAACCCAATACCTATCTCCAACCAAGATTTAGACACCCAAGCACCCTCATTCTTCTCCACCCCAATAACAGTTCAGGAGATGCCCAATTACTTTGTAACCTAGAGACACTTTTCTTTACATAGAGTCTGCTTCCAAGATATTGTGTGTCTTAGATATTCAGGACTTATTTCCATAGCAACTCATGAGAAAGCGTAGCAAGCCAAGGGAACGGCTTAGTCAGTTAGGTGGCAAATATGGGGAAGTTGAGTAAGCCAGTAGGGCTCTGGATGTCTATATAAGTAGATAATTTTACATAGATTCAAGGATCCCAGCGACCTCGAATACGTCTGACTTGCCTATGAACTAGGAACAGCAAGCGAACAGGCCTATTCAAACTATACTAGCTAAGCCGACAGGAAGTCATCAGCCTTAGGTTAGTGCGAGCCCCTATCAAGTCCAAGATAGCCTTGCTGATCAGGTCCCAACACATACAAGTATATTGTTGATTGGAATCAACATATACATATAGATAGATAGCCCCTTTCTTCATTTAGTCAAGAGATACTTTATACTGCTGGACAGCTATAGGGACACTGTGGGTAGGACCTGACACTTGTCCTCTCTTCTAGTAAGGCTGTCCGGCATACATTGACATGCCATATTCACTACCCTTACCTTCTTTTGCCCGTTTCCTCTTCCTTATTGTCTTTAGCCTTTTTGTACGCTTCACTGGTCAACTTGTACCCTCATTTGCTTTCTGCTGTAGACATATCACATAGTTGCTCCGTCTATTGTCCCGTCACTTATTCTTGTATATAAGGAAGGCTGGGTGTTGGGACAGAGACCTTAAACAATCAATCCTTGACTCTCTCTTCTCTCCCCTCCTCTTCTTCAGTGAACCTCTATTACTCCTTCCAAGACCACATCCAAGCACACTTGTGTCTTCCTCTTCATGTACTTGGGCTCAATCCTTGATCACACGTGGTAATACTTTCAGCTGTCCCCCCAGAGCAGGCCTGATCACCACAAGAATATTGATATAAGGTTTTTGGTAGTACCGCAGGAAAATATTAGGGTGATGTTTGAAACAGCTGTATAAAACATCCACTAGACATTTTGACATACCCTTGAAAATATCCATATGATGTTTTTGGAAACTGCATAAAAATATTTGCGCGACATCTTGAAGGACGCACATCAAGATGTATGTGTGACATTTGGACGCCAAAATGTCTGCGCAACATCAGAATCAATTACTTAAATCACATCTTACAAACATCCGCATGTGGTGATATCTGCAGGACATTTGAGTTGACCAGTGGTGTAGGGACACTGTGAGTAGGACCTGACAGTGGATTGGTCGTTGTGCCACAGTATGCTGAACAAAACATCTGGGGTTCATCAGTCTGTTGGAAGGGGGATTGGAAATGAGAGAGCTGTGAACAGCTGTGATGGTAAGATATTCATTGTGAGCAGGTTTGTTAGGAGGCCGGCAAGAGAGATGATTGGTATTGTCAGAGACAAAAAGGGCATGAGGGGCAAAGAAAAATGAGGGTTGGAGGGTGTATTAGTCATAAGTGATTCCATGGTGGTTTGGGTTATGTGGCAAGGGACTGGCAAAAAAGCGTAGAAAAGTGACTGCAACAATGGGAAAAAGCTAAGAGACAAAGTAAAAATGTGGAAGCAGTTGCAAGACCATGGCTGCATTGTTTGGTCCCCAGGCCAGTACAGTTTGTAGATTGAAAACAAACCAAAATCATAGTAAATTGCTGAGGGCACATCTACCTTAGCAACAGAGAAGGTAGTGCATGCTCTTAGGTATTGTAAGGATCCAGTGGGGTCCTGGGGCGCAAGTTAACAAGTCCAAATACCAACATAGGCATTATTGCTCTGGAGTTGGGATTGTGATGCAATGGCTTTTGCTGCTCATCCGGTTAATTGATCTTACTTGGTTTTTAGGTCCTTTACAGGTATCCTTTGAGCCATACAAAAATTCACATTGACAAAATGTGGTGATCAGACTTGCTCTGGGGTGACAGCTGTAGTTATCACCTGGTGTTGTTGTAGGTTGAGTTCAAGTATGTGAAGAGGAGTAGGCAGTTGTGCTTGGATCAGGTCTGAAGGAGTGGTGAAGGTGACAGAAGAAGAGGAAGGGAAGAGAAGTGAGGTTGAAGATTCAATAACACCAGCACCCAGCCTTTCTGAGGAATGGATAAGTGGCAAGATGATAGAGAGAGCAACTACACAATACAGCTAAGTCCCAAAGCATATGAGGGTACAAGTTGACCAGAAAAGCATAAAAAGGTTACTTGTGGTGGGTGTGCAGTTCACATTTTACTTTTTTATTCTTTGTTCCCTACCTGTCAAGGGCCAATCCCTTTTTCTTTTTTTGATATATAGCTTTCAGATTGTGTGTGTTTGTGGTATTGCCATAGTGTCACCACACACTTCACCTCTAAATCCAAAAGGCAGAGAGTCATGTCATCATCAGAAAGCTGGATGTGCAACTCTCATCACTCAATGTTCTTATAAACTCATCTTTCCATTCTTCATTTGAGCCATACCATACCCCACACCCATCATATCAGTGTCATCAACTAGAGACTTGCCCCAGTGCATCACACCTCCCCATGTCATTCAGAAATCACACCATTATGCAATAACACCCAAGAAAATGTAACTACCCAACTTCACTGAATCATTTACCCACAAAGACCCTTGATTGTCACAACCTAGCTGGAACGCAGCAGGGAAGTGGCTGGAAAAGGGTATTTCTAAGAGGGGAAGGGGAAAAGACCTTTTTGGTAAGATTGCATGAGAAGAGTAGAACAATATGATATGAATTGAGTATGTACACCAAGAGTCCTTCAACCATCCACACACTCAGCACCGATGCCACCTCAGGGATTTACTAAGTGTGACATTGATACTGTCTTGCATAGTAATTATACACCCTCATACAAATGACATGATTATATCCAACCCATTTACATGTGCCTCTAAGTTTCAAAGCAGCCCTTACACTGCTGGACAGTCCTAAGGTGGACATAGACCTGACACTTTCTATGCATATTCAGGAACAAATTGACTACAAACTTTCTACTCTTTGGGGTAGACAATTTGGCCAGCTTGTTTTTTCTGCTTATTTTGTGGGTCATAGGGAGCCCTGTGTGGTCATCCTTGAATTGATGCCTCTGGGTGGAAGCATGCCAGACCCTTGACTTTTTGGTACAACATGGATTTAAGTGGAACATGTCCCACTTGGTCATGTCAGACTACCATGGTACTTCCAGATGTGTCATGTTCTCCCTATCTTCTCCTTGATGCCATCCTTCAAATCAGTGCCTCTAGCCATGCCAAACATATCCTCATGGCAATTCCTACAAGTGCACTTATAACCTTGTTGCCCAATCTTTTCCCAGAATTTGTCATCTGCATCAGATGTCACACCTTCAATGTTACACCTAGAGTTTGATCCCACCCCATGACGCGGAAACCTGCTAGTGCATCATAAGCCCTAACATACAAGTACTCTTCAAGGATGGCAAATGAACATGCAAAATGGCAAAAAAAAAAGAAAAGGGGCAAAAAGAAAATACACCGTAAGGGAATCGAACCCTTGCCGCAACTATGGCAAAGTTGCATGATACCATTTCACCAACGGTGTAGAAACAACTAGAATACACTAATTTGCATGCAGGTTCGATTGTTTGATGTTATACAATAGATGGTTTGACATCCAAAATGACTGATAAAACCTTACCAATGCCTGTCCTGTAGACAAATCCTGGAGCCCAACTCTCATGTTCAGTGCAGGATGAATGTTGTCTGCTGCAAGCCCAACTGCAATGCTTTACATTGGACTCAGGAGGAATTGTCAGAAGTAGGACTCAATGAGAATGTGAGGAGGTGGATAGGTGAGGTGTAACCTAGGGGCTGTTACGTGGTGGATCTGACTAGGGGCACCAGATGTTGACCTTGAATAGGCTTGATGGATGAAGGATGGATATAGGTGAGGAGGTTACTACAAGAATACATTGATGGGGAAAATGAATAAGGAGATGTGGCACAATGTATATATGGGAACCTCATCTTGCAATCCGGCCTACACATCCCTGAGACCATAGCGGCAAACCTAGCACCGAACCCTGTGTTCCATAGTACATGTCACCACCTCTTCTACTAGGCAGTCTGTACCAATCCCTTACAGAGAACCTTTTTTAGATATGCTGTTAATCTGATGCTGTGGATATGCATCCTTAAAAAAGCCACTGGGGAAGACAATTGAGATGTTGCACTGTGGGCCCCACAAATGGTTATTTTGGCCCTCTTACTTGATTACCCAGTGCTACACAGACAGTGGGTCAAACTATTATGCTCTAATAGAGCATGGTAGATATGGCTGCAGATCCAGATAGTTTCAGCATCAAATGTGAGGATGTGTCAACTTTCACTCTGGGTCAAAAGCGGCATGAGATACAACATTTTATCAAGCTCAGTATTATTCTCACTACGTGACTATGATACAAAGATCACTCAGAAACAGAATGTTGAATCCTTTTTCGGCCATTGATTGTTACTACTGCTTTGATGGACATCCTTATGTTGATTTAAGTTGCAGACTGCTTGAAGTGATCAGCAAGTCCTGGCCAAAGGCTTGACATCTAAGTTCTGGCTAATGGTGACAAACTCAATGGACAGGATCACAGGCATTGAATGAAAGAAAAGTGAGCTCACCAGCAAGAGGCTGATAAAGGATATGTAAGAGCTTGTATAAAGAGAGTGCAGCTTCAATGATGAAGCTTGGACTACAGTTGAAAGAGTCTACAAAGTACAGCTAATAGTGTTGTGTGTGAGTTCAGGTAAAAATAGAGTGATTGGTAGTAGTGGTGTGCTGACTTGGAGAGTGGAAGTGGTGTGGTAAAAGGGGAGAAAGCAAGAATTGGTGAGGAGAGGAAGTCTCCTCCTGTTGGGCCTTTCCAACATCACAGAAGCTATTGAATACGGGTGATATTGGGGCACCGACTTGGGGCTGGTCACTGACTGTTTGGTTGAGCTGGTGATTTGTCCAAAGGAAAGAACAGTGCCAAGTTGTCAACTAGTAAAGGGATAACAAGATGTCTAGACTGGATCATGTGACCCTTCAATGTAAGATGTTACAAGGAAAGTTGTTTGTGCACAACATAACAACTGGGGGTACTACTATGAGAAGTATCTCCTTACACATACCTTAATTTACAATTTCTACAGATGACTCAACATTACGCTCCACTTGTCTCACTACTAGAAAGGATCCTGATGACTTGATACTAGACTATACTGCTTTACACATATCCTTTCTTCCTTCGAACAGAGACATCTCATAATACACAATTCAGACTTGAGCTTGCAGACAGGAGGTGTTTAATTCTCTTGCAATCATCACAGCATTGCACAGGACTGCACACTAGTGCACAGGAATGATTCAAACCTTTGTGGTTCATGACAGGCACACCATTCCTATGTATATGAATGGGGCAGAAATTTATACAAATAAATTGAGAGAAGCAAGTAAAGATATCAGATGGGAGACGGAGACAGATAGCAACAAAGAAGAACAACTGAAAACAGAACAGATGTTGGAAGAGGGAGAGGCTCAAGTGTTGAAGGTGGTCAACAAGTGGAGGTGAGGTGGAGTTTGCCTTGCCAAAGCGAGACCTAGAAGCTGAAGTTATTGAGTGGGTGATTGTCAACCACTGTCACGATCTAGCCCATCGTCTGCCCACCAGGCAGTCTTTTGCGTAACAGCAAGTTGAGAGGAGATGGTTGCTGTAGCGTGCTAGGCGCCTGCACATCCCATGGACTCTTCAGCTTTCTTCGCCTCTGTCTTCGTTGCCAATACTTGTTCTTGTTATTTTCCTCTCTTCTAGTATGGCTGTCCAACACCCGTCAACACGCCCATATTTGTTACCCTCCTTCCAGCTGTCTCTTCTAATTTATTGTCTTTAGCCTTATTGTACACTTTGCTGGTTAACTTGTTCCCTTATTTGCTTTGTGCCATAGTCATATCACGTAGCTGGGTGTGGGGACAGAGACTACAAAACAAACTCTTTGACTTTCTTCTCTCCCCTCCCCTTCTTGTTTAGCCTCTACTTCTCCTTCCAAGACCTTGTCCAAGCACAACTGCGTACTCCTCTTCACGTACTTAGACTCAACCTTCGATTACACTTGGTGATAACTTCAGCTGTCACCCCAGAGCAGGCCTGATCACCACAACCAAACTCATTGGACCCCATCAGTAGAACAATAATATTCCTGCTGGTTTAGTATGCTTGTGGGCATAGACCTGACAAGAAGTAAGTTGTGCAGCACAAGAAGGTAACACTAGCATGTCTTGGTATATGCAGAAGTCATAGAGGTTATATGCTCTGGGGGGAAGCATTCACTCACAGAGGACCAAAAATATCATGCACAAGGTCCAAACTGCTGATCATTACTCTGTGTGCAAGAAGGGCAGCTTGTGCGTGGGATGGTGTTCTGTACTGTACTTGTAACTTTACTCTTTGATCTCCTCTTCTTCCTTTACAACCTACCAATGCGCATCCAATGTATTCATACCTGGGCAAGGTCCCACTACAGACACCACTAGCTATATAATCACAGTCTACAGCCCCTACTACAGCTGTCACAGACCCTACAGCTCTCTGCACCCTCTCCCATAACCTGGCCTGCCCTACACCTCCCTCCCACCCTGGCCTTGTTGTGACACTTGCCCAACTCCAGCTCATCATGCACATATCATAATATATGTGAGGGAACTATAGATAGGCCATGGGGAATGTAGGCAGCTGGCATGTTACATGCAATCCTTTCATCTTGCTGTGTTGAAAAGGCGCAACCCATGACTAGAAGATACTCTCCTGTAAGTTGTATGTAAGAGTAAGAGCAATACAAAAGGGAACAGCAATTAGAGTATGCAGGTATGGTGCAGTAGTATGTTTGCCACCTTGTAAGTGGGCAAGTGTTACGACCTAGCTGGGATGCAGCAGGGAAGTGACTGGAAAAGGTGATTTTGGAGGGGAAAAGACCTTTTTGGTATTATTGCATAAAAAAAGAGTAGACAATGAGATATGAATTGAGTATGTACACTGCGCGTCCTTCAACCATCCACACAACTCAGCGCCAAAACTACTTTAGGGAATTACTACTTGTACATGTGACAGCAAGAGCAAAAACAGGAAAGTAAATGCATATGACAAGTACTTTCATCTTACTGAAGTATGGTTGCTACATAGATCATGTCAAAAGAAAATATGTATGAAGATGATGCTGCCAGCAGCACATCACCCTGTGAAACCTATACAGCTTAATTACTGCCAGGCAGGTTGAAGATAGTCTGTGGACCAGCATGTCAGTACAAGCAACACTGACTCTGCCTTAAGCTTACCCTCTTCCTCAGCCTGAAGTCTTCTTCTCCTTCTCTTCCAAAACCACAGCCCAGCAATGGTAATGATGACAATGAGAGCGACTGCAATAACAGTTGCTGAAACTGCTACAGTTGTTGTTCTGGATAAGTCAGTAGGAGTCATACATTGCACCCAGAAAACAAACATACCTGTGAATTGTGGATCCTTCATCACTAGCAGCGGTAGTCCCAGGCTGATTGCCACTTGTTGTAGAGATATATTGGGTTGCAGGTGTCCCTGTGGACTGCAAGGGGTCAGATGACTGGGCTATATTGACAGAAGTGCTGGACAAGGTTGAAGTTGGTGATGAGGTTTTGGATGAGGACAGGGTCTTGCTACTTGTTTCTTGCCTATAGGTACTTGATGAACTAGTTGATGTCACTTGATCAGAAGCAGATGCTGTCTGTGAGATTGTAGCAGAGGAAACAGCTGCTGAGGTGGCAACACTGGAACTCAAACTGCTAACCTTGGAAGAGGTAGCAGTCTTAAAACTGGAGCTGCTTGAGGTGGATATGGTGGTGGCAGTCTTACTGAGATATTGATCAGCACATGATGAATTGATTAAAGCAGCAAACCCACAGCTCTCCATTGACAGAAACAGCATCAATGTCTAGCCAGGTGTAAGTTGGATACTGATCCACATTCCTTGAATTCTCATTGCTGATCTTCAAGGTGTGATCTCCCTCTTCCAGACCACTGGATGCGTATAAGACTTGTTGCAGTGATGAGTTCTTTGAATAGCCAGAGTAGTACTGTATATCTCCAGAGTCAACAACAACACCGTAGATGCCCTGCAAACAATGTCAATGATGCTCTCTGGATTGCAAGCGAGGTGATTCTGGAATGCCTGGATTGACTGACATGACTAGGGATATAACATGAGTATCTGGTGCAAATAGATCATGGTCAACTGAACTCACTTTGGACGCCTTCCCCCTAGGATCTGTACATCTTTGCCATACCATACAACCATTGCGTAATCTCCCTGCAACATCGGCGTCAGTAACAGGATGGGTGGCAGAAGGGAGCATTTGACAGACGTCTGTGGTGGATGAGTGGCTGAGGAGTGAGCTAGGAGTCAGCATGTTGTCACCTGGAACATTGTGTCAAAGACTGACAAGGTCTAAGAGGTTACAAGTCAGTAGGACAACAAAGCAACAAGCGGAGACGACGTACGCCATCATAGTAGTCCTCGGTAAATGAGTCGTCTGTATATGCACATGGTCAGATATGTTATGCCAGAGCGAGCTCACTGTGGTTTACCAGTATGGTTGGTGCTCCTAAATATCATTAGCATGTATGTGAGAATGCTGTGGACAGTTGGAGGAGACTCACCATGAAGTGCCCACATAGCCGATACGCCCATCTACATCGTCAATCGTTGTTGACATTGCTGCTGAAGACGAACGAGAATATGGCGCAGGGGAAAAAGTCAATGTAGAAACAGGAGGAAGGTCATGATTGAGAAAGGCAGCAGAGTCAAGCCCCAGGCCGCATCCACAGCAGAGGGACTAGCCCGAAGAGATCGTTCGCCCCCCTCCCATTTCAATCGGGCACAAAAGCCTCCTTTGACGATGGCAACAAAGGATCCATCCTTCAGCCCATCGTGAGCAGTCCCGGAAGATGCCATAGCTCCTGAATGCTGCTATACACAGGGAGAGTCCAGGGGGTCAAGGAAGGTGCGTTTGCACTGTATTCGTGTCAGAAAGGAGGGCGGAAGGGAATATAGAAAGGCGATGCATGTGGTGACGAGAGCTGGGGTAATCTGATTATGATGGAGGTGCTGAAGGGGAGCCGGATGGTGGATCGATAGCCTTTGGTTCCTACAGTCATGTCAACAATTGTCCCACGTACCCTGGCGAGCTTGAACGATCCACATACGTCAGGACCTCCCACATACTACGGCATATGTCAGCTGCTGCCATGTATTGTAGAGCGCATGTGAACGTACGCCTCGTGCTCTGAGTGCTCTGTATCCAATACCATGCGCTGTGAGGCCGACGCCGAGGACCTTTAGGGGAGTCAGCGGCGGGAAGAATGCAGCAGGGCTGGGACGTACACAGAGGGCGACGGAGGTGAGTGCGACTGAGCGCTGTGCGATGTCTGCGATGGAGGGGGGCATGCTGGTATATTATGTGTCGAGCAGAAACCGATCCCAATTCCCGTTCAGTATTTGTCGCTGAAAAGTGGAGTCCTCCATTCGCCGTCGCCGTCGGTGAAATTTCCTATCTTCTCTTGCATTTCAAACCAATAATCAACCCCCGCCATGTCCTCCTCCGCCATCGCAGCCCGCATAGCCCACGGCAGGCCCCTCGTCCGCGCATTCCCCTCCACCCCCCTCTCCGGCCCCGCCCAGCTGTCCGACGCCCTCGACTCCATCCTCAACCGCGCTCTCGCCGCCACCAGAGCTTCCTCATCATCACCACAATCTGGGGCTGCAGCTGCGGCCTCCACTGTAGAAGTTCTCCGGGCGAAAGCGCAGGAGCAGAAGATTGCGCAAACGGGAGCCGCTGTTCAAAGATTAAAAGCTGGAAATGCCATGCGCCAAGTATGTCGCTTCCTCTGCTCGAAATAAGAATTCTACTCATTCTCATTAGTGGCCGTTATCAAAGCACATTGTTACCCCTGTCAACGATCCTCTGTTCTATACTCGAACGAGAAACGCCATACACAATGCTGAGAAGGGTATCAAAAGACCGTGGTGGAAGGTCTTTTTCAATGTCAAGGGGGCAGAATAGAAGGGGGGCATCATCATGTATCTATAATTGTACCAGTGATGTGACTTGTCCGACTGGCTCTCTGAGTGGTTAGGGACACCCCGTGGCAATTTACGAGTCCATACAGCGTAGATGGGCCCCTGACAGCCCCAAGAGACGTGGGTCCGCGGTGATGCTCGGTGCTTGGCATCCTTCTGTCAATCAATGGGCTCTTCACATGGTAAACTCTATCACAAACTTTTATCACGTTATGAACAATGACATTTGTGAACGGATCCTCTCAGCTGGCGGCGCTTCCCATAGACTCCACTCTCCCTTTGCCCTTTGTCTCGTTGTTTACCAAATCTGTCAGGGTCCGGAAATTGCTAGGGTTGATGTGCACAATCTATCGCATGAACGTCAGTAAGATGTTGCGCATGATATCAGAAAGCACCACTTACAGCTTCCCACTCCATGTCCATTTCCTCCTCCTCAACCTCCTCCACCTCGGCAATCACCTTCTCCTTGACCCTCTTGGCGTCCTTTCCAGGCATCGTAATCCTGATTCTCATCCTTACTCGCCTCACTGGAAGAACCTCCCCTTCACTGAGCTTTTTTATCAGGTCGAGAGCCTGCGCCTTGGCGGGCTTGTCGGCCTTGACGTTGAACCCGACTTCCGCCATTGCCTTTTCCACCATTCCAACGGTATGCTTCCGGGAAGTGTTGGGGTCGACAGTCATCTCCGTCACGATGGTCGCAATCTCTCGCGAAAGGGAGGACAGGTGTTGGGTTCTTTCGAGGTTGTTGATCTGAAGTTCGCCTTTCCGGAGGATCTGTTTATAAAAGTTTAACCTCGAGCCTTGAAGATGCACATGGCAACATACCTCCTCAATGACCTTGTTCATGTCTTCCGTTCCGAAAGCCTTTTGCCAGTCCTCTTTTTTGGCAGCCTGCCCTTTGGGGACATTGGCAAACACTTGCTCGATCTGTAAGATCTCAGACAAGTCGGTCTCTCTGTCACCAAAAGTCAGATACGAGTCGCTCGTATGGTCGCACAGGAACTCACACTCCAGACCTAAATTCCGAGACTTTGTTCTGATAGCAAGCGATCTGCAGCAACACTGTCAGTCAAAATTATCGCCACCGTGAAGACATACCTCGAAGCGCTTGCCTCCTTTCTTGATGCGGACGATACTGACATTCGTCAATCTAGAGGGTGGTGAGCTTTGTCTGTCTATCTGGCATTGAGGGGGCGTACTTGATCTGGGTTCCGGGCTGCTTGTTCATGGTGTCTATGGGGATCCGATGTAAGATACAAAATTATCATGCAGAATCTGTGACTTCTTGGTCTTACGGAGTCGGGTGGAGGTCAGCGCCGGCAGCCGAGGGAACATCATCGACGTCAACGGGGCATCGATTATTCCATCTGCTTTGCTGTCATTCCACCACATAATGCAAAAGCAGCATGAAGCTCTTTGAGAATGATGTCGTCTATAGGTGAGCAACCCCTCAACTCTCTCCCCCTCCCTGCCCCTACTCACTCCCCACAGCTACCCAGCAATCCATACCATCAATCGCCTCCATCGAAAATATCCTAATCCATTCGCAACCCATGTCTTCTCAGTAGACACCATAGACAGATCGGTAGACCCAGAAACAGGTATTCTGCGGTCAGAGAGGCTCATCGGGGTTCAGCAAGGCGCACCAAAGTGGGTGACGAAAGTGAGTCTACGTGCCGGTGACGTCTATCGTTGTCATTAAGCTGACTTTGCTCAAGCTCTTCAATCTCCCCCCTATGGCTTTCGTGAGAGAAGTGGTCTTTGTAGACCCTTCAAACTCTGCAGCCACATCCATGTCTGTAAACCTCAATCTCGCTCAATACGTGTACGTGTCACCGTACCAGTCCCCGCCTCGCGACGCTGACGCATCCCTCCCATTGCAGCTCTTGTCTCGAACTCATCACATATACCCCTCACGACGAAAACTCTACCCTGTTCAAGCAACGGGCCATGCTCATCTCTGGCTTCCCCACTCGGCTCATAGCACGAAGAATAGAGCAGGCGAGCATTGATAGATTTAAGAGTAACGCGGGGATCGGGAAGCAGGGGTTCGATTGGGTTTTGGCCCACAAGGGGACGACTGGAGAGCCAGCAGAGGCGCAAATTTAGAGCTCAAGTGTATGTATCATCAATTGGGAACAGTATTGGATCCGGTATGGCCGTCTGGCCGTCTGGGTGGCCAACTGCCCGTGTTAAGCGTCTGAACAGCGTCAAGACTGTATGTTCACAGTACACGTTTTGCCCAGCAGGTGTGAACGTTGAGCCAGACAGTCGAGTCTCCTGCAGCCTGTTGCCTCATTGAGTCTGCCACTTGCATACAAGGCCCCAGCCACGTGGGCGGCACGTGATGGCACCACAGCTATGTTTGGTTTCAATCGCTTCTCGTATTCTGCTTGTATTCCGTATCCAAGATGGCTTTCGACAAGGACACCACGCCCAGACCAGCGGCGAGGGACTACAGAGGCGCATGCGTTGAAGTGCGTCTGTCTGTCCATTGATACATCACTGCGGTCCTACCGGCGCACGAGCTGATTCAGTCTGTGACAGGACCTCCAACTCTCCCCAGCATTCTGCTTGCCCCAAGACGCGATCGTCCTCAATGCTCTGGAGACTGCCTATGAGAGAGAATTTGACCATCTTCCGTGAGTGCAACCAAGGGCAGGAAGACCGCCGCACGACCGGACTAGCGCTAATACGTGACCAGTATCCTCAACCACAAACGTAAACCCATCGGATACCTAGACATTCCTTCTCTGAAGCAGAAGCTTAGTGCTGGCGCTGTGACAGAGCACGACCCCGTCTGTCCGTACCCATCAGATTCGCTCATCAGAGACTAGATGCTGACCACGCCTCTGTGCGATATTTAGCCAAGCTCACAAACTACTTTACCATCTCCAACCCCTCCAACCCCTATACCGTCATCTCTCCTCTTACCCCCCTCGAAGAGTTGGAATTGTTCTTCGAGAAGCGGGCCGTCGACTTTGCGTTGGGTGAGTCGTACGCGCACATGTGTGGGCAGGAGCTGATGGAGCTGCGAATAGTCACGGATGGAGAGCGCAAATGGGTATTGGGTGTCGCCACCAAAGACGACTTGGAGGTGGGTCTGCCCGGTCAATATTGCCCAAGGATGGCAGCTGACCATGCATCTCAGACTTTCGCCAAACGACGGGGTTGAAGCTGCGTTTGCGGCTCGAGGCTCGAGCCGAGGGGTGTATAGATCAAGCATAATTATGGCATAACAAGTAACGGTCGATTCAGACACAATCCCGGTATCATGCCGTCTCTGATACTTGATCAGGTTGCACATATATTCTGTATAGGTATGTAGTGCAGAGTTCAAACAGCTTAAAGAGGACGTCGGTTGGGCTATTTGGTCCCAGTCTTCGCGGATTTCTTTCGTTTTCAGACTCTGATCGACTCTTGATCGACTCTAGACAGCCACAAAACTTCATTCTCTGCAGCTTCCCTGCTGTCAGCCGAATTACAACCCTCTCGACTATGAGGAAAGTCTTTCCATATCCGGATATGCATGTGGAGCTCACTGCAGACTGCCATCAGCAGGATTTGGTAACTTCCAGCATCATCGTCTGCTGCTCGCTAAAAGGAGCTGAGCCCTCTTTGCTATCTGTGCTGGTCCACCTCTTCATCTCAATCCTACCTAAGTCTTTCAAGCCCAAAAATGTCCCCCCAACCGCCCTCCGAAGGCTCCACCGACATCCTCTTTTCACCCCTTACACTGGGCGATATGCGCCTCTCCCATCGTATAGCCATGGCGCCTATGACCCGGAATCGGGGCGTTGCCTCTTTGAAACACCCCGGCACCTTCATAGCCTGCCCTCTCATGGAAGAGTACTACGCGCAAAGAACTACGCAAGGAGGATTGCTTATCAGCGAGGCTATACCGGTTTCCAGGCAGGCAAGTTGTTGGGAACTGGTGACTGTCTAGCCTTGCTGATATAGTGATTTTCAGGCGTCCGACCCAAACTATGTGCCTGGTATCTTTACCGAAGAGCAAGTTGAATTTTGGAAGCCTGTTGTGGAAGCAGTACACCGACTCGGAGGGCTCTTCGTTGCTCAGTGTGAGTTGCATTCTCCATCGGGGATAAACAGAAAGCGGGCTCACTGACGCCATTGTCAGTATGGCACGCTGGTCGTACCAGATTCGTACAGAATGAGTTTCCGATCATCTCGTCCTCTGCCATACCTATCACCAAGACCTTCATGGGTACGCCTGGCGTCGTTCCTCAGGCCATGACCATCGAGGACATCGAGCGGGTCAAAGAAGAGTATGCTCAAGCCGCCGCCAATTGTATTGCAGCCGGGTTTGATGCTGTCGAGCTACAGTAAGCCCTCAGCATACCGACCTTCTTGAGATGCACTGCTGATCGTCCACGTAACGTCAGTGCGGCAAACGGTTATCTACCAGAAGCTTTCCTTCACTCCAACATCAACAAGCGCACCGACTCCTATGGCGGCTCTCCCGAGAACCGCAATCGCTTTGTGGTCGAGCTTTGTGACACCATCACTCAGGCCGTGGGGGACAACAAGTTCTCTCTCCGTCTCTCGCCGTTTGGCTTCTTCAACGAAGCGCGCGGTGAACAGCGAGTCACCCAATGGACACGGCTTTGCCAGGAAATCAGCGGACGAAACTGGGCATACATTCATTTCATGGAGCCGCGTTATGATGAGATGACTTCAGGGTCAGACAAGTTGAAGGAGTTGGGAGGCGACGCGTCGTTGAAGCCGTTCTTGGAGGCATTGGGAGGTCGGATGCCGGTCATCGTGGCGGGAGGATATGACTGCGAGAATGTGCGGACGTCCAAGGTCTTGGAGGAAGGAGTGAGCTCTCCCGTCCCCTATTTGTGCATACTGAGCTGACTATATCGATAGAGAGCGGACGTCGTTGCCTTTGGTCGATACTTCACCTCAAAGTGAGTATAAAGGCAGACCTTTTGATACATGCTGACACCTTATTCTTCGTTCCAACTGCTCAGCCCCGATGTGAGTTGACACAGCTCGGTGTTCATGACCGTCTCTCATATGATTGTCGACTGACCACCGTCGTCTTTAGCTCGTGTACCGCCTCAAACACAAGAAACCTCTCGTTGAATACATACGCCCACGCTTCTACGGACCTTTCCCCGATCCTGAAACTGCCTATACCGACTTTCCCTTCTCTCCTGAAAACTCGAACACCCCAGAGAGAAAGGCTCTTTTGGAGACTGAGACTGCCAGGAACCTCATTGTTGCCGAACCCGGATGGCAGCTGTCTAAATCTGGAGTACAGTGAGTGCTGATACTTTCAATCGTCAAGCGGTGACTGATTGGAAAGGCTGCGAGGATTGGCTCCCGGGGCAGGAGAATAGGTAAACGAACCAAGCTTCTCTCGATCTGATTCACAAATGTACGAAACTCATCTCATAAGACTTCTATGCATAAATTGTGGGACCATAATCCAAAGACTACTCGTGTCTTTTACCACTATTGAACAAGGATATCAAACAACACACACTCTCGAATACTGACTATCCGGGAATCGGAAAAACTATAAACTCGGATACTAGGTATCTGAAGACTCGAGCGCGGAGAACGAAGCAAAAAGAGAAAATATCGGGAAAAGTACGAAGAGGGGGATGTAATAACGTGTGCAGATGTATGGATAGGGAAAGTGGATGGTGATTGATTAGAAATGGAGAAAAATATGGGTTGCGCTAAGCTACAAGAAAAGGTATCATTGGGTCATCATATACGTCAAAAAGAGATTTCGAAAAACGCCGCTGCAAGATCCGCCCTGCCGTCACGGCTCTGGGTGGGACCAGCCATCAAACACCTCATGTCCCTCTGCCCTTTCTCGGCGACCCGCTATCCAGCAACATCATGGAGTAACGTGTTGGGCTAGTTGGTGGCGCCGGCGACCTTATCGGCCCTCGCCCGTCCATACTGCCAAAGCCCGTCGGACTCGGCTGGAAAGATTCCCTCAGCCGATCCAGACACCCTCCAATCTCCCACATGGGCGTCGACAGCAGCGCGCTCGCCGTGGGCGGGGGCATACCGGGGCTACCACGATAAATGACAGGAGTAGACATGCCCGGCGTCTTGCGATGTTGCAGCCGGGGAGTCTTGTCTGCCGCCGCAGACGATCTCGTAACGGGTGTCTTTGGCGGAGCGCGGGGCTGGGGAGGCGAGTTGGGGACGGCAAAGTCTTCTTCCTGAGCAGTGACGACTTTGGGACGGATAGCTTTGGGTTTGAGGTCGAAAGCCGCGTCAAGCATCGGGCGAGCAGGGGAAGAGTCGCGAGGAGGAGTTTGAGACATGTCGTCGTGCGTCCAAGCTTGTTGGAGAGCACTAGGGTGATGGGTGGATCGCGTGACAGTGGCTGGCATGGGTGGGGACCCCGGGGAAGATGACGATTGAACGAGGGCAGGAGTTTTGAAATCACTCGACATGAGCCTGCTACCGCCTGGGATGGGTCGCTCTCGCTCGGGAGTGATGAATGAGGAATCGAGCTTTTCGATGCGCTCTTGGGGGAAGGGGTGTATGGGAGCAAGAGGCTCCGCCAGACGCACACGCTTTGCGGACGTCAAGTCTTCCTCGGATATTTGCCTTCGCTTGCCCTTGGGGTCAACGGGAGGGGGTGGCAGAGCCCATTTGACGCTGTTTTCGTCATTCACAGTCGATTTTGGCCTTTCAGGGATCGACTTTTGCTCAGGTTTCTGCTCTGGCTCGTCATCCACATCTTCACCGGCCATGGCCGCAAGTCGTCCCACAGGCGGCGGCGTCTTTTCCTCGTCTTCGTCCTCTTCCTCGATCTGGGCACTGCTGCTAGCCACGGGCTCTGGCGTCGACATCTTCTTCACCTCCACCAAGACATCCATGTCGATCCCCTTTCTTCTCTTCTTGCCCTTCTTTGGCACATACACTCTCCCTTCGCGCTGCGCCTTCTCCATAGCCTCCTTCTCCTTTTGCCTCTCATGCAATGTCTGGCGACAGACGGCGTGGTGGGCGTGCCCCGGAGGGAAATTCTTGATAAACTTGTCCGGCTCGGGCCAGTGACACTTTTCGTCCTCGTGGATGATCCAGATACCACCCTTGCCTGGAGGAAATTTCTCGGTACGGGGGATGGTCTCAAACATCTTGTGGATAGAGAGATTGTGTCGTACAGAGTTTCGCCAAGCATTGTCGCCAGACTTGAAGAAGGGGTAGGCAGTCTCGACGTAGCGGTAAATGTGCTCGAGAGAGAGACCACCGGCTTTACAAGACAGGATAGCTTGACCGATGATGCAGGCAAAAGAGGGCCCGGGGCGCTCGTGAGATCGCGGTCCGGGAGGAATACCCTCGACTCCCGGGTCTTCGGCCACCTTGGCAAATTTGGAGCTCGTCCTGCCAGCTCCAGCAGCAGGCGGTCTGGGCGGGGCCTTGGGCAGGACCAAAGGAATAGGCGGCGCCTTGTCGTTCTGACGCGTCTTCATAGTACGCGTCGGCAAAGGCCTTCGCGTTCTGCCATCCATCTCGTCGTCGCTGCTATCAAACTCGGCCCCGCGGTGTGCGGGACGGAGACCGATCGAGTAGTTGGAAGAGGTGGACGCGGCGGTAGCGGTGGAAACGGCAGACGAGGGGACTTGCTCTGCATAGTTGGTTTGCTTGCCCTGTGGTGTGACGAGGAGGCTGTCGCGGTGGGGTGAGAAGCGTTGGGGCTGCATAGGCGCAGGGCCGAGGGCACGCGCTGGGGAAATCCCTTGACCGTCCGCGTACTGCAATCTCGTCAGCGCGTACTTGTGACACATATCACAGCTACTTACAACCGTGTCATACGCCGCCAACTCCCACGACTGGTCCTGCTGAGGCATGGCGTGATACACGGGCATCTCCTCGGCAGGCCCAGGGTGATCAAACACGTCTCCGTAAGGCGACCCTCTGGCCAGCGACGCGTGACGCGTCATGCCTGGCCGTTGCATCTGGGTTTCGAGAGTGGGTCGCTGCTGAACCATCATGGTCGATTGACTGGACTGAAGTTTTGGTCGTTGAGGGAGACCGGTCTGGATCGGAAAAGGGTGCGGTGCGTCGTTCATGTGAGGCATCGAGTGGCTCCTCTGCAGCTGATGCACCTGCTCCATGGACATCTGATCGGATGGCGAGAGCGGGTGGGTGTGGTAGCCGATATTGGGACCATTGTACCTCTCGACAGGCACCTGGAGATAGGGCCCGCCTTCCTCCTCGGGGGGCACGACGGAGAACTCGTACTCTTCGTACCCGGATGGGGATCGCATCGGTTGGCCATGGGCGGGCATGACGACCCGTCCTTGGGCGACCTGATGGGAGCCAAAGGGGGAGATCATATGCTCTGGCATGTCGCCGGCGTAGCTTGGTTGTTGCTGGTAGTACGTACCGGCGTACGGGTCGGTGTAGTAGATCTGGGGAGTCGCGTAGTTGGCGGAGGTAGGGGTGGTGAGGTAGGGATCGGACATGCTGGATGGCGTCAGTACGGGGATTCGAGTACGACGCGTCTGTGCTTACATGTCGCCTTGGATGGGGCCTTGGGAGGACGCGAGGGTGTGGTGTTGGGAGTCTGTGCTCGCTCGGCGGGACATTGTGGAGGATATGGATGGGGCCCGGCCAGCGGGAGAAACGACGCGCTGTGGCTGGGCGTGGGTGGACGAGTGATGCGCGGCGGGGTATGGGCAGCGGGGTAGAGCAGCGGTAGAGGTTCCAAGGGGGGGGTCTTGGGCTGACGCGAGAGCTGGCTGAAGACTGGAAGAAGCAGGGAGAATTGAAAGCGCGTCTGCCTTTCCCGTCTTTTTGCGCCCACGAATTGCCCCATTGGGACTTGATTTTGCCTTACGTAAAAACGCGCTCCGTACCTGCCACACAAGTCCCTGAAAAGATCACTAATCGCGTCGTCCGCGTCTGCACGCGTGTGTGCATGCATACAGCGGATGCAGTGTGAATGCATACGGAGGGGGGAGGGGGAGAGAGGAGGGCAGCGTGCATGGGGCATGGGGCACAGGCGGGGGGTGCTTCGGCTATATGGGGCTTTGGATGCTTCAGGAGCTTGTTCCGAAGAAGGTTTTCCTGCGCGCATTTGTCTTTTCAGACGTCACTCGCGTTCCTCTCCCAATCATTTGGGATCCTTAAAGATGGAAGAGAAGGGGCCCACCCTGGCCAGCCTTGGGTTCAAACCCCGACGCTGAGAGCGGAGTGCATGGTATGTAGCAGAATCACGCGGTTCATTGCAAAGTCGTATGTATGGACAGTACGCGTACTTCACGCACTTGCACGTAGAGAACGGCGAAGAGCAAAGCTCGATCGTCCGAGTTGGAAATTCTCATTCAAGCGTGCAATTGCAGAGACTCCGTCCCGTTCACCCCGTATCGTTAGTACTGGAACTTGGCCGAGGCACTCTGTACACACCTTTGCTTCGAGTGGCTACTGTTACAAGGGGCATGACAGATTCTCACTGGCGTAGCAGACATCCGAGTGAAGATGATGCACCTGCAGTACAAGTGCATGCTTGAAAGACTATCGATATGCTCATACAAAATGCATCAAGAAGCATAGCCCTATAATGAAGCCTTGATGAACCCTTCAAGACCCCCATTCACCCACAACTCTTGCACCGATTTGCCCACCTTGGCCGCAGGATACGTCTTCTCACCCTCCGACCCCATCGTCACCGTCACCAACCCTCTTCTCGAATCCACCTTGACCGTCCACCCTTCCGGCACTTCCGTCAACTCGCCATTCTTCGTACCCTTGCCTCTCACCCCGTCTTTGGCGAAACGCTCAGTCAACTCCTTGATCAACGATGGCGACTCGACGAGAATCAAACCGTTGTTGATGGCGTTACGCTTGTAAATGTCACCAAACGAACCGCAGATCACTAGCGGGATACCGGCGTTCTTGATGGCCGTGGCAGCTTGTTCTCGCGAAGAACCGGTACCAAAGTTGTAACCAGACAGAAGAATAGGGCCCGCCTTGGTGGATGATGAGGCGATGGGAGGCGGGAGGGTAGCGCGGAGAGTGGCAGCCGTAGCGGCGAATGCTGGGTCGTAGTTTTCTACACAGACGTCAGCTACGGCACATGCAACAAGACACATCACTCACCCATAACGACCTCAGCCTGCCTCTCGGGCGTAATGTCATCCTGGTAAGTATATTTACCAGGGTACATTCCGTCCGTCGTCAAGTTGTCTTGAGGTGCAAACATCAACGGGCCTTCAAAGTACGCCGGGAATCCTTCCAACAGCGGCTCCAAAGACGCCTCATCCACCACCACCGGCTTCTCCTCGGCACTCTCCTCCCCAGACTCGAGAATGGAAAACTTGGGCTGCTCATACTGAGGCAGCTTGGCCAAGTCCATCGAGTCGGGTCCACAGATCACACCCCTCGCCGCTGACGCCGCGACGACAGCAGGCGAAGCGAGGTACGCAATAGCCTCGGGAGAACCCATTCGACCCTTGTAGTTACGGTTCGTGGCAGAAATACCGACCTGACCCTTTTCCAACAGACCAACACCCAGACCGATACAAGGACCACACCCCGCAGGCAGAGTCTTGGCACCAGCATCCACAAGCACTTGCCAGTCTCCGGCCTCTTCGGCATCTTCTTGCACTCGGCTGGAAGCAGCCGCAATGTAAAATTCGACCCCGGGCGCGACCTTTTTGCCTCTCAGCACAGCGGCAGCAGCGGCAAGGTCAGAAGCTCGAGAGTTGGTACACGATACAAGGTACGCCTTGTGGATGGGGATAGGGGGATCGAGGAGCTTGGGGAGGGCGGTAGCGACCTTGACAGAGTTGGGGCCAGAGACGTGGGGGACAAGGGTAGAAAGATCGAGCGAGAGACGAGCGGCGTATTGCGCGCCTTCATCAGCGACGGCTCGGTTTGCAATAGCGTCGGCGAGTCGCGCAGAGTTCAACCGGGGGTGTCCTTCAGACTCGAGAGCGGAAGGGACAGTGGGCTGGATAAACTTGCGGAGCTCGGCCTTGCGGATATTGGACTTGTACCACTCTTCAAGCTTGCCGTCTACGGGGAAGACACCAGACACAGCTCCCCATTCGGTGGTCATGTTGGCGATAGTGAGACGCTCGTCAATAGACAAGTGTTCGACACCGGAACCAGTAAACTCAATAGCAGCGTTGAGGACCTCGTCCTTGTTGAAGAGACCGGCGAGAGCGACAATGACGTCCTTACCGGTGACACCGGGCGAGAGCTTGCCGTCGAGAGAGACCTGGACGATACGTGGGATCTGCCACCAGAACTTGCCCGTGGCCCATATACCGCTGCGAGATGTCAGCATTGTAATATATATAGTAGTGGTCAACTCACGCAGCATCTGTTCGTACAATAGCAGTACCAAGACACCCTACACCACCATAGTGATTTGAGTGACTGTCACTAGCGACCACCATCTTTCCCGGCCAAGCATAGCCTTCTTCCACCACAATCTGGTGCCCAATACCTCTTCCAGCAGGGTAAAAGTCGACACCGTGCTCCTTGGCAAACGCTTCAATCTTTTTGTACTTGTTTTGGTTGACATCTGATTTGTTCTGGACATCGTGATCCAGGGTGTACACCGGCTGGCGCGGGTTGTCCAGCTTGGAGCACTTGAGCGACAAGAACTTGCTGATAACGGGGCCAGTGTTGTCATGGGTCATGCTATGATACTGATAAGATAAAGAACACAATGTATATCCGCGCTGTTACTCACACATGCTCTGGCTTGATCATGACATAGTCACCAGCGCGTACCTTGGACCCCTCGGATAGCCCAACAGCGTACTTTTGCACGATTTTCTCGATGACGGTCTGGGGCGTGGTGGCGGTGGCGAAGGAGCGTGCAGCCCAGCGGTGGCGGGGTATTATGGGCACCCGGCAAGCTCGAAACATGGCGTTTTGGATAGAAGTTCAAGATTATGGAGACAAACAAAAAATCAAAAAAGTTGTAAACGACTCAAGCGCCTCCACCCGCCAGGTCCAATCCAAAATCACTCTTTTCATACAATCTCGTGCACTTCTGAATCTCGCCAAATTGCCATGGAACAGCCCCAGAAGAGCAGCCCGGGGCCAAGCAAGCAGACGCCGAAGAAGACTCCGGCGAAAAAGCAGCAAAAATCGACCCCAAACACCGCTGCAGCCAACGATGGCGAAAATTCGAAAGCCGCTGCTAGCCCTACCCTTGGACCGCCAGGACAAGGAGATGAAGAGGATGAGGGGGAGGAGAGAATGGATCTCAAAGTGATTCAGAGCTTTGCCGAGTACGTGCAGGTGCGAAGAGGAAGAACGCAAGCTGACTGGGCGTAGCAAAATCCAACACATACCTTTAGCAGAGGGAGATGTGACGTCTCGCCCGCTCATCACCATCCCGAAACGGGGCGAGAAGGACTTTGAGCCCCTCGCCGAGACTGTCAACCTGCAAGAAATGATGCTGGACAAAAGCCGGCAGGCGTTGTTTACTGCTCTGCAGGGTGTTCGAGGCGGACACAGGTATGTTCCGCGCATAACACCAGAAGTGATGCTGATATCTCTGAAGCAATTCCATGTCGCATGCTCTCTTGACACCTGCCAGTCCCTATCCTCGTGTACTCATTGTCCATGGGCACCTGTTTGACGCTATGGGCATCACCGTTCGCCACCCCCCATCTCCGCCATTCAACAAACCCAGGACTGTCCTTGAGCTCTTGCCCGAGGAGGCCCTCTATCTTCTCGAACGAGGCACCTTGCAAATTTGGCTTGGGAATGAACCCGAGACTGAAGAGGAAGTGGAGGAAGGAGTCGGAGAATGGTGCGAAGAAGAGTACGGAATCAAGGGAGCGGTGGAAATGAGTGTGATGGAAGGCTTTGGGGCATTCATCGGCCGAGAAGGGTTGACTCTGGAGAGGTATCAGGCGTATGCCTACCTCAAGCGACTCGGATACAACGTCCAGCGCTCGAGGAGGTTCATACCAGAATATTTCCTTGCCAGTACAGGGGTCAAGCTCGACGAGCAAGATTCAAGACTGCCGCCGTTCCACACTTGGTGGTTGAATATTCCAAAATGGTTTGTGGGTTTGATACACGCTCTGGGTAGGGGTCTGCGGAGAGTCGCTGGTAGCGTGGCTAGCGTTGGGCTGGGTTTGGGATTATCGAGTAGACCCTTCAAAGGTACCTTGCTGGAAAGCTGGAAGGGAACTACATATCGTAAGCCGCACCTCTACTCTTCTTCTGATCTGACCTTTTTGTAGCTTCCATCTTCCAACACCTCCGCTTCATCCCTGCCGGCCACTCGCAGCCTTTACCTCCCCGCCCCCTCCCTCCCGTCGAAACATCCATCTATTCTCCACTGGAAGTCAACCCCTATATTCCGTTTTGGCATATCTGGAAGCCGATGACACCTTGGTCAAAGAAGAGCTGGGAGAAGGGAAGCGATGAGGGCTTGAAAGCGCAGAGGCCCGACTACTTTGCTGCTGTCATAAGGTATGCCCCCCAAGATCATATTTGGATGAAGTCACTGACAGCCGCAAAGGTCGCGAGACACGCCATTGCCAACCATCCATCAGCTGGAACAGATCTTTGAATCTCTGCCTGACGAGCCGAAAGGTCCAGTCAAGAGAACTGGTCCGCAATATCAACGCCTGCCTCGTCCACAGTTCAACAAGCAGCCTGGGCAAGAACCCAAGCTGGTTTCACGCTGGCAGAGTCTTTTCCAGAGACTGGGCTTGGCTCAACCAAAGACAGACACCAAGCCTCCCTTCATCAACATTGGAGCGCTGAGAAACGGTGATAGGGGCTTCATCGTAGGCGTGAATGATTCAGGGAATAATGCGTGGATTAGATTTGGGCGTACAGGGTTCGAAGAAATGCCTGCCATCTAGAGCAGTGTGTATGAAGATGCTATAGTGGTATTACATGTAACATTACAAATGAAAGCCAAGATCAAGAAAAGATACTCTATCACCATCCGCTCTCCTTCTCGAAACGATCCAATTGAGAGACCGAGGCTGCAACTTCCTTCTGCCGGGCGGTACGGCGGTAGAAGATGGGACAGTCGGCTGAAGTGCAGATAACGTCCTGGACTCTGGTCAGTGTCTGCAAATACCGGATGTAAATCATGCTCACCTGATGCAAAGATCCTTGGCATCTTTGACATTGGGTCCAAAGACGAGCAAAATCGATTTGCAAAGCAGACGTCTGACCGACTTGCTTTTGGTAGAGCTCTGCAAGTTTTGGTCGACAATTGACGCACACGGCACCCTCTGCGATGATAGTCAGTACTGCCCGCAGGATGACCTGCGAAATCGCTCACCATTCTTGCCCTTCAGAGGGGTCTTGCACCCCAAACATGTCACCGTCTTGACCGTAAACTTCATGAGACCACCAATTGTCGGGGTAGCAATTTGGATCGTTCTAGTGTGATCACCGGCGACTACATAGATGTTAGCTGACACACGAGCTTGATTTGTTTCGCGACTTACGCAAACTGTTGGCTTTCTCTCCCAGAATAGGCTCGAAGATTCTCATCAATGGCTTTGAAAGCTGGTTTTCCAAGTAGTATCTCGTGTCGATAGGAACATTATGTTCCAGAACATAGAGAGGATCTTCAGACTTTTCGTACGCCGCCGCTCCCTTGGTACCCTTCACAATGACATAGGCCACACGGTCACCCAATGCAGGCGCAGAACCGGCGTCACGCTTTCGCATTCGCTCGACGAGCTCGACGTGGGCTTGCTTAGCGGCATAATCGGCTTTGGCGAGGGCTTTGGTGATGACCAGTTGGGACATATCGATCTTGTTTTGCAGCAAGTCGGCGATGGTGTCTTTGACATAGCTGGTGATCATGTCAGCAATAAAGATATGTAGACTTGTGAGGACTCACTCTTCGGCACCCTTGACGTCTCGATCGATAAGCATCTTGAATAGACATGTCTCAATCACAGTGGAGACTAAACGACAATTGTCTCGTCGAACAGTCTGCAAAAGTGAGCAAAGACATATGTTTGTACACAAGATCTACTCACCTCGATACCCTTCGTGTCCATTTTGTCATACTTTTCAGGTTTTGTCCAATACAGACCGGCATAACGCTTCTTGCTGATCAAAAGATATGGGAAGTAGACTTTCTCAAATTCGAGCTTGATGGGCTTTGTGAATTTGGTAGACACCAAGTCGGCAGCCTCGGCGCCTGAGAAAATGTAAGCGGTGGACCAGTCCTAGTGTAAACGACATACCGAGCCTCATCGCAGTGACCAGATCTGGACAACCGAATCGCACCATGACAGAATCTGTATCTCCATAGATGACCTTCGCATCGTGATCATACCCATTCTTCACACAGTACTCAGACTCCACCTCCTGTTTCGTAAACTCAATCATTTGACGACCGTAGGCTGTGACACTAGACGAAATGGCGAGACAGGGAAGTTTTCCGACGGTGGCACCTGTGAAACCGTAGACAGAGTTGGCACTGACTTTCAAGGCCAATTGACGGCCATCCAGTACAGCTCGCTTGAAAGGGTCTTTCTCGACCTTGAGATCTTGCTTGGCTCTCTTACGGGCACCAAGAAGGTTTTCAAGAATGGTGGGAAGGAGACCCTTTCGGCGGTTGGTTGTGGCAAAGTAATCTGTACAATGTTAGTAATCGTTCAATCATGGGAGGGTCTGCTCACCATTGTTGGGGGTATGAACATAGTCCTCGCCTTCGACAAGCTTTAATCTGTCAATCGTAGCCTTGTCAAGCAAAGTCGTATAACACAAGTTGTGAGCCATCATGATGGAAGGATACAGGGAGGCGAAATCCAACGTCGCAATAGGCACATCATAATAACCCTTGCTGGGTTCAATAACGGTAGCACCTTCGTACTGCTCGTCTGATCCTTCGCTCCTCATTGCGGGAATGACGTATCCAGCATCGGCAGCATTTCGATACAGCTGAGAGATGACTTTAATTTGTTGACCTCGTGCCAAGAGATAATTGAAGGGGACACCTGTGACTCGTGCCATTTCGGTATAGTTGACGAAACACATCAACTTATCTAGCAGTCGCTGTGGAAGGTACGCATCCTGTTCATTGTTCAGCCATGACCAGCCACTTCTGACAAATGACTCACCTTTAGACAGTAGACGGCAAGACGTCTTCTAGAATCCGCGGTACCGTTCTGCAACTCGGTAATGATAGAGTGATGTACGTCTTCCTTTTGCTCTCCCAAAAACTGGGCACAGACTGCGTTGAGCGTATAACTTCGCAGCTTGTAGTCTCTCTGCATGACTTGAAGCATATCAAGTTGCAGACGGCCTTCCATGTTGACGGCCTTGGAATCCCTTTGACCGTATGCTTTTGAGTTGAAGTGGGTCGACTTGACCTCTGTTCTCACACCTAAAGAACTATGAGCAATTGCCACAAGGAAATCAACGGATGTGCTTACCCTTCATTCGACCCAAGAAAGCAAAATCTCCCACTCTCAGAGCCTTCGCTCTATCAAGCAAATACGGCAAATCGAAATTGGAGATGTTGTATCCAATGATCATGTCGGGGTCAACAGCCTCGACAAATTTGCGCCATTCCAGTAACAGCTGTCTTTCGTCCTTGAACTCCAAAACGTGCGAGCCGACGATATGGGCACACGTGTTGAGGGTGAAGACGTTACGGACAAAGGGTTTAGATTCGCCTGAGGTTGGGATAAGCTTGGACACGCAATGGGATATCAAGATTACACACCATGCCTGGTGACCATGGCAGCAACTTGGATCACAGGGTCGATCTGAGCTTCCGGGAAGATACCCTTACGACCAGCACATTCGATATCAAAACTCAAGATACGGAGAGGGGCAATGGTGAGCCATTCGCCTTCAGGTGCGTGTGATATCAGGTCTTTGTAGCTATACGGTTGTCAGTCGAGTCCCAGTATGAGAATAACTGCACGTACTTGCAAGATACTTCGATTTGACATTGCGACTTCTTGGCTCCTTCACTCAAAACGTCGTACCGTCCGCCGGCAATGCTGACCCAATTCATCCCCACAATCTATGAGAAATCAATGTCAGCTACAAGCATGACGCTCAAGTTTGGGGCCCACCTTTGTATCAATCATGAATCGCATGGTATACGCGATGTTGCTCTCATAAGTCAACACTTCTGTATCAAACAATCCGTTGAAGTCGACCTGACCACGCTCGAAGGCCCGTACGCAAGAGTTAGTTTGCGGACGTATATGTGACAGAGATACTCATCTTTCACTTTGGGAAGACTCTTAGGGTCGTTCAAGGTGATCTTGATGAAGGGTACAGTCTCGTCGCCACGGTAGGCCCACAGCGAGCGTCGATTGAAGATGGCGCAATTTGTGACACAAGGACCGAAGTTTCCTATGGAAGACTGACATTGTTTAGTGTACTCCGAAGAGCTCCAGATGGCATACACACATTGAGCTTGTCCTGCAAAGGCTGAAGGTCCTTGTTGAGGAACCCGCTTGGTGCCGGGACATAAAAGTACGGCCTGAAGCCATGCACATTGGCGAGAACCGAATTGCCAGATTTGTTGACACCGAACAGCCTGAGGATGGGGCCATGAGTGCTATCTGTAGCTTCCTCAATTTCGATCTGTTGAAAGGCTATACATCCTGTTAGCGGTGGCAAAGTTGACGTGTTTGTGACTTTGACTGACTAATCGCGTCCTTCTTGCTGTCGTATGCAGGTACTGGAGGCCTTGGCCAAGCTGCCGAGGATTCTATACTCTCTGCGCAATCGTCAGCGCTGCCTCATGTCATCTCGACGCGTCGGACGCACCTGCAGACGCGCCGTCTTCGGCCTCGAGCTGCTCGAGCACATCGGTGAAACTGGGCTGGACGGCGAGCTGCTTCTTGTTGGGGGGTGGCTCGAGCTTCCTCTTCTTCTGTATAGGCTCCTGGATCGCCATGGCGGGTTATGTGGGTCCAAGATGTTGAGTGATAAACCCGAAAGTAACTGAAATGCAGCAAGAACGCGTTCAAATCACGGTCAGAATAAATCACAGACAACAGCACGCGTCTTGCATGCCTATTTAAGTGTGTCGTTCCTGATGTAACATAGGCGTGCACCGGCTATTACAACCGGAAATCCAGTACAAGATGAGATGCAGTCTTTGAAGCTGTTGACTGCAATAATACAATAATACATAGAGAGTAGATCATAATGGTCATACAAGCTGCCTATAGACGCACACTCAACGCCGCCCGTCCTGCCTTCCTCAGGCGAGCATACGCGTCGGTCACTTCGGGACGTAAGTTGCTCGCCGGCCGCCTCCAGTCTAGTGCTCTTGCTCACGTCGAGACAGCTGTCAGCTTTGCTCCGAGCGACGAACAGCGAGGTATTCAAGGTGGGCTCCTTCTCGTTCATATGTGTATCTGCTGAAGGCATGTAGACCTTGCGACACAGTTCACCAAGGACGTTATCGTTCCTCAAGCTGCTGAATACGACCGCTCTATGGTAAGTGGACGTAGGTCAATCGGTACATCTTTGGCTGACGCTTCTTAACCTTTCTGTCATGCAGGCTTATCCTTGGCCCATCATCAAAGAAGCTCACTCCCTGGGTCTCCTCAACACACACATTCCCGAAGCAGTACGTATCTCAACCCGTGGCCGACTCTCACTAATCATTGCGACAGTATGGCGGACCAGAACTCGGGCTTATGGAATGTGCAATCATCTCAGAGTCCCTCGCTTACGGCTGCTCTGGTATGCAAACTGCTATCGAAGGTGACCTCCTTGGTTCTCAACTTGACTTCCAGCTGATCATAGATGATTATCACAGCCAACGGCCTCGCGGAAGCGCCATTAATCGTCGCCGCTTCTCACGAACAAAAACTCAAATACCTGGGCAGGATGACCGAGGAGCCATTGGTCGCTGCATATGGTGTGACCGAGCCAGCAGCTGGGTCTGACGTGGCTGGTATCAAGACCAAGGCCGAGAAGAAGGGCGACAAGTGGATTTTGAATGGGAGCAAGATGTGGTGCGTAGCTCTCTTCCTCTGCTAGGTCCTTGCTGACATGTTTAGTAGGATGTGAGTTTATCTGGTGCTCTATAGCGATCCTTGACTGATGATATCAAGTACGAATGCTGGCCACGCCAACTGGTTTGTAAGTCATCAACCACGTTGAACCTGACTTTCGCTGATACCCTCCCAGTTCGTTCTCGCTATCACTGACCCCACCGTCGCGCCTACCAAAGGCATGACCGGTTTTATCGTTGACGGCGATTCGGTAGGTATTGAACTCGGCAAGAAGGAGATCAACATGGGTAGGCCATTCGCTCGCTTCTCTCTGTATCATACTGACCTCAGATCAAGGCCAGCGCTGTTCCGACACTCGAATGGTTACTTTCCAGGATGTCGAGGTGCCAGAAGAGAATGTGTTGGGCAAGCCCGGAGAAGGATTCAAAGGTACATCTTGTACTCATAATTCGGACATGCCTGACCCTCTGCCAGTTGCCATGAAAGCGTTCGATATCACCCGACCGCTCGTCTCCGCCGCTGCCGTCGGTCTCGCCCAACGTGCCCTTGAAGAGGCTACCAAATACGCACAAGAGCGAAAAGTAAGCCCTCTTTTTCTCTGATCATCACTTCCCCCTCTAACACCATACCAGACTATGGGACAAGCCATCATCAACCACCAAGGTGTTGCATTCATGCTCGCTGATATGTCTATCGGTGTGGAAGCTGCCCGGGCTCTGGTATGGAAAGCTGCCTGGGCAAAGGATGCCGGCCAGCGGAACAGTATGATTTACATACGATTCTGGATGATTATAGCTGACAAAATATCTCAGCTTTCTACGCGTCCATGGCCAAGGCTTTTGCAGGCCAGACAGCTGTTCAGAATGCCAACCTTGGCGTCCAGGGTGAGAATTGATAGCCAGAGTTACCCAGTGTGGCATACTGATTGTGATTTGCAGTCTTTGGCGGCGCAGGTTTCAATACAGAGATGCCTATGGAAAAGCTGTACCGGTACGTGAATTTGCCGATTTCTATGATCTGATGCTGACCTCTCTGCTAGCGACGCCAAGATTTACGAGCTTTGTGAGTGTTCTCCAGTGCGCCTTTGCTTGCGTCGATACTAACCATGTGTGGCTCTTTCTTTACTCAACATTTACAGACGAAGGTACGAACATCTCCAGCACAGCACAAGCGCAGTGAACTGACTTTGACTCGTAGGAACTTCTCAGATTCAAAAGTTGATCATCTCCAAAAATCTCAGCTCTTTATATCCCGCCTAGATACGCCAGATCCAAATCTCTCGCCACTTTTGTTCTCTGTTGTATTGTACATCCTCAATCAAACGCATGGAAATTTTGTATATGGATTGGGTGGAATAGTGAGTAGCTGGACGTGCTCGCCCTATCTTGTGGGAGGGTGGAGGGGGAGCGGCACAACATTCACTAGCCTCAAAAGCTCAACGACCGGCACAAGCTCGCATCTAAGCGACGAGAACGCTTCGTCTATTTTTCACATCACCATGTGTAGTACGTCAGTCCGGGCCACGTCTGGACGACAAGATTAATTCAACTTCGTCATCACTTCAGGTACATTGAATTGAAGATTTGAATCAGCGTTGTTACCGATAAGCCATGATGAGACCTTGCGCCTACGCTATGGTCACCCAATCTCACCACATCATTTGGGCCCATGACCCTTAATTGACTGACAGTCAAGCATGTGATATAGATTATTATCCAAGACAGATGGCTGAACTGTATCACCAGTCCCTATGAAGAGGCAGAGTAAGACCGAAAGATGGCGTAGCATGGGACCATGTGCTACCTGCCAAGAAAGAGCACCCGCCGTCATTCAACCCGTCCGAATAACACTGAGCCTCGATCCACTGTAAGGATCCAGTGGTCAGGTCCCGGGGCGCGAGTTAACAAGTCCAAATACCAACATATGCATTACAATTCCGGAGTTGGAATTGTGATGCAGTGGCTTTATGAACCGAAGTGACGTGTGGGCATGTGCGCATCAGAGGGAATGGTGCTTCTTTCCGGGAAATGCGCTGACATCGTGACATGCAGCTCTGTCATAAGATTTGAACCTGGTGGCCTCCGTTGACCTCCAATACCAAATATCAAAAGGCAGTCATCGCGCCCTCACATGTAGCCTGATCGTGTATCAGAGGTAGACGCGTACGGCCCGCGCTCAGCTGCCCCCTTCTGTCGAGCTGACGGACGATACATATGGATCGTCGTCCCCTGATCAGGCATGGATGGGGGAGGGCGGAAAGGAGGATTATGGATTTCTTGGATGAACAAGAGGGGAAAGACAAGAGAGGAATCGGGCAGAGACAAACGACTGATCTGCTTCCGCGGTGTTCAAGGCCATCTCTCCCCAAGTTGAGTGATTTCTCTTCCTTCTTTTGCCGTGCCTCAGACCACATGGTCGGTCCATCAAATGCAATCAGGCAGTCATCTTGGACATGCGACGGAAGCATGTATTTCGCACCATTCTTGATCAACGCAAAGACATCATATCGCCCTGGTTGCCCTTGGGGGACAGCGCGGCGCCGTTGTAGGCCCTTGACCATTTGACAGCGACAACGAAGTGGCGCATATGGTGTGACATACCTGCATAGGCCTGACCGAGGAGGAATCGATCTTCAAAATGGTTACTCGCCAGCATGCACGGGGCCACGAAGCTTGAGCTGTGGTCCCCACAGTGGCGCGGAGCCCTCAATCGGATGGCCGATAGAGCCTAGAGGGGACGGGCAGACCGGGAAAGCAACATCCTTACTTTCCGTATGTATGAGGTCGACAGAAACGATTTCAGTGGCAATTCTTTGGATTATTCTTTCACCATCCGAGTCCATTTCATGTTGTCTAGTGAGCGTGGCATGTTGTCTGTAGGTGTTTCTGAGAAGTCAGCGGAGATCACCATTTTCATCGGAGTAGGTCAAGTTGGAGAACCGCCCGCTTGGGCGCCTGTAAGGCGTTTACTCATCGGCCATATGCTAGTGTGAGCAGGACCCTCAGCTGCAAGGGCATGTAGCTGTACGCAATGATGCGACCACCGAGGATCTTGACGTTGCTGTTGCTGTAGGTTGACAAGGGCTTCCTAATGCAATGCTTTTATTTGCTGATTCGATGCTTTAGAAACACATTCGTCTCCCTCTTCCTTCCTTCTTCATCACCTGGAACTCCCAGCGCCTCAGCCGACTAGCTCCCCTCTCCTCCCAGGGCATCGTGTCTTTCAGCACCGCCCATGTTTTCCCCATCAAGGCAATGCAAGACCAGCATACAGCCGACCAGGAGAAGAACAAGAAAGACAAAGCGGCCCGGTACTATGTGGGTCGTGATGACAGCGTCAAGGTCCGACGACCCAATGGTCAAAAGGCTATGGAAGAACAGTTAAGGAAGTCTTATGGGGACCAGGATGAAGAGGGGAAGAAGGGGCTCCCTGGATTTAGGCAGTTCTGCAACGCCATGGGTGTCAACGACGTCGGATCCCTTCAGGCCACCACCCTTTTCCTCCAACAATAAAAGACCACGACCAGCAGATCATGACGACTTTCTATTCACGGGGCACAAGCCGGTAGAATCCATGTGCCCCGTCATACGGATGTCGCGTTTGTGGCTCCAGCAGCGAAGAGGGCGCTAGATGGATGCAGGGGCCCTCTCACCTTGCCTTCGCGACCCTTTCCACCCCGAGGCAGTCTCGTACCTCCTAAATATCTCCTCGGATTTGCCTGTCTTTCCCAGAGTATCACCAGGGTACATTGACCAGCCCAACAACCATCATCTCTATTTGCCCCCTCGTGACGACTCCACCAGTCGGCCGCAAGTCAACGTCTTTGCCGATGATAGCCAGTGCAGACTAAGAAGCTATGGCCCTCCCTCCTATGTACCGAGTGAAAAGGGCATGGTACCTCTTACCACACCCTACCATTCTTCATTGGCCAAAGTACCTCTATCGCGCGAGAGATTGTTTCCTGCATCCTCGCTCTATTCTACTCCTTCACCTTCCGATCCGCCGATTCACATCACCCCTCCCTCTCCAGTAGACCCTCCTCCATCCCCGGTGTATAAGCCGCCCTCACCAGTCTACGAATCCCTCTCGCAGCCCCCTATATCGATATCTGCTTCATCGCTCATTCCCATGCCGATACGTCGATCAGTATCTCCTCGACTCAATCATCACACCAGTGATGGTAGACCTTCCTTCCTTCGCGAACTTCCGTACAGGCCTCTGTCGTTCCGCAGAGAATACAGGAGTTATCCTTCCACCGATTGGCCTCATGTTTCCTCTCTCCTATCACGTTCTGGTGAGCGCCCAAGACTGCCACATGGCGTCTATCCCACAGCGATAGATGGAAGGAGGGGCAACATTCGAGTGTATCTTCCTCGATCTTCCTCTGCCGATACCATTGATCGATACCAAACAACGGACGAAAGTTATGACCGCCTCCCCTTACGCTCCATATCCGGCCCTTCCCTCCGGCCGAATGGGGTAGATTCTGGCATCTGAGTACGCTCGGCTCTAGCTCTCGCTCGCATGAGGAGATGAGGGCGTCTAAGGCGTGGCAGTCTGGCAAGGGTCGAGGACACTAGCAAAGAGGGGCAGCAGGCTGGTGCGAGGAGCGGGAGAGTAATTGAAAATAGGCACAAGTGGATGACCTTTTCGCGTGAGGAAGGATGGTTATAGAAGAGCCATGGTCGGGGAGGGGAGGAAACGAAGAACTAGCAGAATTGGGGTCTTGTTGTCAGATATCATAAAAATAATCAGCCAGGAGAGATGTCATGCTAATAGAGTAATGTGTATGATCATGGAGGCAAACACCATCGCCTCTCGCGATGACAACCGCAACTACAAGTAAGTTGAACGATCACTGACGTGCGGCACTGGTAGCAAAGCAACAGTTTGTAGTGTGATGCGACGTAATTTTGTGTCTGGGACTGTATCGTGGAGTACATTGTCCGTTTTCGTAGATAGTTAGACATACCGACGGAGTGATCCCCTTGGAGCGAAAGGATACAGATTCTTCGACGCAAATCAATGCTTTCACAACAAAGGATGAGGAGTCGGCGATTGTCGCTGACGTTATTCCTGATGATGAAACATGTAAGAAATACTCTTTTTCTGTCCGGGAGGCTACTTCTTAGGATTGCAGGTCCTTTCTGGACATCACCATTGGAGTTCCTTTCTTGTCAAACGCAGTCCAGATCTCATTTACTCGTGCCCACATCCGCCCATCTGTACACAGTCGTCTCTGTCTTGTTCTGTTTCTCTCTTCCGCAGGCATCACCCCGGCACCAACGCCCATCCTCACACTCTTTTACAAACGACAGGAAATCACGGCCAAGTCATGATGCTCCTCTCAATCAAGAAGCTGGTCTTCATACTCCCTCTCCTTCCCTCAATCAGTGCGGAGACACCTGCCTCGACTTTCGTCCCCGATGACGCCACCTCCGTTGTCTCCAGCGCATCTAGTGCGAGCTCCACTAGCGAAAGTGTAGCAATCACCTCTGCAGGGTCCATCTCTGAAAGCTCTTCCACCTTGGAGGATACAAGTACTGCTATTGAAGCAACGCCCACTTCATCTTTGTACACGGCGGAGACCATTTCCTCGTCCGAGGAGGCCGTTCCGTCTACTATTAGCGACACTGTCGAGGAAAGTATCACCTCCTCTGCCTACGTCCCATCGTCCTCTATCACACCTACATCCTCTACCGAAGAAGGGTCCATCCCTACTGACGAGTCGTCTATTTTCTCCTCATCGGCAGAAGCTACCACTACCGACGAGTCGTTTATTCACTCCTCATCGGCAGAAGCTACCACTACCAGCGAAATCGAAGAAGATTGCCCTGAAGAATCAGAGACCGCCAGCACAACCGAAAGCTCTGCTCCGACTTCGGCAGCGTCCAGCATCGAAGAAGACTGCCCCGAAGAGACTGATGCATCGCCGGATACAACTGCTGCCGCTACGTCCACCACCCCCGAGCAACCGTCTCTTACCAGCTCGGCCACCGCTGAGACAAGTAGCGATGCTGGACAATGTCAGTGTCCTTGCGCGTGTACTGCTTCGGGAGCTCAGAGCAGCAGTGCTATCGGAGGAAACTTGGGTGCTGTCCCACTGTCTTCCACTAGCGGTTCCGATGCTGCGCAGGCTTCTGGCGACTCGGCATCAGTTGTGAGCTCGAGTGAGGCTGTACCCACTACTATAACTGGGTCAGCATCAGACTCTTCTGCATCTGCAACTCAAACCGCAGATAGTAGTGGCCAAGAAGGCGACGCCTCCGACTCGTCAGCCTCTGTAACAGACTTTGCAGCAAGCAGTACGGCGGCAGGCGAATCTGGAGCTGCCGACAGTTCAAGTAGCGTTACAAGTGGTGCCGGAGAGGCGTCGTCGACATCATTGGCAAGCGGAGCGGGAGAGACTGGTGAAGCGGCAATGGCGACTTCATCTAGCGAGCTTCCTGTCAGTTCTGGAAGTACAGCCGCCAGTGAAACGGCAAGCAGTGGCAGCGCCAATGCAACAACGACCACCGGCAATGCAACGACCACCGCCGATGCTTCGACACCGACCAATCCCGGCAAGTATGGGACCCTGACTTTTTATATGAAAGGCAATGTGATGATCTTCGTAAGTACATCCGACAGGCCCAGTGACTCGCTACCGGATGGCTGCTGATGATGCAATCAAGACGGAGGGTGGCATGGCTATCAGCCCCGATGAAGGCGAAGATTCTTCCGATTACTCGATCCGTTTGACCGACAATCAGACTTATTCAAGCAATTGGAGCTTTACTTCGTGGACGACAACGAGCGATGGAAAGTATGGTCTTGATGTTGAAGGAAGCTCTGTGAATCGAAACATCACTGTACGTTCCGTTTCCTATATGTGAAAGTGCTGTACTCATTGGGCTTGGACAGTGTCTGGCCACCTTCAATACTGGTGACCAAACCAATCTGGCAAGCGTCACCATTCAAGATTCTGACCCGTGGGTGACCGAAGATGACACGGGTCACACACTTGCTTTGTATTGTGATGGCGATTACCAGGATAACGACCCTGACGATCAAGAGAAGAAGAAGAAGAAGAGGAGAAGGAGCATTGGTAGTGTTAGTCATCTCGGACACCACAGCAGGAGGAGGGATATATGGTGATCCTTATGGTGACAGGTAGTAGAAGACCGATGATACCCCTATACTTAAGCTCGCCCAAGGGGCCATTACAGACCCGATGTATATATTGCCCATACAGCACAAGTTTGTGGTTGAATATCCAGATCTGATATTTTTCTCTATTTGATGCACTACAGTCATGTACACCCCCCACAATCACCAGCCCCACGGCTTATCTACTCTTCTACATTTTGCTCTTATTTCTTGGCAAGGAGAGATCGACCGCTCATCTCTGAAATCTCATTGTCAGCAAACGACTCCATCAGAGAGGCAAGACAACGAACCTTCAGGCTGGGGCAGACCGAGGATGTCGAGGACGGTAGGGGCGACATCGGCAAGCGCTCCGGGCTCGCCAGCAACCTCGAGAGCACCCTTGTCACCAGTGACAATGAAAGGAACGGGGTCTATATCACATCAGTATAGGCTGAGATTATCTGATCCGACTTACTAGTGGTGTGGGCGGTGTGGGGGTTACCAGTGTTGGGGTCAAGCATTTGCTCGGCGTTACCGTGGTCGGCAGTGATACAAAGCACATAGCCAGCCTCTTCACAAGCGTCGTAGACCGTCTTGACAGCCTTGTCGGTGGCAGTGATAGCCTTGACGGCAGCTTCGTAGTCACCAGTGTGGCCAACCATGTCGGGGGGAGCAAAGTTGCACATGACGAATTCAAACTTGTCAGACTTGACAATCTCGGCAACCTTGTCGGCGACACCCTGGGCAGACATCTCGGGCTGTTTGTCGTAGGTGGCAACCTTGGGAGAGGGGATCATCTCTCGCTCCTCGTTCTCAAATTGCTTCTCGACACCACCGTTGAAGAAAAAGGTGACGTGGGCGTACTTTTCAGTCTCGGCAATGTGGCATTGCTTAACACCCTGCTTGCCGAGCCATTCAGCGAGAACGTTGGTCATGCCCTGAGGGGGGAAGGCAATGTGGAAGGGGAATTCGGCATTGTAACGAGACATTGTGGTGATGTGGAGGTCCTCGGGGACGGTGACGTCCATGGGCTTGTCGGGGAGACCAAGAACGGAAGCGAGTTCACGCATACGGTCAGATCGGTAGTTGAAGGTAAAGATGGTATCGCCCTCTGCAAACTTGTCAGTATCTTGCATAGCGACAGGGCGCTGTACTCACTCTGGATACGAGAGTCCTCGGAACCGGAAATAATGGGCTTGATGAATTCGTCGGTCACATCCTTCTTGTAACCTTCCTCGATGGTCTCTACAAGCTTGTCCTGGGTGGTCTTGTCGCCCTCGCCCTTGATCAAACCGTCCACGGCAATCTTGACTCGGTCCCACCTCTTGTCTCGGTCCATGGCATAGTACCTGCCGACGACAGTAGAGATCTCTCCAATACCAATCTCCTTGATGTAGTCGAGAAGCTGCTGGGCGTACTTGCTAGCAGACCTAGGGGCAGTGTCTCGGCCATCACCGAAGAAGTGAATGTAGACGTGGGGGACCTCGGCGGCCTTGGCGGCTCGGAGGAGGGCAAAGAGGTGCTGGATGTGGGAATGGACACCACCGTCAGAGACGAGACCGAGAAGGTGGAGACGGCCGTTGTTCTCCTTCGCGTGCTTGAGGGACTGGACGATGGCGGGCTGCTTGGCAAACTCATCCTTCTTGATCGCTACATGGAAGTATCAGCATGCAATCGGCCGAATTCGCAGAGTAAGAAGATTGGTTGGCCGCCTTCCGGCTCATCCCGAAGCACGTTCTTCGAGCTTCGCCGCCCGATCCCCTTTGACAAAGATAAAGACTCACATTGGTCAATCTTGACAATGTCCTGCCAGACAATCCTACCGGCACCAATGTTCAAGTGCCCGACCTCACTGTTACCCATCAAACCCTCCTTGAGGCCGACGGCGAGACCATGAGCCTCGAGGGGGACAAAGTTGTGCTTGTCTCGGATGTGGTCCATGTTGGTAGTGTCACCGTGGTGGATGGCATTGCCCTTTTCGTTGTCGGAGAGACCCCATCCATCGTGAACGCTGCGGAGAAAGATTAGTCGGGATTACTTTTGAGGGTCGTCTCCGCCGCCACTTCACCTCACCCTCTACCTCTTCCACGCTCTTCAGGCCAAAGCATGACTCACATCAAACAGACCTTCTCTTTTGTACTTATCAGCTGAATACACTTGACGACCAGGAGGAGACTACGCACTCTTGACCTGGACGGTCTTCTGCTTCTTGTTGACATCGTTGGGGTCGGGGGAGGTAGCGGGGCGTGTGGCGGCCATTTTGTTCAAAAGATGAAGATGGAGATAAAGATGGAAGACGGAGATAGAAATGCGGCGGACCCCATCCGAAGTTGGCGGGAATGGTCGGAGCGGTGTGGGGAAGTGCCACGTCACCATTAACACCGCCGCCGATGGCACTGTTGGTAACGAGTATAACACGAGGGGCCCGGACAGCTTCTGAAGTGACATGGGAACCGAGAGACCAAATTGGGACCCCATACATCATGAATATCGACGGTTGCCTCTGATCATTACAGGCGTTGCGATCATCGTCATAGTCGTTGAATATACATAAGGTCATTCTGTTTCACAGCCTCGAAAAGTAGACTACCACCACACGCGTCGCTCAAAGGTAAAGGAATTCCCTAACCAGCTGCATTTCCTGCTTCGTCTCCTGCTCCCATGCATCTTTCTCAAGCATATCGATAGTCACGCTATATCCAAAGTCGATGAGGAAAATGGAGGGTGTCGGCAGTGAGGTCGAGTCCCTTGGCGATGGGACACCAGCGGCTCTGATCCAATGTCTAGGCGAGACATCACCGTGGAGCACACCGGCGTTATGCAGCCGTGTATACTGTGCCACTATGACCATTCTGAAAGAGATCAGCCGGGTCCAAATGATCACCGCGACATGTTGTGGAAATCTTCAGCACTCACTTTTCTTCTACACTCCAGTCAGAACTCCCCGTTATATTCCCATTCGCTGCAGTCAGACTCCGCGTTATAGTCCGATTCGTTGCAGTCAGACTCCGCATTATAGTCCGATTCGTTGCAGGTCAGCATGCAGCCTGGATTGCTCATCACGGAGATGTACAGGTCAATCGTGCCGCCGTCGGGGTGGGGTTGGCTGCCTTTCCACATCACCCACAGTCTAGGGACTACTGTGCCCTGTAGATCGAGGAGCTTCGTGTTGTAAACCATCAACTCCCTCTCTATCGAATGCAGTGCATCTGCACGGGTTGTACAGGCATACACTGGTTCATCAGAGTCATCCGGAAAGGCTTCCGGCGCAGAGACTTTGACGACGCATGTCTGGAGTGGAGACGAAGGGTAGTAAACGTCCCACACAGCCCCAGAGTCCAACGGCTCCTCCAAGGTTATTGTCGTGGTCGAGCAAATGTCCGTATGAGACGCAAGCGAGTATCCGTGAACGTCATGCGAAAGGCCGTCGCTGACGACAAAGCCGGATGTGGGAGGATCGTGCTCGATAACATCGGAGAGAATCGTGTCGTCGGAGGGATACTTGTTAGACTGAGAATGACGGAGATATCCGGCTTCATCGTGTCGATCTAGCCTTAGAAAGGGAAGACTGGGGCTCGGCATCAAGTGAAGGAAACGGCACTCCCCGACGACGGCTTGCGACAGTTGTATGCGATCAAAGTCGAGAACGAGGCTGACCCCTGCCGGATGAGAACCCAGACCCCTTAGAACGTTATCTTCGACGGAAGGAGCACGTGCGTCCTTCCTCTATACGTTACATCAGTATCTGTGCTTGCAATAACCGATATATAGGGAGACAAACTTACTCCTAAGCCCTCAAGTTGGAAAGGATGTGAGACGGGAATGTCGTTTGGAGATGGTTGTTCCTAAGGTGATGTCAGTCAAAACTTACAGAAAGAATAGAGAAGACTCACTGGACTGGAATCAGTGCCGGTCGACGAGTGAGTGAGCGGTGGGGTGACCTGTACTATCGTCAACGCACGGCTGAGGTATCAGCTTCACCTGAAACGCACCATATTCCGCGCAGGTGATTGTTGCGACCCGTAACTATAGCCAGCACTGGCAGTTGAGCGGGTCCCATCTTGATGGGCGTTCCGTTTGAAAAATCCGCCGATTCGGTTGCCGAGGCGACTGAGAAGCCCGGCCTCTGATCGAGGGGTAGGATGCTGCGACGATCGAACCTTGACAGGACCGCTTGTGCCCCTCGGACGGCGTTTTCGTGGAACCCCTTGTTTGGCGGCTGTTCTTGGCTTAAACACGGCGGGTGAAACAATTTCTCCTGGGTCTCGGAGGAAGTGATAGCATAGAAGTAATCCCAACGGAGAGGACCAAGGGGAGTCTTCCGTTGGTTGATCCTCTCTGTAGAGTACATCCGAGACCTGTAGGATGGGATTGTCGCGCGTTCCGGCTACGTGAAGGGCAATCCACGCATCATAATTTGTAATGACGCCGTCATTGCGATGGTTCTTGACGAGATAGCACAGAACCTGGAGCGAAATGTCAACACGAAGCGCAGGTGTCCCTAGATCCACGTACCTGGCTGAGGATAGCGCAATCCTGCATATGGTAATCTTCGTTGTTCCACCCAATGGGCAAGTGCTCTTCCGGCATACGGTCCCAATCTATCGTCACGATCAGGTTACCGTTGATGTCATGCCCTACCGACACCAAACCGTGACGGACTGCTTCAACAAGCATCTCCATCTCTTCCACCGACAGCTCTGGGCTGGTCTTTACCTCGATGCCAACGATCGTTGTGTTCGGAGTCAGGTTGGTTTGTAGGATGATGTCGGTGCGAATGGCTCCGAGGGGTTGGATATCCCACAAACGCGAGCGCAATTGAGGTTCGGACGACCTCTCTGCCAGTGACTCGCATATTTTGGCCGGGAAATTGTCAATCAATCTCTGCAGGCCGATCTCACTCCGTAGATTGTGGTGATGGCGCTCTGCGCCAAAGATACGGATAAGAACGGCCACCTCGTCTGTGATGGACAGATCCAGATCGGCATCTGGGACCGGATACATGTTGTTGTGGAAGATCTGGCGGAGCAGGCCGGGGTCATGTTGATAGACCGCACGTCGAAAAGGCTGTAAGTACGCGTTTCGATCCCTGGCTAATGTTTGGCCGACACCTGCGTGGTAATCTGGATCGTACGTGACAGGACGAAGGGGATTCGAAGCTATAAGGCGGACAGTAGCGGAGGGGATATCATGGGGCATGCCATCGGTCATTGAGACGAAGGGTGTGGATGAGATAGGATATGATAAACCAGATGGAAAATGAAAGATGAAAGAGGCGAAAAGGCCCTCTAGGTATCTTTCCGCGGCTCGAGATAACAGTCCTAAATGGGGGTTCAATTGGTAGACAGGGGTGGTGCGTCAGAGGGTCTGCATTTCCGCTCATTTTCCGCTATCCACTGCACTACATACCACACATAAAGACGAACGTCCCCTCGAATATTCTTTTTGTTCATCACCACAATGCCTATCCAATCACCAGCCTTCCCTCCCGAACCCACCCTCGATTCCATCCCCAACTTTGACCCCGAAAAGTTCCAGCCCCCAGCTTGGGCCAAAACGCAATCTTTCCAATGGGAGACAGATCCCTCTGGTAAAGCCCCCAATGGTGCTTCGAAACTTGATCTGAGTGATGATGAAAGTGATGGGGATGAGGATGATGATTTTGAAGATGCCCAATCGAGCTTTGACCCGCATGCGGGCGATGAGGTGTTGGGCATCGATCCGGAGGAAGCGATGTTTACTATCGATGAGCTCAGAGTATGTCACTAGGTATACTTGGAGCTGATCAAGCTGATGGAAAACATAGGAGCTGTTGTCTCGGGCAACTCGGCTGAAATTAGAGGGGAACAGCCTCTATACGAGTAAACCGCCGAAATATGAAGAGGCCGCCCAGGCGTATCAGCGGGCCATCGAACACCTCCCCCTGTTTCCATCCAAAGAGGAAGAAGATTTCGAGGTCGAAGATGAAGACACGGGGGAAAGAATCAAGAAGACCAAGGAGGGAAAGGAGAAAGATGAGAAGGAGAAGGCACCTCCTGCTGTTCCAGCTTCAAGCGGTCTGCAGGAGATCTCAGAGGAGGAAGCCATACTCATCTCGAAACAAGAAAACGAAGGAGCGCCTGGACAGGAGGAGGAAGATGATCGGCCTGAGGAAGAGAAGGAAAGAGAAAAGGTGGAAAATGAAATCAAGGAATGTACGAAGGCTTGTAATGGCAATCTGGCGGCTTGTTTCATTGCTCTGGTGCGTCTTTCCATCTTCAAAAGTCGCCCGGATTGAGGAGACCCTCCACGTATCTGTAGCCAGAGCTCATACATTTGTCAGAAACAAGACGAGAAAGCCGTCAAAGCCTGTACCGAAGCCATCAAAATTGACCCGAATTACACCAAAGGTCTTCACCGCAGAGCAACATCCAACGAGCGTATTGGCTCGCTCACTGCGCTATCTTCAGCTAAAGAAGGTAATTGTAACTTGGTATCTCCCGAGCTCAAAGAGACTGACAATAAGACAGACTATACCCTCCTCCTGACGCTATTGCCCCCATCCTCTCCTCTACTCCCCTCCATACGCCGTTCACTCGTTACTCTCCCGCCAAAGATCCAAAAGCAGGAGAAAGAGCAGTATGACGAGATGATGGGGAAACTCAAGAGCCTGGGTAATTCCCTGTTGGGCAACTTTGGGTTGTCGACAGACAATTTCAAGTTTGAGGAGCAGCCTGGCGGGGGTTATAGTATGAACTTTAGCCAGTAAGGGGATGAAGTAGGCGTGCATTGGGGTGAGTGTTGTATTTATCATATTTCGAGTATATCTAGAAATGCATTGCTTCACGGTACTCATTGTTCAACTCTGTCGAAACACAAGAGGTTGATGGACTCATACTATATATATAATCTGTCTCGTGATCTCCGCGTACATGCCAAGTCTGGAGCCATAGGAACGCACCACTTGTCATTCCGGTAACACTTCCTTGAGCACCTCATTCTCTCAGTCCCGCACCAACATAACCGACTTCTGATGATGAGAGATTCTTCAACAAAAGAACAAAAACGACGGCACCCGGGATTCCCAGGTGGTCCCCCACCCTGGTACTAACCGAGCGCTCTCCTAGTTGACTTCGCGGATCAGACGGGACGCGGTACTTTCAGGAGGCTATGGCCGTCGATGGAAGTACAGATGTACGAGGAGGAGTATCCATATAGCCATAGAACGGATGAGCCTATCGGCGATGTCCGCCAGCCCCTGCGGTGACGTCGCAGGGATCCATGTCCTCTTTCATCTGCATCTCTTTATCTCTCTCCGCCATGGCGACCTATGCCCCCCACGAGCGGGCCTACTACGACGCCCTTTTCGCATTTCTCGACAAGGAAGGCACCTCTGTCCTCCCCGGCCAAGACATCTACCCCTTCCTCACCTCCTCCGCCCTCCCCACAAACACCCTCGGCGAGATATGGGCCCTCTCCGACCCCGACAACAACGGCTTCCTCACCAAGGATGGCTGGTACAGGGCCGCCAGGCTCATCGGATGGCTCCAGAACGGCGCCGCCAAGTCGGTCGACGAGGACCTGCTGTCCAAGGGTACGCGCGACAGATCTCCAGCTCGGACATGACTGACAATGCCGCAGCCGGGCCACTCCCAACCTTCCCCACCGGCCCCAAGCCTTCTGCTCAACCACCTCTCCAGGCCCAGACCACTGGCCAGCCGCTGTCCGCCAATGTGACCGGCCAAGGGTTTCCTCCAATCTCGCCTGCTGACCGAGCCAAGTTTACTCGACTGTTTGCCGGGGCAGGGCCTGCGAACGGGCTGCTATCGGGAGACAAGGCAAGGGACATGTTTGTGAAGAGTGGACTGAGCTATGAGAAGCTGGGAAAGATCTGGCAAGTCTTTGCTGTACTCTACGTAGCGCGCTGACACCCCGCAGGAACCTCGCCGATACCCAGAACCGCGGTTCTCTTGACCTCACCGACTGGATCATCGGCATGCACCTCATCCAATCCGCCATGGCCGACCCCAACCTTAACCTCCCACTCACACTGCCCCCAGGCGCATACGAGGCCGCTTCCGGAGGCCGCTCGGCACCCCCTGTCGCCCCTGTCAGTCCTCTCCGCGGCAACACCGCCAGCCCTGTCCGACCTCAGTATACGGGAGGCATCGCCCCTCTCCAGCAGCAGGGGACCGGTGGGAGTGCGCGAGCCCCACAAAGGCAGATGATTGGGTCAACTTTCAGCCCTGCTCGCCAAGCCAGCGGAGCGAGCCAGCCATGGGATGTCACGCCTCAGGCTAAAGCCACCAGCGACCAGTTCTTCTCGCAGCTAGATACGCAGAACAAGGGCGTGATTGAGGGTGATGTGGCTGTGCCATTTATGATTCAGAGTCAGCTTGACGAGGGTACTTTGGCTAGCATCTGGTGCGTCCTTCTCTCAATCCCAGACAACACTAACAATCAAACAGGGATCTTGCCGATATCCGGAAAGAAGGCAAGCTTACTCGTGACGAGTTTGCCGTCGCCATGCACTTGATCAACGCCAAGCTCGCTGGTCAAGAAGTCCCCGCTACCCTTCCCTTGAGCCTTATCCCTCCTTCCTTGAGGGAAAACTTTGGTCCAGGCAAGCAAGAGGTCTTGGCACAGCCCAGCAGCGCAACGAGAGATCTCTTTGATCTCTTTGCGGACGACCCTCCTCCCCCCACTACTGCCGCTCCGGCCGCTGCCCCTGCCGCCCCCGCTGCCAAGTCATTAAGCCCAGCGCCCACAGGCCAATCGAAACCTCCCGCTCTCCCCGCCCGAACCCCCTCCCAATCCTCTGCCCAACCATTCTCCACCTCCTTCCTCGGCCAGCCTCCCGCACCGCCCGCTCGTCGTCAGACTTCGCAATCCTCCACCAAAACTCTCTCGCCTGCAGCTACTGGTCAATCGTCTACCCCTGCGCCTTCTAGCTTTGCTACCACCTTTGCTTCGAGTCCTCCCAAGCGAGGTGGAGACTTGATGGGCGACGAAGGTGGAGACACTTCCAGCACGCCTGTGCCCGACCACTCTGCCGAGTATGGAAACAAGCAGAATCAGTTGCAGCAGACTACTCGCGGGTTGACTGATCTGTCCAACCAGCGCGCCGAGTTGGAAGGGCACGACCAGTCTTCGAAGTCTCAGCTCCAAGAGCTTGAGCAGAAACTTGCCGGTGCGAGGGAAAAGCACCAGCAAGAGCTGCGCGCGGTGGCCGATTTGAGGATCCGGGTCGGCGAGCAGCAAGCCAAGGTCAAGCAGCTCAACACCGACCTTATCACGTTCTCTTCCGACGTCTCTGCCCTTCAGTCTGAAAAGACTGAGCTCGAGCAGGCGCTTCTTCATGACAAGGAAGAAGTGCGTGGCCTTCAAAGGCAGATGAAGGAGGTTGAAGAGGAGAAAGCTGGATTGGGCATGGTGCTCGAGAGGCTGAGAAAGGAAGCGAGGCAGCAAAAGGGGATGGTGACGATTGCAAAGAAGCAATTGCAGACTGCTGAAGAGAAGAGGGATGGAGTTCAGAAAGAGATCAGGGGGGTTGAGGATGAGATTGAGAGCGACAAGGCGGTCATTGAGCAGCACAATGCGTCTCAAACTACTGCCAGGTCAGCGCCCGAAGGCGCCTTCTCGCCCGATAGGCTCGCCACAGCGTCTGCTGTACCCGTCCCCGGCACTCCCCAAGCCCTCTCTCCTACAGCTACCGGACGTTCCAACAACCCATTCGACAGATTCATCAAGTCCTCCGCATCTGCCTCGCCCAGTGCAGACGAACAGGGCTTGGGCAACGCTGCGCTGTTTGGTGTTGGTGCCGCTGCTACAGCTGCTGCCGGCGTCGTAGCTGCGGGCGTTGGCGGTGCGTACGAAACTGCCAAAAGCGCGTTGACGGATGAGCCGGAGCAAAATTCCCAGACTGGCACGTCTTCCGTGCCCACGCCTGCCCCGGAGGCTTCTGGTGAGCCCGCTCCTCAAGCGAGGGACGCTGAAGATGCAGCCGACAAGGCCAAGGCCAATGAGGAGGCCGAACAGGATCCCTTCGGAGTCCCTACGAGCGGTCCAATCACTGCCATCCCCGCCCACGAGGATGTCGATCCCTTTGGTGCTCCTGCTACTCCCTCTCAAGGCCAGGGAGGCTTTGGCACAGACCCCTTCGGTGCGCCTACCGTCACTGGAGCCGATGCTCCTAACGGGTTTGGTGCGGATGATGGGTTTGGTGATTCGTTCGGTGCTGCCCCAGCCCAGGAAGCGCGTGCGGCTGCGACAGAGCAGAGCAAAGCCCCAGCAGACTTTGACAGTGCTTTCGCCGACTTTGAAAGCCCTGCCGAGGCCACCGAAGAGCAGGCTACGCTCAAAGAAGAGCCTTCTTCGCCGCCTCAGGGCGGTATCCCCGCCGGACTGCCCAAGTCTCACATCCCCCAACTCGACGATCGACCTGAACCCGAACGATCGTTGTCTACCCAGGCTGTGGCCTCGGACAGCGAGCCGAGTACACCGTACACTCCTGGCAGCAGCGTCCCCGGTGCTTACCACGCCGGGAGCCAAGACTCTTTCAACAACAGCGAGGTCAGCACCCCTGGCTTGGCTGGTGTTGGTACGGCTGCCGGTGCTGCGGGACTGGGCGCCGCGGGTGTCGGAAGTGCGTTGACGCGTGAAGTCCAGCCTGACGAGCCCGAGACGCCTCGAGCCGAGGTGTCGGAGCCTTATGTGGATGCGAGGGAAGCCGCCGACTCTTCTGACGAAGAAGAAGAGCCTGAAGATATCGAGGGTCCCAGGAGAGAGTATGGCAAGGCCAAGGAAGAGGCGTTTGCCAGCGAAGAGCCTGGAGCTGCTCAGCCCGAAGTCACATCGGTACAGCCTGTCTCTGAGCCTCGTTCTGGGGCTGCGCTCGCCCCCGCCCTCGCGCCGTCTCTCGATCCGTTCGGTGCCAGTGCTAGCGAAGAGCAAGAACAAAAGATCCGCCGAAGTGCGCCTCCCCCACCTACCAAGGCTGTCTCCCCTGCGCCAGTCGTGGCGTCGGCTGGCGGACCTGATGTCGGGGAGCAGTTTGACCCCTTCGGTGCTCCCACTGCCGTCTCATCTAGTGCTGCATTCGGTAACGTGGCCACTGCCCAGGTTCAACCGCCTGTCCCTGCCCGTCCCGAACAGCAACAGCCCCAAACGGCGTCGTTTGACGAAGACGAGTTTGATTTCTCCGACCTCCCTCCTGCCCAGGTGGACCAGACATCATCCACTGCTGGGTTTGCGCCTTCCAGTGCTGCTGGTCAGGGCCAGACAACCACCCAAGGGGGTGGATTCGACGACGAGTTTGCTTCATTTGATGACGAGTTTAACGACGAGTCTGGTGCTGGCGGTAACGGCAACGCCTCTGATCTTTCCAGTGGAAACAAGTCTTACGAGATGGTTTCGCCCAATCAGCCTTCTGCTGCTTTTGCTGGTCAGTCTCAGCCCTCTGCCGCCCAGCAAGCTCCTGCAGCTGGCGGGTCGTCTGGTTTGTATGATGAATGGGGATTTGGGTCAAAGAAGGGTCCTGCGACAGAATCTCCAGTTGCCGCTACCCAAGGATTGTCACAGTTCGATGATGCCTTTGGAGGCGACTTTGAGCCTGCGTAAGTTTGTATTCTAGTGATGGTTCGCGCTGACAGGATGCCAGTCAATCTACTGAGCAGTACGCTCCTCCTTCCGGACCCCCTCCGCCTCAAAAGGACGAGACTGCCCTTCGACCTCCCGCTATGCCCGAGCGAAGGCCCAGTGGAGCTCAAGCGGATGATATCGAGGATGTAAAGAAGGTGCGTTCACCCTCTTTTTCGTTTTGCCAAGCTAACGATCATGTTGCAGCTGTGTGCGATGGGTTTCCCTAGGGATCTGGTGATTGCGGGATTGGAAGCGAACGGATTTGATTTCCAAAAGACTTTGAACGTCTTGTTGTCATAAACACAGAATAGTAAAATGAGAATAGTAGTTGGGCGAAGGATAAGTATACCTGTTTGGAAAAGGATACCTAGTTGTTTTGCGAGAGAGACCTAATCTGACTGTGAAGATATGAATTGTGTTCTGGATTCCGACTTTGCGGGCAAGGCTACTAGAGATACACGACTGATTACAATTGTTGCATTGGAGACTGCTTAACCAACAACCCTGTGGAGTTTTTGAATATCTGTAAAAGGTGTTAGCAAGGACCCCACTGTGAACAGGACGCGACTTACCACTCAGCAGCTGATCACCCTGCTTCAACACCTGCTCATACACCGCTCCCTTGTTCTGCCCCGACTTGTTGGTGGTGATGACGCCACTGACCTTGTCGATCCTACAAGCCAACCTGCCACCCGCAATAAACCTCGACAAGTCCTTGTCCATCCACGCCTCCCCAACGCCAAACTCTCTACAGAACCTCTCCACCGTCAAGCTTCTGTAGCTTTCCAAGAGCTGCGCGTAGGCTTTGATGCGCATTTCGCGGACATAGTAGGAAGCGTGGGGGGCGAGGTAAGGGGAAGGGAGGAGGTGGGTGGATTCGACCTCGGCGAGGGCGACAAAGAAGGGGGCGTAGGAGCATTTGTGGAGGGATTGGGTCATGGAGATGAGGGAGGGTATCTGTTCAGTGACAGAGGTGACTTCGGGGGAAGCGAGAACCTTGTTCTTGATACTCTTCCTATCACAGCCCACACCCGCCGCAAGGACGGTCAACCCGACAAACTCTTCATACTCCATCAACTCTGTCGCGGTAAACGTCGACAGGGAATCGATCAGCAGCTCGGCCGCTTCTGTGAATTCGCGAATGATCAAGTGGCGCAGGGCGCGGTAGACTTTGAGCCTGTTGCGGCGGTCCCAGTCTCCGCCGGCGTCGATGAGTTCAGTGGCGCGGGTGATGTTGGAGGTGACGAGGGGGATGTCGGAGAAGAAGAGGCCGATGCGGACGATAGCGAGGACGAGGTCGATGCGGGCACCGACGCCGGCCGTCTTTTCGAGCGCTGTTTCGAGTGCTGGCAGGGCGGCGTCCTGGAGTAGATGTCAGCGTGTCTTGCTTGGGATCGTTTCCTGCCCACAGCGAGCCCCCGCCAACCCTCGCAACAGGACTCACCTTGTCTCCTATCCTGACATAGTACATCGCCTTGCCCCTCAGCCCTTCTGCAACCTCGCTCTCCCCCTCATTCTCCTCGGCTTCCTTGATCTTCTTGTCATAGTCCTCGATGACCTTCTTGTTGGCCTCTTCCAGGTTGGCAATTAGCTCTGCCTTGTCTGATCCCAGCGACTTGAGATAGGGCGCCATTTCTGATACCAATCAGCGCGCTTTCTCGACCCAGACACGCCGCAACTCACCATCCTTCTCGACGGCCTCCCAGAACTTGGGCTCGACCTCTGCGCGCCTGCTTTCGACGTGCTGGAGCTGGAAGTGCCACTCGTGGACTTTGAGGTTGGGGTAGGGGAGGGGCACGCTGTCGTCGGCCATGCTGTATAGGGAAAAAATAGAGAAATTGAAATGATAGAGGTGATAGAATCGCTCGTCCTAATGACAGTGACGCGGCGTGGTTAATTACGTAGTTAAGTGTTATATTACAACCTACGTACGTAACTACAAACACCCTCGTTCCCTTCCCTTGTTCCCCATTTTGACGTCTTTTTTCCCCTTCTCTTGCATCCCTCGCCCTCCCCCTCAGCCGCCCCCCAGCGTCCTCTGTCGCCCCCGGCACCGCCTCCACGCCCCTCCTACGACCGTCCTTGTGCAAGAAACGCGCGAATCCGTCCAGAAACACCCCTTTTCGCCCCTCACTACCCGCGTCAATAACCACCCACCATGTCGGATGCTGCCAAATTCAGCTTTGGCAAATTCGACTATATATGCCAGCATGCCGCCCTCGTCATCTGCCCCATGCTGGGCGATGAGCAGGGGATAGCCCCGACGTGTTATGCGAGGAACGTGCAGTTGGGAAAGCAGATCATCTTCCAGCCAGGTGAGTCTAATAAAGCGCGTCGACGGGGTAGAGGGGGAGAAGGTTGAAGGGTCAGAGTGCTTGGGAGGTGAGCAGCAAGACCCAGCTGCTCAGAAGACTCGAGACGCGTGATATACCAGACATTCTGGTTCCCTCTCGACTGTATACTGAAAGATAGAGATCGTGAAGACGACTGTAGAGCCACCACTGACAACCTACTCTAGCCACCTGTATAGTGCACATCGCTGCCCTCATCATGACCGGCATCATGCTCTACCACGTCCGCTCAAAATACACCGCCGTCGGTCGAAAAGAGATCGTCCTCTTCTTCTACATGTACATGTTTGTCGAACTTTTCGCCATTTTCCTTGATTCCGGCATCATCCCTACCGCCAACAAGGTGTATCCGGTGAGTCATTTCCTATCCGGTGGCGGCCGGGGCTGACTTGCATAAAGTGGTTTGCGGCGATATATGCGGGCTGTGTCGCGGCCTTACATTGGTGTCTGATTCTGAACGGTTTCGTCGGTTTCCAGCTCTACGAAGACGGTACTCCCATGTCTCTATGGGTAAGCCCAATGCTCCCCCTCATGCACACCCGCTAACCCTGTCCCAGTTCCTCCGTATATCCTCCCTCGTCGTCGGCGGTGTCTGCTTTGGTATCGCCATTGCCACCTTCAAGGGCACTTCCTCCTCCTTCTCGCCCAACAACGCCGTCGGCCTATTCATCACCTACCTCGTCTTCCCCCTGATCTGCATCCTCGTCTACTTTGTCAGCCAGATGCTCCTCGTCGTACGCACGCTCGACGACCGATGGGTCATCGGAGACTTGCTCTTCATGGCCGGCTTCTACGTCGCCGGTATCCTCGTCCTCATCGCCTTCTCCGTCACCATCTGCGACGCCATCTCCCACTACATCGACGGCGTCTTTTTCTTCACCCTCGCCATGCTCTTCACCGTCATGATGGTCTACAAGTACTGGGACTCCATCACCAAGGAAGACCTAGAATTCTCCGTCGGCTCCAAACAGGCCGTTTGGGAAGTCAAGGACCCCCTCCTCGCGCCCAGTGCCGAGTACTATGAGGACGATGCCCAGTCGGCGTTCAGGGGTGGTGGAGGATCGTTGGTGGGGGGATACAACGGGAATCAATACTATGGCAACGCGCCGTATGCCAATGGCCAGGCTCAGCAGGGGCAGTATGCTCAGCAGCAGTATGGGTATGGACAGCAGTACTAGACGCCTCTCGGGGCTGACCGTACATGAATCGTCCGCCCGGAGTGTACTTATACCAATCTTCTTTTAGACTCTTCTTTCATATTCCCATACGCCTGTTCTTTAGTGTAGCTCTTCAACTATCTCATTACCAAATGTTGCTCATCTCCTCGACCGAGTAAGATGGCTTTTTTTCTCACGAACAATTCGGGAAAAGTCTTCTATATAGATTTCTTCTCGTTCACATTCTCCCAGACATTCACGAAATCCAGTACGCATGTTTTTATACGATTTATGCACCGTAAGGACATTTGATCCATTCAGCTTGCAAGTGCGCACAAGTCACATAAGAGTCAGTCTTGAATTACAACACGACCTTGATAACATCTCACAAACTCTTTTTTCTGCAAAAAGATTGGTCATCTACTCCACACCAGACGAAAATGAAAAGCATTTCTATACAAGAGGAGAAAAAGACATGTATGAGAAAGACAACTAGAGTATGGGTAAGAGATATCAATCTCAAAAAACAACATTGAATCAATTACACGGCGTCGGCACCACTAGGGGTTTCTCCAACAAACTGCCATCGCGGTCAGCGTCTACACTCAGATAAACGGGGGATACTCACAGCACCCTTCGCCTCTTCACTATGCTGTCCTCCAAGCTCTCTGTCAATCTGATAACAAACAAACAACGCATCCGCCCTAGTCAAAAGATTAGCCATGTCCCCAATCCTTTTTTTCAGCACTCACGCATCAGTCAAGACGCCCGCCCCAGCCCTTACCGCCAAAAACGGTACCCCCCCACAGACCAACCCCGCGACCGGCGCATACCCCGGGTTCCCCAACGTATGCGTCATGTACAAATACCCAGCCGTCGCCGTCATCAACCCCATCGCCGTGCTGCTCAGCGTCAACAACAGCTTGATGAGTGTATAATCTAGTAGATGCCCGGCTTTGCGTCTTCCTGCGAGAGATACGGAACGTCGGGCGGAAGGCCAGAAGGCGTCGCCGGTGATGCCGACGTATACTAGAGCGTAGCCGTTGAGCTGGTCGAGGACGCCGGCGATTACAGTCAAAACGGGGGATAGGTGGTGGAGGAAGGTGAGGAAGGAGGGGAGTCTGGGGTTGCGGGGGGAGGTGAACTGTTTGAGAGAGGCGGCGGCGCTGCCGACGGTACGGACCACTGCAATGATACCAGCACCGAGGCAAATAGATCCGAGAGAAGTTCCCGTGGCGCGGTGTACGGCCGCAGTGGTGACTTCAACGATATCTTGTCGACGATGGTCTTCGCGGTGGAAATACCACTCTCCAATGACACCTGCCACAGCCACTCTTCCAACACCACGAATCACTCCCCATGTCCACACCCAGATCAACGTGACGAGGAAGATGAGCCACCCGGCGTATGGGCGAATGTGAAAGACCCAGGTGTTTTCGCGTGGGTGGCGCCAGTAGCCGATCATTCCGAGACGGATCAGGAGGGTGAGGAAGGGGATGGAAGCGATCGCAAACACGCCCAGAAGGAGGGGTGTGAGGATCAAGAGCGGGGGGTGGTTCAAGAGGAGTTTGGTCGATAGCTCGACGACGGATGCCGTTCGATCGAGTCTCCGTCTTCGGAGCCACATCAATCTTCCAAACCATGCTGCCAATGCCCACAGCAAGACTGCTCCAATCCGCAGAGCAGTCGTGCCCCACCACTGCTCGCTCTTTTCCTTGCCAACCAAGCCTTGGGTTTCAAAACTCGCCCCGATAGCCCACCAGCCGCAGATGAATAGAGAGAATGGGATGGCGCCGGCTGTGGCGACCAAGACTGGGCGGACAGTCTTTTGCAACAAGAATAGGAAAGCGGGTGGGAGGACTAGGGGAGGGATCAGAAGCATGAGAAGGAGCGGGAGCAGGGGGATGATGGAGGGGGCAGAACTGGGAGCGTCCGGAGGCGGCTACGCAACGTCAGCTTGTGGCTGGGACGAAAAGAAGATACTCACATCTGTAGATCCCCAGACAAACAGCAAACCTATCAGTATGCCCAATAGTGATGATAACCAGAAGGCGAGGAAACCAGAGTCTGATTCTGTCAGCTTGGCTCAAGGCATGACGCTTCACTCACCCTTGTACTTGCGTAGGCCTTCCCTATCCCAATGACCAAACCGTCCATGGTATACTTGCAGCCTGACAGGTACCCTATCGAGTCTATCCCCGTCCTCGGCCCCGAGTAGCGGCTCCTCCATGTTTGTCTGTACATTGTACGCCGCAGGCATGGTCCCGGCGTCATACATGTTGGAGTCGATTTCACTTTGGCGCCTGCCCTTCCTCCCGTTACCCGCGATCGTTGATTCCTCGAAATCCGACTCTGATTCAGTCTCTTTATCACTCTCGTCATCGCTGGATGATGACGAAGGCGGAAAGACGCTCTGATGCGCTAGCCAGCCCTTCTTGGCGCGTTCGGATAGCGGTTGGCGCTGTTGTTGCTCGGGGTGGGGGCGCAGGAGGGAACGTCGGACGGTTTCGACTTGGTCCAAGTCCATTTCCGCTTCGTTCCCGTCTGCGTCGCTGTCCTCAGAGGACGACTCGTAAGGGTTTGGTATCCTTGACCGCCCTCTTCCATCGTTTGCACTGCGCGACAGGCTCTCTTGGGGATGCGGATGATCATCATCAGGACCGGCAAACAGCACGCCTACACCAACACTGCTCGATCCCATGGCATTGTCCATATCCGATATCCCTTCAATCCCGGGACCGGGGAACGGCGGAGTCCTCATCCCCGATTGCGAAGGCGAGCGGGAGCCTGCAAGGTGGGGGTTGGAAGAGCTGATAGAAGGCGACGGGATGAAGGGGTCGTGCGTGGGTGAAGGTGGGGTTTGGGGGCGGAAGATCTGTAGACGCGCGTTTCAGTATGATGGGCAGGAGATCGGCGGTCGGGCGGCAGGACATACCTGGCTACCCTGGACACCGCGCCCGCGGTCGCCGAGTTTGTTGGCGAGAAAGTTGCTCGCGTACATGGTGAGCGAGGGCCCGGCGTGGTTGTCTCCCATGGTTGCCGGCGGGGAGGTGAGAACAAAGGGGTTCTAGTGCGTCGCGCTGAGGCTGCTGGCGGGAGCGGGTGGGGTGGGCATGCGGGAGGGGCTGATTGCTCTTCCGGATGCGTATGGGGTGCGAGGAGAGGAGGAATAGATTGTTGAGATGCAGATGAGAAAGAGATGAATGATGATGAATGATTGAGTACTCGGGTGGCGCGGCGGTAACAGCAGCAAGGGTAATTACGTAAACGTGCGGGAGAGTTACTTCTTATCTCGATGTGGCAGGTATGCATGCTGACCCTGAGTGTATGCATTCGTCTCTTCCAGCCCTCTGCTCTCAAGCCTGCATACATACCGACTAGCAATTTGTTCGGCCATGGTCTGTGTTGAGGAAACGACGGTCTAGATTGTCGTCGGAATGCCGTCATCTGTGCCGCAGCGTGCGCAAGTTGAGGCATTCGGGAAACTTTCTCCAGCCGATAGATCCTGCACTGACTTGACTTGTTGAGTTGCTCAACCAGCTGGCAAAGAATCATTGCTTCTCTATGCTCCTCTCCCCAAGAAGCAGCAAGCAAAAATGAAAAAGAACAAAACGACGGCACCCGGGATTCCCAGGTGGTCCCCCACCCTGGTACTAACCGAGCGCTCTCCTAGTTGACTTCGCGGATCAGACGGGACGCGGTACTTTGAGGAGGCTATGGCCGTCGATGTTGAATTGAATAAATGGTTCTTTATATCCCGTACTGACATGTTGGCGAACACGGACGCGACGCGTCAAGTCGTTAACACGTTTTGAACCTCTCGGACCACCGACTTTTCTTTCCAGCACAATTCATCAAGATGGACGACACGGCGCCACTGGCAGACGACTGCGACCCCACCTACACCCACTTTGCCCATCGGGACCAGTTCCTCGCCCTTCTCGACCGCTTTTTGGCCTTGGATCTTTGTCACGAGTCCGGGGAGACGGAGGAGGAGGCTGAAGTGGGGCTGGTAGATGAGATGGGTGAAATAGTTTGTCTCCTACTTGCACACGAGGAGTTAGCTGACAAAGAGTAGCTGGACTACTACCTCCCCCTCCCCGGTCTACTGGATCCGTCACTGCACCAAGTCGTCCCACCGCTCATGACTTTGCTCGAGAAAAGTTTGCGGATACTGGACGGACAGATAGATAACGATACAGTAACAATCAATGGGAAGAGATTGGAGAGGGTTGGCAGGGTTGTCAATTGGGTTGTAAAGGTCAGAGGTTGGAAAGCTGTCGGTAAGTCGTTTTCAGTCTATTAGAGCCAAGCCTGAATGGTACAGTCCCCTACTTTCCCTCGTCAATTCCCAACCTCCCCTTGATCATATCCATACTATCCCCGCATTCCTCCTCGAACTCATCCACCCAGCATCACTCTCTTCGCTCATCTTCCTCTGCCTGGGAGCTCCGCTCGGTGCTACTGCTCTGGTTTGCCCTCCTCCTCACGGTCCCGTTCAACCTCTCAGCGATCTCCGACGGTGACGACCCCGTAGACAGCAATCCATATGGCCTCGATCTGTCGTCTGCAACCATCCTGTTCCCGTCGAGGACCAGCGATCTTGCACAGCGGGTCACGCTCATAGCCGCACCACTATCACACAAACCGGGACGAGAAGGCGCATACGCTGCTCTTCTACTTGCCCGTCTCTTCTCTCGTACTGATGGAGTACAAGGTCTTGGAGGATTTTTTGCATATGCTCTGAGAGAGCTGCAAGAATACGATAGGGAAGAAGAAGTACATCTCGTCTCGTCCCTTTTTCACCTCATCGCGCTCTTGCCCTCCATGCTTCCTCAAGGACATTTGGAGCAAGTGGAAACCTTCCTTGCGCAGATGTTTGATCACCTTAGAGGAGGAAGAACAGTCGTTGAAAGTGGGCTGGTAAGAAAGTTGGCGGTGAAAGCCAAAGGACGGCTGTGGGTGGCAAAGATTGGGCGTAAACGCGAAGAAGGGGACGAAGATGATCTGCCTGAAGGTTTGGAAGAAGTGCTTGATGACTTTATGGGCGGTCTATCGGACAAAGTAAGATCCATGCTCGAGCAGTGAATTCCAGCTGATGAAAGTAGGACACGATAGTCCGATATTCATCTGCCAAATACCTTTCTCGCCTGTCCAACCTCCTTCCACCCGACCTCTCCGACCAAATTGTCGGAGCAACCATCGCCCTCTTCTCCGGCACTGAAGACGAGCCCGCCATCTTCTCTTCATGCGGCGGCATCATTGACCCCGGCGGTTCTCCCCATACCGGCGGCACATTCGCCCTCTCTGGCGGTATCGAAACCACCCGCGGTGAATCTCGCTGGCACGGCGTCTGCCTCGCGCTCGGCGAGATGGCCCGACGCGGACTCGTGCACTCTGACCAAGTCGGTGAGGCGGTCGAGTGGGTCCTGAGGGGTTTGACGTTTGATATACGCCGGGCATCGCATTCGATTGGGACCAATGTGCGTGATGCTGCGGCCTATGTCCTCTGGTCGCTTTCTCGTACATGCGCACCAGCGCTCCTTCAACCTTGTTCCTCTCAGATATCAACCGCCCTGGTCAATACAGCGTGTTTTGATAGGGAGGTGGGTGTACGACGGGCGGCGAGTGCTGCATTTCAAGAAGGCGTTGGAAGACTGGGGCAAGGGGTGTATCCAGAGGGGATTGATGTGCTCGGTAAGATGGATTTCTGGGGGGTCAGTGTGAGGAGGCGGGCATTTGGTGTGGCGGCACCTGCTGTGGGGATGTAAGTCTTGCGTCTATATTCCAGGAAAGGTGAAGCTAATTGCAGTTCCGCAGACACAAGGTGTATAGAGAGCACATGATTGATCATTTGCACAACGTCACCCTGCGGCATTGGGACGTAGCGATGAGAATCATTGGCGCCGAGGCATTGAAAGGTCTAGTGGCCCTGGACATCTCGAAACTAGACCAATCTTTGGATCGAGAAGTGGGTCCCTCTTCGCATTGCAACTAATTGCTAACTTCAACCTCAGATAAAAGAGCTTTCGGGGCTTGATCCCATCAACGTCCACGGCGCCCTGTCTGCTCTGTCCTCTCTTTCCTCCTTATTTCCAGCTTCCGACCCCCGCTCGCACAAGATCTTTACCTCACTCTCTTCCATCCGCGCACCCACATTCCTATCCACCCAAGCTCCCGACATATTGATTTCTCTCTACTCTCTCCTCACCACGATTCTCAGCCCAGAAGTGTTGGAGGGCGAAGGAGGTAAAGGACGGGAGAAGCTGGGTAAATGGCTGGATATGGCAGGGCGAAGAAGAGAGGTTGGGGTGCATGAGGCAGGGGCAAAAGTTTGGGGTGTTTTGAGTGGGATGGGAGAGTCTACGAGGGATGTCGAAAAGTAAGCCCACGTTGCACGCTGCTTGAGGGGTGCTGACAGGGTAAAGATTGATGACCGATCTGAAATCATCGCGCGCTACTATAAGACAATACGCCACTCTTTCTCTCGGACACATACAGTACCCCTCCTCCACATCACCGCTCGCTAGCACCAGTCAAAAGGCTGTGAAAGCGTTGTTGGGATTGTTGAAGGAGGACCAGAGGTTGAAAGTAGATGTGGAGAGTCGGAAGTGGGCAGTGAGAAGCTTGGGTGATATCGGGGCTCAGAGGAGGGATGGCAATGTCGTTGGTACGTTTTTTCTTGTTTTCATCGAGATGGTTAGCTGATTGGGCAATAGTGAATAATGATACTTTCCACGAGATCATCGGTGCACTCATCGCCAGCCTACAAGACTACTCTACCGATCAACGTGGTGACGTTGGGTCCTGGGTCCGGATAGCGTCGTTGAACTCTCTCGGACTCGTCCTCTCTTCCCTGGCGCCTCAAAATTCCTTGTTGACAGAAGAGCTGAGAGATAGGGCGCTAGCGGGTATCTTGAAGCAAGCTATGGAAAAGCTCGAATCCTGTCGAGGAGCTGCAGCTCTTGCTCTCGCCCGTCTTCGACAAGCAGGGTGGCACTGGCTTGCCGACTCGTCTTTTCACTCGCTGGCGGATATAAATGTGGAAAAATTGGCAGAAGGGGGTTTCCGATATGTGGACCAGAGAGAGTGGTTTGCAAGTGGGATGGGATTGCTGGGCGAAGAAAAGTGGAGAAGGGATGTTTTGGAGGGACTTGTTCTCACGGTGGGAAGCCAGGTCGGAAGCCTGGTGAGTATTCTCCCAATGCAGACTCATAACGACACTAAGACAACGCATAGGCATCGACGGCTTTCGACCCGCTCTTAGACTATCTTACTGCCCACCCCACAACAATCATTCCAACATTATCGACCCTCTCGTCTATCCTCTCCACCAATTTTACGAGCAACAGAGTCTTCATCCCAACGCTGCAAACGTTTTGGAAACTCATCTCAAATCCTGGTATCTGGACTTTGGTGGCGAATGATGAAGAGGAGGTGGTGACTGTGGTCCAAGCGGTGCTGGCTTTGGCAACAAAGGGATCAGCGAGTATCAAAAGTATCGAGAGGATCAGCGTGGCTATGCGATTGTAGGTCTTTCGTTGACCTCGGATGGGACTCTCGACTGACTATCATCTATCAGAGTGATCGCCAGCCTGTCTGGGCCGAAGCTAGTACGGTCAAAGGCTGTCGGACTCCTTTCCCTGTATCTCAACCACCGATTTCCCCGCGTGAGCCCCTACCCACGTCCGATATACACAAAGCTGACATAATGACCCAGATCCGCGCGATAACCTCCGAAGAACTATACCTCGCCCTATCACAAGCTGAAGATGGAGGAGAAATGGATGAAGAGCTGGAGGAAATTTTGTTGGAGACGGAGTGGGTGGCTACTACGGCGGCGGAAGACGGGGTTGATCTGGGGGAGAGGGCTGAGACGGTAGTCGAGCTCTTACGAGCATCCAGCTGATACTGGCCATGCATATGAGTAGTACAGCCATGAACGTGGGAGATCATGGGCACAGGACATTTACTATACTGATCTCTGATACTACAATCAGGAAAGGATCAAGTGTTTACACCAACACTATTGCGAGAAGTAACCATATAAGGCTGCCTCATTATCGTATGATTCTTCTTCAGCCCGGCTGAACTGGTACTCTTCGTACTGTGGGAGGATGAAAGTCAGATGAATGATGTTGGCAAGCATATGAGCATGGGACATACAATTTCATCCGCTCTTTCCCGTCCCGGATGGATTTGAATCTTTCCCTGCGAGTATTGTACGAGTACTTGTAGGCATCGATCTGTAGAAGTGGGCCTAATCAGCATGTCTTCCCTCCATGAGGCGCTAGCATGCCTACTTTGGGGTGTCCCTTCTTGAAGATCTCGCAGCAGTCGCACTTCACTGATCCCCCAAAGCTGACGACTTCTTCCCACCACTTCTTGAACGGCCCATCTAACAGTTCATTTTGACCGAAGGAATCAGTATCGAGAACGGCCGAAATGATGTCGGTATTGGCTGGGATGGGCGCCATATTGGTGAATCGGACATTCCAAGGTTTCATCGTAGGTCGCCAGCTATGCAAGCAATCAGCGATGAACCATCAAAAGTGTAGGTCACATACACATCGGCTCCCCATCTGCCATCTTTCATCCGCTTTTCCAACTCTGACATGTGACTCTCCATCTCCCAAGTCGTCATCGCGAGCTGCCTTTTCCAGTCACCGTCGCCATTCTCCGTACTCCTCGGTAGTTCATAGATCATCGTATCCGCCAGCCCAGGCTCAAAGTCGTCGGGCCACGCGTTGTGTAGCGTCAAGGACGTCTTCTCATCCACCTCGGAATTGACAGCAAAGAATAGTCGCTCTCGAAGCAACCTTGTGATGTACGCCCTCGGCTTTCTTTCCTCAAACTCATTGAAAGTTCCCCATTCGGCTGCCTCCTCGTACTCGCGATCCAAATTGTAGAATGCGTCGGTGAAGCTCAGACAGAGATGCTTGAGCGCCGGCCCGAAGCACTTGTACTGCATGGGCCGACAACTCAAATTGACCTTTTTCCCTAATGAGAGATGGGTGACGGAGAAGAATAGGGGGTCTGAGATCCAGGTATAATCGAAGGCCTCGTCGTTACAGACGACATGTCCCCGAGGCCAGGCAGTGACAACGTTTCGGACCGAATGATTGCCCGCTCGCAGTCCATCAAAGGCCTCCCATCCATCGATGTAGAGCCTGCGGCATTGTCGTATGAGGAGGACTTTTCGAATGGCGGGATGAAGATGGAAGGGGATGTAGAATTCATACTCGTATTTTGGGTACGGGATATCAGAGTCGGATGGGATGTGGGATGGTCATTCCAACTCTCGCTTGGGATGCGAGTATGTCTCCATTTCCCGTGCGAGTGCCTTTGCAGAAACCTCGCATCGAAGGTTAGGAGGACACGGGGACTGAGACTGGCATACATGAACGTCCCCGGCCTTCCATATTCCGTCGAAGAACGCCTTGTGATTCTGAGCATTGAGCTCGACAGCTTCGTACAGCCTCCAAGCATTCTCGGAATAGATTTCTTTGGAGAGCGTGATGAGGTTGAGGAACTGGCTTCTACTCTCGAGGGGGTCCTGGGCGAGATAGCAGGCGTAGATGAGAGAGATGACTTCGGTGGGTAAAGGCGAGAGAGTGGTGAGTTCGGAGTGGAGCGGGGGGGCCTTCAAGGGCGAGGTGGACATTGAGGGATTCTGGGATATGTATATGTAGTGCGAGTACAAGAGGAAGAAGAAATTGACACTAGAACAAGTGACACTATGCCACACTTTTGCAGACGTTTGATCCCGTTCAATACCCGGTGATCCGAGCAAGACATGCAATCTCTTAAATATCTCTTCAGTTGCAGAGTGATCAGATGTCTATGATATCCAGACCGCAGGAGCCAATTCATTTGTTCCGATAACCATAAGTCGTGACCTAACCAAGTCTCATCTTCTCGGAATGTGATCAGACCGACCCTGTCTAGGACGATCGATCCGGTCCTTTTGCGCTGTGTGCACTTTACATCCCAAGTCAATATCGACGGCCATAGCCTCCTCAAAGTACCGCGTCCCGTCTGATCCGCGAAGTCAACTAGGAGAGCGCTCGGTTAGTACCAGGGTGGGGGACCACCTGGGAATCCCGGGTGCCGTCGTTTTTGATGATTGCTTTTTGCTTGTCTTTCGTTTGTTTGATAGAGAGTACTTGGACCCGGAGTCGGACTTGGTTGACATGTTTTCATGTCTCATTCATCAAGTCCGGTGAGAGAAGATAGAAATCGCATACACTGGTGATGAATGTGAACGCTGGAGGAACCAAAGTCAGAGGACATGACGAGCGGGCATGTCCGCCTCCACTCCTTCTATGGCCTGCCACAGACAGTTGATTCGACCCCAACACGGCACTATATCCTGAGGCTTCCCAGAAATACGCTATATAGTATACTCTCCACCCCGTGATTCGTCCCCGCATACCGCATCGTAAATAAGCAACCCACTAGCAGCCCACAACTATCACCCCTCGACCCGCCATGTCGAAACCTGCTTCCGCCGCCAAGCCTGTATCTAGAGCTCCTGAGACTGTCCATCCGTAGGCCTCTAGTCATCACCATAGTGGGGTGTAGTCAAGCTGACCTGCACGTTAGGGCTGTCTTGGGCAAGCTGATCACTTTTGCGGTTTTGATGGCAGTCGTTCCTATAGGAACGTACTTTGGTTCGCTAAACTACATTTGGGAAGGTAAGCTTCCGTCTCTTAGAACCTCAGCAACACAACACGACCTGGCTTTTTGCGGTCCATCAAGCCAAGGTTCCACTAAGACCTTAGACTGAACGCTGACCACTCCCTTCTTTCCCATATCCTTTGCCGGACCGTGCAGGCTCAACCACGTTCTCTGCTATCAGCGCTATTGTGGCTGCCAACTTGATTCTTGTGGGGTACGTGGTGCTGGCGTTCAAGGAGGATCTGGGCGATGACAAGAAGCCTGTGGGAGAGAAGAAGAATATATAGTCCCGAGTACATTCGATGCATCTCTTTCGCCTTACCTAGCTCATCCTGCCCTATCGCTTACCCTGCCCACATACCTACCCCGAGCACTGGGCGTGGACCCCGCCGGCTCGGGTGAATCGGCGAGTTGTTTCAGTTGTTAAACATGGTAAACGGATTTGGTTCCTTGCGGCGAAAACTGAATGTCCTCTCCGGCGCATCTCTTTCTTATCTCATCTTGTTTGTCCTGTCTCTTTCTTCTTGTTTTCTTCTTGTTTCTCCTTGCTTTTTGCCATCCCCCATGCCCACCTCCAAGTCCTCCATCGACCACCGCGACGTCTACTACCGCAAAGCAAAGTCGGCCGGCTATCGCGCCAGATCGGCCTACAAACTCCTCCATCTCTCCGAAGAGTTTGACCTATTCACAGGGGTCGAGACGGCGGTGGATCTATGTGCGGCACCAGGAAGCTGGACGCAGGTGCTGGGGAATGAGCTCAAGCCGAGCGGGAAAGGCGAACCGGGGAGAAAGGTGGTGAGCGTGGATCTACAGACTATGGTAGGTACTATCTTCTTCTGAGCGATGGAGAGCAGGGAGAGAGCAGGCGACCATGGCGATAAATTGGGCTATGGGGCGACACGCTGTGCAGCAGTAGTACTCGGCCATCCTGTACTGACAAAGGAATAGGCCCCTCTCCCCAACATTACAATCCTACAAACCGATATCACCCTCCCCTCGACCATCCCCCTTGTGCTCGATGCTTTAGGTGGCAGTAAGGCAGACCTAGTGGTCTGTGACGGTGCGCCAGATGGTGAGTCTCTCTTACATGCTGGAGTGGGGGAAATTTGAGGGTGGGGACTGCTCGGAGTGTTTGGTTCGACCGGCGTTCCTCTTCTGTCCAGCATCCGGTCCCTTGAAGAGGTTGTCGCTCACACTATATAGTGACTGGCGTTCATGACCTCGACGCGTATCTGCATTCACAGCTCTTGCTGGCAGCTCTCACCCTCTCTCTCACGCTCCTCGCCCCCCATGCGACTCTCATCTTCAAAATCTTCCTCTCTCCTCTGGATCCCAAAGCGGAATTCCTCGCTTCCCAGCTGCGGTGTTTCTTCCCCGGGCCCGGGCTCTCTCCGGAGCAACCGGATGAAGTTATCGGGGAGTTCGGGGAATTTGACGAAGAAGGTGAAACTGGTGCTGCTGCTCCAGGGGTGAGACGGAAAGGTGTTGAGGGGTATGACCTGGAAGGGCGACGCGGTGGTGTATGGGTACGCAAACCCAGAAGCAGTAGACAAGGTAGTGGCGGTACGTTCCTATCTCTTTCTCTCTGAAATGCTGCTCACCCAAAACAGAGGCGTTTGTCGTCTGCCGCAACTTTTCTCCTTCGGCGATCCCGCTGCCCACAATCTTCTCGCCAGAGGCTCTGCAAGAGCTGCGTCAACAGACCAGTGGTACCCTCACCCTCGATTCCCTCGCGACTCTGGGTCTGGGTGGAGAAGGCGTTAAAGTAGGCAAAGAGTGGGAGATCATCAAAGGCTATGTCGGAGGAGGCGATTTGGACGCGATGTCGTGAGTCATGGAGTGGGCATGTCTCGAGCAGAATGTTTATGAACAAGTGTGTAGTGTACAAAAGCCAACTTTGAAAGTGAAAGCTCCCCCAGTCAGATTACAATTACCAGACCCATCGCCCATCGCCGAGCTCAGCGTGCACTCGCCAATCTCACCCATTGCCTCCTCTCCCTTGGCGCTCCACGCCCATCCGACTCCATTGGACGGTCCCCCCGAAGAATACTTTTCGCCCAAAGAAACACACTTCCCATCTCACATCACTGGCCGGCCAGAAACACCTAATGGCGGCATGTTTCTCTCGCCAAAGAAATCCAAGTTGAGTGAAGGGGTCAGTGGCGGCAGGGCGAGGGGTGTAAGCGATGTGGGGAGTGTGAGAGGGTTGACACCGAACCCATCACCAGTGCGGCTGGTCGATCCAACCCGGCCTTGGGCTTCGAGTTCACATCAATCGGGAGATGAGCCGGTCAGGCCACCCTCTGTACCGGTCAAATCATCGTCAATGCCCGTTCCCTCGCCTTCCCCGCCAATTTCTGACCCAGCCTTGGCGTCTCTAGCTGTACCATCGCGCTATCGCGCTTTGTCTTCAGCATCCGCCCGCTCCGATGGCCCTTCTGGTCCCCTCGTCTCACCTTCACTGAGCACAGGAAGTAGCCGCACCGACCTCTTCTTCGCCTCCTCTGCCGCCGCTCTCCCCACACCACCCAAAAAGCTCGACTACTCTGTATCTGCTGTTGGTAAAGGTCTTCCCAGCGGGACATCCGGGAGGAACGAGCGGTCGAGTACGATGCCCTCTACGGTACCTGTACAATTACGGCTTCCCCCGCGTAAGGAAAAGTTTAAAGACCCGTCTCCTGCAACCGTGGAGCCTATAGGATGGGCGAGTACGGGTGAAGTAGAGTTCAAAGACCCATCAACCTCCCTGGAAGGCGTAGGAGCGCCAGCAAAGCTTGGTTTTGAGGAGATTTCGACCTCGAGATTACGGTCACTATCGAATCCCACTCCTCTTCAAGGTCAACTGGCTGTCCCGTCCATACCGCCTCCGCTCCCTCATCATGGGTCGTCTTCATCTTCCTCTGGAGGCTCACAGTCGACGCCTACCCCCACGCCCGGGCCATCTACACCGTCAAAGTCGAACGGGGGCAAGGTGCTGCGGCGTAAAGAGAGTCAGGTGCTCGAGAGAGAGCAGAGGCACTCTACGAGGGCCGATCTGGTCAAAGAAGGGAGTGTAATAAGACCTACAGAAAAGGGCAAACGGGGCTGGAAAGTCATGCGGAAGCTGGGTGAAGGAGCATTCTCTGGTGTCTGGTCTGCTATCCCCGAATCTTCCTCTCCCTCCGAAGAGGAAGGCCAAGTCCAAGCGGCCTTGAAACTCATGCCACACCACCTCTCGCTCCTCGACTCCCGCACACGGATAGCCTTCCTGCGCGAAGTCGAAGTCCTACGGCATATCCACCATCCCTCCATCGTCCGGTATCTAGACTCATTCTCGACGCCCGGGTGGGATGTATTGGTGTTGGAAAGACTGGATGGTGGAGAGCTGTTTGGGTGGGTGAGCGATGAGGCTACTAGGGAGCGGATGATTCTGCCCGCGCCAGAGCCGGAGCCGGGAAGTCTTGAAGAGTGGGATAAGGATGGAGAAGGTTTGATCAGGAGGATATTCTCAGAATTGGCCAAGGCCGTTGGGTGGTTGCACGAAGTTGGCGTGGTACACAGGGATATCAAGCTCGAGAGTAAGCAAGCTTTCTTACAAGCATTGTCTAAGCTGACGTAAAACAGACATACTATTCACTACCAATCCATTTGAGCTCCCTCCGACATCGACAAACTCTGTGCCTTTGCAACTCCTCCCGCCTCCCAACCAGCCCCTCATCAAGTTGACCGACTTTGGTCTCTCTCGCTTCATCTCGCCTGCTTCCCCTCTGCTTGCTACGCGGTGTGGCTCTGAAAGTTTTGCCGCGCCAGAAATCATCATGGCAAAGCCGTATGATGGTCGGCAAACAGACGCTTGGGCAATGGGCGTGGTCCTATACGGAATGGTGGTTGGCGAGCTGCCTTTCGATCGGGAAGAAGACGAGGGTATGACCACTCCTGGAAGTCGGATGACAGAAAAGGAGCGGTGGAGGAAGAAATGGTTGCGGATTGCTAAAGGCGAGTATACCTGGCCCACGCGCGATCCCGTCCAATCTCCCACCAACCCTGGCGCTTATGCCCCAGGTACCGGGACGCCGGCTCTGCGGTCAATCGTCGCTGCTCTCCTCGAGCGCGAACCGTCAAGACGCGCCAAGCCTTTGGATCTTTGGGATCAGCAGCCGTGGATGGCAGGTCCAGGCGGCGTTGGGAAGCCGGAAGAGCACGCAAAGGGGTGTGAGTGTGGGAAAGGGGTGCTGGGAGAGACTCAGGTCAGAAGGATTCTGGATGGGTTTTTGGTGGAGGAGGATGGGATAGAAGAGGTGGCCCGAGCGGAGCACTATTAAAACATCAGATCCTGGGAGAAGAATCTATACTACATATCATCCTTTGTCTTACACGTTGCAGACACTGTCGGAGTCTACTTCAAGCTTGGTAGTGGTTGATACTACTCCCGTACGTAACGTCACCTTTCCATACATATCCTACATCCGTCCATAGTCATGTTCTCTATGCTACCAATATGCCGAATCTATGAGCAACACTGCGCCGTCGGTCCACAGACCTCAACAGACACAACACATGTCAAAGCAATGCAGACTCATATACGCATCAAAAGGAATAGCCGGTCCGTCCTGAGTGCTCAGAATGTGTGCGTGTGTAACTCTCGAGGCTTCTCTTGCCAGAAGAAGCGGCACCATTGTGCATTGAAAAGCGATACTGCGGTAGTAGAGAGAAGGCGACACGTCCGACGATAAAGGATGTTGAATGATACATGTACGAGTATCTTGTCTTGCTTCTCCACCTCGAGAAGGCATCTGAAATGCGCTCGCACGACGCTTCTGGCGGACATAAAGCCGCCAGTGCTTCCGGTCCAATTAGTAATCACTTGCTCATCAAGCAAAGCACGTCCTTGGCTCACAGCTCTTTTCCAGTCAATCACCTTACATCATGAACATGACTCAACAAGAAGACCCCGAAACACCCAAGGATGTTAGACAGTCACAAATGAGCAAAACCTCGACCGTCGAGGGAGACTTTGGCGGCGACGATGGTAGCATGATGTCTGGTGAATCGATCAACTAGTCATATGCACCATCACTTGTTGGCTGATGTACTACTTCAGACCCACTGGCATCTAGCTTTGAGGAGGCCCCGGAACCTCTACCCCATGAGGAGGACTCTTTGGCACCTCTGATGGATGAGCGAGAAGAAGACGCTTCGTACAAAGCACGTTGTTCGGGGGCGAGGACTGAAGATGGAACAAACCACAGGGGTTTGTTATTCTCCTCCGCCCACCACTATGAAATGTAAGACTGACAAAGGCTGACATATGTTGTAACGATCACAAAGCCGTATCTTCGACCATGTCCAGTAAATGGACCGCCGCGACCGACGGCTTCAGCAGCGTCGTTGATAGAACCAGAGTCGTTCACCGCGATATTCTGTCAGGTACTTTTGCTGAACTGCACCTACCTCGTGACCCGACAGTATTGAAGTGGCATATGGCTGGTTTTGCCGTAGTGTCAGCCGCAACAGCAGCAAGTGCTCTGGCAGCTCGGAGCTACCTGAAAGAATGATGAATTGATCCCTTGTCCTTTGTTATCGGTCGTCAATTCTTGCTCTGCTGTATAAGAAAAAAGATTAATTTAAGTAATACGAGAAAGACAGAGTACACGAGCGGTTACTCGACGATGGATTGCAAATTTGTTTTATAGGGTTCGACTCCCTATGTACTCTATAGAAAAGTGTATATAAGAATAATTGATATATAAGAAATATAATGCGCAGTCCTGACTGAAATCATTGGTTTCTGGAGGGAAGATCTATACAACACAATCCCCTGAGCCTATGCATATTAGAGCTATTGAACATGTCAAAGCAGCGTGTAGACTCGTTTACAATACATCGTTTACAATACAATAGAGCATTTTTATAGAACTTTCTAATCCCTGGCCCAACATCTGCTGCCAGACCATGTTTCTTCATTCCTCCACCTGCTTGCTAAATTCGAAAATGAGATACACATTCTCCATTTCTCTTTCTGCCGCCTGTTCGAATTTCATGTCTAGGAAGAAAGGAGCAGGAATGGCCGCCGGACGTCCACGCTGGAGTGTACCAAATCAGTTTTCCATATGTCTTCTTCTTCCTATCTATGAAACTACAAAACCTTGAACATATTATGAGACCTTGAGAAGCTGAAAACTGACCGCATATACCGTCTTTCCACTTCTTTCTGTTACCTCTACAAAAATCTTCAGCAACTGTGGAAATTCTTCATGTCGGTCTCTGTCGTCTCTCTCCCGTCCACCTGGGACGCCAGTGACCCGTGGGCCACCCACCTTTAGGAATGTCGTATCCTTGATACCCCCTCTCACCAGCGCCTCAAACTATCTCCCCTGGTCGAATAAACTAAAAATTGTTTTGTCTGGGGTCCGGGGGTGTCTCTGTCTGCTAGTTGAGCCCCTTTCCTCCCACCTCTTGGTTATCACTCTCCCCGCCACATCCCTCTGTGTAGATGTCTGGAGCCACCTCGATACCACCCTTGCTCTTGCTTTCGTGGGCTTACTTAGCCCCGATTTTGCCTTCATATTCGGATCCATCGTCCGCGAGAAGCAAGTGCAAGGGTGGCATCGAGGTGGCTCCAGATCTCTACAGAGAGGGATGTGGCCGGGAGAGTCCGGTGAAAGCGAGAATCGTTCGAGGTTGTCTCGGGGGAGACTCGGCAATGGTAAATGAGAGCAGGCTCGAAGCTCGCATTAGCGATAATCCCGGCATGAGCGGATGAACGACACACCTGTTGAGAACGCTGGCTGGCAATGCAGGATGGATTTTCCGGTGTACTCATTTACGACAACCTGTCCACCGGTAGCGGGGACTGGATGTGAGGACGCTTGGAGGAAGAGGGACATAGAAACACAGAAAGAAGAAACAAAAAGAAAGCGAGGATCGTGTGAAGGGTGTTGTCTCTAAGGAGCACAGCCACAGCACCGCCACGTGGATGTTTGTGGCACCGTTTGCTTTTGCCCTTGACATATATTGGAGTGATCCGTTCGCTCTTGTAAGCTTCGTCGAAGGCTTCCGCGATGGCATTATGCTCGTGAATGAATAGAGAGGAGTGACAATACATGTGGTACAAGCTTAAGCATGACCATGCTCATGTCTATCGCCCCGCATCTTCGTCCCTACCAGAACCCCCACGTGCCTCTTCTCCATGCTTCCAATCCTGCTGTGCCCCTTTCCCTTCTCCCCTAATTCGGAGACCGGCCCCTCTTTCTTCTCAGCTTCCACGTCTACAACCTTGTTCATAGCGTCGATCCACCTTTCAATCTTTTGCGCGCGGTGTTCACCGGAGGAAGAGGAGAGGTAACGGGCGTGGGCTAGGACGGGCAGTTTGCGGAGAGTTCGACCAGAGAGCTCTATAGCCTGTGATCGAGCGTCAGTAGTGGCGCAAACAATGCAGAGATGGCTTACGTGAGATCGGATAGCGAGCTCGGCGAGACTTGCCCCTATAGCCTTTTCTCGATCCCTTTTCTTGTCACCCCCCTTTCCTTCACCACCTTCAAACTTTCTCTCCCTCCTGGCTTCCTCAGCCCCTTGCCAGTCCATCACTCTGCATCCCCTGACGAGCCCCTTCTTCCCCATTTCCCTCAGACAGCCTGACAATATAGAGTAGACCGCTCGAGGTGGAGGGAGTGGGACATGCTCGGAGAGGTCGACACGAGACAAGAAAGCCTCGTCGATGGCATCGATAAGGTTGGAGGTGGTCATTACGAGGACATTCTTGTGAGTGCGGAGTTTGTCGAGTTGGGTGAGGAGAGCGTTTACAACCTGGTCAGGTCAGCAAGGAACTTGCGATGGAGCGAGATAATATCATACGCGCAAAGAGTCAGAAGGCTCGTTGCCTCGCATAGCTCCAGCTCGAGCAGCTGTTAGAGATTCCACCTCGTCTACTCACGCGTCAGCCACATTTGATTACCTCAGGAGCCAACTCACCAATCATAACCACTACAAAACAGGAATCGTCCTCTACCAGATCCGTGACCTTTTCAAATAACTTCTGGACCAGCTTGCCAGATTCGGAAAACCATTTGGAGAAGAGAGAGTGCGAGTTGATCTCGATGACCTTGCCATGTCTATACCTATCACGACGTGAGTCTTGGTCTTGTGAACGAGCAGTCACCACTCACTTATCTGATAATCGGATAGAGATCTTCTGCGCCAGAGCCCTACACAAACTCGTCTTTCCCGTTCCCGGCGGGCCATGCAGCAGGATGACCCTATTCCATGCAATGACGTTGAAGTCAATTTCGCATTCGGAAAAGAGAATGGTGGAGTAAATGTAGTTCAGTAGTCGAGCTTTGATATCGTCCGAGTATACCAGTCTAAGTATGGTCAGTGTTGAGTCTCGGGATGGGAGAGAGACTCACGTATCCCAGACACCGTCGAGCTCTTTCGATGGGAGCGATCTGACCGAAGCGGCCGAAACCTTTTCCTCGTCGTCATCTGAGAGTCTATTAGCCAGTGTCTAGGATCCGCAGACGCCGCTTACCATCATCCAAATCCGCCGTAAACTCCTCTAGCAAGTCATCTACAGACGCCTTGTAGACATGGACTTGAATTTCGGCTTCGCTCGCCTGAATGGACTCAACGCCCATCACTATCCTTCCATCAGCATTCGACATTCAGCAATCGCTTGACTCACCTCCTTCCTCTACCCATACCCTATCCACATGCTCACGCAGTATCTCCACTTCTTGCCATCCCGGCAGTTCGCACCCCAGTTGAACCCTTGCAATTTCTTCCTCTATAAATTGCTGGAGGACGATCATGAGAGGCTGTTGCAAGATACGCGAGTGCTGTTTTTGGCGGACCTCGACTGTAACCATCACTATGTCAGCACAGCCGGCTTAGGCTTGGACGACGCACCATGGATCACGATTTGATCATCGTCTTCCTCGTCCTCTGTCTCCTCCATATCAGAATCCACCATCATGCCCATCTCTTCCTCTTCCTCCTCTTCTTCTTCCTCTATATCTTGTTCTTCGCCATGGCCGTTGATTTCGTTGCTATTTTCGTCGTTGAGCGAAAGGCCTTTTACTGCTTTTGATGGAGATGTATAGCCACTCGACCCCAAAATTCGCGCATCTGAAGGGGAGGAGCGGGGGGGAGGGGCGCTCAGGCTGATGATTCGGGACATGGCCAGACGTATCTAGGGTCGGCTTTTTGAGAGTACAGAGAATTGCTCTGATAAAGGCAATTTGAGCAAAACAACGTTTTGACAACGTTGCAAGTCAAAACGCGTCGCGTGGTTGCTTGTTTTGATTTCTCAGGCGGCGATGTCCACCACAGAGTGATAGTAGTGCCGTTGGTTGCATGATTTGTTAGTCAGAAGGTTGATGTGGTTGGCCAGTACAGTTATGGGGCACGGTATGTGTATACTTCAGAGAGCTCGAAGATATGCGGAACGGTCGCTACCCAGAACAGGCCAATCATCCTACGCCTGCTACCTGTTACACTGAAGGCAGATCAGACTTACTCCGTAATCTGTAGTATTGAGGATCACCAGCGACCTCAGACACTACGGGCACTACGGCTTATATAGACGTTGCTCTAGAGAGTGAGCCTACTCAGCGTCCCTCACTTGACGCTACATGGTATGGGTAGCAAGGATACCAATAAGAAGCCAACACTGTGCTCGTTCTAGCTCACTTCCCTCTCTCCTGCCTTTGGTCCCTTGACTCCTCTCCCACTTCCTCCAACCTTACTACTACGCGTCCCAAACTGCATCGCCCGCTTTACCCTCCCGCTCGTCTTATCCAGCCCCACCTTCTTGGCCGCCAACCGTAACAGCCTCTTATCGCCTTCTCCTGGCGGTAGACGTGGATCGCATTTGATATGTATTGGGACGGAGGAGAGGTGAGAGATGAAGGATAGAGAGAGGAATGGGTATCGAGCGTCCCGCGCATGGGAGGAGATGAGGCGGTCGTCGCGGGAGAGATTTCGGGTGGGCAGGCGGTGTATGTCCATTTGTGTCGTTTGGTCCGTGAGCTTTATGATGTCTATCAGGGGTAGAGTGTGGCTTACTTCGTCGATGAGGCCCTGCCAGCTATTGGTGTTGAAAGCGTGCCGATGTCTGGAGTAGCCGCCGAGCTGCCTGTATGATATGAGCAAAAGCCACATTAGAAGAGCGAGAGCTTACTCGTCGGCACCCAGTCCTGATATGTAGACCTTGGCAGTCACATGATATGGGGTTGTCGTGCCATCAGCATGTCGAAGAGACCCATGACCGAGAGAGGCGAAGTATAGTGGATACGCCAAGGACTATTGGGGTCAGAAATAGAGCATACAAGGGCGGATAGACTCACTAGGTCCATCTCTGTGATCGACGGGTACATCAACTCCACGATTCTATCTCGATGCTCTCTCGCCTCCTGCGATACATGAGTAATGAGTACACAAGGTGAGGGTGCGACTCACATCATATGGCACGTTGACTTCCACGAATCTCCAATCTCTCCCAGGACAGACCTGTCGCAGCTCCTCCCATGCCTCCAGCCCCGATATCCTGTCCGGCACCTTGTAGGCATCCACCGGCTGGGGAGGGGCTTTGTTCTTGCCTTTTCCCGTATCGACTCGAGAAGGAGCAGGTGCGAAGGAGACGTTGATGAGGTCGACCGACTTGTCTACCGGCAGGCATCTGTAGGACTATGAGCTTTGCCTTCGTCGCCTTGCCATAGCTTACTGGTGTATCAGGTATGCCAGGAATGTGCAGTCAATCCCACCCGAAAAGAGGACAGCAACTTTGGATTGATCTGGCTGTAGATTAGGGATGTTTTCGACCCTATGTCGTACGCTAGTACGGAGGTGGTCGATGAAAGCGTCGATGGAGGGTTCGCAGGAGCCTTCACCTTCGAGATGGGGAAGGGTCGGGTTGATAGGAGTGACACGAGTCTGATTGTCAGCAGTGATTCACACCATGTTAGACATACCCAAGGTGTCGACGAGCTTTCGGGGAGGTCGAAATCGGTCCGCAATGTGAGAGCTTTGGAGAAGTCAAGCTGTGGATCATCAGCTCTGTCATGACATGAACTCGCAAACTTACTTGTCCGTCCTCGCATAACTGTATTTTTCCCAGATCTATACGCCCCCCCTCTCCACCAAGAAGAGCCCTCATATCTATGCCCTTAGCTCGAGCTTCCCCGCAAAAGCATGAGCTCAAGATAAACATGTCCGTTTTGGCATCAGAGCTTGCAGGATAGGCGAGGAGAGAGCGGCGGGATAGAGGGTCCAGCTGGTAATGAATGACTGACATTTCGAGCTGCAAATGGGTCAGAAGGAACGACCTCGATAAAGTTTACTGACATCGATATAAATACACGCAAATCTATGCCAGTCAGTGACAATCTATCGGCGCTCTCAACTCACGGTCCCTCTACATTCTGCAGGATCTCATCAAAAGAAGCCCCATCTTCCAATTGCTCGAATATCTTCTGTGTATCGTTCTCCCCTTCCTTCACATCTAAACCCTCGAACACCTGCCCATTCCATCCCAGGACGCCCCTTTTACCTTTCCGAGGCTGCGATGTGAGGTCCCCTCGCAGACCCAGCACGCTCGCATGGAGAGATACCTCCACTTTGACTTCAGTCGAGGTAGCGAAAGTGTTCGAGAATGATCCTTGACAGTCTGGACCTCGGCATTTGATAGTTGATGATAGTACTCCTTCGATTGAACGAAGAGAGCCGGACTGGGCCGTCTCAGAGGGGCGAATAGCCAAGGTGAGACCGCACATATGAACGGAGAGCAAGTTGAGGGTGAAGCTTCTATATCGGATAGGTTGTGAGCATGTATAGTGGGCGAGTCGGGTGATATTTCAGAGATGCATAGTTGCTAAAGTAGAGCGTGAAACTGCAAAAACAGAAAACCGTCGCGGCGTATCGCAAGCCCGTTATAAACGCCCGTTACTCGCATCTCGCTTATATGACGCATAACATCGTTAGTTTAATGGTAGAACTCCAGCTTCCCATACGTAATGTGTGGCCTCAGCAGGACAATTGCTGGTAGCAAGGGTTCGATTCCCTTACGATGTATATGTTTTTTGCGATTTTTTCTTTTGCCAATCGCCACTTGCTCTTGCTGATTCATAACTCAGTATGCTTTGGGTAGTTCCTCTATCGCTTTGGGTAACCCTCGACTCATCCTTGCCAAATTCGACTGGGCTTGAGTCTTTGTTGAGTGATTTTGAGAATCCTTATCGTATCTCCACGTACGTATCATGTGTGAATCCTTATCGTACCCTCCCGCGTGTACTCGTGCGCATGTAGATGTTCCATGAGCACAAGTGCGATTCCAAATGTGCAGCAGCAGAATTGTGGGTCACGAAACAGACGAATGTTTCCGTGCTATGCATACTCTCATATGTCTCGGCCCTCAGAATGTCGTGGAGCGTCGAACAGGAGCCAAAGGCTATAAACCAAATTTGTGGTTAGTTTCCTGCATAACATCGTTAGTTTAATGGTAGAACTCCAGCTTCCCATACGTCAAAGTGTGGCCTCAGCAGGATAATTGCTGGTAGCAAGGGTTCGATTCCCTTACGATGTAATCTTTTTGCTACGACTCTTGGTTTTTTTTTTTTTTTTTTTTTTTGCCGGTTGCCCCTTCCTTCTCTCCACCTTTTTTTTTTTTATTTTTTACTCTTGGGCATTTCTGCCATTCTTTCATCGCAAACAGTTTGTGACCTGATACACCTTTAGGAGGGGGCGTTCACCTTTCCAGAAGCTCTCGGGGAGATTGTCAGATATCGCAGCGCGCAGTGCACTTGGCAAGTAATGGTATGCTTACACGGAGTACATGACATGATTGATATCAGCAGCCGGGCACTGGCTATATGTACGGTATATCACAGCAACATTTTTTAGCACAGCCCAGATCATCTCCACATCCACTTTCACCAGTTCTCCAACAGTTCGATAGGCTCCTCTGCCCTACTACTCCTGATCGCCGGCAACATCCACTGATTCACGGGATACTTGTCCAAGCATGGGATACTGTTTCCAAATGTAGTCCTAACGGTACTGGATGAGGTCCTGGAGGAGTTAAGATCGAGCATTCCGGATGGGTTGTTGGATGAAGAGGTAGATGGCAGGTCGGGCATGGGAACGCCTTGAGAGTTGGGGAGAGGCTCGGGGGGCTCGTCCGTCTGGTCGTCCTTGTAGCTCTGTCAGTCTTGTCTTGTAGCTAGGACAATGATCTTACAGAGTGTTGAGCTTTGCGAAACGGGAAAAGGTCAATCTCCACACCGGCTCCAGGATCAAAGTATTCGACGAGTCGCTTCGACGTGTCCGTGTTTTGTAGATATCTGTAGTAGGCTTTCTTTCCTCGTCTCGAGCCTGTACATGTAGTCAGCTTATGATATAAGTCTATCCTGATAAAGTACCATGAACACCGTCGATGAATCCTGAAACGTCAGTAACTGAAGCATACTATGGGCCAGAGGCTTACCGTCCTTATGGATTGTAGCAAGGGCGCGCTTGAGGGTTTTCTTGGTACAGTCTGATCCAGAGTCAGTATCTGTACACAGAGACAGGAAATAAACTCACTCAGCGACTCTGTGTACTGTGAAACCTCGTTGCCAATACCGCTTTCTCCTCGGATACGAGAAAGCAAACGTCTGCCCTTGTTCAGCTCAGAACAGAATGCGCGTTGACTCACCTGACGATCGCCAGCCTTGCCATTCCCTCCCGCACTTGCTTGTAATCATTTTTAGTCCATGTGTGTTTGTCGTCTTTGTCCATCTGACACAGAATGCAAAACCAGTCTTGAGTTTGGGCGGCAGCTTTGAGCACGGAGAAACTGTTCTAGGTCAGCAGCGTCGAGGTGCAAATGAAAGACTCACCCAACACAAGGTAAATGAACCCAATGTCCACACCCATCGCACTGAATACTTGCATCGTCCTCGTCGACGGATCCACAAAAGCAAGTGACGGGGTCTCTTCCTTCGACTTCCACCACATGTGTATCCACCCGAGGTGCCGCAGATTTCTTGGTCGTGGGTCTTTGCTTGTCCGGAGAAGCAGCTGCCAAAGCCATTTTTTGAGCCGCAGTTTTGCGAGGGGATGTTGGTCTTGATGCAGGAGTAGTCGCAACGGGATTTCCAGTATCAGTCGGGGATTCCTCGAAGACAGGGGCTTTTTTGTGGGACTTTTTGGAGCTCTGCTTCTTCTTCGACTTGGATGAAGACTGTCTTGTGATGCTGGAGTCATCGGTGCCGGTAGCGGTTGATTTGCCAGTCGTCTTAGGAGATTTGCGGGGGCGCTCGTTGGGATCTTTGTCTTGGAGAGGCTGGCGGTCAGGCGCAGGGTCGGGGACGGGGGCACCCGAGTCGGGAGGAGTGTCAGTATCTCGGAAGACGGAGACGTTGCGGGGCTGTTCCGTTGGTGTTCGTGTCGCTTTTCGTATTGAGGCGCGAGAGGCTTGAGCGCCGTTGGCCACGTCGGCGAGCTGGCTGCCTTCGAACTCTGTCTCACCGTCGGCTAATCCTTTGTCAGTCGGTTCTTTATGCTGGACGTAACGTACCATCGTGGTCGTAGACGGTTTGAACCACACTCGCGCTTCTGGGAACGACTGTCGGTTCTCGCTGAGCGCCCGAAAGTTCCAACAGATCCTCGTCAAACTGTTTCGTGGTCAGCGCTCTGGTCATAGATGATCTTGATTCGCTCACCATATCACGAGCACGCTTCTTCCCCGCTGCGCTTGGGCTGTCGGGTCGCATACCAGGTTTGAACATTGGCTCAACGGTCCCATCCTCTCTGAGCTTGCCCAAAGGCTGTTTGAGCTTTCCGGCAGAAATGTCGGACTCTTGAAGCTCGGGAATGACGACAGAGTAAGGGTCCATAGAGTCCGGCTCGTAAATTTGACGATCATATACAGGCTACAAGACAGTCAGTATAAAGCAGACCGAGAAGAAGGACAGACTTACAAGATCGGCGCACCATGCTACCTTCCTCTTCTTGACGTTAGTCATCTGCTCCTCGTATTCTTTCTCTACATCTCCAGGGTCGGAGACTCCTTGGCGTTCATCAGAGTCAAGTCTAGAGGGCAGGTACTCTACGATGGATTGAGCGGTGACCGATATGCTGCATCTCTGTCAGCTTTGTTTCACAATGTTGAACGAGGAATCTTACCCGTGAGTCCCGGTTGCAGTATTGCCCATTTGGATGTTGGACGGAGCTGCATCGACGTCGCAAGTGGCCATGAGGAGAGAGGTGCCGGAGCAATCCTTGAAACCTGGAGCCTCATAGCTGTTATGGCGTCAGCACAATCTTTGAGGTTGAAACTTACTCTGGGGGTGCGCTCTCGTTATACGACAACTTGAAGTCGACATATCGCTGACCTGGAAATATCGTCAATTTTGCTCCTGGCATACTTCCAGAAACTCACGAGGCAAGTCCGGGAGCTTTTGGCACTTGAGAATGAGCGTCTTCATCATAGCCTAGTAAAATTGTCAGTCAATGACCAAATCAATATGAACTCACCTTGACTGCTTTCCTACAATCCTGGTGAGTCTTTGGCGCCTCAAGCTCCGCACTCGTCTTGACGGCCCCAACGGTTTCGACCTCTACATCTCCGTTGACATAACCGGATGGGCTGCCGGTGGCGTGAGTCATGCTGAGAGAGGGGGCGTTGGAAGCTCCAGTGTAGAAAAAGTTGAAAGTGTAGGACTCGATGATGCTATCTTCGCGTCAGCCTCTGGCAAGAGAACAACCATGGATCTCACTTGGAAGGATCGTCTTTGTCAAGGAAGAGGATGAACATGAAAGAGCGCAGGTAGCCTTTCGAGACGGCGTCCATGACGCCGTCATCCTACTGGACATCAGTCACCGCTGCATTGCTGAAAGTGCCGACAATCACGATCAAATTCAACAGTCTCCTCCCTTCCGGTGAACTATCACTGATCTTCGGGTACTTGAATCCTTTGCTTTGACTCTGCTGAGAGCCATGAGGTTGAGAGCCCATCTGCGAGTTGGGGTCTGGCTGAGACAAGCCGTACTGCTGCTCTGGAGTCTTGTCGGGGACAGCGGTGGAGGAGGCCATGTAGGTGTCGACAAAGTTGTCATCATGAAGGAGGCGTCTGAAGTTTAAATCATCAGCTAGTACCCATATGTGTCGAGAAAGAGAGGTGGCTTACCTCAAGTAGCAGATTGCTCCGAGACTAGCTTCCAGAGAAACTCGCATGATGGCCAAGCTCTCGGTCTGAGTCACGACACTCTGATCCTGCCCAATTGACTGCTCCACTCGCAGGCTCTGAGCCTGCACTTGAGCCTGCGCCTGTGTCTGGGCAAGCTCTTGAGGAGCTAGGGTGGTGGTCTGCTTTTGAGCATTACGAGGCTGCGTTGCCTTGCTTTTAGCAGCGGCGGTGGTTTTGGTGGTTGTGGATGTAGTAGCGGCAGTGGTGGTCTTGGCGCTCTTTTGTATCGGTTTGGGTGGTCTCTGGGAGTGTTGTCAGCTTGGTTTGAGAAGTTGGGGTGATGGAAGGCCGGTGCGTGATCCGAGCTCAACGCCGGGAAGGTGCAAGCCGTGACGTGGAAGACAGGAGAGGTGCCCTTCGGGCTCTCTGGCGAAAGAGGAAACATAGAAGGCAGTGCAGAGAGAAGGAAAGCATAGACAGTAGAAAAGAGGAGGAGAACCTCCCAACATTGGCAGAGTCGATGATGACCGATGGTCCCGGGGTAGATGATGAGGATGGAAACGCGAGACAAGAATCACCCAACGACGCCTCCTCCTCTTACAGCCATGGAAGGAATACTCACGAACGCTTGTTTGGCGGGCATGTTGAGTGATATGCGGGGGAGAAAGGAGAGATACAGAATTGAAAAAGAGATGGAGATTTGGGAGAAGAGGGAGGTCTTATATATTGCAGCGCACGGGGCCGGTTGACATCACCCACCTTCTGCGCACAGACCACCGCGACGCGTCCGACATTGCGGGCCACTAGTTGAGTGATATCTGGTGGGCAAAGACGCTGCCACAGCGAGAATTAGTATGCATAATTGAATATGTGATGTGCTTGGTATTGATACTCTCTGTTCTACTTGTCGATATACAACTACGCCCCCCGACGATTCTCTCATCTCCCCAGCATCCCAAAGCCTCCCCCTCCTCCCGTCGGCAGATCCTTGAAATGGTTCTCGGCCCCTTGCCACACCGTCTTGAGCACATATGCCTCTGAGAGGAGCAGCTCTATATCGTGATCGGTCCAGTGCTGGGTCGGGAGGCGTTGGAGAAAGATGATCATTTCCTGCGCCTCGTCAGCCCAAGCTCCGACAAGAGATAGATGATGGGCTCACTTGGAAATCCATCTCGCGCAGGCGCTCAGAATACTTAACGAGCAGCGCCGAGCATACATACAAGTGGAATTGCGAGAACGCATCCGTCCCTTCCGCCTACTCTGCGTCAGCCCCGCCCACTCAGGCCCGGAATCCAGTAGACTCACAAGATACGTATCCCACATCCTCACCGTACACTTTCCACTAATCTCCCTCATCAACAAACAATTCATCCACCTAAACGCAAACTGCATAAACTCGACGCCTTGTTCTTCGAAATGGGCTGCCAGGGGCGCATCTATCCGCTTGACCAGCTCACCCATGCGTCGGACTAGACGTTGGATTCCAGGCTGATGCGAGATGTAGTGGTCTTGGATCGAGTCGAGCAGTTTGGTGACACACCAGAATGAATCGGCGCAGATCGCTGTCAATATCTTGGGTGAAAGGTGCGCGGGGTCGAATAGCTCTGGGTCGGTGGAGATATAGGCAGAGAGAAAGACTTCGAAGAATGGGGTGACGAGATCGTTGATGCCTTGGACGTATCCCGAGGCGGGGTGACGGATGGCCCAGACGTAGAGGATCTTTTCGAGGCTCTGAGAAATTGTGAGTGGTGTTCAGAGCTTTGAGAGTGTACGTACACGTTGGGTGCTCTCACAGGACCACAAGACGACACCCGGTCTGGTCCTCGGCACGTCAATCTCGATCTGATGCCATATCTTCTCTCGTCAGTATGGCTCCTGACAAAGCGCACTTACTTGTTGATCTAACGCGGCGATACCTCTCCCGAAATACTGATCTACCAGCTGCTCATACTCTCTTCGTTTACGACTCAGTGTTGCTAGCCTGGGTTCTGCTGGTAAGGGCAGGTAATTCTGATCATTGTCAGTAGCTATCCACATTCGTTGACTGCGACTCACCAGTAGTAATTGCCAGACAATCGGTCGCACTTCCTGCGGCACACCGCTCCAAGCCAGCCGCCTGAGTTCTCCCAGATCCACCCCTCCTCCATCGCCATCTCCACTGAGCACCTTGGCAAACTTCTCCCTTCTCCTCTCCGTCCTTACACTGCGCCGCCGACTGACGGGGCCGTGGGATAGCGAGCGTTTTGTGAGGGTCGGAGTGGGCGTTCCGATGGGAGAAGACTGGGTCGAATCGGAGGAGAAGAAGGGAAAGATGACAGACGGCGAGCGTGAAGGGGGATGAGAAGTCGGAGAGGTTGGGTCAAGACAGAGACTCTGGAGTAATTCCAATGGATCTGTTCCGGTCAGCTCGCGCTCTTTCATATCATTACACACCTTTCAGAATATCCTCTACATCCTCCCTCACTGCTTCCTTCCCGACCTTGACAGGGATGACTTCCTCCTCCACCTCATCAGCTTCGACAATCTCCCACGCTCCTCCAGGGGGCAGCTTCGACCCTCCGACGCCCGGTCCACTCGAGCTCGCGCGTGGGACGTTTCCACCCGTCCCAGGAGCAGGTCCTGATGTGCCTTCGCTGTACGTCTTGGACTGTTGCAAGGTCGGTCTCGTAGGCGACGTCGAGGGATACGCGACATGCGTATAGCTCGTGGACGCCCAGCTGCCCGCTATCGCCGCTGGCTCATCGCTCTTTCTCGCGCGGCGGCTGTGCACGATGCCGTCCTCCTTATCCGAGCTGCTGTCCCAGGCGTCTTCCCAGTCTTCGACGCCCTCGCGGGACTGGCGGGCGGGGGCGTTGTGGAAGTCGGAGGTGGAGGCGCCGCGGGGGAGGGCGGGGCGGGAGGCGAAGAGGGGGAGCGGGTGGAAGGAGAGGGGGTTGGCGGAGTGTGGCCTCGTCGGCGGCTGGAATGGCTGCGAGGGGGGCATCGCGCGGTGGCTCATCGATCTGCTGTTACAACATCTATACTGGTGCGTGTCATACACCCGACGGGATCAAAACAACACGGTGACAACGCACTCTCCTCTTTCACCGCCGCTTTCCATCCACATCCATTCCATCTTTCTCCCCCGTCCACAAACCAGATTGGCCCCGACAATTGCTCCTACGCTCCCCCAGGACCATACTCCGCCATCTGGACAACTTTTCGCACCTCGAAATCTCCCTTACAACCCGTTCTCCGCCTTCGTGAGGCCCCTTTCCCCATGCCGGCATGTCGCAAGACGCCCCCATGGACGCTTCCGGAGACCCAGGTCAACATACAGAGTCCCCCAATTCTACACAAAACTCCCCCGACGTCCCCTCTACCCAGCAACAACGCTTTGCAACCTCCATCAATGCTTTTGGACTGCACCCGCCGGCGGCATCCTCACCCGCCCTCGCCAACGCACTCCTTTCTTCCCGCGAGGGCTATTTCGGCCTCACAGACCAGGCAGTGAGAAAAGTGCGCCGGCCGAGTATGCTGAGCTTGACGCAGAATGCGAGCTTCCAGTCGGACGGGACTCCGTCGGAAGGTGCTGGACCGCGGTCGCCGCTGGATGGGACGTCGAAGCAGTCGTCGGGAATGGCGGAAGACAAGGCGGGACAAGCGGGGGAGGGTAGGATGGTGATGGACATGGTGCAAGATCCGTCGAGCAGCAATGCCGTCAATCAGTTCTCGTCAACTACGTCGCTCGATGGGCCTTTACAGCCCACCCCTCGATGGCCATCAGGCGGGTCTTTCCAAGATTCTTTCCTCAGACGATCTACATCCACATCGACCATACCCATAGACGGTCTCAAAACATCTACCCCGCCAGCTCCTTTAGACCCGTCCGACGCCCAACGGCAGCAAAACGGTCAAGATACAGAGATGGCGGGTACTTCCCCACATGGAGAAGGGCTGAAATGGTCTCCCTCTACCCATACCGAGACACCAAATAATCACAAGGGTAAAGGCCGAGAGTCTCGGACTTCGCCCAACTCTAGCAAACTACACCAACCGCCCTTTACCGGCCGACCCTTACCCTCCGCTCTCCTGCAGACGCTCATATCCGAGTCTGCGCCTCTCGAGCACGAGATCCAGTCCGAAGCACGCCTCCAACGCTTGCTCATTTCCCATCCCGCCAAACTCCCCCTCACGCCCCGGGCACCACGAGGCAGCAGAGGCCGCTTCCCCGAACAAGTTGGCGGCGATGACGACGACCCGGACGCCACATTCCCGAACACATCTTCCCTCTCTGCTCTTTCCCGACGGTGGGGGAGAGATGACTCGGATAGTGATTCGGATGACGAGCATGATGAGACGGTGGGCGGGGAGGTGAATGCGGCGTTCGCAGCAGGGATGGACATGGACCGCCCGGGTTCGAGTTCTTCCGCAGGATGGCAGACCGTCCTCGACCGGCGAGAACGTGAAGACAGCGGGAAATCGACGACTCCAGGTAACGATCATCGTTCGTCCACTGGTAGTGCTGGCCAAGCAGGCTTCCCATTCCCGCCGAATGTACAACAGGTATTTTCTACTCCTGCGCCGAATTCAGGTCAACAGCAACCTGGGACATTGAAGAATGCTCGGCTGAATATGCCCAATTCGGCTGGTGGCGTGGGGCCTTCTCCCGGATACACTCTGCCGAATGCTTTTGGGGGTCTGGGAATGGGCACGCCGTTGGGCAGTCCAACAGTGGAGCGAGGCGAGGTGAGCTTTTTTCGTTTCCGTCTCCCGTGGTACTGTGCTGATTCAAACTAGCTTGCTGGGTCGCCGAATGCGTCCATGTCTTCACCTGGTCTGATGCAGTATCGCGAATCGGGAAGTACCGGTATGCGCATGGGCAAGAGAAAAGGTAAGACTTCATCTCAGTCAACTCTACACCCAAGCTAACATCACTACAGCCCAAGAAGACCGCTTCGACCCCTACAAACGCCCCCGCGGTACATCCCCCTCCGCCAACCTCCTCTCCTCCTCCCCATTCCCCCTCTCCCCATCCCGCCAGTCATCAATCCCCATCCCAGCCTCCCCTTCCCATCTACCAATATACCCCTCCTCACTAGGGTCCATCACGCCTCTGGGGTCGACCCTGGGCAACGGGCGTGGTCAACATCCGTCTGCCTCGAGGCCGGGCCATCCTTATGCAAGACCTATAGCTAGTCGGTCTCGGGCGGCGAGTCCGGCGCTCAGTATTGGGAGTGGGGCAGGAAGCTTGGGGTCGGGCAGGGGGTTCTTGGGCCAGGGTGGGTCGACGAACGGGAATGGGAATGGAAATGGGAATGGGAACGGCCATCAGGGGCAAGGATCTCTAGGAGGCTTGGGCTTGCTTAGTCTCGCCAATAGAGTCCGGGAAGAGGAAGAAGAGGATGTAGACCCAGGTCCAGGGCGGAAACCACACACAGGAGATGGGGAAGGCGAAGGCGTGAAAGAGAGTGATAGGATGGAGGAAGATTGAAAGGATTATATATAATTCGTTGTAGACTACTTGTTGTTGTGCAAATTGCACCTCTTCCCATGTACGCATTATCCAAACACTCTCAAAATCGACAGTGAATTGGAGCAACACATACGATTCATAAAAAAGTGCTCATGGTGACTGCCATCTGAGCGCTACCAGCCGTGTCAACATGATACATAACAGCCAACTAACACCCAGATGCCATATGCCCCTGTTAGATACATAGTCCTATCTGTCAACGAACAACACCTTCCCGCTTCTCTTTGTACAAGTAGCTTGGTATACTGCAGCTGTAGTTCAAGTGTATGATACATAGAACAGATATCAATACAAGCTCTAAAAGCTCTAATGATATACAAAGACACAGCCGGCCCGCTCATCTTCCACCCTTTCGCCGTCAAGCAAGAACGATCCAAGCAAAAATGTGAGGGGCAGCTCGCTGGTCCACCGCTACAAGACGCGCAACTCACCCACACACTTCGCCAAACATGGACTTGTTCTAACTCCTTCCCTTCTCGTGTCTGACGCATCCACCCCCTATCTGTGAAGCGAAGCAATCATTAGTCTTTGCTCTGGAACGAGAGTAGATATCATCGATTCACTGACTCACTGTTTCTTCAATGTGTTGCAGTCCGCCCATCCGTTCAACTTCTCCGCGATGAGACTCAGCAGCTCATCTGGGATCACGCATCCCCCAAAACCCACAACGTCGCGCAAAAAGTCGCCAGTAACAGACTGCCGTAGACCCATCTTTTGCAGCACCGCTGGTCCTCGCAGGTCCTTGATGAGCCCTTCGCACAAGATCACCACACGTCTCTTGAACCTGGGCATGCGCAAAATCTCCTCCTCTGCCTCAAGCATGAGCTTGCTCACCTCTTCATACTGATGTCTGTGGAGCCCATACCTAGGAAGGTCGAGATCAAGCAGTCCGGGGTCGGTGAGGAAGGACGTTGCCGCTTTGATAGCTGCGTCATGATTGGAATGACGAAGAGCAGACTTCTCAACCTTGCCTGAGCCTACGAAAACAGTCAGCGGCGCTCGCTCGCATGAGCTGATAATCAGTCAAGTGATAACTCACCTAACAGCTGATCAACCTCCTCCAACTCTTCCCACCCCTCAACAATCTCCTTGCTCCTCCTCAGATCTGTGAAGATGAAGACATTGGCTGGCGCGTTGTCTCGCACAGCACGCCCTCCCTTCTGGCACAAATCGTTTATGTTTGCTGCACAGCCATAGAACACACTATTGCGGAACTTGGGGACGTCACACCCGATACCGAAAGCATCCGTGGCGCACAGGATCCTGGTCTCGCCCGACCTCAACCTCGCCATGATCGCGTCTCTTTCGTCCGCCGGAGTCGACGAGTGGAACGTATCGACGACCTTGTTGTGGTTGACACCAATCAGCATCATGAGCAGAGCGCATGATTCGTTGCACTGCGTCTTGGTTCGAACGAAGATGATGGTCTGGGGGACGGCTGCGAGGGAGAGGATGGCCTCGTGGTACCGGGGGAGACGGGCACCAGGTGTCAGGTCGTAGCCGACAAGCTCTAGGAAGAGGGCAATAAGCTCTTTGTACGTCCGTGTGCCTTTGACCATGGGACGTAGCTACAATACACCATCAGCTTTATACATGGAGAGGACGATAAACGACCGCTATAACCGCAAGACAACTCACATGGTACGACAGGTTGTCCCGGTCCGGTCCGGTATCAATGATAGTCATCGTGGCGGAGAAGGCCCCCCAAGGGAAGTCAGCGCCAAGAAGGTGGTCAATCCCGCCAAGCCGAGCTTGGGGAAGAGCAACGGACGTGGTGTGATGTCAAGATAGCCCGAACGAAGGTTGTCGATGTATCGCTGGCGTGATCTATACTTTACTTTATGTCGAAGGACGGGCAACAGCTTGATAAGCAGGCTATACAAGGTGGTGAACGACGATGCTGATCAAATGCTGGTGTCGTTTGCAGGCTCTCGACGGAGTTTTTGTTAGCGATGACGAGTCACGACGGACGCGACGCGACAAGCTCGGTGTTCTTGCGCTCAGCGACTTGGGCAGCTATCTCTAGCTGGCCTCGCTGGTCTTGCGGCGTTGGTGGGTCCATGTCTCGTCCACCCGATCCCACCTGGCCGTCGCATGGACTCTGCTCCTGTCCGCCCGCCTCTCCCGGCCAGCACCGCCTCCCGCTCGACAACAACGCTCAAGTTCATCTTACGTTCATTCTCATCACTACCCATCCATACATATACTCTGCACGTATCTCCATCTCCCAGCTTTCGTCTTCACTATCCACATACCCGTATGTCCATCCCGAGCCAAGTACATACATCCCTAGGCTCACAAACCGGTGCTCTTCTAGAACAATCCATAAGAGACTGTCACTCTCCAGCTCATCCCCGCTGGCGACTTGCTTCAATCAGCTTCAAGCATAATGCCTCCCTCGGGCCCTTCAAGGTCGACAAAGATACCGGAGTGTTTGATTCCAACATACTCGGGCCGTAACGAAAACCCCTACCGCCATCACTTTGAGCTACGCACCGCCGACCCCATGGCAATCATGCCTCTGCTCTACTGGGCATTCGCTGCGTTCATCGTCTTCCTCACAGCCTTTGCTGGGGTTACCTTGCAAGCCGTGCTCGAATACCTTTTCGGTATCGCGGGAATCGAACGTCTTGTAGAAGACCAAGAGCTCCTGCGCAAGCAGCAAGATGAGCGGGACAAGGCAAATCCCCCGAGTTATCTCAAGGATGCCAACATTGGGAAGATCTACCGCCATCAGCTGGATGGCGAGTGCTACCAACAGGGCGGAGCTACTGCAGATGTACACCAGAGGGGATGTCTTGTCTTGACTATCACCATTCACATCGATTGGGCCGATCCATCGAAATTCAGAAATCATTCGCCACGCTCCATGGGTCCCATCCTTTGCCAGCTGGCCGATCTTCCAAACCAATATCGGTCTGGATCTACCTTTGCAATGTTGATGGGAATCACCCCTGCGCCCAACGAGCCGCCCGGATGCTTACTTCAACGGCTTCTTCTGGCTTTGGGGGTGAACATCCTTACTGGTGCATGCGATGGTATCTGGATCAGGACTCCTGCGCATCCTAACGGTGAGTCTTTCTGATCATTACTACGCAACGATGATGCTAATTCTCTGTTTGCAGGGCGCAAGGTATACATCAAGATTGGAGCTATCTGCTGTGATCGTCCGGTTGCGATAGCCTTAATCGGAGGTGGTCACTACAAAAGCAAAAAAAAACTCCTTGTTTGATGTGTACCATCCCGGCCAGTCAGCTGTCCAGCTCTTCCCCCTTCCCTGCCCATCTCGGATTCAACCACTCAGAGGCAATGCTCAATCAACAACGCGAATTCCTTCGCCAATTTGACGAGCTCCTCAGACGTCGTACCAGACACATATTTCTCGCCGCGCTGGGCGGATATCGCAGGCCACCCAAGTGTATCTTGAGGGTGTGGAGAAGTCTGTGTTCAAGGTCCCAGGCCAACTGTCTATCTCCGATCTTTTCCCGGGCTTTGACAAAATTCGTCACGCTGTCGCAGACCCCATGCACGCTATCCTGGAAGGGGTACTGCCGTACTACATCCGACGCGTGCACATCATGGGATCGAATGTCGGCCTGCATTCCGTCGCTCTGCCGATCATCTCGCACCTACCAGGTCAGGGATTCTTTGGAGCGTGGTAGGCCACAAGCGTCGGTCAAGGGATGGAGCTATGATGACAGAGAGGCTTTACGCCGTGACTCAATGGTTCAAGTGGCAGGGAGAATATGGGCAGGCGAACGGATATCGGTATAATCAAGAGTACGTCTCATCATACGCTGCAGAACAGAGTTTCTCAGACTTATATTGCGTTGTAGGGCCACATTGGACATATATTCGTATTCCGACAGTGTACTAGACGACCCCTTCTTCTTTGAGATTCGGGCTGCTACCATAGGTTACCTTCATCCTCTTGCTTTAGTTTGGGTTCCTGTGGAACCGAACAGACCCACTGGTCGGCAGTTCATCCTAAGCATCCCTATCGCGCGCGTAAGTCTCGTTGCTGTCAGGTCTGATCAGTGCTAATTGGAGTTACTAGCACACATAGCCAGTCTATGATTCCTTTTCTGTTTCTCCGCACAGTCTCGCAGCTCGTGTTTGGTATGTCTCTCTTCGGCTATGATCGGTTGAATTGTGAACCCCTTCTGACGAATATGAACCACAGGTGCATTGCTTTCAATCGACACTGATATGTAACATTCCCTTCGACAACTAACAAAAGTAAAGTGACTATGAACACTCTTGAGTCGGCGAAAGGGGAAGATCCTCATCACCATCATCGTCAAACCCGACATCAGCATAATCGTCGAAACCGCCCCCATCCGTCGGCAACGTGTACTCTTCCTCGGGTTCGACCACCCTACGCCGCCTGCCTGTTGACGCCGACTCTTGTTCGAGAAAGGCTTGCGGATTATCGAAGCGTTCCCCCTGACGAGCGGCGTTGATCCTCATATGATACGGCACGGCGTCGTGTCTGCGTCGGCCCTGCCACATGCTTCTGAGACAGTGGCTCTCGACACAAGGAGGAAGTTCGAGATGCTTCTCAATGACCTTTCTCAGGATCCATCTGGATGGGTGTCATGGAGGAGTTGCCGAAATGTCGGCAAGCGGCGGCTTGTGGCCACCAAGCTTGTAAGTTAGCTGGCAGGTGGAAGATGTCGGTCACGGTGTGGCCGCCTCTTCTAAGCGATTGCTGCCACAATTCGAAGGCGGTCCATACAGCAAGACGAATCTTCGTTGGCCATGAGCGACTTGTCATATGATATGCTGACGATGATCACAGCTCAGTCAGCGTCAAGATCCTTCATCCAAAACCCAACCACTTACCAACCTGGTCCTACCCTCAACATTCTTCCGCTCCCTCTCCTCGACGCTCACTGGGTTTCCGTTTTTTCTGTCGATGGACTCAGGATACATCACCGCTCGATCTCTCACTTCCACCTCTGACGGACGCGCCACACCGGCCTTCTCGAGGATCGCCTGGTTAGAGAGACAAGACTCGATCGCCGCTTGGACCAGATTTTCAAAGCTGGACTGCGTCAATACAACCATTTTCAACACACCAACAATTCAAATTTGACTCATAATTTGTTCTTTAGGTTCCCCCAGTCCGGCCTCCTCAGCACCCTGCCCTCTGACGTTTGGATATACCCATTGGGAGCTTCCTCCTCGTCATAGTCGGGCCACATTTCTGGCGCAAAGTTGGCCTTCCTTCCCATTTCGGGCATCCCCATCAGACGGCGGACGCCAGCATGCACCCAGGACTACACGTATGGTGAGCACATGCCCACCAGACCTCTTTTCCGAATTAGACAAGCGTACCTCGAAGTCTGAGTTCTTCTCCCATGCCTGAGCCTTTCCTCTCTTTCTCTTCCTTCCTTCGCCGCCATTCAGCTTGCTGACAACTTGCTGCAGAGCTAGCATCTGCTCTTTGAGCTCGGCCGCTTCCTGCCGGTAAACAACGCGAAATGGCGATGGAGGACTTCAGGGAGGACACGAGCCAGTCGACCTTGTGGATGAGCTCCTGGTTCTCGTTCATGGTACGGGGGAAATGAAATTGCCATCTTCGCACACAAGGACATCAGGGTCACCAGGCGCAAGGTCGCGGTCTTGTCGAGGGCCGAAGCAGGCTGGACATTTCAGGGCTAGCTCTGTTGCCGGGGTGGTTTCGAAGATGATTCTCTGAGCCTCATCCTCACACAAGAGCATATCCCTATAGACTGCCAGGGTCTGCAGCATAGCTTTCTGCGCGCCTTTTGCCTGTCGGATGTCAGCTGAATGGCAACAAATAACGATGCACAACATACTCTATGTGACCCTTATGCAGCCTTGACTGTCTCAGACATGACTTCATGAAACTCCCAAAGAGCCAGGCCCAGTCCCGGCAGGCTCTGAGAATTGTTGCGCCAAAGTATGTCGATGAATATGAGAAGGTGCAAAGAGAATGCCATCTGGGGCTTTACCGGCGTGGCGGCTACAAATCCTGCCTCCATGAGCCGGATCGCTCTTTTCCCACACTTGCAGCACGTAATGGTCTTTGAAAGTTCTGGAGTTTCATCAGCTACATGAAACGTTGACTCGACAGTCGGCGCTCACGACCAGAAAATGTGACAAAGGCAACGTTCGCCCGTAATCGCTTGCAGTTGTCACGGCCGCAGCCGAGAGAATCTGGACAGATTGGATCCACCGAAACACCAGCGGCCATGCGGTCCACATACGCTGCAAACAGGGCAGGGCGGATCTGCGCCCAGGAATCCGTTTCTATGATCTTGTCGCGTATATGGGGGGAGGAATGTCGTCTTCTGGACCATAAGTCGGGCCGTAATATCCGTCGTCGTAATCACCACCTCCTAGATCCTCGTAGTATCCGCCTGATACACTGCCGGAAGCGTCATTGAGACCTGGTCTACGACTGGCCTCCTCAGCATTCCGTGTAGAGCTCTGTGGTACCGCCTGATCCCGGTTGCCGATAAGTCGTGTAAACTCAGCGTTTAGCTGACGACCGGCATCCACTCCGTGATGTACAGTGTACCCCAGAGGCGCAGGCATGTCGGATTTGTGATATTTGTGGCGCTCGTATCCTTCATCTTTGCTCTCTTCAGCAGGCCGTTGTGGTCGTCTTTTCATCTTGCCCGCGACGTAAGGGTGTATGAAGCGCCTGGTTCTGGCATCCATAAACTCCATGCTGATCGCTGCTGACGGAGTCGGGTTGCGTTGGATGGCGGATGGCGGATGAGTGAGAAAGGTATGCGAGCACCACTGTAGTAAAGTATAGATGGATGTTTGCCAGGTGATTATCAGTCACGCAGTAGCAATGCAGTCGCCGAGCCATGAAGGTGCAAAGTGGGGGTGCATGATCAAAGAATGGGGCTTTTCCTATGAACGGGCAAATTCCTAGGAAAAGGGGGGCCTTTTACCTATTTGCGAAAGCCACCGAGGAAGTGAAAAATACTTCCGTCAAAAGCCTTTTTGGTAGATACGGACTTACGGTAACTTGACAAGGGTGTCCCGTGGACAGCAGGCAAAAACGTTACGTCATCTGGTACCGCGAGTCCTAAATGGGGGGTGATTGCCACAATCCGACAGACTGGCTAAAGCACCGCAAACATCTCTTTCATCTTTCATTTTCCATCTCGTTCATCATTTCCTATCTCATCCACACCCTTCGTCTCAATGGCCGATGACATGCCCCACGATGTCCCCTCCGCTACTGTCCGCCTTATAGCTTCGGTTCCCCTTCTTCCTGTCACGTACGATACAGATTACCACGCAGGTGTCAGCCAAACATCAGCCAAGAATCGAAACGCGTACTTACAGCCTTTTCGACGTGCGGTCTGTCAACATGACCCCGGGCTGCTCCGCCAGATCTTCCACAACAACGTGTATCCGGTCCCAGATGCCGATCTGGATCTGTCCATCGCAAACGAGGCGGCCGTTCTTATCCGTAGACATGGCGCAGAGCGCCACCATCGCAATCTACCGGGCGAGATCGGCCTGCAGAGATTGATCGCCACCTTCCTGACCAGTATATGCGAGTCACTGGGAGAGAGGTCGTCCGAACCTCAAATGCTCTCGCGTTTGTGGGATTTTGACAGCCTCCGAGGCATTTGCACCGACATCATCCTACGAACCAACTTGACTCCGAACACAACGATTGTTGGCATCGAGGTGACATCCAGCCCAGAGCTGTCGGTGGAAGAGATGAAGATGCTCGTTGAAGCAGTCCGTCTTCGTTTGGTGTCGGTAGGGCATGACATGAACGGTAACCTGATCGTGAAAATTGATTGGGACCGTATGCCGGCAATGTACCAGCCCACTAGGCGGAACGACCGAGATCACCAAAAGCGGGTTTGCGCTATCCTCGGCCAGGTACGTGTATCTAGGGACACCTGCGCTTCATGTTGACATTTTGCTCCAGGTTATGTGTTATCTCGTCAAGTACCATAGCAACCACGGCGTCATTACGAATTATGAGGCGTGGATTGCCCTTCACGTAACCGGAACGCGCGACAATCCCATCCTACAGGTCTCGGATGTACTCTACAGAGAGGATCAACCGACGGAAGACTCCCCTTGGTCCTCTCCGTTGGGATTACTTCTATGCTATCACTTCCTCCGAGACCCAGGAGAAATTGTTCTACCCGCCGTGTCCAAGCCAAGAACAGCCGCCAAACAAGGGGTCTCACGAGGACGCCGTCCGAGGGGCACAGGCGGTCCTGCCAAGATGCGATCGTCGCAGCATCCTACCCCTCGATCAGAGGCCGGGCTTCCCAGCAACCGAATCGGCGAATCCTTCGAACGGAACGCCCAGCATGATGGGACCTGCTCAACTGCCAGTGCTGGCTATAGTTACGGGCCGCAACAATCACCTGCGCGGAATATGGTGCGTGTTCAGGTGAGGCTGATATCTCAGCCGTACGTTGACGACAGTATAGGTCACCCCACCGCTCACTCACTCGTCGACCGGCACTGATTCCAGTCCAGTGAGTCTTCTCTATCCTTTCTGTAAGTTTTGACTGACGTCACCTTAGGAACAACCATCTCCAAACGACATTCCCATCAAACGTCCTTTCCAGATTGAGGGCTTAGGGATTGAGGGCTTAGGAGTAAGTCTGTCTCACTATATATCGGTTGTTGCAAGCACAGATACTGATGCAACGTATAGAGGCAGGACGAACGTGCTCCTTCCGTCAAAGATAACGTTCTAAGGGGTCTGGGTTCTCATCCGGCAGGGGTCAGCCTCGTTCTCGACTTTGATCGCATACAACTGTCGCAAGCCGTCGTCGGCAAGTGCCGTTTCCTTCACTTGATGCCGAGCCCCAGTCTTCCCTTCCTAAGGCTAGATCGACACAATGAAGCCGGATATCTCCGTCATTCTCTGTCTAACAAGTATCCCTCCGACGACATGATTCTCTCCGATGCTATCGAGCACGATCCTCCCACATCCGGCTTTGTTGTCAGCGACGGCCTTTCGCATGACGTTAACGGATACTCGCTTGCGTCTCATACGGACATTTGCTCGACCACGACAATAATCTTGGAGGAGCCGTTGGACTCTGGGGCTGTATGGGACGTTTACTACGCTTCGTCTCCACTCCAGACATGCGTCGTCAAAGTCTCGGCGCCGGAAGCCTTTCCGGATGACTCTGATGAGCCAGTGTATATCCGTGCAGAGGCACTGCAGTTGATCATGAGGGAGTGGATGGTTTACAACACGAAGCTCCTCGATCTACAGGGCACAGTAGTCCCTAGACTGTGGGGGATGTGGAAAGGCAGCCAACCCCACCCCGACGGCGGCACGATTGACCTGTACATCTCCGTGATGAGCAATCCGGGCTGCATGCTGACCTGCAACGAATCGGACTATAACGCGGAGTCTGACTGCAACGAATCGGACCATAACGCGGAGTCTGACTGCAGCGAATGGGAATATAACGGGGAGTCTGACTGGAGTGTAGAAGAAAAGTGAGTGTTGAAGATTTCCACAACATGTCGCGGTGGTCGTTTGGACCCGGCTGATCTTTTTCAGAATGGTCATAGTGGCACAGTATACACGGCTGCATAACGCCGGTGTGCTCCACGGTGATGTCTCGCCTAGACATTGGATCAGAGCCGCTGGTGTCCCATCGCCAACAGACTCGACCTCACTGCCGACACCCTCCATTTTCCTCATCGACTTTGGATTGAGCGTGACTATCGATATGCTTGGGAAAGCGGCATGGGAGCAGAAGACGAGGAAGGAAATGCAGCTGGTTAGGAGTTTCCTTCACCTTTGAGCGATGCGTGTGGTGGTAGTCTACGTTTCGAGGCTGTGAAACAGATTGACCTTATGTATATTCAACGACTATGACGATGACCGCAACGCCTGTAATGATCAAAGGCAACCTTCGATATTCATGATGTATCTTCTCCTGGATAGTTTGATACGTATCTCATAAGTCACCCAAGGATCCCCAAACGCAAAATGAATGGTCGTTCGCGCTCATAGAGGATGCACGATGCACCACGCACTCAGGTCCTCTCCCGCGGGATGTTTACGTACGCAGGACGTTGTGTCGAGCCACGCAGGCGCCCTACTAGGTCACTTCCCCTGGGGGGGTGGGAAGGGCTTGTGTCGAGCCAGAGGTCAATAACGTCTGCCGGCTCGGCATAGTCAGAATCGGGATCTGCCTCGGCTTGCTATGAAAACTATAGGGGTTTGAAGATCAAAATATTCATGTAGCAATCGTCTACTAGCGCTAGGCTTTGCCTTGAGTAGGGAATCGTCGGCCTTTCCCTCTAGGCCATTCAGGTCTATCGCCGTCCCCCCTCAACATGGCCTCATATCTTGGCATCTTGTCGATAGGGACCCAAGTCCAGTCCTCAGGCGTCACCTCTGAAGGCTTTGTTGCCTGTTGTTTACTTGCTGTCGATGGTGGAGCTGAGGATGAGCGCCTCTGAGCAGATGATGCGTCACTTGCAGTGGGCTTTGTAGAAGTAGGCTCAGAGGTGGACTTTGAGCTCGAGGGAGAAGGTGAAGGGACCGGAGAGGGAGATGTGGATGCTGCTTCCTGTGAGCTCGCGCTGGATTTCGGGGTGCTGGGGGATGCTGGGCTCTGGGGCGGAGTCTATGAACGATGGTCAGATTTCAACAGAAGAGAACTAGCATTGGCTTACAGGTTCTTTCTTTTCACTTGCGCTGCTACTCGTTTCACTTGCCTGCTCGCTGCTGCCGCTTCCCTCTTCCCTCTTCTTCTCCGAGGCCTGCATTCTTGCCTGTATCTTTGAGGCAATCTGGGCTAACGTTTGTATTGCAGAGGCCCCACTTTCAAAATCTTCCCCCCAATCAATGCTATCTACTGCCCGGGAAACCTGCGAGGTCAAGTAACGAGTCAGATCCTTTGGTCTCAGACCTTTTCTTTCAGATGAGGCATCATCGGATTCGTGGGAGGTGGAGGACGAGGGCGATGATGGGGATGATGTGGGTGTCTGGGATGAGCCGCTATCTGTCGACATGTGAAATCAATGAGATCGGGTTCTCTTGGTGCTTTGGTAGCTGCCTTTGGGGTCAGTGGGTTATGGATACAGTATAGGTCTCCGACGCTGCGCTCTTGTGGTAGACAAGAACCAGTACGAGTACAAAGGGGAGACTTGACCGCCACTGATGAGAAGGAAACTCCTTTGAAAGGGGAACTCCTTTTTTGAGATAATGACGCCGCCTTCGGGAGCTCTCCGCGTCCATCATCTGGCTTCTTGCATCTAGAGCCCTCTAAGTACGAACGGGGTGTGGTATCGCATCTCACGCGACCTTTGAGGAAGGGATATATACTCGATCCATGACATTTGACTGATTTGACTTCTTGTATGGGTGACACCGTTCAGTATGTAAAGCAGTTGCATACAAGTACACGATGATAATCACACACAATAGCGTTTCTGATATCTGAGTGGGTCTGGTTCATGTACACTCGCTGCTGCCCGCATGTCCATACACTCCGAGCCTTCACTTTCCTTCGTCATCCCTGCTGCTTCACCACTTTGCCCGATGATCAAGACGAACCACCGACGCATTCAGCGAGGGCGGTGAAGTGATCTCCGCCGGATTGGCCGTTCGAATCAGTAATCAAAAGAGTCAGCAAGGGCACGACAAGGAGAGGAAACGACTTATTGATTGGCACTCCAGACCATCATACCTCCGACCTTACTCTTCCAAGTGCTGCAAACCGAAGACATGTCGCTCGGCTCAAGCCAAGTCCAGAATGTCTGGTTGTCTTCGTCGTACCAAGCCTGCGATACATCGTCGGCGATCTCGGTGCTGCCGTCGGTCGGGCGCGCTTCAAACTGAGGCCTGACCTTCTCCATCCAGGTGGTACCGTCAGTACCAAGAGTCGAGTCCAAGTCAGAGTTGAATCGAAGCCAACCGGATTTACGGTTATCTTCCCCATCGTCTTCGTAGTAGGACTGTCCAGGAAGAGTACAACCGATAGGGTTGTCGGTGGTGCAGTTGGTGACGCCGGTAAAGTACTTGGCGTTCATGGCGAAACCAATGTTGACCTTGTCCATATCGATTCCTTGCTTCTCGTAATAGTCCATGACAGTCTCGACGACTCTCCCGCCGCCCTGCTGCTCAGTCTTGTTGCTGTATCTGTTGACATAGTCGTATGTCATGACATTCCACATGTCAACGAGATCCGTGAGCTGGCTGAATGTGTCGGTGGTGTAGGCAGCGGCGTCTGTCGTATCGACTCGAGCACCGAGGGCAACCGAGATGATACTGTCATCGGGAAGACCGGCCTTGAGCTTTGTGAGGAACGTGACGAGGTTGGGGACATCCGACGCAGCAGGGAATTCTGTCTCAACGTCAGCCTGGTGAATGTGCTTTAATCAGTGTCGACTCACCCCAGTCAATATCAATGCCGTCCAAGTTGAACGCTTTTGCAAAGGCCACAGCATTGTCGACAAAAGTCTCTATCGTAGAATCGCCTCCTTGGACGGCGGTCGCCATAGGGGTGTCGAGGCCCCAGCCACCCAGCGCCCCAGTGACCTTGAGACCGCTGACCATGCCCTTGAGCGTTGAGGCAGTCGGAGAGTCAAAGTTGCCATCGCTAGAACTCTCAAAGGCCATAGCTGCGCTATCGACCTTGGTAGCCCAAGAAGTCATATCGGCGAAAGCTAATTGTGGTGTCAGCCACACGGTCATACGAGAGGTTTAAACGTATCGTACAAAGGATTACGTGAGTTGCTCCAGTGAGCTGAGATGCTTCGACACCCCCCATATTGGCATAGCTGTAGAACAAATAAGCATGGTCTTCATCTCGCCTCCGCGGTATACTCACTTATCCCAGTAGAGGACATAGCGCGTTCCGTTCGAGCTGGTCGAGGTCGAATTGGTTGTGGTGGAAGCAGTCCCAGAGGATGCAGCTGCACTGCCGGTCGCACTGCCTCCCGATGCACTGCTCCCGCTGACACCAGACGCTGACGAGCCCGCTGCCCCAGAAGAGCCCGCAACGGCAGAGCTTGCGGCCCCGGCGGAGGTGGCCGCAGCTCCAGACGCCGAAGACGCACCCCCGGCGACTGAAGAAGCCCCGCCAACGACGGCCGAAGAGGACGCCCCGCCTACGACCACCGAAGAAGATGCCCCACCAGCGACAGAGGCAGAAGCGCCGACATCTTCGGCACTTGTGGCAGCTGCAGCCGAGGTCACACCCGTAGCAGCTCCGCTTCCTGAACTTCCTGAACCTCCCGTATCTTCTGCTACAGCAGCAACGCCCACGGCGCTTTGATTCATCAGCCACGTCCCTCTTCCACAAGAGAACTCACGAGGAAGAGGAAGAAGGCCAGACACAAGGGTTCCCACCCGCATCAGCTTGACAGACGGTGCCAGTGGGACACGTTTGAGTCTGATAATCGTCGTGCCACTGGGAATCACTATCACAAGTGACGCTAGTGCTGGACTGTGGAGCCGGCGCTGCTTGGACGGCCAAGCCGGTCAAGAGGGCAAACAGAGTAGCAGCTTTGAGAGTCGGATACATGTTGAAAGTATGGTAATTGGCAGTCTTGAGCGCTTGGCTGTATCAAAAGAGTGTGGATGAGCAAAGACCTGCTTTGTTCAGTGTTCAATAGATCAACAGCCTAATCGCTGCATCAGCAATAAACTCGGCTTCCAGAATGTGATGAACAATGCTACTCACTTTAGTATACACCTGACGGAATGGGCTGCGGCAAAGTCAGTCCATTAGTCGCACTTTATATATCGTTCCAAATGAGACCGGCCTGGCGATCATAAAGGACCAGTCACTCAAAGGCTATCCTATGATCTCTAGCACTTTTCTATCACGGGGAATAGGGACAAAGGGCCCTTCGGTCAGTCTGTATGACCGACGTCAATCGTATCCTTTCCAAAGGAGGAGTCGCTTGGGATGCTTTGTGAGCTGCGCCAGATGTGTCGTGTCAGGGATGTATGGTGATGTTTGGCGAGAACTGATTCTATATTTGTTTGCCAAGAGTCAGGGACAAAGGTGGTCAAGGCCATTTCGAGCGATGTGACCGACCCGTCGGAGGCTACTTGGAAGCGCTGCACAATATGAGGCTGTTACACCCATCCATTCCGAGACGTACAATGCGGATACCCAATGCCGCATGAGCTACCCAATACAATTCCTCTTTTGAAATCTATTCGTCATCGTTCCTCTCGCCTCTACGTTCCTCTTCACCCGTCTCGCCCATGGAAGCGCCGACGCCCATTTCGACATCGACCGGCTGGTAGTAGCTTTCCACGTCGGGTGCTCGAGGAGCTTCCCATGCTGTCCGGATGATACCAGTCTGTTCTCGGATCTGGTCCGTCCCCAGAGCAAGGGCCTGTTATAACATGAGCATAGTCCCCCAAGTATTGACAACGGATGCGCACCTTTTCAGCCATTTCTCTCTGAGGATACGAGATCCTCAAGCTCCCTTCGACGACTTCGACCGCCCCTCCAGTAGACTCGTACCAATCGACAGCAACCTTCCTCGTCCCTTCGTCGGCGAGGTTGTCGCCCGAGACGACAATTGTGCGCGAGCGATTGTCGAGTGTGTGGACGGAACGACCGCCCCGGCCTCGGCCGCGACCACGACCACGGGGTGCGTAAGGCGAGTATCGTGGGGAAATGCCGTAGGTATTCGCCTGGACGTATATCAGTAATGCGACCAATGTCACGAATATTTGTACGCACCTTTTCCTTCAATGAAGCCAGCTGGCTACTCAGCCGGACAAGCTCTGCATCGCTTCCCTGCTCCATGCCATGCGCCGCCAATTCCTGGTCCAACTTGGCTTTTGTCTCGTCTATTTCCATCCCCTCGGGCTTTGGCGGCGGGTTATTCAACACTTCGATTTCTTTCGCAATCGCCTTCAGCCTCTTGAGAATCGTCAATTTCTCCTCCTTGGTAGACTTGCTAGCGCGAGCAAGCAAGATCTTTTGCTCGGCCATGAGCGGCTCTTTCTTGGATTGACGTTCCCGATGCTCGAGCTCGGCAAGCGCTGCCTGTAATCGCTGCTCCGGCCCACTAAACTTTGGCGGCACCTTCTGCCCCCCCTCACCCGCCTCGATCTTCTTCATATTCTCCAACAACGTCCTACTCGCCTCCAACGCCTTCTGCCCAGCTGCCCCCTGTCCAGGATGAGGTCTATGCCAAAGCACCTTCACATGCCTATTATCAAAGATCGCCTGATCCGACTTCCACGCCTGGTACGCCTCGAAATTCGACGTAAAACTGACCAATGCGCGAGCGCTCTTGGCGTCGATGGCGACGTTGGTGACTTCGCCGAATTGGGAAAAGTAGTCTTTGATGGAGGGGATGGTGAGGTTTTGACGGGGGATGTCGGAGACGACGAGGGTGTTGCCGTTGCGGTCTTTGGGGGGTTCGCGGTTGCCGAGAAAATTCTCGTCGGGTTCGGGGCGGCCGCCCCGGCCGGGATGTCCGCCTCTACCCCTTGGTCCACCTCTTCCTCTCTGAGGGAATCCAGGGGGCATGCTGGGCATGCCAGGGAAGCCGGGGGGCATACCCATGAATGGAGGGAAGAAGCCTGGGAACATCATATCCGGGGTAGGGATCAAGACGTCTTCAGAGTGTTCGAATTGACAGTTCGCTCCGCGCATACAATAGCCTCTTTCTATGGACACTATGAGTACAGTCCGTGGATAAAGAGAGACGACGCACCATGATAGTCACGACACTTTGGCCTGCCCGACTTGCCCACTGCAGCCGTGGCGTCCTGCATAGACACATCCTCTCCAGCGGGTGCGCCAGACGAGGGGCCAGCCGCGGGGAATTGCGGATGGTATTGAGGGATATCTACTGCCGGACCTGTTGGTATAGGAAGTGTCGCTACGGGGGCAGGGACAGGGGTTGGTACCGCTGCGTTGTAGGATTTTGTGGAGAGGGCTGTGAAGAGGGTGTCTACGAAGGGTGCAGAGGCTATCACAATGTCAGCGGTTACCTCATTGTAGCTACATGGATACATACAAGCTTCGAGAAAGTCTGTCAGTTCTTTCGTGATGAACTGGACATGACATGATATCGTCAGTCTTGACCAAAACAAGCTCTGTGACCACTCACGTCTTTCCACTCTGCCTCCTCCATCGAAGCATCATGCTTTAACAGCGCGATGATGTAGTCGGAAAGTACAGCTGGATCGGCATCGCATCTGCAGAGAGTCAGGACAACTTTGCAAGTTAGGCGGCGACTTACAATGGCTCGATGGTTTTTGTGAGCCATGCCCGGAAGTCGGGGCTGTCGAGCTCATCGTTGAACGGCATTATGCTTAGGGGGTATCCCGGGGGTTGTTTCTGACTTTTGATAGAGAAGGATAGCGGACTTTACATGTCCATGTGCGATCTTTGGCTTGTCTTTGGCTGTTGCAGAAGTGCAAGCTGGTAACGGGAGCGTAAATAATTTTGGGGCTCCATCCTTCTAACTCTGTAAGTTCTCTGTCAACAACCACCAATCTGCTGCGATTGTGCAGAGTCTGAAATCATTCGTGCGCATACCCAACTCATACAGCGTCGGCAAGGCCTGAGTGATCGAGGACAGAACAGCTTGTTTGCTGGTTCATCGATGAAGACAGTAAGACAGTCTATGGCCTGGGATCCATCGACGCCAAGGTCTTATATCATTCACCCAACGCTTTTGCCACAAGCCACAACTAGCACGGCATTGTCAACATACCGGCACGACTTCCGTCGACAAATGATGTACCCAAACAGTGGCAGCGGGGACCTGGGCCGCAACACGACAGATGAAACACGACGACGAAAGCTACTCCCAACCTTCTTCTCACCCATCCATCAGAGTTTGTCAACTTCTTCGGCCCATCGCCACCTCAACAGGGGCGATGTCGTCGATGTGTTGCGATACAGTCACTATGCGACGGCAGGATCTACCGGTGACATGTAATGTGACGCATACGGCAATGCGTGGTGAAGTCTTGCATGGATGACTGACTCTCTCTTCACTCTCCATCCCACCCGATACCCTACCCAGGGAGCAGCAGAACCAAATACGACGAACAAGGCTCTCCCCCGCCACACAACAAGACACAGCTGATCCGAGCGCGGCCCTCGAAAACAAAACCGCAAAATGTCACTTCCCTCATCCTCCTCTTTCTCCAAAAATCACCCACCGTCCACCGGCATCAGGGCGACCTCCCACGACCACCCGCTGCTCACCCAGGAGGAGAGCAACACCCGCCACCGACGAGCGTCCTCCGTCTCGAAACCCCCGCAGCTCGTCTTGCCTACCGCTTGGGCGTTCCCGTTCCCGGCCAGAAACAACACCGAAGCAGGCAGCTCAAAGCCAAAGCCAGCGAGACCGCCCAGGTCGCCTCTGCGACCGAGTCACCCGAGTGCCAAGCGCCACAGACGCGCATCGAGTGCTGCCACTCCCAGCGAGCGGACCAGGACCGACTCGAGCTTAAGCTATAGCGGTATAGAATACCTCCGAGGTGTGCTCAGATCTTTCAGCCAGTCGTTATCGAACGATATCCAAGAGTCGGAAGAGTCTGACGAACAGGGTGTTGGACTCCAGCCTTTCGATCCCATTGAAGAAGCCCGTCATCGAAGAATCTCGTCGCTTACGCTACCCTACTTTCGAGAATCTTCATCGTTACGAACAGCCCACATATCCAACATGTCTCTCGCCGAGCAGCGCTCTACACAGCGCATAGTCGACGAGCTCCTGGGCGAGCTCGGTCCAGGCTCTCCCCGCGGTTCTCCCACTTTCCCCCAAGCACCCCCAAAATACCTCGACCAAGTGCGCAAACATACAGAGTATGGCCACCGGCGCACAAACTCTTCCCCTGGAGGATCCCTCACACCCGAGGGTGATCTCAGAGCTCGTACACTCAGCGGCGGCACGTTTGGACGGCTGGTCAGCGGGCCTGATTCGGATCGTGCTACGTTGAAAGGCGCGAGGGGTGGGACGGCGACGGCGCCGACTTCGCCTGTGCTCAATCAAGTGCGCTTGCCTTTTGCTGCTGCGCAACGACACGCTGAGCCTATTGCATCGCAAGAGTCACTTGCCAAACTTCCTGCGACGACGGCTCAGCCGGTGCTGCCTCTGCCGCCTACTCCGAGCCAGCCCCGAGAGACCGAGGATCTTAGCGCATCTCTGCCCCAGCCTCCTCCGCACGTTCGTACAACCGAATCATCCGTCCCCCCAGCTGGCCCGCCTCCCACTGGACTTCCTCCCCAGCCGCCTGTAGTCCCTATCAATGTGGCTCTTGCCGGAAAGCTTGCGGCGGTGGTTCAGATGATGGAGAAGGGTGATTCGCCGTCCAAGCGGAAAAACAGTGGAACCGTTTACAACGAGAAAGGCAAAGGGCGTGAAGATGCAGGCGAGGGAAGAGCGCAGACTGTGAGAAGAGGTTACATTGGCCCCGGAGGCATCATGCGTGCGTAAAGTAAACTCGTGGACAACAGGCCCAAGCTGACGTACGCACAGACCGTATTACATCTAGCCAGTCTTTGAGCAAGGTTCGCAGTGCGCTACCCTTCGCCAAACCGGCCGCACAATCAACTACCTCCATCCCCCTGACTCCGGGCTTCGCGACGACCCCCACTCCCACATCTACTACATTCCTGCGCCCCGCGCCGCCTCCACCTCAAACATCCACAGCCAACCATCTCACGTTCGCCCCGTCTTCCGCTCGAAACCCATCCCCCTCCCCAGCCCCATCAAAACAATCATTCCTCTCCCCCAGCGCCGAGTATGTCCCCAGCAGACTCCAACAGCCTACCCGCGGATCTACGAGAATGTCGGGGAGGCTTTCGCAGATGGGCTTACCAGAGGAGGATGTGGAGATGATTGAGATACCGAGGTTTAAGAAGAAGGAGTTGAATTTGGGGTTGGTGAGGAAGCAGGCGGCGGCGCAGAGGTTGGTTTGGTTGGGGTTGGGCGCGTTGTGGACTACCAATGGGTTGTTGAGCTTGGTGAGTGTATTCTAGGGGTATCAGGTGGGACTGACAGTTTGCAGTTCTTTGACGTCAATGTCATGTACATGCTCGTACAGTAAGTAGCTCGCTCGTGACTGTGATGAAGCTGACGAGATACAGGTGTGCCATTCACCCGTCTTTTGACGCGAGCAGTGCCAAGGGCTGGCAGTTCGCTGCTGCAGCTTATGGTATTCTTTGGGGTGTATCGACTTTTGTGGTGTGGCTTGGCTGGGAATTGGGCTACGAATTCTGGCGACGATGGAGACTTGGTAAGCTCACTCTTCTACAATGACCCGACCTAACAATACACAGACCGCCCCGCTATCGAGCCCATCTACTTTTCCCTTCCCGCCTCACTCCATCTCGCCCTCAAATCTTACGACCACTTCCTCTTCCTCCTCCACATCCGCACCTCTCCCCTCGGGACACCGTTCGCAAGAGACATCATCCCCGAAACGTGTTATGCGCTGGTGCAGCTGCTTCCGGGGCTGCTACCGTTATTGCCGAGGGCGGCTATTGCGGTGGTACTGTTGATCAGTTTTTGTTCACCCGCGACGGATGTCCAAGCGCCCTTTGGCGGGAGGGTCGACCATACCGCCGAGAGAGACGAGCATTTCTTCCGAAGCGACGCTGTCGGGCAGCTTACAGAGTACGCCAAAGGCGTCCTGCTGGCCTTCACCGTCTACATCGCCTTTCGCCTTTTTATCGTGCTGGGCTCGGCTATCGGTCTGTGGATGTTTTCAGGCAGACCTCTAGGCGGCCTCGTAGGCCACCGCTTCCGAAACCTCCTTTCCAAAACCAAACGCCACTCTACCATGAACCCTCCTTCAACCCCGCATAGACGTCGTCCGAAATCGTCTTTCCAGCCGCGCGATCCGAATCTCACACAATCGCCCCAGAAAAGCTGGGTTGACCATGAACATGCGTGGGATTGGGCTTGGAAAGAACGGACGCGGGCGAGGGTGCAGGATGCGTTTGAGCTTTGTATCGTGCGTGTTGAGGGTTCGGGTGTGGGGCCGCGGAATAGTATCTTTGCGGGATCGCGAGCTGGGAATGACGGGACGAGACGGGGCGAGATGCCTTGGGGCCGAGCGATGGATAGGGAGATGGGAACGCAGGAATCGATCCGGCTGGACGATAGGGACGCCAAGGGACCTTCGTACTCTGCCGACGACTTTATCCAGCAGATCACTACGGATAAGAATGCTTCCCACCTCACGCTTCCTCAAGTGTGGGAACCTCCCCGGCCCGAGTCGTCTACGCTCGAACGCCCGGTACGGCCCACCACCTCGCGGGCGGGGACGACGGCGACGACCAGTTCGCAAGATGTGTTTTACACGCCTACGAATGGCAACACGCCTGTCCTCGAAAAGAGCAGCTCATCTGCAGAAGCTGGTGCACCCAAAACCCGTGCCCCGCCGAGCGCATACAAGCCGCACGGGCTCGTGACCGAGTTCGGCGTCAAGAAAGAAGGTCGCGAGAGCCCCGACTCGGACGACGACGAGTCTGTCGGTTTACTGTCTGCTCATACGAGCCCGAGACATAGTTTACGGGTACGCACAATGTCGGGCGGGTCAAAGAGTCTGCGGGATAGGACATGGTCAAACAGTTCGCGCCGCTCACGCAATATCTCGGGCAACTCGTCTACCAACACATCCAACTCGCACTCTCACTCTGCTTCGTCGTCGTCTACCACCCGTCGTCGGGCGCATACCACCTCCCACCCGGGGTCTGCGGATTCTCCAAGGGCGAGGTCGAGCAGTATCACGATGAGTTGTGAAAGCCTAAGTAACGCCGCGTCGGTCGTTGGGGAGGGAAGTCAGGGTTTCATGAGGAGAGCGAGAAGCGGGACGGTGATGAGCAGTATGGATGGCAAGGTGAAGCGATATAGGAGGATGGACGGGGAGGAAAGCGAGGATGAGGAGTTGGCCGAGCATGGTAGTGAGTCTTGTCCCAGCTTGGACACACGGAGAAGCTGACGGTGGTAGGCCCGGTCACCCCGAGATCAAAACATGATACGACTATGGGCATGCCCTTTGGCGTCCCTCCATTATCAAAATAACGACCTTTACTCTTTAACGACAACACTAATGACTTTCCATGATTATAATGCCCCTGAAACGCTACCACACGATTATCTGTGATCCTATTTCATGTGAATGCTGGCCATGCTGGACGGAGGGAAGGGGTGCTAGAAAGCATCTTGGACGCAGGAAGGGAATGCTTTGTTTACATATTTACATTAGTATTGGAGCTGCTAGAAGATTTTTGAGGAATGGCAAGAAGATACGCGAGAAGCAACTTAAAGATATGCCGTCATCTTCATTGCATGGTCATCCAAGGTTCATTCGGTTCCCTATGACCACCTTCACAGATACATCGTAGCAGCTGACAGATAGCCGTGTACGTCTCATTCCCGGAAGCATGAGTGAGACTTGAAATACATTACTGCATTGATGGAGCGTGACTATCTAACTATTTGATACACCACTGATTAGTTTATGGATTGAAGGCGTTCGTTTCTTATATATACTACTGTACAACTAGATTTATGAAATCGTGCTTGTCTTGTAAACGTCGTTTGTCTCTATGTAAATTGGTCCCATCTCCTCTTCTTCAGGATCACACTTGCGCCGTTACCATTGTCGGGCGCCGAGAGCCGGGGAAGAATGTACCTATCCTCGGCTCTGCCTTCTCTGCCTTCTCCGCGCTCTTCTGGGGTAGACCCTGGGGCAGGAAATCACCGGCCGTTTGGGGAGAGATGCCTTCGAACGCGTATCCTGCACCTGTCAATACGCCTGCCCCAGTACGACGAATGGGACGGGCGGAAAAGCTGTCGAGAGCATATTTGACGAGACCGGATGTCACATCTTCTTTCCCCTCCATTTCATCTTCGGCCTCGTTTCGTAAAGAGGCCAAAGAAGAAGCGAGAGACGCTGCGCTGCCAGAACGCGCGGACTGCCGGGTCTGCCTGGGTGAAGGGAAGGTGCGGATGGGACCAGTTTGGATTCGGAGAGAAGATAGCGAGGATGCCAAACTCAATGGCGAGTCCGACTGCTCCAAAGTCCCGAATGAGCCGGAGGAAGAGTAGGCAGAAGCCGCCCAGCTGCAGATGGAAGAAGCAAAGCTGGATGCTCGACTCGCGTCGCTCGCCCATGATGCCCTCATCTGCTCAAACCTCCCCTCACCCTCTTCCTCTTCGTCGAGCTCCTCAAGGGATTCTGGTTCTTGCTCCATACGGAAGTCCCCGAATCCCTTTCCCTTTACATTCCCATGTTCGACCATAGGCAGAGGGTAGGAAGTGCGCAGAGGCGTGATGTAGGTACTCGACGCGGTGGTGGAGGTGAGAGGCGGAGAAAGAGGCACGGGGAGTTGGTTGCTGAATTTTGGTGTGACGAGCATATCGTGCGAGGGCGTGAGGTCCAAGTCAAGATACTCTGCCCTTGGACCCAGGCCTAGATGCTGCAAGTGCGGGTCGAGCTCGGGCTCGTCGTCGTTTTCAAACATAGATTCTTCGAAATCCATATCCACTGCAAAAAAGGTGGTTAGTCATCGGATCTGAAAATCGCGCTAACGAAACCCATATAAGGAAGAAACGCCCGAAGAAGTGCGAGATGGGTGTGAGAGAGTGGGAACGATTACTCACTATCGAATATCTCATCCGGGTCGAGGTCTGAGCCCCATGCACCAGGCAGCCACGCCAATTCGTCTTCTGCTGCTATAGTCGAACGGGTCCATGGCGTCTCAAGTACGAGGCGGGGAGCAGTGGAAGCAGTAGGGTGAAGGATGAGGGGGTAGGTCGTACGTGGTGGTTCAGAGTAAGAGCGGAAGAGGTCGAGGGCGACGACTGTAAAGAGTGAGCTTGGGCCCTACACAGGGAAGAGAAGAGGCGTACAAGTTCGAGCCTCTTGGGTCTTGTCGGTAGAAGATGTTGCGCGTGAAATTGGCATTGCTATAGAGGAGTGCGACGTTCGCAAGAGGCGGAGGGGACGAAGGGTTGCGGATGGAAAGTGACAAAAGGTAAATAGAGACGAGATTACGAGAGAAAAGACGAGGGCAGATGTGTGTCGACGTGGTCGAGTGACGAGGGGGGTGGTTCTATGCGAGAAGGGGGCTTATATATGCTGTTGAGGATGTATGTATATGTACGCTGCGTGTCCCGCTTGGAGTGCCTCTGCAAAGTGTGGCAACTGCTTTTCTCCTTTTGTCTCTGCCCAAAACATTTCTCGTCGCGAGGCTCATCATGGCTTTCGGGTCCCCTGCCCTGAGTGTCGCCGGCGCTAATCAGATTGTAGTCTGATTACAAAACAAGTGTAATACATGCCTCATCCACTACGATGATTTTGTAATGGTGTCTCGGACATAATGATTCAGGTACGGTGACTCCCTGATCCGGTCCCTGCTTCATTCCCCGACGTGCCTGGCTATGCCGTGAGTCTCGGATTACAGCTGACGATCTTTGAACCCAGTTTCAATCAGATGCCCGACGCGTCGAGGGGTGTCTTGCACACAATTGCCAAGGGGCGGCAGGTATCAGAGCTGCGAGGGGCAGCAGATGGCATGGTGGAGTAGGCATATCTGTAGGCTGGGGCTACATGAGCATTTGAGCACTCTGTGAACAGGCCTCGCGAGTACAATGATGACTCGCTCAGCTCGCTCTCCCGCAAATCCCCATGCGATGCTCGCGAAGGGCTGCTCAAGATATCTCAATATGTTATCTCGTTATCAAGCTCGGGTCTCTCCTGAATGTCCTACAAGGTGTCAAACTGTTCCATCGTGCTCATCGTGGACTTCGTTCCTTGTTTCTGTCGGTGATCTTGGTGCTTGGGGATGAAAGTGGTGGTGACTGCTGACTGTTGATCGGCCAAAAGATAGCTAGATGAACTCTTGCATTCCGTACGATTTACGTGAAGCCGAGTGTCCCGTCAGCCCGTGCCGGCCCGCCTCCCGCCTTTTGCCATAACATCCATACCGCAATACGTACATACATGCAGACCATATGCAGACCGCGTCGCAGCTGGGCTAGTGATCTCTGGAATCTCTGGTTCGATGATCTGGCCAGCCAATCTTGCCCACAATCCTAATTGACTGACTGAATGACATCCGCTTCCCAATGCGCTTCCCAATGCGCTTCCCAATTCCCAAGCAAGGAACCACCAGGTCCATATCCCACAAATGGAAAGAGCTTGCCGGCCCCGGAACGGCATGGTTCTGGATGGTGTGCTCGTGTTCGTCCCCGTCCCGATGGAATGTCGTTGAGTGAAGGAACGGCTCGAACGTGATCAGATCACCGATAGTTCCTGGACTGTTGACTGGGACCATCTCGATTTTCAGCTTGCAAAGAAGGCCAAGCAGGATGCACGTTTCTTGAGCAATACTCGAGTATGGAGGGTGCATAGTACAGTTTAGGGATTAAGCTGCGGTGTCCAGACCCAACATTGCAAGAGCTATTATGGCAACAGTAACGCTTTCTCACTCGTCGTTACCCCACAACACCGGCCAGTCATTGTGCCGTGAAGAGATGGCAAGATGCCCAACAAGATGATCAACATGACCAAGGTTAGATAGAAATCAACATCAGCGTCAAGCAACAACGCGTTCCTTATAATCTCCGTTCTGCTCCGACGAGAAGGGCGATCCTCACTCCTCAGTGAGCTTGGTAAGACTGGAGCCCAAGGATCAAGATGTATCGATACACTCGCTCGTTCTTGCGGGTGAGCCCAGAGTCTAGAACGATTACATAGGTATAAGGATATAAGATTTCGAGAGATAAGACAGTGCGTAAGCAAACAACCGTGCTGCCGCTGTGGCCCTGAGTGACTGCCAACGTATGCGCACATGCACAGCAGCGATAGCCGGTTGAGTGACAGACGCTCATGATCGATGGTGGATCCACACTAGTTATCTTAGACAGGTACGCTCCAAGCTCAGTCCAATTGTCGGTCGGGCCTCGCCTCGGACGAGCAGTCATAATCGCCGAGTGAGAGATTGACATGGCAAGGAACGTCACTTTTTGTCGGATGTCCGAGATGGGATCGCGATTGCCTGTTAGTCAGATGCATCGAATTAGTCAATCACGATGGCTGAACAGGTCCGATAGTGGTTAGCTGGAAGCTGAAAAGGATGGGAGGAAGCGTGACAATACTCTAGGTGCCTCCTGGGCCTCCTCCTGGACAGTTCGAGAGCTTGAAGGGTCTTCGGTGTCCTTTATTTGCTGTGCTCCTCCTCACTAACCCTCTCGTGAGCTCGAACAAACTTCAAAGAGGTGCACATGGCACATGCAGGTTATTATAGATGGGCTATCATAATCATAGATCACAGACGAACGCGACACCGCTCACCGAAGGCAGAGAGGCTATGATCAGGCGAGGTGAATGGGGTGTATAGGGTGACTGGTGCTACATATGATGACATGCAACTGATGCAAACGATGAGACCAAGGAACGATCACTTGTTTACAGGTATAGGAGATGTGATCAGTTTCATTCTCATCGTGAGCATATACAACGCATCTATCAAAGTCAAAGTTTATCTCTAGAGATGTGTACCATCATTCCGTCGGACTTCTGGCCCGTCCCTTTCCATATCGTCAAGTCATCACTTCATGGTCAGACGATTGGCAATTCCCCCGGGGCCGGCCGACCCCTGGTAATTGAACTAGCCCTGACCCTAAGGACAGATCACACCAACAAATTAAACTCCCGTCCGCTCCCTCTCTCCACCCATCAACTCCATCTCCTCCTCCTCCCTCATCGAGCCCTCACCAGCGTGCCCTTCTCCACTCGTATCCGCATTCCCGACAACCCAAGCCAGTCCCATCGCCGGCACACACAGTAATACGAGCACGATCCACACGATTTGTCCGCCTATTGGATGTTGTGGGGGAGGGAAGCGGGTGGAAAGGGCGAAAAAGTAGGATACGATGAATGGTCCTGTGGCGCGGCCTACTGCCTATTTGGACGGGGTGGTCAATAAGCTATCTCAACATGAGGCGGGTAAGGGGAGGGAGAAACTTACAGACATGCTGAATCCGAGAGAATTGGCTGACGCAAGATATCCCGGACCGGGTATAGCATCCAGCGTGATTGTATCCAGCAACCTTCCAGCCCACTCTCGTCAGTATTTTCACGTGAATGCTCTGCGCCATCGAATGAGTAAGCAGATAACTCACGTGCTAGTGAAATCTCCAGCCCGTCGCAAGATCATATGTACACTCATGACGATCCATAGCGATGTCGGCATTCCTGGGCCTTGGTGGGTGTAGCTGAGATACCACATGAGAGGGAAGAATAACGTTGAGAGAGGGTAGCATGCAAGACCTTTCTCCCTTTGTCAGCTTTATGAGGCATGTGATACGAAGGCTGGTAAGAGAGGGGGCGTACAGACAAGAAGACATCTGTTTCCAGGTAATATCGCGTGGAGGGGAGGGAAGACAAAGATGATCATGAAGATTGATAGGCCAGCCGAACAGCCGAGGATGATACCGAGCTCTTGAGTCTATACAAAGGTCAGAATACTGGAGACGTGAAGGTTTGTAAAGCTTACAGATAGACCAAGACCGCCGAGCTCTTTACTGGTAAATCCAAAGAGAGGAAAGACGGCTTCGAACGAAAACATGATGGCGTTTTGCACTATTCCCTGTAAGCACCTGATTGTCCAAATTGAACAAGAGAGAGTTGTGCTTACAGCTGTATAGAGTCAAGACCTTCTGAAACAGCTTGTGCTTTATCAGACCCATCATATTGCTACCCCCGCCAGTCTCTCGTTTTGTTTGTTGAGATTCATTATACTTTACGCGGTCCAGTGTCTGAAATCCAAGATCAGCACTCGGATGAAGTATCGAAGGCAGGGAGTCACCTCTGGAAGGAGAAGTATTGATAGCCAAGCAGCAATCACAGCGGACAAAGCCGCTGCTATGGCTGGTAAGAGGTAAGGCAAGTTGACGAGCAGAGTCCATGATTCTGGAAAGAGCCTCGGCACGGGTTTCGCCAAAAAACCGCCTACCAGAGGTCTACAATCGATGGTTAGCCAGGATATGGACGGGGGAGGCGGGAGACTTGCGCAGTGGTCATACCAATGGTGAAGGCCGGGGAGAAGACGGCAAAACCTATCTCCAATGTAAGCTAGTAGATGAGTATATGGATTGGGGCATACCTTGAATACGGTTGGTCTTGTCACACAGTTCCCCCACTTTCGATCACATGGCTTATCAGCTGGGTCATTGTCTGTCTCAGGGCGAGAGCTCACCCATAGTACGGGAGATGACACCACAGCCCGCCAGCATCCCCACTATACGCCAATTGTCAGCTCGCGGACATTACGCCGACGATGGCACTTACAGCACATCCTAAAGATGATCACTGTCCACACCGTCCTGGAAAACCCAAAGAGTAATCCGAATACACCCCACAGAATCTCCAGCCCGATCAACACTGGTCTTCTGCCGTACCGGTCTGCTAGAGGACCGTAGAAGGGAGCTGATACCGATTCCGTAGCCATCATGGCTGATTCCTACGACTTGTATGAGCATTATGCAAGTATGGGAGGAGGGGACTTACGGCGATTGCAGACCATACACCGACTTGCGTCTCTTCCACTCCCATGGAGTGAACCATCTCGTTGATATATGGGAATATGACGGCGTAGGTCATACCCTCGGACCATCGCTGAACCAGGAGAGGGAAGAGCTTGAGGTAGGGCACAGGGGTCCGAGATGGTACGGTGGGATGTGTCTTGACGGAAGGAGTGTCGTCCTCGGAAATGTGATCGGAAAGGTCACATTCCTCTATGGACAATGAGGCTGGACGGGGCGAGGGCTGGCGTTGTGTAAGAGTCATCTTGAGAGTAATCTTGAGGATGTGGGGTGGAGATTATTGAAGAGCTTCCGCCGCCGCCTCCTCTAGCGATGGGTATCGAACGGAAAGGCTTTCACGAGTGCGCTTTAGGTATCGCTTCCCGAAGGTTGAAGATGATGTGATGGATGAATACACACTGTGGACATTTGTGTTGTATTTTACAAGACCGGACTTGTGACTCATATCAGAACCCCGGCCAAATCCATCAGCCTCCACTTTCCATGTGGTCCAATCACAGCTCGGCGAGGTATCGTACGGCCTTCCGAAGTGTGTACTTGAGTGTATGTAATGATGGGCGCAGCATGGTCGAAGAGTCTGCCGTTGTTACAGCAGAATGATGGCAAATGAGTCACTGTAAGCATATGGTATGGTGGGTATTTGGCACGCTTGTCGATATGATGTCCAAGTCACGGTATGGTGAAACAAGCCAATTGTACCACATCGACGGCCATAGCCTCCTCAAAGTACCGCGTCCCGTCTGATCCGCGAAGTCAACTAGGAGAGCGCTCGGTTAGTACCAGGGTGGGGGACCACCTGGGAATCCCGGGTGCCGTCGTTTTTGCTTTTTGCTTTTTCTGCTTTTTGCTTGTCCTCTTGGTATGGTAGGCTTTTGGGTCCTCAGACGCACTTGGCAAGAAAACTGGTGTGGACGGAGCTATGGCACATCATCATGCAGACTCAACGTTGCGGTGATGACCGCCGGTTGACATCACCTGCCTCCACTCTCGCGGGTCACGCATCACCATACAGCAACATCGATGTATTGGATTGTTGACTATCATCTCTTGACCCAATACATACCTGCAGCAATGGTAAGAGGATACCATCCCGACCCCCCGCCGTCCCAAGATGACTCCAAGCTGCCCCCGCCCATGACCCTCGAACGGCCGCCCGAGTGCGTCAATCGGAACAGCACTCCGGCATTCTATGTCGTCGTCTCTGCCTTGGAATCTATCCGCAAGCAGAAGCAGCACGACAAGCATCAGACGCTGGTGAGGCTCTTCGCCCTTTGGCGCCAGAACGTGGGCAACGATCTGTACCCTCTAATCAGACTATTGATTCCTGATGTAAGTCCTTGCCGCTTGATCATGGATGATACTGACCAGGTCCAAAGAAAGATAGGGAGCGCCCGAATTACAATCTCAAAGAAGCGGCACTTGCGAACGCTTATATCGAGGCGCTTGGCTTGGAGAAACATTCCGAGGCTGGAGACAGTATGATACATTGGAAACAACCAGTCGACGGCGAGGTGCGTGCTGTTTCTTGTACCCCAGCATCAGAAGCTAACAGGGGGACGTCAGGACTCGAGTGGAGATTTCGCAAGAGTATGCTTCAAAGTAATCGAACCTCGGTGTGTTGTGGAAAATGGTCAATGGTCCGTAGAGGCCATCAACCACACACTGGACGAGCTCACAAAAAGTAAAGGTGACAAGTGAGTCGTCTTGTATTCATCTTAGCTCGACATGTACTAACACGAATGCTCCAGGAAAGACAAGAGTCGTATTTTTAGACAAGTCAACACTTACTGTACGGCACTGGAGCAAGAATGGTTGATCCGCATCATCCTAAAAGGTCTGTCGCCCCATGTCCAGTTGCGGCAATATGCTGATTTGTATCAGATCTCAAAACATCTATCAGAGAGAAGGGTATCCTCCAAGCTTTCCATCCCGATGCTATGCAGCTGTACGACAAGTGTTCGGACCTCAAGCGTGTTTGCTGGGAGCTGTGGGACCCCGAGAGGCGTCTCAATACCAACGTGAGTTTACTGCATGCAATCTGCGATGTCTGCTGACTTGTGTGTAGGATATCCAACTCGAGCTCTTTAACCCATTTCGTCCCCAGCTATGTGCGATGGCCAAAGATCACACACACGACAGTATCGCCAAGCTGGTGGGTGCGCCGTACAAGGAGTTCATCATGGAAGAAAAACTGGATGGAGAGAGGATCCAGCTGCATATGAGAGGGAATGGGGCACAGTGGTTCTACTGTTCGAGAAAAGCGAAAGATTATAGTGGGTGTTTGCTCACGTGTAGGAGTAGAAGCTGATGGTTTGCAGCTTATCTCTACGGGGCACACCCTGGCCAGGGCAGTATGACGAAGTACATCTCCGACATCTTCCAGGATCAGGTCAGAAAGTAGGTCATATTGAAACATTCGAAATGTCTGCTGATAGCGCGGTAGTGTGATTCTCGATGGTGAAATGATGGTTTGGGACCCGATGTTGGGCAAGTATCTCGCGTTTGGAACGTTGAAGACGGCTGCTAGTAGTAAGCGGACCCGACCTTGAACCCGGCCTTTTACTGACGATTGGCTAGTGAACAACACTGACCCGAACGAACCTCGTCCTTGCTGTACGTCCCTGTTCGTTTTGTATAAAACCCGCATAACCTTTGGACCCAGTCAAGGTCTTCGACATCTTATATCTCAACGACAACTGTCTTATCGACAAACGCCTTTCGGAACGGAAACGACTATTGCGAGGCGGTCGGATATTCAAAGATATCGAAAAGTATACCGGAAGGTTCGAGTTGGTGGAAGAAAAGATGGGAAAGACGGGCAAGGATATCACATCGTATCTGGAGAGGATCATGGAGGCTCGGTGAGCAGTACGAATCTGTCCCTCCAATGCCTCGCTGACGGGATGCAGTGGCGAAGGGATCGTTGTCAAGAAACCCGATTCAAAATACTCGACCGGGTCAAGAGATGTCGATTGGGTCAAAGTCAAGCCAGAATACTCTGACCAGATGGGCGAGGTACGTGCTTCATCCGCGTGGAATCATGGACAGAGCTCATCTCTGCCAGACATTTGACCTCTTGGTTCTCGGAGGCTGGTGGGGTAAAGGCGGGCGGTCCGGGAAAGTGTCTTCACTGCTCTGTGGTCTGCGAGAACAAGAGGAGATTGGAGAAGACGGAGAAAGACCGACTTTCCAGACTTTCTGCTCGATCGGTACTGGCCTGAGGTATAGTGACTACACTTGGACCATGTGCGTATTCATTCGGATTAAGCTTGGTGGTCGCTACTGATTAGATGCTTCAATAGGGATACTAGAGGACAATACTTCAAACAGTATGATCGGAAGAACCCACCCCCGTGGATGAAGATGGGAAGTATCGGGCTGGACGACAAACGTGAGCTTCTTTTAAAGGCCGCTTGGAGTCATCACTGATTGAACGTCGTAGCCGATGTATACATTGAGCCCGAACAGTATGTCCTGCTCATACCAAATCTCTGAGAGAAAGCTGAATCGTTGAATAGCTCGTTTGTAATCAAGGTCAAAGCGTCAGAGATCGTCCCAGCCGGTAGATCGCTCTCCTCTTGCGAAAGTCTTTGTCAAACTGATTATTTTGTTCAGCTGGAGGCTATGGTATCGGTTACACCCTCAGATTTCCTCGAGCTACTCACGTCTTTGGTGGAGAACTTGACAAGTTTAGAGAATCCCGTGAAGAAAAGGTTGAGCATCGAGACATGTGGCACTGCGTGAGCTCCTGTTCCGTTAATGTGAGGCATTGCGCTGATGTAGATTGTTCTAGTGGACCGTCGGTAGTGAGTACTACTCACCTATCAGGGACGATGAGCTCACTTCGTATCAGCCTTCTTTGATCAGATGAACAGCCCAGTCAAAAAGTATCAAGAATCTCAAGGGTAATTGCTTTGATTACACAAGGGTACATATACTGATGACTCTCATCAGCCCAAACAAGAAACGAAAGGTCACCCTGCCAAAGAAGAATCCATTCATGGTCAGTGCCATGGGTCAAGTCTTATCCCGAGATCGGGTCAAGGGAGATCTGTTTGACGGGGTCACTTTCTGTAAGTCACTTTCAACACAGATCACTTTTCTGACGCCTTCTCTAGTCATCGCCAAGGGAACTCCTGCTCACCCGAAAGCGGAGCTTGAAGCTCTCGTGCACGAACACGGTGGTCTCTATAGCCAAGGCCAGCTGCCCAACTTGTCTGCCAAGGTCATCTCGCCCGATGAGAAAAGTAAGTCCAGACTTATGGTATATGAGTAAGTTGGAGCTCACTTATTCTCAGGCCCATCGGTACGAGCTCAAATTAGGAAGGGCGTTGATGTGATTAAGCCCGAGTGGCTATTCCAGTGCATCAAGAGAGACTACATCCTTCCTCTGATCAAAGAGTATGTATGGTGGCCGTTGTTCGCAGGTGTTTGCTGATCATTCGTAGGTTCCTCGTTCATGCGTCCGCAGAAAGCAAGGCGAGCAGATATTACGACCGGACGCTTGAACACCTACAGGCTATCTCTGATGACGAAGAGGAAGAAGAAGAGGAAGAGAATGTTGCCGAACCCTTGAATGAAGTGGCGGAGGAGGAAGAGGACGATGCGGCTCGTGAGATGAAGTACAAGAAGAAGAAGGCTGATAGAGAGGAGAGAGAGGAGCAGGAGCAGAGGGAGAAACGAAAGACAGCTGAGCAGAGAAGGTTGGAAGCAGACTGGGGTATGAGAGACGTACCCAAGCTGGGTAACGACTCTAGCGATGAGGAATATAATCGGGGCAAGTACGATGAAGATGAAGACACGGAAGATGAGTATGGAGGAAGAGTAAGCCAAATCATTTATTCATTTGATGTCTATTGACTCCACGTCTAGGAGCTTGACGGTGATGAAGACGACGAGGCCGCCGACAGTCATGATTCTGACGGAGAGGAAAACGGACAGGACGAGTTCCGTACAATGCCGGTCGGGGCGACTACACCATTCAGCGAATACGTAAGTGACATTAATGTTGCATTTGAACATACACTGAACAGCCACAGGACGTGCAAGCTGTAGCCACAATGGGTGACGAATCTGATGCCATGAAGTATGACGAAGAGAAGGTATGTTTCGACTATCCAGCTAGCATCATCGACTGACTTGAGTCAGATCTTCCGACACCTCGCCTTCTACCTTGACACCTCTGAAAATGCGGAGTTGAATGGCCTTGCCCCATCGTCCCCTACAACCTCTATCAAGGAGAGGTATGTCGGTGTCATCGCCTGCTAGACGTGTACTGACTATGGTTCAGACTAGCCCGAGTGGAAAAGCTGCTTCAAGATGGCGGGGGGCGTATCACGACGGACCTCAACGATCCAAAACTTACACATATTGTCATGGACGAAGATGACAACGGCAGATATGAGGAGCTTACGAAGAAAACTTCCAAGTGAGTGTGCTTCTTATATCAGACCCTTTTTGCTGATATGGCATTGCTAGGCCCAAAATGAAACACATAGTCTTGCCTAGCTGGGTCGAAGATTGTGCAAGTGAAGAGACACTGTTGCACGAGGACAGTGAGCATCATCCGCTTACTTTAGCCGAGAAACAATACTGACGTGCTCCAGTCCACAAACCCAAATAACGATCAAACACCTTTTGGATTGACGACTATATAGTATATCACAGTGCATATACTGTGTATTACCTATAACTAGTGACCGCATGCAGATGTACCACTCATGGTGGGAGAGTCTTGATCATCGTAGCCGGAATGAGAGAGATGCGCGTGCGACATTTCATACAGAGGTCAAAGGATGTGGCGCTCAAATGGATTGCTACTATGTAAAGTGTATGTTCATGGCTATCTAAAGTGATGTAGACGCGTGCTTGCTCGCATTCTACGACTCAGCAAGTCATCGTTTCGTTGCATCAATGCATCATCATTCAACTTCCAGCAACGATGTCATTACGTAATGCCAATCATGACGAGCGTTTCTCGCGTCGACTTTTGGATTATTTCATTCTTGACGCGCTGTCTACGTTCCCCGACCCTACTAGCAACATGACCAGCACAGTATTCACTGCCCCTTCCTGGTACAAGTCATTCTACAACCTCTTCCCCCTCGTCACCCTTCCCCAGGATGACGAGCTTGAGTGGAAGAGTCACGCAAAGCCTCTAGGCGACAACGCAGCCGTTCTCTGGGTTTGTTGTTTTGGCTTCTCCCCGAACTTTGATTGACTTTTACTAGGTCCATCCTTCCTCTTCGAACCACCCTCATCACCGTTCATGGCTTTCGTCCAATCCAGCTTCAGTCCGGACACAACTCCTTTTCCTGCTTCGACAAACGGCAGCTCAGCCTCGAGTAGTGTTCCGTGAATGGCCAAACGAGTCTTCGGCGCCAAAGAGTACTTTGCCGGCTCTGCATCTTCCATCGCAAGATAGGTTGTTGAGTACGGATGAAATCCGGCCATGGCTTGAAGCGACGTACCCTTTAGAGGGCAAGAACAAAGAGTGCGTCTTTTGGATCTCGCGCGGGATGATTGCTGACACCACGGCAGTTGGCAGAATCTCCCCTCTCAATCAGCATACGACTCGGCCCTCGCCCTCTCTACCCTGATCACCAACCAGCTCCTACCCGCATACCTCGCCTCCCTTCCCTCTCGCCCTTCAAATTGGTACCTCTACTTCCCCACGCCACCCCCCCTATGGGCTGGGTTGGTCACCCCCTTACCGGCGAGCTTGACGGGAGATGAGCGAGAGGTAGATGGAGAGGAGGTTATACGGAAGGGTGTAGAGGTGATCGATGCGTTAGAAGGGATTGTCGGTGGAAAGAGTGGAGAAGAGAAGTGGATGCTGGGAGCGAAAGATCCCGGGGCTTTGGATGCGTTGATCGCGTCTCATATCTATGTGCTCTTTGCTCTACCGCTGGACTCGCCCCTCAGAGAAGCCTTGGATGGGAAGAAGAAGCTGGAAAGATATCTGGAGAGAGTGCTGGAATACGCGGAGAGAAAGGTGTAGCAGTTTCAGCGGTATTATGAAACGTCATGTTCATCACTGACTCGATCTACGTTGCTACTGCGGTCAGCATCATCATACTCAAGCACACTGAAGCATGACGGCAGACATTCTGGATCGAGCGAATATCACTAGACTTACCGAAGCTAATCGCCCATTTGATCCCGCAAATGACGAGGATAGTTCGGATCGTCGGGCCGAAATAGGATTTCACTGGCTTTGTAATGTTGCCGTCATACAAATAATGCACCCGGGAGTGGCTCTGATATAAACCCTGGTGCATCCGAGACCCACATGTAGAATTTTCATACACCTTGAACCTATCGATCATGTCCAAAGACACACCAAAGAATGACAAGCCCTCTGTGGGATGGATCGGACTCGGGGCGATGGGTAGTGGCATGGCAACTGTACGTCCTAGCCCATGACTCCTTCCTGTATGAGCCTCATCATCCATGTAGAGCCTCGCTTCCCAAGCCTTCTCTGTCAAAGCCTACGATGTCTATCCACCATCGTTAGGCAATGTTGCCGCCGCCGGTGTCACAGCCGCCTCTTCCCCTCTTGAAGCCACCCAGGGTGTCGACATCTTGTGCTTGATGGTTATCAATGCGGCACAAGTCGAGGATACGCTTTTTGGCAAAGAAGGAGTTGCAGAGGCATTGAAAGACGGATCAGTAGTGGTCATCTTCTCAACGGTGCCACCAAGTTTCTATGCCGCATTGAGGGACGAGTTTGCGATCAGGGGTATGAAAGTCGGCGTAAGTATTTGCTTCGGTCGGATGAGCTTTACTGATACTTTTTAGCTCGTAGACTCTCCCGTATCTGGAGGCTCTGCTCGAGCTTCACAGGGCCAGCTTGCCATCATGGCCTCCGGCCTTCCCGCACACATCGCCCACGCCCAACCTGTCCTGTCTGCCCTGACTCGGAAGCCTCAAGGCGCACTTTCGATCGTCGGGAACGAAGTTGGAGTAGCCAGCAACTTCAAGATGATCAACCAAGTATTTTGTGCTGTACAGATCGCCGCTACCGGGGAAAGTCTAGCTTTCGCAAAGGCATTGGGACTGAACGTAAGGATGGCTTGGGATGTCATCTCACATAGTAGCGGAGAGAGCTTTATGTGTGAGTGTGCTCACCTCCCGTATGAACTGCGCTTATATTACCTAGTCACTGCCCGAGGACCATGGTCGTTCCGACCGGACGGTACGATCAAATCAGGCATGGGCATCATCAACAAGGACATCGGTATCGTCATGTCTGAAGCTCGTAAAGCCCACCTCCCAGTCCCGCTCAGCTCCGCCGCCGAAACCCTCTACACCGCCGCATTCGCAGCCGGCCTTGACAAGGTCGATGACGCGCGCGTATCATTGTTATGGGAAAAGTTTGGCGTGGGGTCTATTCCCGAGCAAGGGACAGAAGAAGAAGAGAAGGATAAAGCCAGGCTGCTCGAGGTGGAGAAGAAGACAGGGAATATTGGAAAGATTCTCCTAATTGGGAGTGGGGAATTTTACACGGCAAAGCTGGAGAAGGCTGGAGGATCTGTCATCCTTTTCGACCCCATCGCAGAGGGCTTCGCGACCAAGAGCGGAGACGAGTACTCGTCGCATCTCGAAAATCTCAAGGAGAGGATCAAAGGGATTGAGGGCGTCGTGGTCACGGGGGAGCAGAGTGCCGAGGAACTCCTCCTGGGATCGAGGGGCTACTCTGGGGTTGCTTCAAGTACGTTTGATTCTTGACCCAAACCTGCCTTTCTGATGCTTGCCCAGTCATCGAACAGTCTGTTCCAGTGATCGTCAATCAAACCATCCCATCATCTCTTGCAAACACGCTATCCGCCGCTCTTTCCTCTCGTGGGCTTCACCTGATCAACGCTCCCATCACTTACCCCATCTCTCCCATAATCTTTGCATCCGCCTCTTCACCAAGTCAGCTATGCTCCGCCTACCCTATCCTCTCTGCACTGTCCGACAAGGTCCACTTCATCCCTGGAGACGTCACAGCAGCTTCCAAAATCAAAGCCGTCAACTCGCTACTAGAAGCTATCCATCTGAATGTATTCTGCGAAGGGTTTGCTCTGGCTGCCAAAAAGGGGATGGACTTGGACACTGTTTATCAGGTTGTAGCCAGTGGCGCTGCGAGGTCCTTCATCATGGTCGACCGTGAGTCAAGCTCGGGTCTCAAAGGATGGATGGCTGACTATACTCTCTAGGATGGTCCCGTTTGCAGGACCCCGATCCCGAGGTCTGGAACACCCTCCGTTCTCTCCACCATGATTTTGCTGTAGTGATCCAAGAAGCCAAGAGTGTTCAATGTCCGCTGTTCTTGGGGCAAGCTGCTGGTCTACAGCTGGAGCGCGCGGCTGGGGCAGGCTGGCGTGATCAAGACGACGTGGTTTTGAGGAGGCTTTGGGAAGGAGAGGGGGTGTTTTTGGCCAAGAAGTCCCAGAAAAGTGGTTAAATATAAGATAGTGTTGTAGGTATCGTACACTGACTCAAGGATTAATGGTTGCATTGACTTCTGATATCACATTCCCCTTTGAGCATACTACTCCTTATCGAGATCGGTCAGAGTACCAGGGTTGTGCCCACTCTGCTTGTTGTTCTGGTTGGTGAACACGACCTTAAGTACTGCGTCAGTCTTTGCATGGACAGTTGAGGAAGTATACCTACCTTCGGCGGGTTCTTGACGTTGAGATCCGAGTTGGCAACGTCGTCCTCGGTAGACAAGATTTCGTCAACCTGAATAGCGGGTAAATGATCCGTACACAGATCAATCAGAGGACATACCTTGCCCTCCATCTTTCCAGCTCGATAGTTCATGGATACTGTGTCTCCAACTTCAATTTCGTTTCCTTGCTTGTCGGTAAGGTCGCTCATGATGTCTGAATTTGATTTTATGGGGTGAGAGGAGATGAGGAGTTCGCTCCAGCTGTGATTGTCTATATATTCGTGCGGGAGGAGTATGCATCCGATCGTGGTGGCAGAGCTGGGAATCGAATGGAGGCAGTGGACATGGGTGACGTCAAGCCCGGCCCGATTATCTATGTGCTTAGATAAGATATCGTTCCACTTGCTCAAGATTGTCAGGCAGGGAAGCATTTTTAGAAACTCAGGTATCGGTAGAGAGTGAACAGACGTTCAGGAAAGGATGACTGAAAGTACCTAGGGGGAAAGTCAGTGGAAAGAAGACATAGGGCCTGGTAATATACTGTAGGTGTTCCCATATGATCACTGCAACTCCTTTGTTTTTATCGACGGCCATAGCCTCCTCAAAGTACCGCGTCCCGTCTGATCCGCGAAGTCAACTAGGAGAGCGCTCGGTTAGTACCAGGGTGGGGGACCACCTGGGAATCCCGGGTGCCGTCGTTTTTGCTCTGCTGCTTTTTGCTCTTTTTGCTTACTGCTTCTTCCAGAAGAGAAGGTCACGGACAGGCGGTACGATGTGAGCCACATTTCAAGGCATCGAGCCAAAGCAGCACCCTCTTTGAAGCACTTCTGAAGTTAGAGAAAGGCAGAGCAGAGATACTGCAGACGGGATCAAAATTCACGTCGCGTCGACGCGTATCTCTTGCCGCATCTTGGTGTAAACATCTCATACTCGTACATCCCCGCTCTCTTTACCACTTTTCGCCCCCATTCCCTACTAAGTGATTTTCGCCCCATCAATACAGCACCCCACTTCACCAGCCAGCAAGTGACAATGGGCCGCGAAATCATCTCCCTCCAAGCCGGTCAAGCTGGTAATCAAATCGGCGCCCAATTCTGGCAAAAGTTGTGTGCAGAGCACGGTATCTCCCCGCAAGGCGAGCTTGAAGACTGGGCCGCGGAAGGAACACAAGGGGATAGGAAGGATGTGTTTTTCTATCAGGCGGACGATGAGCATTATATCCCTAGAGCTATTTTGATTGATCTCGAGCCGCGTGTGAGTTTCTCATGCCCCAAGTGGAATGAATACTGATAGATAAACAGGTGATCAACTCAGTGCTCACATCGCCTTTCAAAGGTCTCTACAACCCGGAAAACATCTACGTGTCGAAAGACGGTGGTGGTGCGGGAAACAACTGGGCGCAAGGGTATAGCGCGGGAGAGAAGGTGTATGATGATTTGATGGAGATGATTGACCGTGAAGCGGATGGTAGTGACTCTCTGGAAGTGAGCTATCCCACAAAATAGTAATTCAAAGCTGACTTGGTATAGGGCTTTATGCTTCTCCACTCGATAGCAGGCGGTACAGGCTCCGGTCTAGGTTCATACCTCCTCGAACGCCTGAACGACCGCTTCCCCAAGAAACTCATCCAGACCTACTCGGTCTTTCCCGAATCATCCGATGTCGTCGTACAGCCGTACAACTCATTACTGGCCACGAAACGACTGGTGAACAATGCGGACAGTGTGGTGGTTCTGGACAATGCGGCTTTGACAAAGATCGCGGCGGATAGGCTGCATATCCAGGACCCGAGTTTCACGCAGACGAACCAGCTGGTAGGTCTCGAAAGTCGAGTATGAGCTGGAGCTGATCCAGTGCAGTGTTCGACGGTGATGGCTGCTTCGACGACGACACTGCGATACCCCAGTTACATGAACAACGACCTCGTCGGTATCATTGCGAGCCTCATCCCCACACCCCGATGCCACTTCTTGATGACATCCTACACCCCGTTCACCAGCGATGAGATTGATAACGTACGCCCCTCCTCTCCCCAAACCTCCCCGCGCTGACTCTTTGGACAGGCCAAATCGATCCGCAAAACCACCACCCTCGACGTCATGCGCCGGCTGCTCCAGCCCAAAAACCGTATGGTCTCCACAACATCCACCAAATCCAGCGCCTACATCTCTTGCCTCAACATCATTTCCGGCGACGTCGACCCTACCGACGTGCACAAGAGTCTGTTGAGGATCAGGGAGAGGCAGCTGGCGAATTTCATCCCGTGGGGTCCGGCGAGTATACAGGTGGCGTTGACGAGGAAGAGGGGGATGGGGGCGGGGAGTAATAGGGTGAGCGGGGTGATGATTGCGAACCATACGAGTATGGGATCTGTGAGTCGTTTATCGTTCATCGTCCAGTCGCATACTGACGCATAGGGTAGCTCTTCAAGAGGATGATCCACCAATACGATATGCTGCGCAAGCGTAATGCCTTCTTGGAGCAGTACAAGAAGGAAGAAATGTTTTCGGATGGGCTGGACGAGTTTGACGATGCGAGAAGAGTGGTGCAGGAGATGCAGGAAGAGTACCAAGCGGCGGAGAGAGAGGACTATATCAGCCATGGCGGGCAGTAGATTTCTGGGTCTGTATAATGGCAATGGGGTACTATGTATATACATTTCACTAGCGTATAGTCACAAGCCGAATTTCTCTTTGAATACGCCCATCATCTCCAAGCTGATGTTGGACCCTCCACAGACAACGAGCACCACCTTTTTGTTCTGGTCTACATCCATAACTTGCCCCAGTCTCCCGCTATACACCAATGCCAATGTCGCCCCACAAGCAGGCTCGACCAAGATTCGCTCATCGTCCAAAAATCTCAAGCAAGCATCGACAGCCTCCTTGTCAGACACCAACGTACTCGCAATGTTGGGGTTGGTAGTCGCCAATTCAAACGCACGCGACGCAACACGGACACAGCCAAGGGATGTGGCGATCGACGTGATACCAGGCAAGGCAAGGTGAGTGTTGTGCAACAGAGATTGGTTCAACGAGTCTGCGCCTCGCGTCTCGACGGCGGTGATCTTGGTCCCTTTGGGTTCCTGCCCCTTGAGCCAGATCTTGTCGATACCTTGGGAGATACCAATCATCAGACCCCCGCCTCCGACCGAACACACGATCCCATCCGGTTTCTCACCCAACTGCCCTACGACCTCGTTCGCAACGCTCTCTGCACCTTCCCAGATATCAGGATGGTCGAAAGGCGGGATATAGACCCCATAGTCGTCGTGCGCCAAGAGCTCTTGCTTGAGGTACAAGTCTGCTTCGTAGATGTTTGCACCGTGTGGGATGACTTGGGTGGCACCGGCGGTGAGGAGGCGGTCGATCATGAGCTGGGGTGTGGTTGTGGGGACGACGATGGTGGAGGGATACCCGAGGGAATGGGCTGATGTGACACATGCGAGGCCGGCGTTGCCGCCCGACGGGGCGTAGAAGTGAAGCGGGGCGTTGGGAGGGCTGGAAAGGATCGAGGAGCGCACGAGGTTTCCGATACCTCTGCGTGAGAGTCAGTGGGCAGCTTGTGATGACGAGCCGGAGAGCTTACCGAGACTTGAAGCTCCCACTGGGTTGGAGGTTGTCCAGCTTCAGGTAAATCTGGCTATGAAGCATCAGCATTGCTCGCACGGTTGCAAAAGGGCGTCTCACCATCCTGCGATACGTGATAAGGCAGGGCTCTCGACGAGAGGGGTCTCGCGCCAAGGTTGAGGGATCTCGCGGGGGTAGACGTTTCCTGTAGCGATGGTCATAGCTGTGTGTATGTGGATGGGGGTCGATTCTTGAAGAGTTCATGGCATGGTGGCTATATATGCCTTCGAGGGGTCATGGGAATAGCGCCCTTCTGCTGCGTTGGCCATCTGACTGCACGGTGCGAGTTTTCCAATCTGCTGCACCACCGTGTATGCATGCAGCCTGCGTATCGAGGGGGTTTAGGCGGCACTCTATCCCCAGAATTGGCCACCCCTGCGACTGATAGCAATTGTTGGCCATCCCGCGCTCTTGGAAAATACACCTTGGAAAATGTCGAGATAAGAAATGTGATAAGCAAGACGCAAGAGTAACGTAACCCGCGGGGCACCGGCATCTACTCCGCGCCGTCTTTGGTTCCGACCAGCTATAAGAATGGATGGGCTGCTGAGCGGGATTGTCTGGAGTATCTTGAGGGATGCATGGGTCACGAGATGAGCGCCCAGAACATCACTCTGGTGAGCAAGATACCCACTCCACTGCCGATTGTATTGTTTGGTTCGCACCCGGTGATACCCGAGATCCCGCCGCTCCCACCGACATAGTCCTTTCGATCAAGAGCACAATTGCCAAGTACATAGATAGGGTCATACATGAACATGGGACTGGTGCGATCATACGTAGTGATCTGCTCTACACGCAACAATAGTGTGATGTTGGTAACAACACCAAAGAACAAGATGATGGTACTGATAAGCTGGAAAAATGATGTGACGATCCTTGAAAGGTGTCAGCTAGAAGGAAAGGACTGATATGTGCCTTTCAGATCACCTGATACTCTTCTTTTATCATTGCCACAACGGAAGTCCAGCATCAGGGTCAGCTGCAACGAAACAACTCCCCTCCTCAGCTCCTTTGAGACAACCGTCGTCATGTGGAACGACGAGTGACTCAAGGTCGAACGGAGGTGGTCCAAAGCCAGGAGCACCGTGTACACCATCTGCGTAGTTGAGGTAGATATCTCTAGGGTCCATGCAGCCCTCCGGGTAGGCAATGGGCTGTTGTTGGGGAAGGTGCACAGCACTCATGTCGATACAACGCAGTAAATTGCTCATCTCTTCCGGAGTGAGGTTTGGCGGTGATGGAATTGAATCGACACTGGATGTGAGGTTGGTATTCGGCGAGATGTCTTGGTATTCGGCTCCTGACGCAGGTTGGTACATTCCAGACGAAGGTCCAGTTCCAGCTTGGGCGGAGCCTTCCGCGTAAAGACGATGATCCTGGCTGAGATGAACTGTGCCGTTGCTGCTTCCGACTTGGGTGGATCTGCCGCCGTAGATATGTTGATTGACATTGAAGGGGCCGTGAATGTTCCCAGCTTGGGCAACACCGTATAGATCCTGGTGAGCGACGAGACGGCTACCAAAGCCAGGTTGGATATGGCTTGGTAATCCGCTGTCGCTTGGCTGACCAGATGCAAAATCAGGGTATAGCTGCTGCAATTGCGACACTTGCTGGTACTCTTGGCTGAAGCGCCTGTTCTTCTCTCTCACTTCTTGGTGAGACGACCGTCTCGTGCGCGGGACTCCGAATCCCTCCTCGAAAACGGAAGGCACCATCATCTGATGCTGTGCCGCCGCCGCCGAAACAAAAGGTGAGAGACTGGCATTGAGTTGCGCATGAGACTGTGATCGTTGCACAGTATGACTGCCGGCCATGGACGGTGGCAGCTGTTGACGAGCTTGTGTTGGGACCGGGCAATGGTAGCCAAAAACAGGTGGCTGGGCAGGCATAGCAGGTATAGTGTAAGGGTGCACGCTAGATGACGGGTAGAGGAGGCTGGTTCCGTGGTGCGAGCTTGGACCAGCGAGTGGTTGTTGAGGCTGTCCGGGCTGGTTATGAGGGTTTACAGGATTCGGGGGATAGTACGCGCCGAGAGAAGAGGAGCCGGCGTGGTACTGCTGATCTCCAAGAGCTTCAATAGCTTCAAGAGCTTCAATAGCTTCAAGAGCTTCAAGAGCTTCAAGAGCTCCCATAGCAGAAGAACCAGCCTGAGGGTGCACGGGGTTCGGGGGGTACGCGCCGAGAGAAGAAGGGCCTGCGTGGTACTGCTGATCTCCAAGAGTTTCAAGAGCTTTCATAGCAGAAGAATCAGCCTGAGGGTGCACGGGGTTCGGGGTATACGCGCCGAGGGAAGAAGGGCCGGCGTGGTACTGCTGATCTCCAAGAGCTTCAAGAGCTCCCATAGCAGAAGAACCAGCTCGAGGAGTGCCCTTGAGCTTTTTCGCAGCAGTGTTGGAGACGAACTCTGGAAAAGGCTCCAGCTCAGGCCCGCCGGGTACCCTCATTTCTTCATAAGTAGCCGGATGATCATACACCCTCTTCCCATCCTCGTCCATATGAAAACTCATATGCAGCACTTCCGCTCTCAAAGATCCACGCGCGACTTGTCGTAGGAGGTAAGGCAAGACGCCGGTTTTGATCCATCCTGTTCCGGTGGGACACCAGGTGCATGGTGTGCCCCTATCCGCGCACGATGCACAAGGCGTTTGGGAAAACACATGGGCGCCGCACTATACCCTCAGGTTAGCGATGAGTACTATTGCAGCATTGCGGAGTGTACATACCTTCTGTCGTTTACTTATGCGGCAAGGAACACAGGAGATTATCTGACGAGACCTGACGCCCTTGGGTCTTCGTTCCGCAGCGGGCATCTCGGGAAGAGTACAGGTATTAGGGTATCGGGAGGTATAATTGATATGCTAGGGGAAAAATGAGGGAAAATTGAGTACTCTAGGGCATGTGGTGGCCCAGAAAGTCTTCAATCAGTAGGGATTCAGGAAGAGGAAAGAAAACAAGACGGGAGAGATGCGGATTGCAGAATTATATGCGTCCTGATTGGGTTCAGCGGATACTATACACTTTTCGCCACTCCCAGGAAATGGTACTAGTAGTGCCGGAAAGATGCTTGAGCGGATGAAAGAACAGAGAGTCGGAAACGGTTCAGAGGAAAGAACTCGCGTCGATTTGGTGGCGGAAATCAACCAACTTTGCGGAACCAAATAGCCGAGCTCGAAATCATCCATCAACTGTTACAATCAGCCAAGCCAAGGGTCTGGGATCATTGCTAGTACTTTATCCATATACATGTGACCACATTCCATGATGTTATCGAATGTACAACCTTTATTAACCTCTGTACCGAACATGCCAATATATTGCACCTCACCATACTCAAAGCAGCACCCCCGAGCCTTCGAGCACCTTTGACCCGGGAGGCGAGCTGCCCTCGCTGACCATATCCCACTCTGCCTCCCCTGGCTCTACCGAAGATTGCTTTCCAGCATCTTCTCGCCCTACTGGAAACCCTCGCCCTTCTTTGGCGAATCCCTAAGCACCTCTTGCCTTTCCTTCCCCTTACTCGGGCTGGTAGACCCCGTCTTGGGAGGTGACGGCAAAGGCTGCTTCAATGTCCCGCTACCTTCCATAGCTTTAATCTTGTCCCGGACGGATTTACCGCCGAGAGAATGGGCAGACGGAGACCGGCGGGCGACTTGGGATGTCTGCGAAGTGACGCGCGCGCGGGGACTGTCTTTGTCTGGCGTAGACTTTGGCGTCACCTCTTTCTTCTGCACTTCCGACACTCCGGACGGCTTGCGCACCGTGCGCTGGGTGGCGGTGGTAGCCGTACTAGCGGTACTCGGGGTTGGAGATGGCGCGAGGGAAGGGCGGGAGGAACGGGGGGTGAGAGAACGTTTGATTGATTGTTTTTCGGCGGGTACGGAGGGTAGGGGAGGTTTGGAGGTGGAGGATGCACGCGGGGCAGTGCGAGGAGCAGTAGGCGCGAGGGATGTGCGGGTGGTAGATGGTTTGGCAGCTGGCGCAGCAGGAACTTTTGCCTTGGGCGGTGGCGCCCGAGAAGAAGTAGTGGAAGTCGCGGAAGCCGGGCGTGAAGTCTTCGGCTTTGGCTTTTCCTTCCTAGGCGTCGTCTCATCATCCCCCGTCTCACTCCCCGCAGCGCTCACAAACTCGAACGCATCTCCCTCCTGCCCATCATCTTTCAACTCTGCAAAAGCGAGCCCGCCCTTTTCCCGCTCAAAGTTTTCGTTCATCATGTCGGCTTGCGAGTTCATCTTGTCGATCCAGCGCTGGAGGAGGTTGGCGTTATCGGCCATGAGTGCTTTCTCGCGCTTGGATAAGCCAGAGATTTCGAGGTTGAGAGACATGACTTCGTCAGATAGGGTCTGCACCACGTCAGCTTGGTTCGCTGTGGGTATGGTAGACTTACCACCATATCAACCTCTCGGGCCTTCCATCGCTGCTCCCACTCTTCATCTTTCCGTTGTAACCGGTCCCTTGCATCTCGCAGATTCCGCATCTCATCTCGCAAGTTCATGACCTCTTCATCTCGTTCCCGCAAAAGCTCCGCCGAGGCCAACTGCTTGTTTTGGGTGGCAGCCTGCGACCGGTACAGCTCTGATATCTCAGACCGGAGCGATGTAAGTTCTTGGTCCAGGTACTTTAACAATGGATTCGAGCTGCATCCGGCCGTTAGCCAAGGGACCGTGCCGAACAATGAAAGGCGTTACCCGTCCGCTTCGCCACCACCACCACCTCCAGTCTTCATAAGCGTCTTATTCCGCGTCTTGAGATCTTTTGCAGACTTGGCAAGCTTTCCATCTATACAAAAGGAGGTCAGTCTGCAATCAGTGGCCAAGGGGAAAGACTGACACTGCTGGATGATCTCGCGGTACCCTTCGGCGTTGGCTTGGTTGTCGACTAGACGTTGCCGGATTTGGGCTTGCCATTCTGGATGCCCGAGGGACATTGTGTCTAGCTGCCGCGATTGGAGCGGGCCAAAAGTGTTCTAGACGTGAAGCGGGTGGTATCGAGTTTAGGCCGAGGGTGAAGCTAGAAGCGTGGCGGATTGATTGAGAGAGGCGAATGTAGCTGGGAGTATGAGAGAAAGTTATATAGGGCCCCGTGAGATGTTGTACAAAAGAGAATAGCAGGAAAGGTTGCATTTGATAGAGCAAGCTGTAATGATAGAGGGCATGCGCGTGGCCGGACATCATGACGCGTCCCTCCCGTCCGGACACTTACTATTACTCCCGTCTCGGACACCTTCCGTATCCGTCGTTGCCACCTTAGCACACATCTCTATCATCTCTCTCAACATCATCCAACATGGCCTCCAACAACAACAGGAAGAAGCACCTCCTCAAGGTAAGCAGTGCGCACACGGGAAGAGTCGGCGGCTGACAGACGGCAGGTTATCATCCTTGGTGACTCGGGGTACGTTACGCGGTCATGGCGCGCCCGTTGTCCTCGCCCTTATATCCCGGCCTTACCTGCTTGTGGAAGAATGCACGCTGACAAGAGCCATGTAGTGTCGGAAAGACATCCCTCATGAACCAGTATGTCAACAAGCGGTTCTCCAACCAGTACAAGGCCACGATCGGAGCGGATTTCTTGACTAGAGAACTGGTCGTGGATGACCGGGTGGTCACTATGCAGGTGAGTGGTGTTGCCAAAGTGCTACGAGGCGGGGAGCAAGGGATGGGGAGAAGGGGGAGGACGTGATTGAGCCAAGTTGCGGTTGTCGCGCGGGTCATGCACCGATAGCCCTATCCGCGTTCCACAATCTGCTCCCCAACGTCGCACCATGCTTACACACCCCTGCAGCTCTGGGACACTGCCGGTCAAGAGCGTTTCCAATCCCTAGGTGTCGCCTTCTACCGCGGCGCCGACTGCTGTGTCCTCGTCTACGACGTCAACTCGACCAAGTCTTTCGAAGCACTGGACGGCTGGAGAGATGAATTCTTGGTGCAGGCCTCTCCGCACGACCCAGAGAACTTTCCGTTCGTCGTCTTGGGTAACAAGATCGACATGGAAGAGAGCAAGAGAGTAGTATGTTGGTACCAGTTGGCGAGCTCCGATAGGCTGATAAAGGACAGGTCTCTCAAAAACGTGCCATGACATGGTGTCAAGCCAAGGGCAACATTCCCTATTTCGAGACTTCCGCCAAGGAGGCTATCAACGTCGAGCAGGCTTTCCAGACCATCGCCAAGAACGCGCTTGCCCAGGAAGCGGAGACCGAGTTGTAAGTGCTTCCCGCGTGAGTCTGTGGAGAATGACAAGCTGATCCCGAATGCAGGTATGCCGACTATCCCGACCCCATCAGGATTGACTCTGAAAACACTCAAAACTATGGGTGCAACTGTTAACCTGTCTCCCTGCCTTCTTTCGACTTGATGCGCTCTCTCGCGGTCCCATCCCTCACGACATTCCGGCCTTCCCAGTATCTCTTTCCGACGACCTTTTGCCCAAACCCTCCCCTCAATATCTTTAGACCCTTCCGTCTCGTGTCCTCGCTCTCCTTCCTTCTCATCCCTTCAACCTTGTCGTGACTCGATGCGTGACACGAGACTTTTCAAACGAGGACAATGAGAGATGGTGGTGTCGACAAGAGGCGAGACGGAAGATGGAGGGAGTTCAGCTTCTACTTTAGAACGGGCTGTCCATCCTTTTCTTTTTTTTCTTTTCTCTTCTTGTAATTGTGTATCGCTGAAGAGGAACGGCCATGCATGCTTTCCACCACGTCTCGCGAGATGCTAGTCTATTACCGTTCAGGGGGTTACAGTCGACAATTGCTCTTCTTCCTCGTCCTCCTGTAGCTCTCAACTTGTCTCTTCTACTGACGCGTCCCCGATGGCTGACACGCAGCGTGCGTTCAAGCCTCTTCACGGGTCTTTTACCTCTGCAGCAGCGACCATTTCCAGCGAATAGCCCAGGCACTCATCCACCAGCCGTTCAGAGATCCCAAAGTCGACTTGACATACCCTCTCGCCAGGCCAGGGGGGGCGGTGGATTGTTCAGTTGGGGAGATGATAGCAGAATGCAGGGCACCGGCAGGATACAGCGCAGTTAGTGTAAGAGCGGCAAGGGTGCCCTCGAGCTAGCGGGAGTGTGTACTACTCGAGCCAGAAGTGGCGCAAGTTGGACTTGTCCCAAGACCAGCTAGAAGATGTAGTCAAGCACGAATCGTACGTCTTACCAAAAGCACAAGCTACTCAGCAGACATATTTGAGCCACGGAGGAGGCTACCAGATCAGGCGTCAGCTCGAGCTTGCGAGATCTCACGGGTCGTCGCAAGCGCACTCAGAAAAGTGTAAGAAAGTGCCACAAGGTGCGAGGGACGAGCTGGCTGGGGAATGATCAGCGAGTCAGCGATGAGAGTCGTGTGGCGCCACAAAGATTGGCAGAGGAGCGAGCCTAGCTGACGTGATAATATACCTGTTGACTGACGTTGTATGTACGTACCCACAAGCTTGTTGGTCCATCTTTCAGGCTTGTCTTGATGCGCTCCTACTCACCTGCTATAAGATCAAGCTGTACATCTGTGCGCAAACACATGGTGCCCTCTAGACTCACACCCTTAATTGGACTACTGAACGGTATAGCGATGGCTTGGCAAATGCACCAAATAATTATGCACCAAATAATTATACAATTTTTTTGCCACCGACGTCGTCAGCCAGTGAGATGTTCGATATCGCTGGTCCTCTCCAGTGCCCTGCTCCAGTCAAAGCCGCCCGGAATACCGCCCAGGTGCTCTAGCACACGAGCAAACAGACTGCGATTGCATGCATGCAACACAATTGAACGCCCGATGAACCCCGCGGTGGCAGCACAACGGGAATATCTGCTCCCGTTGCCGTCAGATCGATGGATGAGGTTCAACTGATCTCCTCGCCTGTCCTCTATATTCTCTCACATTCACCTCTCTTCTTGTACCCACCCTCCCCCTCGCCTCCCCCCGACTGACACCAGCACCACCACCACCGCGACACCGCCCAGTGCGTTGTCCGGTCCACCCCACGCGACAGAACACGCCCCCGTCCACTCACTCCCTGCCGGCAGCCCCAGTTCCCCACTCATTCTTCGCCACTCGGCTTCCTCTCTATACCCCTACCGGGTCTCATCACCGCCGCCATGAGCAACAACCAGCAGCCATTCGGGGGCCTCAATATGGCCCAGCTCAACCAGCTGAACCCTGCGCTTTTTGCCCAGCTGACTGGTCAGATGCAGCAGCAGCAACAGCAACAGAACCAACCCCAGGCATCCAACGCCGCTTCCAATCTGTTAGGAGGGATGCAGATGCCGAACCAGGCTGGTAACAACCAAGTCGGTGCTCAGAATATGGGCGGCCTGCGAGGTATCCCCCCTCAGCTACTGCAGCAGATGCAACAACAACAAACTCCCCAATCCGGCCCCAACCAGCAACAACGCCCCCCAGCTCAGCAAAACGACAAGGTCTCGGCCATGCAAAACATGATGATGCCAATGTACAACCGGCTCCAGACCCAGAACCGTGACCGACTCGAGCAAGCCAGGCTGCAAGCGGTGTCCAACCCGGCACTGCAAGCGCAAATCGCTGCAGAGCAGCTCAAGGCCCATCAGAATGCCCAGGCAGCTCAGTCGGCTCAAGCGCAGACGTATGCTCAGGCTCAGGCTCAGCAGCAGGCTTCACAGCAGGTGCAGCAGCAGAGTCTTGGGGTACAGGGGGTTGCTGGGATGCAAGGGATGGGAGGGTTGCCGGGGATGGGCGGTATGGTTGGTTTCTCTCAGAATCAAGACCAGCAAGGACTGGGGCAGAATGGCCAGAGGCCACAGTCTCAGCTTCCGAATCTTTCCCAGCAGCAAGGTCTGGGAGTCGCGGGGCAGGGCCAGGGGATGATGGACGACAATGTGCGGCGAGCAGCTTTGCAAAAGTAAGTTGGCTGCTCTGTGCGGTGATCATCCGCTAAACCTTTGTAGTATGTTGCAGAACAACTCCACCCCAGCTCAACCTACTGCCCCGGCTACCAACAATGCCATCCCACCAGAAGTCCGAGAACTCTTGCAAAGCCACCCCGATCTCGTACAGACCATATTCCGAAAACACGCCAATAATTCAGCAGGTGCAATGGAGGAGATTAGACGTGTCATGGTCGCCCTGCGAGCGCAAGGAGCTGGCGTGCCGGTCGGGATCAATGGCCAGGTCGCGCCACCACGTACAGTGTCGCAGACTGTACCGGGGAACGCGACCAAGCAGGGTCATCAGCGGGTTGGCAGTGAAACCTTCAACATGAACCAGTTCGGAAACATGAACCAATTGGACCTGGTGAGTTGATTTATCGCTGAAAGACCGAGCTGAGTAGGAGTAGCTGCAGCAGCTCAAGCAGACGCCGCAGGTGAACCAGCAGGTTCTCTCTTCACCCCAGATCCACAATGCCAACACCGCCACCAACCAGCAAACCTACCCTCAACCACCACAAGCCCGTCCCGCTCCTCCCCGAATCCAACCCACGCCCCCACAAAACAATCGCCAACCCCAATCTGCCCAAGCACAGATGGCCGGAGTCATGGGTGCTCTGGCAAACATGGGGCAATGGACTAGCGAAAGGATCCTGCAGGTGGTGATAGGCTTGTCAAAGAAGATAGGACAAGCCAGAGATGAGGGTGCTGGTGCGGCTGGCGGTGCGCCGGGGGGTAGGCCTTGGTCGCCTGCAGAGAGTATCGCCAAGTTTCAGCTTTTACTGGTGCTTGCAGAGCTCAAGAAGCGTGGCATGATGATACCTGAGGATGTCTTGGCGGTTGGCGGTATTTTGTGAGTGTGCTCAAGTATTGGCTAGGGCATTGTGCTGACCTGAAACCAAGGATGCCGATGGCAAATCATCGCGAAGCTTTGCTTAATGCGGAACCCGCCAAACTCCAAGAAGTTGCCAAGTTGACGTTTGCGAATGTCGAACGAATACGGCAAGCTACGATGGCGCAGCAGCAGCAACAGCAAAACGTTGGTCAAGCGCCTCAAGTTCAGGGTCAGGACCAGATGTCGGCTCAGCAACTGGCAGCTCGACGATTCCAGGGCCAGCAGCAATCGCAGCAACAGCCGATGAGAGGGTCTCAGAACAACCCTATCGAGCTCGTCACGCCGACGATGAACAACAGTCAACTCCCTGGACAGTTCCCCACCCCAGTACAGGCATCAGCCGGGTCGGCGCCCATGGCACAGCAACCTTCCGGGCAGTCTATGCCCAACGCCACCCCTCTGCTAGGGAACGCTCAGCCGCCAATGCAAGGTCAACAGAGCGGGCAGACGGGGATGGAAGCGATCCAGGACATTCCCGAGGAGGCCTTCTACAATTCGATGAGAGCGATGATGCACAAGGGCACAATGCCAGTGTTGCAGAATGGTGCGCCGTCGATAGAGGGTAAGCAGGTGAATCTGCATAAGCTGTTCCAGATTGTGATTCGCAATAACGGGTTTGCCAATGTGAGTTCTCTCTATCGCTATAAGGATTGGGCTGACTAGGGCAGATCGATGCTATGCGATGGACATTCATAGCAGGGCAGCTCGGTTTCGCCCATCCCGGTACCAATACCTCTACCGAAACCGGTCAACCGCCCATCTCCTCCCCCCATATCGCTGGCCAGATCAGAAGTATCTATGCCTCCGTCCTGCAGCCTATGGAAACAGCATTCATGGCCGCTCGACGCGCCAGAATGGGCGCAAGGGCTGGGCAGCCCCAAGCGCAGAAGGGAGGAACGGGTGCGACGCCTTTACTGGGCTCGGCTGCTCCCATTGGGCAAGGTCAGCAGCAGCAGATTCAAGGCTCTGGTGGGCTGTCAGAGCAACAAAAGAGGTTTTTGGATGCGGCGAAAGCCTCTGGAGGAGGACCGAGTGTTGTCGAGGCTTGGCAGCAGCAGCAGGCTTTACATGCTGCTCAGCAAGCTCAACAGCAGCAACAGCAGCAGCAGCAAGCGCCTCAGCAAGCCAATGCGTCACGGCAGCAACAATCGCAAGCTGCTGGTCCTACTTCTCAAGATTTGCAAAATTATACCAAGATGGCCTTCAAAATGCTGGAGCTTGTCAAAATGAGTGACGGATTGATTCGCGGCAATCTTGGTCAGTACAGGATCTCATTACGGGCCAGGGACACAGCTAACCCTATGACAGACAAAATGCCGAATCAACCTGGCGTCGATGCTCAAGGCTACGTCAATGATCTGCGAACGATCATCCCGTCAGCAAAGGAAGCCGAGACGCGACTCCCGATCTTGTTGATGCTCATGACCGATGCGGGTACAGGCTTTGACCATCAATTGGTCATGCAGTGTCTACATGCTGTATGTCCTCTCTTCCTTCACTATCGACTAAAAGCTGACACAAGACGTAGTGCATCGCTCCCCAATACGCCTTCCTCGCCGCTGAACGGCAGAATCGTTACGTCCTAGCTCCGGCAGACATCATGCGTATCAAGACCTCTCTGGGTGCCTTTAACGGGCGCTTGCAGACGGTCACAAAGCTTATTAACGAGCGCCCAGGCGGAAGCCTGCGGATCAAGGCGATGGTCGAGTCTGTCCACAATGTGCGGACAGCCATGCTAGCGAAAACACAACAACAGCAGGCTCAAGCACAGAGTCAAATGCAAACCCAGGGGCAGGGCCAGGATGGTCTGGGACTGGGACTCAACCTTGGAAACATGCGAGATATGGTCCAGCAAATCACTCAATCTCTTCCCCAGCAAGCACCCGCTGCGCAATCCAGTCTTGCTCCTCCATCTGCTTCGCAAAATATTGCTATTAAGGATAGCCCGTCTGCTATACAGGACGCAATCCGTCAAAAGGGCTTGCGAGTCGAAGATCTCAAACCGCCTCCTGCGCCCAAGCGAGGTGGCAAGAAGCCTGGCATCGCCGCCGGCCCCGGTAGTTCGCCTGCTGCAGCCGTTTCTGGTGCCACTCCTGAAGGTACTGCGCTCAAAACGCCCGGTGCCACCGGCGATAGCCCCAAGGACAAAAAGGTCAACAAGAGGAAGAGGCAATCGACGGGTGACAAGGGTGGCAAGGGCAAGAAGAAGGCTACAGACGCCAATGTGCCAGAGCTCCCGTCGCCGCTCGTCTCAACCGCCATACCTCCTCAATCCTCTGCGCCCGCGGCGCAAGTCAATAGCCTCGAACTTCAGTTGACGGCTGAAGAGAGTGCTAGGAAGGCAGAGATTGAAGCGCACAGGGGCTTCTTTGACCAGCAGCAGGAGATGATGTCTGTTGCCGGACTTGGCGATGGGAGTAAATCGGTGGATTCAGCTTTGGAAATGTTTGGTGCTATCTATGGCGCACATCAACAGGGCTTATCCCAGGCCGCTTCTCATCTTGAGACCGGCCTGCCTACTTCCAAATCCAACCCATCGGCGGCCCCGCTATCTGCTTCTGCCCCAGCGCCCTCCGCGCCTTTGCAGGCAGGTGGCATGGACCCGAATGATTCAGACTTGTTTGACACGTACTTTGACGCCTCCCAATTCTCTATCGCCTCCAATATCCCGACCCCTGATCTCGTTATCGAGACACCTCACCCCTATGGAGCAGCCGCGGTGGCGGAAGGTCATGGAGCGAGAGAAGAAGGGGTGGATAGCAGTCCAGAGAGCGTAAGAACGGTGGGAAGTACAGGTGTAGTAGTTGTTGGGGAAAATAAGGGAAACACTGCGGGGATGGAGGTGGACCTTGGCGAAGGGGCTCAAGGAAAAAGAGTCATCTTGGGGAGTCCGGGGAGCATGGCATACAACGGCGGAATCGAGTGGTAAAGAGGAAGCTGTGTATATTGACTCTGTCAATTCCTCATGACCGGGACGAAGATCGAAGCTTAGCAATGGGGAACATCTGTAACGTTTTGACATATAATAACAGCATTGTTTGTACATTTTTATCATACATTTCCAACATATCGCCATACGTAACTTTTCTGTCTGCGGTGTAATACGGTTTCATTTGTGGGGTCTATCTTTTATGTGACATCTCTGATCTGCCTCAAAGAGCATATGGCTGCAGACGGCACTGCCTATCGGTAGCAAGTGGCATGTTTCCTTGAGCCGCATCAAAGCAGAGGTATCAGTCATATAGCTACAGCTATTGGTTCCATGTCAGATACAATCGCAGTACATACGAGTACTCTACTGTATTATTGTAAAACTACGAGGACTGTAAATATAAATCTACAAAATACTCTGATCAAGATTCTATCTCACTCCCATCCACCAGCCACGACCTTCAATTTGAACCGCTTCAAGGTGGCAGACACAGCAAGGGGGCCAATGATGGTATTCAATACAATAGCCCAGATAGCGATCAGAAATTCGTCTTCGGTGATGAGCGGGGTGTTGGTGTGACGGGCAATTTGAGATATCCTATCAAGAATCAACAGAGACTCAAGGCGATATTTTCAAACTTACAGAAGGCCAATCTCGCCACGCGCTACCATCGCGCTTCCCAAGAGCAAGACCGCCGGCACCCGATCTCTCCATCTCCACTCTCCCCGCAGCTCATTCTCAGTCACTGGCAACCCCTTCTCCTGGGCCAGCATTCCTCCTTTGCTCTTTGACGGCCAGAACATCCATAGACCGCACGCCATCTTGGAGATGAGCATGAGTATGGCATAGATGACTCCTTTCCAGATGATCTCGCCTCGCCACAGGCGGACAAAGGGGATAGAGTAGCCGATGGAACCAAAGAAGAGGGGGAGTAGGATATATTCAACGATGGGAAACAGGAAAGCGTTGTACGCTCCGGCGAAATCAAGCGGGTGATTAGCATTTGAGGACTCTGCGCGGGAGCGGGCGCGGTTGGGGGCCGGGAGAGAGGCAAAGTGGTAGCCTAGTGTCCCTGGGTGGGTTTGCGCGCGGTATAGGTTTGGAGATGCTCGAGACATGGTCCGGGCCAAAGCGGGAGAATCGATGAGAGGACCGGCGGTGTTGGTAGTAGCGTATGTAATCGTGCGAGGCAGGGGATCAAGCTCGAGTTCTGACTCGCGGTTATCGCGGGGAGCAGATTCAGAGATATAGGAGAGGATTAGGCCTCCTACATAGATACCGTATAGAGGACTGGTGCCAGCATAGCCAGCTGCCGCGACCATTCCCACTGCCGTGAGTAACACGAGAATGATGGATCCAAGCTGACCCGTTTTATCGAGCTGTTTGAGGGCCCATCGCGAGGTTATGAGCGGCCGGAACACCCAGATGGAAAGAGGGATCAGGACGACTCCTAGTCCAAGGGTGACTCCGACTGTCCTTCCAATCTTCCCACCAATTCCACCGCTACCCTCTCCTACAATTTTGATGATCTCTGAAAAGACGAACGCTGACACGTCATCGGCTACAGCAGCACCGACGAGCGCTACACCAACTTTCGTCTGGCGAAGATCGAACCCGATGCCCTTGGTCCCTGCAAGGACGGCAAGAGTAGTGCCGAGGGAGGTGGACGACATAGCAGAGCCTGTTGAGAACGCTGCGAGGGGTGCAAACGAAAAAGCTGGCATGAGGATGAATGATAGTCCGAAGGTGACAACAACCCCCGTCACGGCAATCGCAAAAGAGATGGGGATGAGGGGTACCAAGAGGGGCAAGCTAGTTGTGATACCGCCTGAGGTCATCAGCTAGTGTCATTTACTTTTTCTTTACTGAGCCCACCTTCGAGGACAATAGCCAACAACCCGATGTACCCCACTAACACCATCGTGTCCTGCCAGTCAATCTGCAACCACTCTGCAAGCGGAGATCCAAACACCATGCCTATGGCGATTTCTCCCAGGAGCCCGGCCCCTGTATATCGTTGAACGATCCATCTGGCGAGATTGAGGAGCCAGATATAGGTGGAGAAGATGAGAAGAGCGGAAGTGGATGGTTCTTCATAAGCAAAGTCGGCAGGCATGTCGATCCGTGGCAGGCGTCTCTGCGCTAGACTTGAGGGGGTGTAGGACCCGGATTCGCTGGGCTCCGTATGCGAATGGAGCTTTTGCAGTGAGTCACTTTTGAATTGACTGCAGATGAAGACAGGACGAAGATGAAAATACTCAATGCCGTCACCCTTTGCAGTGCCGATGACTGGAAGTGGCGGCGGCCGCCACCATCAAGTTCCCCGCGTTAAATGGCCCACAGGCGCATTGCTGGTGGTCAGAATGGGAAGATGAGAGACGTATGAAGAAGCAATTGATAGACATGCATTCAAGCAGTACTTATAGGATTGACATTTCCCATTAATTCACCTCCCGTCCACTCAAATGTCTGCACAATTACATTCACATCCTGCCACAGGACAGACTGAATGTGGTATGCCACCATCTAAGCCACCTTCGAACCACGGAAGGACATGACAAGCATGTCCACCATGTCTGCATGTCAGGCAGAACACATATGCGGCATCGATTGTGTCTGCTCGTATCGTCAGCAATTTTCTATCTCGGATAGGGAACGACGCACCACTGATATGAGCAGGCTTATCGTGCTCCTCTGCAGGTGGTCTATGGGGATCCACGTGTAGCAAACAGATGACGCATCTTGGCAGAGGTGTTTGACAGTATACACAGACGGTGGTTCGCTCACTAGGCATCCCAACATTAGGAGTGCCACGCACAGCGTTCTTGCGATGCAGCCGTGACTCTGTATCTTTCGGCATGGGGTTATTGCAGCTGAGTAAATTAGTAAACGGTCTAGCTCCCTGTGCGACTCGACTTACACAGGACAGGCACCCATCCTATTCTCTCCCTCCTCTTCGCCCCCGAGTGCCCTCTGCAGCTCTCCCCACTTTACATCGAAAGCACATCTCTCTCCCCACATGCCCCACCCATCCAACATGCTCCGGTACGCTTCTCTCCACCTCTCCCTCATATGCTTTTCTGCTTCTGTCATCTTGCCTGGAGGAAAGAAAGCTGAAAGGAGGGTGGTAGTTTGGATGTCTCCTGTACGAGCCAGGAAGCGCGACAGGAGGGAGAGTGCAGGAGGGGCAAGACCGGCAAGGGGAAGCATGTGGAGGGAGGCGGAGCGGGTGAAGCGGTTCATCCTTCCTCGGAGGAATGTTGAGAACTGCGTCAAGTCAGCATTGGTGATTCCAGATCGATGTGAAACGCACCTCGTAGTCATCCAAGTGCTGCACGGCAACAGCCATCCTGTCCAGGAGGGCTATATTCTCCTCCTCCAACACACTCTCCCAGTCGTCCCCACCAATCCTCGACAATATGGCTCGAATATGCGGGTCGTCTACTCGTCGAACGAGATTCCGCCAGTGAGAGTTGAAATATTCACTGCCACGGGCAGATGCAGATTGAGCCATGAAACCGGCGATGGTGGATCCAAGGAGGTTGTCATTTTGGTCTATGAACACACGTAAGCTTTAGGTCTGTGACGCACGATGGAACCGCTTACCTTCACTTGTCATCAGAATGCTGACCGTCCCCTCTTCGTCTCCCTTGAAGAAAGCTCTAAAAGCAGCTTTACTTCTCTCCCCTTGTTTCACCAATCTCTCCACCTCTCCCTTACCGCGCCCTCTCCTTCCTCCATCCCACCCATCTCCATTCTCGCCACAGAGCGTCAAGATAAGCTTCCTCAGATCTGTTCTCTCACCTCCCACAGACGCCCTGACGATTCCCGGGTGCAAAGAGGTGTCGTGTAGCGTCGAGCGGGTCGCGTTGAGGGAAGCGATCGCAGAGAGGTATTCTTGACTAGGTGGAGAGAGGTATGATGTGGTACCAGTTGGCCGATCTGATGCTTTTCGTTCACGCGTCTCTTTGGGGGTAAAGATGCCGCTACCAGTATGGCTACTTGTACGAGACATACTAACCGAGCGCGAACCATCTCCCCCAGAGAGGAATGGGAATTTTCCTTCTTTCTCTGGTCTCCCTCTGTTATCGAGACTAAGCCTTTCATTCAGCGAGTGGGGGGAGAGCGGGGCAGGGCTAATGTCTTGGGTACCAAGAGAAGTCCAAATGGGGTATATCCCTTGATGTGTGAGATTGTATGCGCTTGATGATGATAGTGAGGGCGTCATCGTTCTTGTCAGATCTGTTCTTTCTTTGATAAGCGTCTGGTTTCTCGTAAAGTGGATAAACGCACGCTCAATGAATTCCCAGACACCTGCCAGCTTGAACTTTCCCGGATGTCTGCTCGCGACAGCAGCGTTCAATAGCAGATCATCCAGCCCATACCCTTCACCGGCTCTCCGTCTCATCACAACGCTCACATCCCCGCTCAACACCTTTCTCCACCCCTCATACCCTCCGACAATCTCATCCCTCTCGTTGATTACCTCCCCATCGGCCTCATAGTAATCACGCTCCTTGTCCCGCTCGAATTCCGATACGATGCTTCGAGAGAGGGGATCCTGGGAGTATGACGCTTTGCCTATGAATGAGGGTGACGCAGAACGAGAGCGAGAACGTTCGGCGAGGATGGCAGTGATTCGTTCAGGGGCAAGTTGGAATTTGTTACGACGGTATATGGGCTCGTCTTTCTCGTCCTTGTCTTTCTTTTCGGCGACAGGGAATGATTGAGCTGTTGGGGAAGTAGAGGGGATATCGGGATTGATAAGAATGAGTGCAGAGGAGGTTATGGCAATGTCGCCTTGGGATGAAGAGGTGAGCTAGTGGTCGTTAGCTTCACGTACATCTGTGAAAAGGAGCGATTCACAAGTGGGGCCTGCCCTACCGGGCCTATTGAGATGGTACCATCTCTCAGCACATACATCACATCCGGACTGCCCTTCTGAGCCGTTGGAGTGAATGCAAACGAATGCAAATTCTGCCTCGGCTTTACGACTTGCCTTGGGTCAGCCCTCGTTCTGGAGATAGGGTACTGAACTCACTCTGCCTCATTCCTCCGAGTGTCACCCACTCTTTGATGTTCTCGCCTTCTTCTCGCTTACCCCTCACAACATCCCATACTCTCACCCCACCCTCTTTCGACCCCACTCCAAGCCTGCCTCCATCGAGCCAGCTCATTCCGCAAACATTCCCCGGCATCTCCCACCCCAATATCTCTGCGCCTGGCCTCCTAGTATCCCACAGTCGCACTGTAGAGTTACCACCAGCGGGAGGTGCTTCATATGAAGCGAACGAGTGCTCGTATTTGGAATTGGGAGTAAGAAAGTGAACAGCACGGGATGACCATTGAGCGACTGATCCGGCTGTCCCTGGAGCCGCGTTCTCTCTAGGTGTCGGATCACGTAGATCAAACAACCGGATTGCTTTATTTGAGGAAGATGCAAGCAAGGAGTATGGTGACGAAGGGATCCAGGACACTGCTTGGATCGATTCTGAAGGGCAGTACGCTTGGATAGGTCGCGGTTCCGAGGAAGTGGGTTTGGTCGTGGTAGTTGACTTTAGGTATGGTTCAGGACGAGTCCATGTGTCGCCATCAGGCTCCAGCTTGGATGCTAAGATAGAGTCATGAATATCCCAGATCAAGAGGGAGGAATCGGATCGATGCCTGTCCAAACCTGTCGCAAGGTAATTCGGATCGATATGGGAGAATGAGAGGGCTGCTATGGGTCGATTGTGCTTGACAGTAAGAGTAGCGACGGTGGACGGAGAGTTGGCGGGCTGGACAGGAAGGGAGAGGGTGGATGGCGAAAGATTTATAAGGAGAGTCTTTCCGGTAGCTAGACCCGTGGCGATGAGATGCTTGTGTACAGGTGATGGAGACCATGCCAATGTCTGTCGAATGTCAACACTATTCTCCAACCGCATCTGTACTCACTTTGATCTGTCCCACCTCCGTCTGCAGCCCGACCATTCCCATCTTGGCTTCCTATAAGTCTCGGTCAGATAAATCCAGCAATTCACCAAGATGCTCACCTCCCGCCTCCATTCGTACATCTTGATATCACCCGAAACCATCTGGGAGACCTGCCCCCCGACGATGAATCGAGGCGAGATGGACCCATGAGGGTCCGAGATGGCCATCCTGCGGAAGTCCGTGGCCATGTTGGGTTATCCGAAGCTGTTACTGGAACTATATGAGAAATCAAAGTTCATCTTGATACTCTCTGGTCCTTCGTTCAGTTCGCGCCCGGTGGTCCGATCGGGTTACGTAACGCCTCAAATGATGTGTATGCAACCAAAAGAAATGCTGATGCATTTGCAAGTCAACATCGACGGCCATAGCCTCCTGAAAGTACCGCGTCCCGTCTGATCCGCGAAGTCAACTAGGAGAGCGCTCGGTTAGTACCAGGGTGGGGGACCACCTGGGAATCCCGGGTGCCGTCGTTTTTGCTGCTTTTTGCCTTTTATTCTTTGCTCTCGTTGTCCTCCTGCCACTTGTTCACGGCACCCTTACCCCAGCCTTACAGCGAAGGTTGCTATGGCAGAGATAGATGGGTGGGTGCCTTTGTCGCTAATCCTTCACTTCTATAGATTACTTCAGTCAACTCAATGCTCACACAGATGAACGGGCCGGGCCACATGAAAGGTGATCGCCAAGTGATTACATACATGGAAAGGATGTTGCGCGCGTTACTTTACGTATGATATGCCTCTCTTTATGAGGTGAATGGTTTTAGACGTCATGTTCAAACGACGGGGAATGTAAAAAGAGCTGAAAAAGAATGATATCGACACCTTTAGCACGAGGGACCTCGTCTATCCCATTGAGCCCCTTTCAGAACGACTAGACAATACTACCAAGTATGGAAAACTGAAAGACATGAAATGACTGCTCTACTTGGTGGTGGTGATCAACATGGTACCAAACACATAGTCCCAGACCTTGCTGGTGACACCGAAACCAAGCTCAAAGTTCTTGTAGTGATGAGCGAGGTGGTACCGCTTCATCTCGGCAAGGTAGGCGGGGAGCTTTGTGTGGTGAAGGGCGTAGTGACCTATGACGGCATTAGCTTTTTGGCAAATGATGGACAGTATAAAGTGCTCACCGAGGTCATACACCACATACATCGCAAAGGCGCCACTGATGATACCGTTCGCGACAGCCATGGGGAAGAGGGCATGCGCCAACTTTGTGAATGGTGTCTGCAAGACAAAGAACAGGAGAGGAGGCATGACGAGCCTCAGCCTGTCCATGGGCAAGTAGTGGTGCACACCATGGAGAAGGAAGTGAAGCGTGATGGCCCACTGAGCGTCGGGAAGGTAGTAGTCGAGGTGGAAGAGGAATCGGTGCAAGACGTATTCGAGGATGGTCCAGATAAAGACACCGAGAGCAAAGCAAGCGGTGAAGGCGGCAAGGGCAGCGGCTGTGGGGGCAGGGAGAGAGGTGATGGCAGGAGGTGGATAGGTAAGGAGGGACCTGGCTGTGATGCCGCTATGAAGCGTCAGTTGATAGTCACGCTGATAATCATCGGATGTACCTCTGAGAGAATTGCAAGATCGACAGTACACCAAGGAAAGCAGCGATGGGCCACCAGATGATGGGCACCACATACCATTGCGTCCTCGTGAAAGGCTCCAGCAGGTCACTGCCAAACATCCTTGCGCTTTCCTTCAAGTGCCTCGGCTCGTGAACCTGAGCGAGATAGTACTCTTTGGTCCAAGGAGCGTTCCAGACTTGCATCAAGAGAGGCTTCTCCAGGTCGATGAACTTGTTGAGGTTGTAGTCGGAAAGACAGTCTGTGGCGTCCGGGTGGAAGTTCTCGTCGGGGACCCAATCTATAGAGGGTCAGCCAAGATACAAAATGTACAACACGACTCACCTTCAGACACGATCTTTTCGCCACCACCGAGCTCTCCCACTTGGAACTCCTCCAACATTTCATACGCCGCTCTCGAGTGCACATGGATATCTTCATCGCCCATCACTTTTCCAATGTCTTGCCCAGAATAGGCGAGGATAATGTCATCTCCTCCGGGGTGGTCGGGCAGAAACTCGGTGAGATCGTAGACCTTGCCAGAGTAGGTGACGAGGGAAGACACGCGTGTAGTGTCTGGAGTTTTGTCAGCCGGGTAACATTTTCGCATGAATACTCACGCTTGGCTACCTCAGAAGCGCTGTAGATGGAGCCTCGGGGGTGAGGGAGGGTCTTGCTCATGTTGGATAATCCGAAATCGGCAGAGGTGGACACGTAGTTTTGGCGCGGTGGAAGTGGGACGATAGACGGGTGGCGAATTGATAACGAGCGACAGGCGTGGGTGGCAGCGAAAGGCAAGAGGAGAGCGGAGGGAGGCGACTGGGTGTGGAGAAAGGAGATTGTTGAGATGCAAATGAGAAATGGATCTGAATGACGGACGGTTACCCATGCAACGCCCACGCCAAAATTCGGGTCGGAGCGCGCAGGAAATTGATTCCGAAAAAAACAACAACGAGAGGCGGCGAGCGGCGAGTCTCGGTCAGCAAGACTCCGCACTCGCAATAGGCCGCCGCTGACTGGACAGGTATGTTGGACGTGGCACATTGATACATGCATAGCCAGGCGATGTATATAGAGTAGGCCTGGGTATGTGGGACAAATGACAACTGGACGAGTACATATATCACGGCGCATCATCGCTCTTTGCGTCAACTAACCTTCGGAAAGAACGCCAACGCAGATTACGCAGACATGGGCGCAGAGGAGGATGTCATATGGCTCGGTCCTCCAAACTGGGACAGTGCATCATCGAAGTGGTACTCCGGGGTGAACAGTATGTTGCCAGAATTCCTTCGGCGAAAAAGCTCTCGATGAGCATGCTGGTATGAAATTGAGGCCTGCTGAGTAGGCATCATCCTGGGCGGCTGATGACCTAGAGCATGACCATACGGTATGGGGTAAGAGACCCTGGTCACTGGTAGATGCAAGCCTTGATGGTTATAGAGCAAGCCGGCGAGAGGGGATGGGGATTCCGGGAAAAGAGAAAGGTTTCGAGCCGGGGGCGTAGGACGGGCAGGAGGAAGGGTTTGGGGCTGGTATCCGAAGGCATAAGGAGGTGGTGGACGTTGAGGGGCGGAGTCGTGTCCCAGAGGTGGGAGTCGGACGTCGATATCATCGCTTGCGGGCTGAAGGTGTGTCTCGCCGATCTCATGGCCTTCGTCTTCCTCCTCAAAGTATTCTTCTCCCTCTCCATCCTCGGACCCTCCTTCTTGCCCGTATTCCTCGTCTTCTTTGTCCTCGCCTGCGTCTTTTTCATCATGACCACCATCCCGATTATCACCCTGACCATCCTCGTGACCATCATCCTCGCCATCATCTTCGACATTTTCCTCACCATCCTCTCGACCACCAGCAGCTTCTGTCTCGGCTTTCTCAACTGCTATCTGATTTTCGCCCTTCATGTCTAGAACATCCTTCGACACTCTACCCTCCTTCACCATAGCCTCCAGCTTCACCCTGGTCGAAGGCTGCCACCCATCAGGGGGCGGCTCCCAAACGCAATCCTTTCCATGCTTGCGGCATTCCTCACAATCAGCCTCAAACAAAGATCCACCGGCACACTGCAAGTTCGCTTCAGCATTGCCGCTATACAGTAGAGACGGTTGATTTGGAGATGGAGCGAGAACGTACCTTGCGCCTGCTATCTCGGCACGGACCGCAGCCCAGCGTTTGTCGCGTCCTTCTGGGCGGTTTGCGCTTCTTGGTCGGGCTACCACCGCCGGCGCTGCCTCTACTTCTCTTCTTCTTTCCGCTTCTACCAGCTGAAGCTTTCTTGTGAGACAACTCGCCACTTTTTGGTATCGGTGCCATTTTGTATGTGGGCTCTATTGCTGGGTGAGGAAAGGGGGTATGTTGAATGATGAGGCTGATACGGTGGTGAGTGGATCAGGGAACTTCGATGGGAAGATGAGAAAGTGAAATAAATCTGGGGCGCTGTGAGTTCTTATATCCCATGCTTGCAGATGTATACGCAATCTCAGGGTTGGGAAAGAATCAAGTGAGGAAAAAGGACAAGCTGAGGAAAGACGGAGATGAGGAAAGATTGATATGTGGAAAGATTTAGCGTTGAAGCGTCATCCGGCGCGGTAGTCATCATCATCTCATGAAACTAAATTTTGAGACGGGCTTGAAGTGGGAGTATGAATGCAAGTACGTCTTCAAAATCTGTGTAGGTCTGGAAGGGGTCTAGGAGACAAGTCAAGCTCGCCTCAACGATGGGCTGTCTTCGTAATGATAAAGCTCGTCTGCAGGGATTACGACAATTTAATGGTACTACTGCACTTGTACATTAGCAGCATACTCATAGAGTGGCTCATGAAGTTGAAGAGCTCGCAATAGCCACCGAGACAAGCAAAAAGCGAAAAACAAAAACGACGGCACCCGGGATTCCCAGGTGGTCCCCCACCCTGGTACTAACCGAGCGCTCTCCTAGTTGACTTCGCGGATCAGACGGGACGCGGTACTTTCAGGAGGCTATGGCCGTCGATGCTGTAAAGTGGTAACGTATGCTTAGGAAATTGTACCACAGTAACGACGCTTGCTTTTGCGGGGTCAAATGTATGAAGACGACTTCTCAACTTCTTCCTTGCTTCTTCCCATCGAGTTGAGACCCAACATTTCACTATCGCTACCCCCGAACGCAAGACCATGTCCACAGACACCGAGAGCGCCTCTGACGCCTTCACTCTCTCACCTTTCCCCTCCGAAGTCGTCGCCAACATCTTTTCCTACTATCTCGCCCAAAACCCCATCGAGAACAGAAACCATTTCCTCAACCTCATCACACTCTCCAAAGAAATCTATTCCAAAAATGCTTGGAGGCTGTACGAAGCCGTAGAGCTCAACGATAAGAATGTCCAGGCGTTCTTTCAAGGGTTATGGAGCGCGAGGGATCCCGACGAGGACGCGCTTCCGCAACCCTCAATGCTGAACGAGACAGGCAGAATAGATCTCCCAGGGACAGAAGAAGACCTGCTTGATCAGATGGTGTGATATTCTCCTCCAAAGCGGCACTTGAAACGACCCTCTCACATCTCGTCCAATTCTCATATTCCGTACGCGAAATACGAGTATGCGACTCACATTCCCTTCCGACTCCACCCCACTGTCCGAAAGCTTCTCCTCATTCGACAATGCCGCAGGCTATATATCGATGATCTAAGCGCTTATCGAGGGATCCGGACTTGTGACGATTCAGTCCAGGATGCTGTCGAAAAGCGGTTTCCGGCAGATGCTACCGCTCAGGATCATCATGGTACAGACATTTTACCTGAGTGGTTGACAGACCCGCTGTTCTTCTCCATCACCCACCTCTCGTTTAGTGCAAGGTTCCTGCTCGAATACCAAGGGTTCATTTCCTTCGAGTACGAGGATGAACGCCAGGAAAGATATTCCACACACAAGGCCTTTGGCCCGACGCTCAAGCATATCTGCCTGACCCTACACGACGACTTCTACGGCGGAGATGATCAAGATCGTTTCACAAATTCCGGCGACGAACACCAACTCGACGCGGACGAAGAGTGGGACTGGGAGTATGGGGCACTGGGACGACCAAAAGAGTGCGTGGCGGAACTACTGCAGAATGAGCTTTCCCTTGCGTCCTGGCCCAGGGTGGATGGAAAGAAGTCTTTGACTCTACACAATGCGAGGATAAGGGTTTTGGATTCTGGGCTAGCGGAAACGATGATTTATGACTTGCCTAGGAGGACGGATACCGGCGAGGGCGAGTGGAAAAGGCAGATCATGTTGACAGAGGCAGAGATGTCAACATGCATGTCGGAAATAGAATATCAGATGCGGCGTGGTGAGGTCGAAATCGAAAAGTGAGTGATTCTTGAGCATCATTTTCGACTGTCCGCAGCTGATGGCCCCTTTATAGATGGCTGTCTTCGTTCCAGCGTTGGAAAATGCGGTTCACCAATTTGGCGCCCCTTCCAGCTGACGTCGATATTCCTCAACTATTTCTAGACAAATACCTAGACAAATGCCCCGATAACAGCAAGGCAACCATATCCTCGAGCAAGTTCCACAAGGTGTTTAGAAAGTGGTGCAGAGAGGCGATCGGTTTCGAAGGGCCGACGAAATGCGAGTGTTGCGAGATCTTTGGCAAAGGACATCCTAAGGTGCGTATCCTTGTGCGTCGAATAACGATCGATACTGAGGCCTTGTTCACTGCTGCAGAGTGATGTCTATCGCACACCATTGAATCCGAAATAAAGTATGTATGAAATGAAGGGGAAAGCTCTACAGTATGTCCAACATGATTCTCGACCAGCTTGATTTGTGCACTGACAACTACATCCGTATAGCCCGAATCCGTATCCCCACTATAGTATTCCTTCTCAGAGGCCTCAGAGGCTGACTCGGACACGGGACATGGGCTTGTCGACGTCGAAGCACTCGTTTCTCTCGCCATCTCGTTCACAGCCCTTGAGAGGAGCTTCGAGGACACAAGATCTGGTGTATATAGCCGCACATGTACAGAACATCTCAGCATGCCCCCGCACGACAACACCACACTGTTCCTTGTGCCCTCGATTCGCTGTGTGTCTGGCGCGTGCACTCTCGATCTCCTTGGCGTTTCAAAATTGTACTCTTTGGCTGTCACCGTCGATTTCATGGATCATGGAGACTCTATTCATCTGTCAACTAACACTGCACAATGCTCTTGCACCCCCCTCGCCCTCACCGCCCCCACACTCCTCGCTCCCCCAGCTCCCACCGCTTCCATTTCCCGACACGGCGCCGGCCTCTTCCCTTCCTCCTCGGCGCCCTCACGTTCCTCTTCGCCCCTGTCGTATACTCGGTCCATTCTTTCCTGCGGATATACAACAATTTTCCGAGGCATCAGCAATACAACTTGCTCCTCGCCAATTCGCCTGCCTGGGCGCACCCCCTGGTAGACGCACTGAAAGGGCTTCCAGAGACAAAAGGCATGCCTCCACCAAACACGGTACATGGTCTGAGAAAAGGCCGGTCGATGGAAGAATACAGTGCGCCTAGACTGTCGTTGCCGGTGGAAGGACTTGACGGGGAGCTGACGAGCCCGGCGGTGTTGATGCTCCATATCTTTGCGACGCCTTCGCCGGCCTCAAGGAAGAGGCGGGAGCTGATACGGTCGATCGACTATTTTTCGGCGATCCCTCCGCCGTACAGACATCTGGTGGAGATCAAGTTTATCATAGGGCGATACAGTCCCGGGCACACGTTGTACGACGAGAATGAATCGCGCGAGATTGAGGCAGAACAGAAGAGGGAAAAGGACCTGTTCATTCTGGAAGACCTTGAGGCGGGGGATGATATGAACCGGAGAAAGACCTGGGAGTGGTTGCGACAAGTCGGTAAAGAGGGCGGGAGAGAAGCGTGGTGGGTGATGAAATGTGATGATGATGTGAGACCGCCTTGCATAGCATGCGCGTTGATTGATACATTGCAGACATTTCCCATCCTCCCAAACCTCCTCCCTTATCTCCTCGCCCATTCTCCAGGTACACCATCATACGTCGGTACGTCCTTTGGACGTTGGCCGGGGTATCACTTTTACTTTGAGGGCATGATGTACGGCTTCACCTGGCCTGTGGTAAGTCCCATCTTTGCCCTTACTTACAAACGCTGATGCTATTTCCAGGTGAAAGCGCTTGCTGCAGCAAACGTCTCGAGGGAAGACAGGAACAGAGAGTGGGATGAAGACGCCCACATGGGAGCTCTCATGGTACGCACTCTCCCATCAAACCAGGTCCATCATTGATTTCCATCAAAAGTTCTCCCTGCCCCCCTCTTCTTCCGCCCCATCAGACTGTGCCCATACTCTGGCATCAGCATCATCAGCCATTGACCCTTGTACAGGTACACAGACTCGACCTATCCAGCCGTTTGGGCAACTATCGTGCCAACCCGCTCATCGCCCTGCCCATCCCAGGCCGTCGAGGGTCTGTTGGGGTACATCAGCTCAAGAATGGGACGCAATTCAAGAATGTCGTTGATGAGGTGATAGAGAGCTGGGAGGAGAGGGGGTTGGAGTGGCGGTGGAGGGTGCCGAGGGAGCTTGGGATCGTGGCCGAGTGGGATGTTGATTGGTGAGATGGTCGATCGTGAGGCAAGAGTGGATCTTTCTTGGGCGAATGTGTAGACTGGTCAAAGGCATTTTGGAATCAATCAGTGAGGATACTTCTAGACATATCCAGCTTGTAACATCTTGGCACATATAGCACTGTACAATGTCAGCATGGAGAACGAACCGTGCAGAAGTTCCGAAAGATATGTTTTCTCATACATGCAAAGAGAGATAGAAAAGGCCGAAATGAAGAGAGAAACAAGAGAGAGGAAAACGAAGAAAGCACATATATAAAGACGTCTATAGAGAATTTCTCCTGGACAGTCTTTTCTTCTTCAAACTTCTAAAACGCCGTTTTGGATAGATTGGGGGGAGTTTACAATTTTGTCAAGGTCATGACGATGCGCGGGGAGTTATGCGATTGAGGAAGGGAGATTAAGGATTGAGGGGAGATTACTCGTGACGTTGGTAGATACCGACAACGATGGCGTGGTCTCGCTCATAAGGTTCAAGAGTAAGTTGTTCTATCATCAAGTCAGCTCGAATCTCCTGCGCAATTTGCACGACAACTCACCCTTAGGCTTGATACCCTCCTTCCTCATCAGGTTAACCTCGGAAGCAAACACCTGAGCCGCGGGCGCCGTAGAGTCGATACAGTTGGCCTTGATGGAGATGACGATGGCACCGCCGTTACGGAGGAAGTGGTGGGCGTTGAGGGCAATGATACGGGCCTGGTCGGGCTGGGCGACATCGGCAAAGATGACATCGACCATTTGCACGAGCATTCGGTATTTTTGGGGGTGACGAGCGTCGTCAACGATGGCTGTAAAAGTGTGAGTGGAGAAGACGATACAGGAGGCGGGGTAACTTACGGACAACGTTGGTCCTCTTCTTGGCCATACCGATCAACTCTCGTCCGGGTCGGTGAGAAAACTCGACAGCGTAGACGACACCCTCGGGGCCGACAATGTCTGAGACGTGGGAGACGGAAGAACCGGAAGCAGCACCGAGGTAGAGAACCTTGGCTCCAGGTTTGATCTGCTCCAAGTCAGATTTGACCTCATCCTAAAATACAAAAACTCACGTGGATGTTGTCCAAACCACCCAAGATACCAGCGGCAAGCTTACTCCTGAAGGGGTTCCAGACCCTGTACTCAATCTTCTCCTCCTCGCCCTCAGCGTTGGTGGTCGCAATAGAGACTCGCTTCTCGCCGTACACTGACTCGCCGGGGGTCATGTTTCGGGTGACAAGCAAGTGCTCCTTGCCCTTGGCGATGTAGACACCTTCGTGCTTGTGGGGCTCAAGAGTGACGGCACCGGGACCAGCTCGGCCCATACCGGGCTTGCCACCTCGACCGCCTCCGGCGCCACCTCGACCACGGGGAGCACCTCGTCCTACTTGAGCGTTAGCGTGCAAATGAAGAGATGCGAACGCTGCTTACCTCGACCACCGGCACCACCTCGGCCACCACCCCTACCACCCCTGTCGCCACCGAAAGAACCGCCTCGGCCACCACCTCGACCACCGCCCCTGCCACCACCGAAACCACCTCGACCGCCGCCACGACCACCACCGCCACGACCGCCTCTGTCACCGAAAGCCATTGTTGTTGTTTTGAGGGTAAAGTTGAAGGGGGGAGGGGGAAGGAGGGGGATGGATGGATGTTTTTGTTATAGAGAGTAGCGAAGGGACAGTTTTGGAAAGAGATGAAGAGAAATCTTGTTTCGGTCACGTGACTGGGATTAATGCGCGAAATGCGTATACCGTTTATTCGCATCATTCAACTTGGCCTCTTGGGGTACTTCACTGCGACAGTTGGGATGCATATCGGTAGCAATTGTCGGAAGTGTATGACATGTCGAGTGCCGTTATACTTCTGTGGCAGTGGAACTACCCCGTGGCATCTGTCGCCCCAATGGCTCGCTCGCATCAGTCTCTGGCGTGTGTATTCCCATCATGGCTTAGGCGAATCAGATCCCATTTCAATCATTCGTCAAGTCATACATAGATAGACGTTGTATAGCATATAATGTGCCATCAACTCAATCCCTTCACGCTATACAATTGCAATGACTATGGCATATGTTGAGTGATCACTCGAGATTTGATGTCTCTCCCACTCCACATATGTAAACAGGGGTATCCTTCTCAATACTTAGAGCACTATATTGCTTCTGCTGACTTCAAGAAGGATTTCCTTCGATTCGATACCCTCGTCTATACCCTCGTCCATAAAGCTCGGCACACAGATGCGCCAGCTATCATATGCCGATGCAGATTGCCATATATGTAGACTTTTCCATCAATGAATTTCTTGTCAACACACATGTACCCCTCAGTCCACAGTCCAAGGCTGGGACAAAAAACCCCAAGGTATAAAGTGATGGACATCGCTGCCACTTGTCCGGAGAAAGTCGATAAATGGGGTTCCGAAAAAAGCGGGATCAAATGGAATCAAGGACACACCATCTGATGCGAAATGAACCAGTCAAAGGAGGCCCGTGCGTCATTTCTTGCGAGTCAAGTCAATTTCTGAACAGGTCACCCTACAGCGCCAGTGAGCAGCACCAGAGATACCGGGAGACGATTAAAATTGTGAGCAACAGTTCGCCAGCCTCAGTACGGAAGCTGACCCCCACCAGATGTCTTCCCCCTACCCTGCCCCTTCTTCTCCCCTCCAAAACATTCCATACCCCTCCATAAACCCCCCGGTCGCCTACAATCACGCCCATCCTTACGGTCACTCTCCCAACACCTACTATCGTCAGCCAGCCCATCCCCAACAACAACAGCCATACTACAATCGTTATCCGCAAGAGTATCCGGGTTATAATGGATACCCTGGAGCCGGGGGTTACGGCTACATGCCTATGGGAGCGGGTGGTCCCGGGCCCGCGACCATGCAGAATGGTTACGCAGCGTATGGAGAGTATGGGATGGTATATGGAGGGTACGGGGGATATCCCGAGTATGCGCCTCCTCCCATGAGGCAGCAGCAGCCAGGAAACGGGTCGCCGATGAACGGGGACGAGGGCAGTGAGCATTCGATACCGTTTCCCGAGACACCTGTCCCTCCTGGTTCCACTCCCCAGCCGCCCCAGGCGATACCCAACATGGGTCCCATTCCGGCTCAACAGTTCCCTCCCTACCCTGCCAACCATCCTTACGCTTTCGGCGGAGGCGTAGGCTATCAACACCCTGCACATATACCCACTTTCCGGCCCCATCCCCAACACCCGCAACAGCCTCCCCACCCACACCAGGCGCCATACTACCCTTATAATGAGTCTTATGCGCCCTTACCCTCGGGTCTTGCCCAGGGGCCAGGGCAGGGAGGAGGCAAACTGAATCCTGCCGCAGCGGGGTTCAAGTACCAGCGCTTCAACCACATGAACGGGAATGGGGAGAGGCAAATCCGGCCGAACCACCACAACGGACCTACGTTTGGAAATGCGGGGTTGCCCAATGGGTACGGGAAAGGCCCAAGGCCGCCTACTCAGGCGACTCCGTCAGCATCCCCAGTGGTCACGGCTCCTCCCTCTGAAGTCTCCTCTGCACCTGCACCGCCTTCTGTACCACCCGCCACTTTGCCACCGCCACCCGTAGAAGAAAAAGAAGAAGAAAAGAGCGAGGAGATCAAGCAGGTTGACGTAGCACGCACGGACCCTCTCCTTCCACCCGCGGCTTCTTCGGCGACACCCGCTGGGCCCGCTTCCTTGAACTTCCTTACATCTTCTCTTTCCCCGCCACCTGCAGAGCAATCCAAGGTGGAAGAGCCCATGCTGGTCGATGCGAGACCTAGTGTGCAGAGCGAGGGCAATACCTGGGCGCGAGTGACGAAGGATGGGAGCGTTAGGAAAGAGGTCAAGAGGACCGTGAGGGGAGCAAAGACGGAGACCAAGGCGTTGTGGAGCACGAAGACACAGGGCGGTAGAACAGCCGAGCTTTCATTCGGGGAGATCGATCCGGAGAAGAAGGAGGAGGAAGTAAAGGCTGAGCCGGAGGTGAAGACCGAGACAAAGGTTGCGTCGGCCAAGGAGCCGGAGACAGTGGAGGTTGAAAAGGTCGAGGAAAAACCCGTCCAGGCGCCGGCACCTATCGCGGAGCCCCAGACTGGAAATGTCGGGAAGTCAGAGCCTGAAGTCGCCCCCACTCCTCCTACAGCCGCTACCCCTTCCCCTGTCCCTACTCCCGTTGCCCCTCCCAAGCCCAAGTCGTGGGCTGCACTCCTCCAACCTTCCACACCTCCCGCCTCTACAACACCCTCTAAAGCCACTTCCCCGTCCAAAGCTCCTTCGCCTAATGACGGTCCGGCCCCGGCCGGTCCACAGGCAGCTCAGCCGGCGGCGCCCAAGTTTAGCTATGCGGGCGCTGCGTCGTCGAGTATTCCATCGCCTCACGAGATGCTTATCAAACTTTTGAGCGAGGGAGTACCGAGTAAGGGAGGCAAGAGAGAAGGAGCATTGGTGCCGAGAGGTCTTATCAACACTGGTAACATGTGCTTTGCCAACACTGTGAATAAATGGATACCTAGGCGAAAGGGATGAGCTGACGAAATGAACAGATCCTGCAAGTCTTGGTTTATTGCCCACCATTTACCGAGCTGTTTGAAGAATTCGGCAAAAGACTCCAGGCAGATCTGGCTAGGAAGACACCTTTGCTGGAAGCTATGTGGGTACTTTTGCCAGTAACAACAAGCCGACGCTGACATCATATATAGGATCGTCTTCCTTCGAGAGTTCCTTGTGGCCCCCACTCCCGCGGACGCGCCCAAGCCCAAGGGTAAGGGCAAGGAGATGAACAAGCAGAAGGAGGCATTCATTCCCGAGAACGTTTACGATGCTATGAAGGAGAACAAGAGGTTTGATACCATGCGAGTAAGTCAACTTCATGATGTGATATGTCCAACGCGCTGACGTTTTCTTAAGCGTGGTCACCAAGAAGACGCCGAAGAATACCTCGGCTTCTTCCTCGACACTCTTCACGAGGAGATCCTATACCTCCTCTCCCGTGCCCAACCACCTAAGCCGACTTCCCCTGCTGCCAACGAAGAGGTCGAGCAGGCCACAAGCCCTCTTGGTGAAGGCGCCGACGGCTGGCTCGAGGTTGGCAAGAAGCAAAAGACACATGTTGTCCGCAACACTGGGTCGAAGGATTCGGCAGTCTCCAGATTATTTGGCGGCAAGCTGCGATCTGTGCTGCATACTCCTGGGCAGAAAGACAGTGTAACTGTCGAGCCCTACCAACCCCTCCAGCTCGACATCCAAGCACCCCAAATAACATCCATCAACGACGCTCTCCTCGCACTCTCAACCCCGGAGATCGTCCCCGGAGTTTGGAGCGCGAGCAGGAAGGAGAACGTGGATGCGACCAAGACGGTGTATGTAGAGGAGTGGCCGAGGGTATTGATTTGCCACTTGAAGAGGTTTGTGTATGATGCGAAGGAGGGCGGTGTCGTGAAGCGAGGAAAGGCGGTGGCCTATGGAAGCGAGTTGGTTGTTCCCCAGGGTAAGCAGACTTCTCCTCACGGAAAGGCATTACTGACCTATTATAGAAATAATATCCCCATCCAAACGATCACCTACCCCCACAAAGTACGCCCTCTTCGGCGTTGTCTACCACCACGGCTCCTCGGCATCTGGCGGCCATTACACCGTTGCCGTTTCCAAACCGCCAGCCCCTCCCGCACCTGTCCCTCAATCTGCCATTCCGGGTCAGATCCCTGCGCAGAAGAAGGACGAGCGACCGTGGATCCACTTTGACGATGAGCAAGTGAGAGAAGTGAAGGAGGAAGAGGTCGTCGTCAGTAGGGATGAAGTTGAGGAGGGAAGGTGTGGGCTTGTGGGCGGAAGGGAAAAGTGTGCTTATCTCCTCTTCTACCGAAGAATACAATAAGAACGTGGAGAGGTAGTGCACCGTACCGGAGACACGAGAGGAAGACAGGGAGAGGCGGCGACAGCGCCACCCAGGACTTGCGGGCCAGAGCACGATTCAGAGCTCGCACTCGAGCGCCACGGAGAAGCAGGGATTTGAGAATTGTTTGTTTCAATATTTTACATCTTCATGTTTCGTTATCTACTGTTTACATTCTGCTCGCATATAGATAGATACCCATCATCGTTATACTCCCTTTTTCATCAGCATAGCATCGAATCCTGTAGTATGCTTCATCTGGTCCCATCTCATTTCTGTTTCTCTTACATTACCTCTTTTTCAAACTTGTCCTCTCCACTGTTCCTTTTCTTCCGCCTTCTTTTCATCGTCGGCCAGTCGTGTCTTTTGGGCTATAGTGGGTTCGGACTTTTGGGGCGTATAGTCGAAGTATAGTGGTAGGCAGCTGGGTTGACTGCTTTGGTGTGACAGTTGTGCAGTAGTGTAGTGGATGCAGTGAGTGAAATTATCGACGCTTTTCCGCCTTTCCGCATTCTCTCGTCATTCATTGATGTTTCCGCCTCAGAACCTGACTTTCGTTCTTCCCACATCCGAGATGAGGAAACAAGGCTGCCGATACATGGAGTCGGAGTATATCTACTGCACAATTGTGTTTCACATCGTTACATACTCCTCAAAACATTAATACACACCAAGCTACTACGACGTACGACCGCCGATCTTCGCCACTATCACCTCTGGGCACTCGCATATTAGACAGCACTTTCGGCTCGAGTGATTTTTGACGTCTCAAATCCATCTATATACCCAGCCGAATTCGCAAGAATGGTAAAGAGGAACAAGTCTAAAGATACGAAATCATCCAAGATTGGTATTGGAACCAAACGTGGTACCCGAAAGGCCATTGCTTGCGACTATTGTCGGAAAAATCGACGTGGGGTAGGTGAGGCCGGATGCCACCTCCCGCACTGTGAGATATACTGACAATAATTTCAGTGTAAAGGCGCCACTCCCTTAGGCACAAAACCTTGCACCCAATGTATAGATAACAATAATCGCTGCTGCCAGTGGAGCGCATCTTCGAACGGCATCACGCAAGCTGTATATGACAGCATCCTTCCAGAGAATAGGGAAGGGCTGGTTGTAGTCAATCCTTCGGCCACTAGAAGGCGACGGCGAAGAGACGACGACCAGACCCGGCAAGCTACTCGAGATGCTTCTTGTTCGACTTCGAACCCTCGCCAGGCCAGCCAAGACGGTGACTATCCCACAGCCCTTTAGCTTTAACTTTCACTGATGTACTACTAGCAGTCATAGAACCAATAGAAGACAGAAAGGCTTCGTTTGAGCCTGATCAACATGTGGCATATCCGGCCCCTGTAGAGTGGATAATCTCATCAAGCCTGGAGGACGACGACTGCAGCAGCTATCCAAATGACTTTGATTTGGAACCCACCACGGAAGGCATGAAAGTCGGTCATAGCTGGGAGCTTGCGAGAACTTTGCCCACCCAACCGCTCTACGAGGACGCATGTCTCAACCAGTACCAAGAACAGTACACCAACATTCGACTTGACCGACGGCCGGAAGAGACGCCTGAGATTGGAGTACATCTATCGGTACAACGGTTTTCCTCGAGCCGGCCCCATGACCTGCAGACGATACTTGATGATCAAATAGACCCATGCCTTCGCGGGGAGGTGTATCATTAAGCTTGTTACTCACACGCCGAGGAGGAAGCCAATGCTACGTAACACGTCATCCATCATATCATCAGCGGCGACGTTGCGAGAGATTTCTTCAAGGCATGTTGGATCGGCATTTGAGCAGTGCAACGAAGCCACACAGGTCACTCAAGCTATCGGATGCTTGAGGGAGGGGAAGCGAGAAGCAAGGGACATACTAGCACCAGCGATATACTACCACGGGTGTAAATCAGATGCTTCTCAAAGCACGTTTTTGTTAGGAAGATCATTCCGGCGATGGCTCTCACTGACCTGTATTGATTTGTGATGTACATGGGTCTCCTGATCTTGGATGTAACAGTACAAGTACGTTTTTGAAGTATGAAGCTCGGATGTATATATCTGCCAGGCGCCCTCGTACTTCCACTCAAACTGCTACACGCCACTTTAAGTTAAGACTCGTGCGGCATGATTATGAATTATCCATCCATGTCTTCCAACTACCTTACATTTATAATTCTTTCAACGCTGGACTCCAGGCTGTAGCCTGCAGTTAACCTGTTTATTAAGTCACGAAACGGGCGTCTATGATGGAGTGGGAGACACTTCAAAGCCCGGTGATGAAAAAAATTCTCAATGAGATGCCGAGCGAGATGAGTCGCCTGACGACGACGAGCCCGCGTCCTAGTCACTTTTTGAGGAGAACTCCGGAGATGGGGAATCGGTGTCGGGCTATACGGAAAACATTTGTCAGCACATACACTGCACCAAGCCGACCAGGGATCATGCAAAACATACGGAAGACTTTCGCCTTGACTACATATTAGACCTTTTCGTCAGTTTAGCATCGACGGCCATAGCCTCCTCAAAGTACCGCGTCCCGTCTGATCCGCGAAGTCAACTAGGAGAGCGCTCGGTTAGTACCAGGGTGGGGGACCACCTGGGAATCCCGGGTGCCGTCGTTTTTGCCTTTTTGCTTTTGTTGCTTGGTGTTATACATCAAGGAGATATGCTACTTCTGAGCAACGAAGATGTTGAGCAGACGATCTGAGTTGTCGAGAAAGCGCGATTGTGCTTGTGATAATGGTACGGCCGTGGCGGGAACATCCTTTGTCAACGTTGCCCCGAACGCTTGGTGGACACGACAATGGATGGTACATTTGTATACAGTGAAACGACTGAGGCCATAAACTGCAATGAGACATATATCATAAGACAGTGGACACACGGTCAATCGTACCGACGCCTGACAACACATCCGAAACACCATTAAGAGCATCGTGCTGCTGAGCAGTCATCGAGCGTACTCTCGCTAGCCGCATCAAGTCCACATAATCTCACTCGCAGACATCATAAGGCGCAAGCAACATGCCAAAAGCACCTCCTATGGCCTCTGAGGTCGATATCTTAAAGAGCAAGGCTGCCAATAAGAAAGGTGCCGGTTCCGACAGCGTTGAGACAACTTGGCCCAAAGTGGAATTCGTAAGTCGTCGAGCTTCGCGAGCGAAGCATGGGCTGCCAATGACATATATAGATGGACAAAAGCTGATGTAGAAGCCAGGGTGCGAGTACCGAGATTGATAACGTCACCAAAGAAACAAAGACGAGAGCCGAGTACATAGTCCCAGCAGGTAGTATGTTCTCATTGGGCGCAGCGTTACCAAAGTGAGTGTTCTAGTCAGCGCCACCTCGGCTGAGAGGCTTGAGATGACACTTGTGTTGGTCACTCGCTGACTGTACGCACGGGTAGTCACACGGTCTTGAAATGGGGTGCATACTTCCCTCCAGGTACAATGGCGAGTGATCCCGGTCCTTAATCCGGAGGTCATGTAGAGCTGATTTGACATCTTACAATAGTTCCCCGATGGCGTTCTGGTACCGATACACGCCCGAATGGTCTCAGTACAGCCTCTACAAACCTTTGAGCCGTCTGGTGGTGCGGCTAGTGAGCCCGTGTGCACCATCATGTGAGCAGCCCATCGATGGCGCCGTAGGAAAGATCAGAAAGAAGGAGTGCTTGAAGATGGTACTTTGCTGGGAAGGACAGGCGTCGCGAAAGTGTTATCCTAGGATAAAGTGCCGCTTGCTTATGTACTATACTCTACAAATCGCTAGCTCCGGCTTCTTGGAGAGCAATCCGTTGTTCGTATCGCCCAGGGACGTACGACCACGGAATCCCCTTGTTGGACGGAAAAGCCTCATCCGCCAACTGACATTCCTTTCTTCTCGCAAAGGGTAGGATCATCCTAAAGCTCGTTTAACCGCAAGAGATCGCAAGAAATCGAGTGTATGATTGGTTCCACCAAGTTGTTGTCTAAAATGCCGCAGACCCGGGCGGTCACATTCTTTTGTCCATATTCAAGAGAAGGTCCTGGCTAAAGGGATGAATGGTGGTTAGCTTCAGGTAGCACTGGGACAGCGTCTTATATCCAGTTCTCAACCCAATGCGTTGTCCTGTACTTACATCTGCTAGACATGTCTCAAGCCCAACCTGCGCCCTCCGAGGTCAACATCCTCAAACAAAACGCCGCCAATTCCAAAGGCGCAGGCGGTAGTAACGTCGAGATCGTATGGCCCAAGCCCAAATTTGTGATCGCTCATTTGCTGCGTATCGAGTGAAAGCTGATGATGGAGGATAGGATGGCAATACTGCGTTGAAAGATACCGGTACGGGTTTTGGAGAGTATGTCGTACCCCCAGGGAGCATGTTTACCTTGGGCGCTGCTATGCCAAAGTACGTCCCCACTTGTCCGACTTTTCTGCTAGGTATATGAGGTGCTGATAAAAGGGGTGTTAGTCATACAGTCCTCAAATGGGGCGCATACTTTCCGCCTGGGACTATGGTGAGCATTTCAAGGTCAATGTAATCCAATGACTGAACCAGCGATAGTTTCCTGATGGTGTCCTCGTCCCGATCCATGCTCGTATGGTCTCTGTCCAACCTTTCTAGCGCTATCGTCAATGTGGGTTGATACGAGGGTACATAGTGTACACATGCATGATGTCGATATGAAAGTGATGACCGATCATCCAGATGGAGTGGCAGGGACAGGAGTGGGAGCTTTGGATTCGGCGCCAGAGCGAGGGACGGGGGATGTTGATCCAGACTCAGAGTCCCTGAACCCTGCAAGATACTGCAATTTCCTGTCAGCTTTGCCCGATGAAGCACCTCGACCGTGACGTACTCTCTTGTTGAAACCGTAATGCCCCGGAAGGTGCTCGGCATCTTCTCCAAATTCTTCGTGATCTTCGAACGTCGGTCTCTCTCCATCATCCGTAGCCGTCTTCTCCATTGTAATCAACTATTATTGAGTTCAGCACTTGCGTAGTATGATCCATAGATAGACTCACTCGTCTGCCCCACTTGCCGAAATCTTGCACGCTCCCCTCTCCTATCTTGAGCTCCCTCATCCCCTCCACTTTTGGAATATCGATCTCGTCATAGTCCTCCGTTACTGTCGGCAAGAAGAAGACCAGTCGGCCTTTGGGCACGAGAAGCCAGCGGGCAAGCTGTATAAGGTCGAGAGTGAGATTGGCGAGTTCGTATGGACGGCAAGGAGGGAGGTAGTCTGGACGTCTGGCCAAGACGTCAGCAAGAGCTTGAGAGAAAAGGATGTACGGTACATACTTGTGAGAGAAGGAGCCGTCGGGCATCTGATAAGGTTCATCTCTCAGTGGCTTCTTGCCACCTTTTCGGCCTAATCTCTTCGCACCAGCTCTAACACCATCTACGAGATGTTAGCCTGGCAATTAATACTTTGAAAGTGTGCTTACAAGGAGGATCCGTGATGATAGCGTCCACCCATCCACCTTGTCTTAGCGGACTTTTAGTGACATCAAAAGTGAAAAAGTCCAAGAACTGGTCCCGGATACCATACTGCTCAGCAGAACGGATAATACCGGGTGACAGTCCCTTCCCTTTTGCTTTGCCCCGGATCTGTCTACCGTCGATATCGGAGCCAAAGACCATGGCGCCGAATTGGGCTACGGAATAGAGCATGGAGCCCGTACCGACGAACGGGTCGTAGATGAGTTTGCCAGGGGCGGGCTGTGGACGGTCAGACACAAAGTCTCTTGGGAGATAGGTGACGTACAAGAGTTTGGTTCGCCATCAAGAAACCCATCTGGGCTTCCATGGAGGTGTTGCCGTAGTATGCCCGAGTTTTGACAGAGTGGGAAACGATCAGTTGACGAGCGCGACCTTGCGCAATCTGCCACTCGATCAGCCACGCCTGTACGATTTATATTTCGACATACATATCTTCCAAAGTAGACCCATTTGAATTGCCCGTCTCGCGCTTCTTGCTGCCCATCGTCGTTGGCAGCTATCCAGTCGTCTGAGAAGAGTCAGCAGAGGCCTGCACTTGGAACACAACTCACAGTCTTCGCAGACAAAGAATTCCACATCCGGTTTCTTCAGATTGATACCACCTCGCAGCGCAGTGTAGGCAAAGCCCTCAATGATCTGACTGTGTTTCGTTAGCCGCTGCAGGGCCGTCATTCGGCACACACTGACACTTGTCGGGTATCCGGTATTTTGTGGTGGGTACTGTCAATTTTGAACTTGAATGTCGAGTCCATATATGGTTCGAACACTTCTAGCCTCCCCTTGAGCTGCTTGTGCAGATCGTCATAGCTCGCTCCTTCGGCGTAGAGCTCGGAAGCTGACCTGTATTGTCTGTCAGCTGTGATCAGTATGCAATACATTTGAAACTCACTGGACCAAAGTGTCTCTATCTAATATGTGCTGCAAGTGCTCCTCCTTCTCCAGCTCAATCACCAGCAGACCTCTGGATTTGTCTTCCGACACGAAGCGGATAGGGAAGCCAAAGACCTGGGACACGGAGAGAAGCGAGGGAAGTCGGAAGGACAAGTGGTCTAAGACCATACGCAGGAGATACTGCGGCATTGTCAATGAGTTGGGGGTGTTTTGGGTTATCTAGCTCGAGTTGCAGGTGTAAACATTTTTGCGAAAGCCGAACGTCGAAGACGAGCGGGGATCGCCGCCGTGTTGTTTACAAGATTCAACGACGGAAATGACGATGCAAGAGTCATTCTCCGACTTGATTCTGCAACTGCAACAGCCATGGACGAAGTCAACCTCCCGTCAAATCCAGCAGCCCCCCGGCCATGCATCACCACAGACGACATGGTGGCCAGGTGGCAGCACGCACCGGGCTTTCAATGTTTCTGGGCGTGGGTCAGGAGGAGGTGCGACAGGATCAAGGGCAAAGAGATTGTCAGGGGAGATTATAGTGAAAGCAGCCAAGTGAGTGGCCCGAGGTGTACAAATAGTGATTAGCTTACAGACTGCAGGGTATACGGTGCTGGATGGACTTGCTCGAGAATATGACAAAATGGGTCGAAGAGGCGCCTCCGGAGCCCCAGTCAAATCAAAGGTTTGGCAACCTCGCCTTTAGGCGGTACAGCAAGCTCTTGCAAGAGGTGAGAAGGCTTTCAGCCTCTACTTCCTCAGTCCTGACCCATTCATAGCGAATCCCTCCCCTGCTGGCCTCCTGGTCACTGCCACCGCATCTCAAATCCCAGCTTCAACCCCTCCTTCTCAATTCCCACGCATTTGGCCACCCCACACGTCTCGACTATGGCACAGGACACGAGCTTGCGTTCGTACTTGGTCTCTGGTGCTGTGTTGTCCCGGGTTGGATTGGAGGCGAAGGCGAGAAAGAAGATGAAGAGGACGAGCTTGTGCTGCGGGTATTTACGCGGTGAGCAAGGTGGTCAAGCGCCGGGATGTATATGCTGACTGGAGGCAGGTATTTGGAGCTGACGACACTGCTGCAAAAGACGTACAAGCTGGAACCTGCTGGTTCGCATGGCGTTTGGGGACTAGACGATTACTGTTTCTTGCCATATTTGTTTGGTTCCGCTCAGCTACTGGGTATGTCACATCACAAAGATTCACAGCTGATCATCTACAGGCTCATCAACGACCCCTTCAGAATCCCTCTCTATCGCTCAGTCCCACCATTCCTCCACCCCATCAGCTCCTCCCACTCCCATAACAGATCTCTTCACCCTCTCCCTCTACCACCTCACCCTCTTCAAATCCGGAGCCGCCTTCTCCGAACACTCCCCTCTCCTCTTCTCATTGTGTCAGATGCCAAACTGGATAAAGCCGCATGGAGGGCTGAGAAAGATGTTTTTGGGCGAGGTGGTGGGGAAGAGGGTTGTTGTGCAGGGGGTTTGGGTTGGGGGGTGGGCGTGGGGCGAGGGGGTGCCGGAGGTTGTTGGAGTGGGAGATAGCAGTGCCAAGAAGCAAGGAGGTGATGCGGGGACGAAAGCACCATGGGCGAGATGAAAAGCGAATTATTAATGACACTGTGAAATTCTTGCACGATGTTGAAGTACCCCACCGAGTCATACCATTCGATATATGCACATATGCATGGGATATTCCCTGCCGCATATCGTATGCTATGAACGTGGTTTCCTGTAAGTGTGGAAGCGCCAGGGAACATGTAGTTATCTAATTACAATACCATGATGATGAATCAAGATGTCGCAATGTTATATATCTGGAGAGGCAGCTCTGCTCCTTCTCTCTTATTTTCGAAATGGGTACTCCGTTATGCGAGGTTATGGATGCTTTCTAATCCAGTTCGCCATGACCATTGGAAAGCTCATAGAAACGACAAGTATCGCCGCTACCGCAGTATCAGCTCCCATCCTCTCCCCATCCATGCAGACTCACAATACACAAGTTTCCGGGTTCGGGCACCGATGCCCATAAACGCACGCCGCATCACCATACTTACACTTGCCACTCTTCACATACGGGCACATGATGCACTTTGCCAGTCGCGCAAGTTCTTCGAGGTGAAGCGAGCTGAGAGAGTAAGAGTGGCCGTAGTGGCAGTTATCGTTGGTGCAGCCTTTGGTGCCGAGAAAGTGCCTAGACTTCGATATCAGCGGGGACCAGCAGGAGACACAAGGGCACGTACGTATGGCAAGGCCGAGGGTGAAGACTCCTAACATATTCCTGCGCCTCCCTCTTGTTCTTAATAGTCTTCTTCGAACTCTTCACCTCTTCTCCCTTTACTCCCACTTTCCCCGACTTTGCCCCCGCTTGCTTTTTGACAACCTTTTCCCACCCACCTGCTGAGGACCCACTGTCAGGGCCGGCAGTGTACTTTTTGTTGTTGCTTTGTAAAGTGGAAGGGGTTGCAGGCTTGGAGAGCAAAGACTTGAGATCGTCTTGCTTCTTCTTCCAAGGTGGCTGCACCTTTGCCGAAACCGCCTTCTCTGGCGAATGGCTCGTCTCTGAACCATCCGCACCTCGTGACTGCATCCCAAAGCCCCAGTGATACACTTCTAGCTCCTCATCCTCCGACTCGCTCGAGTATGAAGGCGAGGGCGGGCCGGGTATGGGGGTGGCTACAGGAGCTTTTTTGGTGGGTTTTGTGGGCTGGCAGGAGGGTGAGGGCTCGCTGAAAGCAGCGACGATAGAGGAGAAGGACATGGGTCCTGGTACAACCTTCTTCCCGACTATCTGAATCGGTTCCTTCTCCGCCTTTTCCTTTTCCTTTTCCTTTTCCTTTGGCGCAACGCCATGCACGTACGGCACCTTTTCCTGCCTGAACAGATCAGGAATCGAGACGACCCGGCTGGAATAAGCCCGGAGCTGATGGGCGAGGGTGTTGTAGCCCTTGAGGAGGAGGAGATTGGAGAGGCGTGATTCAGTGTTGAGTCTATGCCGACATTAGCCTCCGGACGTATGATTGTAGGCAGGCTTACGAAGAGAGGACATTGGCGTAGCCATTATCGTGCGATGCACCGAGGATGATAGACTCGCATTGCGCGTTTCTAGAGTACAACTTGAGATACTCTACTATCGCTCAGTCCACATTCCAGTTTTGAAGATGACATGGACGTACCTCGAATCTTGGCGTCAGAGCCCTCCTTACCGGGCCCAACGTCACAAACGGTGAAAAGTTCGTGCGATGACGAGAAACCTTGCCAGAACTGTTCATATACTGTCCAGCTGGGTATGATACCGGCCTTTTGCCGTGTCAGTGCCCATTCACAGTGTAGGAGGACTCACCTTCAACAAAGCCCCGCCGAGCCCGGCCTTGTTCAAAAACACCTGCACGACTATACTTTTCAACTCTTTCACACCTATATCATCCTCTACACCATCTTGTCCGCCCGCCTTGGTATCACTGTCCCCGATACGTAGACCGTTGATATCGAGCGTGACCTCTTCGGCAGAGTCGGAGGATGTTGGGGAGGATAGGTTGGGGATGGAAGTGAGGAGGTGGCGTGCGGCGAGTTGGCCGCCTGCGAATCCGCTTTGGAGGTACGAGTCTCGGAACTAGCTCATTGTAAGTATAGGAGGCCGATTTGAGAGAGGGGGACTCACAATGAGCCCATCACCATCGATCAACACTGCAGTAAACATCGGTCCAACAGGCTGCCCGCATCAGCCACGCCACAGTAACAAGTCGACTCACCTTTTTAGCACTCTTCCCCACCTCCAATACGCCAATCCTCTCTTCCAACCCCCTCCTATTTTTCTCCCCTTTACTCCACTCGCCCTTCCAAATCTCCACCTCCTTCTTCAGCTTCTCTACTTGGTCGGCTTCGCTTATGAGTGGTCCAAGAAGGCCGCGAAGAGAGTCGAGGTGGCGAGCGACATCCGTGACGGTATCGCTCGCAGTCCGCGCAGGCTGTTGAGTCGGTGTGGGGGGCGCTTGTTTGGGTGATGGGATATAGTACGCGCCTTGAGGCGCCCTGTACGCTGGTGTGGAAAGTGGCGAGGCAACATTATCGATGAAATGCTGGTAGCCAGGTATCGCCCCGGTCTTTGGTCTATCCACCATGACCGGGTTAGGACTGCCGCCCCAGCCCTGGCTGTGAACATGCGCAGAGAGCGTTATCCTGTCCCATGCTTCGTCCTCAGGTCTGGGATGGCTAACGTCACCGCGCTCTGTTTTATGAGGCAACTGGGGATGATGCGTGTGCCACACGCCTTGTGGGTGTGTTGCCATAGACGTATAGTCGACTTGCGGGAGGGACGATTCGTTCGCGATACTGGGTGAGGGTTGTCCGATAGCGCCGTGGGGGTTGTTGTAAGAGTCAAAGGTGCTGGTCAGGATGATGAGCCCGGCTGGTGCGATTGGCGGGGATCGGAGATCGCGAGTTCATGGATCGGGAGGAGGGACGTACATGGGTGATGACGAGGTCATGGTGGCCTCTGGGGCAATCGCCAGAGGGTTTTCGGGACGACTCGCGTTACGCCCACTGTACGCGGTTCCTGCGTTTTTGGTGGAGAAACCAAACAATTTGAAACACCCTCACACATTGCCAGTCAGACTGGGACGGGAGCAAAAAATGCCTGCTCGGCGTCCCGGGGGCGGCTCTTCCCGCCCAGTCCCGAGGCGAGTAGTGATAAGCAGATCTCTCATCGTCTCATTGTCCGTCATGGCCAGTTTGCAGGGGCTATAGGGAACAATACGAGAGGAAAATCATGCTGGATGATAGGCCGGACGAGATCCGGTCGAGCGTTCTATACGGCGCGTGTCTTGGGCGATCAGTCGTGGAGGGATGAAAATGATTTTGGACATCGGAAGGAAAGACCGTCCATGAGCAAGTTACCGCTGAGTAAGTATATCTCTGGATGGTGGGGCGGAATGATACTGAATGCTGGTGGTCATATGGCTGAGCTCGGGCCTTGGAGGGCGCGTCGGTGCGCTGCAGCATATGCCGTGGGCTTGCTTGCTAGAGGATAGGAGGGGTGTATTGCGGTGAGTGGGGATGGTGAGCAGTAATATCCCTGGAGTACAAAAGCGCGGCGACGCAAGAAAGAAAGGAGATGGAGATGGCTGTGGACATCTCGGTGTGCCGGGCGGGGAGTGCCGTTGTGCGGAACCAAATAACGTAACAGTAGATGGGTTTGCAATATTGCGCCATCTGTCTGCATCTTGTCACGAGGCAGCTCACCATAGAGTCCTCCGAATTCTCCCAAGCTATTTACAACTATATAAGCCAGCCAGCCTCCCTCCCACCCATCCATCCAAAGAACATCCACAATGGCCCTCCGACTCGGTGACATCGCCCCCAACTTCGACGCCCAGACCACAAAGGGCAAGATCAACGTCCGTCCACCCGTCCCGCCCACGTCCCCCCTACTAACTCCCCTATCAGTTCCACGAGTGGCTCGGCGGCTCCTGGGCCATCCTCTTCTCCCACCCCGACGACTACACCCCTGTCTGCACCACAGAGCTCTCCGCCGTCGCCCTCTCCTACGCCGACTTTGCTTCCCGCGGCGTCAAGCTTATCGGCCTCTCGGCCAACAACATTGACTCCCACGAGGGCTGGATCAAGGATATTGATGCCCTCACCAAGGATGGGCCCAACGTCGACTTCCCCATCATTGGTGATGAGGACCGTCATGTAGCCGAGCTGTATGGTATGCTCGACGGGCTTGACAAGACCAATGTCGACAAGAAGGGTATCCCATTCACCGTCCGAACCGTCTTTATCAGTACGTCTCTCATCTCCCTCTTGGAATTGCGCTGATAGCTGTCATAGTCGACCCCAACAAGCAGATCCGTCTCACCCTCGCCTACCCCGCTTCCACTGGCCGAAACTTCCCCGAGATCCTCCGTGTAGTGGACTCTCTCCAGCTCGGTGACAAGTACAAGATCACCACCCCTGCTGTACGCCTCTCCTCCCTCCGCCCTGGTCCAATACTAATTGATCTATAGAACTGGCACGTTCCTACCAAGGACGGCAAGGAGGTCGACAAGGTTATTGTCCACCCCTCTGTCCAGGGTGAAAAGGTCAAGGAGCTCTTTGGCGACGATGTCGAGACCGTCTACGTGAGTCCCACCTCTTTCACCTTTGTGCTTGTACTGACATGCCACAGCCTTACCTCCGATTTACCTCGGACCCTTCCAAGAAGGAGCAGAAGGCCTAAGAAGATCGCGCGGCGCTTGTCTGTGCGATAGAATAACAAAAAGGAAAAGAAGTAAAACGTTGTGAATATATTTTGGGGTATCACTTGTATCGGGATGAATATTGCTGCTTTGCGAACTTATTCCCGCTCGTCTTCTGACATCCATGGAAGGCAAAGGAAGAAGCCAAGGTCAAAAAGAGAACAAAAAACGACGACACCCGGGATTCCCAGGTGGTCCCCCACCCTGGTACTAACCGAGCGCTCTCCTAGTTGACTTCGCGGATCAGACGGGACGCGGTACTTTGAGGAGGCTATGGCCGTCGATGGAGGACAAGCTTATAAACAGTATACGACTTGATAGTTGGCGCTGAGGGATCGTGTCGAGCCAGATGATGGTATGGCATGACTTTATGAGGTGATACAGTGGTGTCATGTACTCAAAGCGACCGACCTGTCAGTTCCCACTTGACGGAGGAAGAAAAGAGTGGGAACAAGAGATGGGCACACTATAATATGCGTTTTTGCTGGTAACACATCAACTGAGGGACTCAGTCGTTGCTGTTCACAATAAGTCCCTTGGTTTAACCGGCATGCATTCAAGTTGGGCTAACTGACTTGTATCAACACCGTTGGTGAAATGGTATCATGCAACTTTGCCATAGTTGCGGCAAGGGTTCGATTCCCTTACGGTGTATTATTTTTTTGCTTTTTACCTTTGAAGTTAGTTTGGATCGCCGGTACTATCGACATCGGGGGTCGGGCGTTATTACCATTCCATATCGTATATTCTGTACCACAAGTATCAGATCCGCTCGACAAATCGCGGGCAAGTTCTGAGACTTCTTACAAGATGTAAACAATGTGGCTGTAGTGGTCACCCTCTGGGAGAGCCAAAGAAGTCTCGGGATCAACAACTACGATACCCCTCGTGACAAAAACATCAACGCCAACCTACGAGCCCTCTCGAAGGTGGAGAATGCGAGAAAAGACCTTAGGCATGCCAATCGTTGGAGCCGCACAATCACGGATGCCTGCAAAGGTATCTCGGATGAGATACGATCTGCATGGCTGCTTCATATTCCCCTTGGTTGCAATACCATCGAAATGGCGATCGACATGCCTGAGGACTTTTCTCGCATTCTCCACCTTCGAGAGAGCTCGTAGGTTGGCGTTGAGTTTTTGTCACGAGGGGTATCGTAGTTGTTGATCCCGAGACTTCTTTGGCTTTCCCAGAGGTCGACCACTGCAGCCACATTCAGCTTGATGGAGTTGATTGATTGGGTGCAATGGAGAAGTCGGAGCAGAGTGGCATCTGCAGTCTATCAGGATTCGTTGCGACCATTCAGTGCACATCAGCACTCACCAGCATCATGATATCCAAGGTCCTCATGGACGGCCTCATGATGACCCTCAGCTACATTGTCCTCTTTGCCATCTACTGAATAGTCTTCGTCTGGAGCATGGGATCCACGAGGAGATAGAGAGTTGGTGGCCGTGGCTGTGGCAACCACAGGATGAAGCGATTTGGTGCCTTCAGTTGTCAATGACAGCTACGTATGTATCATGGAATCGCTTACGGGGTTGATCCTTAGGGATCTGTAAGACCCAGTCATGAATGCACATGGCTGCGTTTGCCGGAGTGACTGTGACTCTCATTAGTGCATTCTTTTGTGTACAGCATAATACTCACCGGGTTTGGAATTTCATATGGTCACAAAATGTGTACCACTGCTGGTTTTTGAGGGCATACGTTCGTGCCTTTCGGTCGCTCTGATTTTTCTTTCGGCACCCAGTAATCTCTGTCATTCGACTTGCTACGCGGGGATCCATTGTAGATGCTGCTTGGAAGGCATCTTGCCCCTTTGAGCGTCGGTCCGGAGCCATGATGATATTACCGATGTGTGTGCTATTGGACAAGTGCTTGTCGAGAAGGTGGACCGACAGAAATATGCTGATGCAAAGCCTGGGAAGGGTGATAATCAGAATATTATTGGGAAGAACAAAGGCAATGACGGTGGCAAGACGGAAGTGATGCATGGATACGTAATTGTAGCTGTGAGGAATGGTGCTGTCCTGGTCGGAGGCTGCGCATAACTGCAGTTTTCTTAAACCGTCTGGCTGGGAGCGGCTCGAGAAAACTCAGTTTCCTTAAACCTCGCCGTGGGACAGTATACAAAGAAAAGGTCCCGTTCGTGCGGGACAGGTCCCTGTCGCGGCGCGGCGGTTTCAGAGAATACTTGTACTTTATGTACTGTAGAGTAGAGTACCGCCGATAGCAGCAGGTAAGTCCATGAAGTGAGTCTGGCAAAAACCTAAACGGTAAAGGCAACAGAGCTTGGCAGACGGGTGAGAAGGATGCATATGAGTACAACAGACAAAGGCAGAGGTGACTACTCTCCGGATTCCTTGATCAGGAGGGCGATGTCCCCCAGTACTCTACCGGTCTCTGCGACTATGTATGCGAGAACTGTCGTGCTCTTCACTGGACAGGCGAACGTCCAGCCACCGCCAGACACTCTGCCGCTCATGAAGCCGCCCTCTCTTCCTGCTGCTCAAACAACAAAGTAATCTTACCGAGGGTGCTAGACGATAGCAGCCGAGGCGAAGGAAGACTCGACAGGAGGCTCGTGCGGGAAGGAGAAGTTGGGGCGTCGGTGGACGACGGTGGGGCGCTGCGGGGAAGAGGAGGAAGCGGAAGAAGCGAAGTTGCCGACGGAGTGCATGGACTGCAGGATCATGCAGTAGACGCCGTCTATCCTCTTCTCCAGAGGGCCGGACACGAAGACGTGCTGACCATTCTTGTAAGGCCAGTACGGCCATCTTGCCGTATCCGGCACCTCAACACGCCAGACGAAAGCCGCCGAGTCTCACTTCTTCCCCTGTGGACATTTTAGGCTAGGCATGTTTGATGGAAGGAACACGTACCATAGAAGTCGTCCCGGTCATTGAGGGCCTCGTACATCGGATCTTCAATAAGGTCAGAAAGACAGGGGCTTCTGGTTGTAGAGACACGTACCGGTGGGAGGCAGAGTATTGATGTGTGCCTCGGAAACGGAGTGGAGGAGGAGGGCATAAGAGGCGTCGCCATCGTGGGCGATGTCACCCGAGAAGTACAAGAGGTCCCCAGGCTCGTGGTGGGAGTCAGGGGCGACCCAGACATGTTGCTGAGAGGGTTTTCACCCTCGATGGTGTCGACAATCGACTTGAAGAGTTTGACGCCGGGGCGGTTGGAGTCGTTGATGAAATCTATGAATGCTGTACCTTGGCCCTGGCACCATAGACAGATCTGTCCTGCTTCTTGAAGTTCATAGAAGCCATTGCCATCGCACCATTGTAGCTCCTGAGTCTTTGCGAAACGCAGAAAGCAATGTCAGCTCAATTGTACGCAAACATACGTGGGAACTTACCAGCAGTATCAGCTGTCTAGAGTGTCTTCAACAGAGGAGGAGGGTCTAGCACCCTCGGTAAGATTACTTTGCCATTTGAGCAGCAGGAAGAGAAGGCGGCTTCGTGAAAGGAAGAGCGTCTGGCGGTGGCTGGACATTCGCCCGCCTAGTGAAGAGCACGGCAGTGATAGAGCAAGATGATAGTAATGATGGGAGGAAGTTGAGAGGAAATGGAAAGGAGATCGAGAGCCAGAGGCGAGCGAAAGGCGGGTGGTGACCCCAGCGGCGTTGAGTGTTTGTCGGAAAGGGTCGGAAGTCGGACGTTGTTGGGTGCCGGTGGCCGTGAGGCGCACTGTATGGGTTTGGTAGGAGTGGCGTAACCTAGGGGCGGTTACCTGACTAGGGGCGCCAGATGTCGACCTTGAATAGGCTGAATGGATGAAGGATGGATATAGGTGATGAGGTTACATCGGTGGGAAAAAGGTTACGGAGACGCGGCACGATGTATATATGGGAACCTCATCTCGCAATCCCACCTACGCATCCCTGAGACCATAGCGGCAACCCTAGTCACCGCACCCTTAGCCAGCCTGTACCAATCCCTTACAGGTGAGGGGAGTGAAAGGGATCATTGAATGATGAGCTCTGCAGCTGGATACCATTCCGAGGTGAATGAACGAGAGAACTTGACTTTTTGGAGATATTGTTGACCATCAGGCGTCGTTTCATTGTCTTCATTGTCTTGGAGGCAGGGTGAAAGCAGGGCGGGCAAGTGGCGCAAGGAAGGACAGTGCGGAACAAGTCGGGGAAAAGAACGTGACCGTCGGGCACGCATTTCGCCGGGGGACCGAGGAAGTACTGGAGAGTGGAGAACGTCGCGACGAGGGCCGTAAGGCTGGAAGATTGCTGATGAAACGGCCGCTTTTCGCGCATGGTAGGGCTTGCAGCTGAGGAGCGGGTTCCAGGCGCAGAGTCTTGCGATTTGGAGAAAGTGAGAATGTGAGAGCGTGAAAAGAATGACGATGAAAGCGAGAAACGCATTTGTCGGCAGAGCAGGCCATTGCACATCTCTGATATCGACGGCCATAGCCTCCTCAAAGTACCGCGTCCCGTCTGATCCGCAAAGTCAACTAGGAGAGCGCTCGGTTAGTACCAGGGTGGGGGACCACCTGGGAATCCCGGGTGCCGTCGTTTTTTGTTGTTCTTTTTGCTTCTTGCTCTTGGGTGAGGGATGAGCATGGCATGTGAACAGAGGCGAGCGGGGTATTGAGCCAGGGGACATTCATGGAAATGCTGTAGCTGTATTCCTGTCTTGACTGCCTGTCGTCTGATGAACACTTGCCGGTCTTCAAAGATCCCCGGATATTACAATAATGCATAACCAACCCGAAAGAAAGAAACATCTCTCATGCCCCAAAGCTGACCGAGTCTCATGTCGCCATGACGGCCGTAAGCCTGAAATGATGGGCATCGGAGTTAGTGGGGTGGTGTGTAGTGTTGGCCACCTCGCAAGTAACGCTATCATATTCTTGTCAGCCTTGTGCTCGAATGATGGGAAGGGGAGAAGAGAGGGGACGTACTAATGGTCGCCTGGGGTGACTTTTTCGTCGATATATGCCACACTGCAGGACGAGGTAAGCAAGTAATCACAAGCAAGTGGGGAAGAGACGTACATGGCGACATTGTACTGCCTGGTCCAGTACCCATGTAACAGCACTCCTCCTTCTTCATTATCATCCACCCAACACTTGGCGTCGCCCAGATTGTAATGCTGACTCCGGAAATAGTACACGGCAACCCTATGCTCCGTATCAGTAACCCCCACTCAACAAACATGCAATAAATGCACTCACCTTCCAGCATTCACCTTGATCTCCACCCTGATCCTCGCCCCAGGCTTATCAGCCACCCAGTAATGTTTCTCCCCATTCCACACAAACGGCTCCCACCCATCCGCCACCGTCGGCGTCATCGGGTTCTTCTTGTCATTTGCATCCGCGCAGAAGAGCTGGGGCTGGCGGAGCCCTTCGATGTGCGCACCGCTGGCGGGGTCGGGCTTGTGCGGGTCGACGACTTCGCGCAAGGGGGTGAAGACGCCCACGGGGGGGATGGCGTAAGGGGAAGAAGGCACGACGAAGAGACGGCGCTCGTCGCGGAGTTTCTGTAAAGGCGCGAGGTCGAACGTCTCTTCCCAGCCTTCGGGCGGGGTAACGGGGTCGACGAGGTGGAGCGTGTCGAGCGCAAAGGGGACGTCGACGAGGGAGGAGAAGGGGTTGGTGGATGCGATGGTGTCTTCTATGGGGGGGACGACGGGGAGGCCGTATCGCGTGAGCATGCATAGCTCGGATTCGAGATATGATATGAGCGTGTCCGCCAGTACTCGCTAAAAGAGTCGTCCGTCAGCCGACATCCTCAAGAGCCCAGATTACTTACATGCCCACGCGCATTGGGATGCACCATATCAGGCTGCCAGAACGCCTTTGCAGTCGACAGAGGGTATCTCATATAATGCTGGAACATGAGCCTCTTCATCGAGACGTACGGAACGTCATAGTAGAGCGCGATGGGTGAATGGACGATTTGGGGATCACCGTAGCCTTGGTCGTGCGCTACTTGCGGGCACCAGGCGCCGAGGACGAGGATGGCGGGCTCGCTAGGGAATTCAGAGAGGGCGCGGAGGAGCTGGTCGAAGAATGCTTCGTAGAGGGGATCGCTGTAGGGGCTGTGAGTAGAAGGGTTTGAGGTGAGGGCTGAATACGCACTTTTGGTCGTTGACGTCGAATTCTAGAATGACGAGATCCGTGTCTTCTGGGATATGATGGGCGCCACAGAAAGCGTAGAAACTCGAATCCATTCCTCCGATAGCACCATTCTTGAACTGGTGGTCCGCCTGATATCCCAGTCAGCCTTTACAACTTTTGCGCAATGGGAACAGTACGCACATCGGGGAATGTCTTTCGGACCCATTCGATGAAGATTGTAGTCCAACAACCTGGACCAGCTGGGTCTCCTTGGGGATAGGTGGCACTTGGATGGACACCATGACATGCAGTGACTAGCAAGGTCAGCGCCAAACCTATGAAGACGTGGTAGACCCACCACTTCCACCCAAAACGCCGATATTCAGCTTCTTCCCCTCGCGAGCCTTCTGCAGCACCCTTCTCATCCTACTTCCCGACCCCTGCACAAGCCTCGTATTCCGCAGTCCCTCTTCATGATAGAGCGAGCAGATCCGTTCTCCCTCGTCGGTGGCGCCGCATAGACAGTCTTGCGTGATCTTGTCCTCGTAGTCGGGCTGACTGACTGCGCCCCCGGACGTTATTGATATTCTCGGTAGCGGTGGAAGCCCCCTGACGTGGGGGTGTATGAGCGAGTAGATGAATACGAGGAGGAAGGGTATTGATATGAAGATGACGGTCTTGAGCAGGCGTCTCGGGTGGGGCTTGTAATGGGAGGGCGGGGGCGAGCGGTTGTGGGGGTCGTTGAGGAGGGGTCTTGTGGAGCTGGAGGGTTCGCCGTAGACTGCGAGTTCGTGGTCCTCGTCGTCCGAGTGGGGGGCCATGGTGATTTTGCTGGATGACGAGAAGAATGCGCCTGGTTCGCGTTCGCAGGTAACCGTAAACATTTCGGGTTCTGGGCCGGTCCCGGTCTAATATCAGACTATATGCCTGTTCCTGTGCATATCTGGCCGGAACATGCACCCGTTCCTGGCAAATCTGGGCTGCGGCACTCCACTTTTCTGTGCCATTTTCTGTGCCATCTCTGTAGCACAAGCACGATGGCGAAAGACAAGAAACAGAACAAAAAACGCAAGCTCAATGCCAAACCCGCCCCCCAAAAACAAGCATCCCTCCCCACACCCCCTGACTCGTCCTCGTCCTCCCTCATCGAGCCCGAAGAGATCGAAACCGCCATCTATGTCCTCAACACTCTCGCAGAGAACCCCGACGAACTCTCGGACAAGCGCATGAAGGATGTCAAGCGGGCCACATACGACCTCCATCGGGTCATGGCAGAGGGCGCTACCCTCGGAGCTTCCCTCACTTCCAAAATCTCGGCTGCTCTTCAAGACTACCGATTCACCGACGCTCTGATATTCCTCTTTGAAATGTACACCAGGCGCCTCCCCCCCAAACTTGGTGCCCTTCAGCGATGGGTCAGAGAATGTGATGCTACTTCCGGTGCCGATGGAACGCCAGGCGACCCGGAAGCTCTGAAATGCCTTGATCTGATCCTGCGCATCGCCAACATGTCTGCTGAAGACAAAGAGGCCAAGAGTGCGTCTAGTGGGAGCTCTGTGATCCGGAGGAAGAAGCCTTGGGTCGCGAGAGGTCCTATCGAAGGGGAGATCCCGATTTGGAAAAAGATGCAGAGCGATACATTGTTTGGTGAGTTATCGTCACACGCCCCCGAGGTTCGTGGTCTTAACATCCTGTCAGATGCGCCTCCACCCAATCCATACCCCAACTTTACCTCCGTCCACCACGTCCCCGCCGCCCTCCGAAAACCCCCCAACCTCTACGACTCTACAGTCTACGGCTCCTCCCCCAACGCCATCGCCCTCACCCCCTCCGACAGTCGCCCGCGCCAACCCTCCAGGATGGACGTCCCCGGCGTCCCCGGCGCATTCATGGTGCTCGACGTCTTTACACCTGAAGAATGCCTGCAGATCGTCCAAGCCGCATCGGCTATCGGGTTCGAAAAAGATGAAGCGGCCGCGGGATCAGCAGTCATGAAAAACTCTGTACGCCTTTTCTTACTACCCGTTGGTATAAAGCTAAACTCGGGTACAGATCCTCGCGCGCAACTTTGTCTGGCTCGCCGATAAACCGTTCCTCCAACATTTCTACGGCCAGATCCTTCCTTTCGTTCCCCAGACCGCCCCGGTATCCCCGGAAGGTCATGGTGGTGGGAAAGTGAGGGGGATCAATGCGAGGTTTAGAGTGTACGAGTATATCGAGAATCAACTATATCGCGTAAGCCTTTGTCATTACTTGTAGGTTTGGTGTGGATTGTGCTGATGCCGGGATTAGCCGCATATCGATGGCGCCTGGCCTGCAGCAGGTCTCCATCCCGAAACCGGCGAATATCTCCACGAGTACGTCCCCTCTCCCCTTCTCTTCTCACCCCACGCAACACTAACCCCCACCCCACAGCTCAAGTCCCCCCGAAGACCCTCTCTGGTCCCGCTACACCCTCCTCCTCTACCTCAACTCTGACATCCCACACGATACGGGCTGTACGACATTCTTCCTGCCGTCCGAGAGGATGGGCGTGATGGAGGCCTTTAGTGTGAAACCCGTGCAGGGGGCTGTTTTGTGTTTCCGTGAGTTCCCCCCTCCTCCTGCTGTGTCGTCAAATTGCTAAAACTGAAATCCGCGATGATTAGCCCACGGAGATACCCAAGGCTCCCTCCTACACGAAGGCAGCGCAGTAGGCGCCGGCGGCGGGAAAATCGTCATTCGTACTGAACTGTTGTTTGAGGCACAAGGGTTTGGGCAGTTTAAGCCGCCTGTGGCTTCGATGGTGGGGACGGAGTCTGGGGTTTGAGTCTTGTTTTTTTTTGGGGGGGAGGCTTGGGAGGTGGGTGGTGGAGAGTTGTTGGGTTGTTGGCTTGTTTGTTGTAGTATAGTGCATTGCTTCTGGGTATGATCGATACGATACCGGTGACACTTTTCGTGTCCTTGTTCAAATCAGTGCAGGCCCGCAGAAGTGGACTGAAATCAACTCGTACTGGTGTACTAATGTACAGGTATGTCATGAGCGACTACTCTATTATAGATCAAATCAAGTTCCACCCGAATTCTTCCCAGAATCCAAGACTGTTCATAGGCCCCTGCGATTGCCCAGCAGTCGCTTCGTCCACACCGCTCGTCAATCCCAAACCAGCACCATTCCCCGTGGATATCCCCAATCCTTCCAGCGCTCCATCACCACCCGTACCTTCACCCCCAACCGGCAGCGCACCATCATTGACATCATTGACGGGCCGATTCAGGAATGTAAAGTCGAAAAAGTCGAACACGTCGAGCGGGTTCTGGTGCTGCGAAGGATTGGAGCCGAGGATGGATTGCATTATCTGGGGCTCGGGGTCGAGATCGGGCTGGAGTTGGAGGTCTGCCGCTTCTGCACATATCATCAGCATCGATCAACGGTATGGTCAAGGGCACCACGCACTTCTCGCCATCTCTCCTTCTAGCAACCTCCTCTTGACCCTCGCCATAAACCGCCTCGAAAACTCTTCAATCCCCATCACCTGCCCATCCCCTCCCTCCCCCATCACACCATCAAAAACACCAGCCTCCCCCGCATTCGCAACTTCCACCACCAGTATCCCTATCGCCCTCGAACATAATCGGTTCAAATCTTGCGACTGGTCGTCCTTGTCGAAAATGTCGATTTTGGCAGTGGAGATGTAGTAGAGAGAGTCGGAGCGGACGGATTCGCGTTCGGCTGGAGAGTGGGTGTGCGCGCAGAGGGGGTGAAGGACGAGGAGGGCGTCGAGGGCGAGGATGATGCTAGCGCCGAGGATCCACCGTTTCACAAATCTATACTCGGTCAGATAACTCAACTCTCATCACATGATGGCCGGCTTACGCTGGCCGGAGTCCCGTGGGGACCCTTGATTGCGCTTGAATAATCCTCGACGCAGCTTGGATGCTCATCTCCCTCGCGGTCCAAAATCGAGGGTCTGTATACCCTTTGTGCATGTACGGTCGATGCATTCGAAGGATGCGGTTGTTGATGCTGCTGTAGCAAATGTATATCATCCCTGCCAGTCTGTCAGTGGCGTAACGGTTGGACATTGAAAGAACATACAGGCAGAGTCGGTTTGCAGATTATCCCATGCGGGTACCCGTTCTAGCGTACGCTCCAGGCCTTGCGAAAACTCCAAAATATCTTCGTAAGACATCTCTTCTGCAACACTCATCAGCCCGAATCCAATCGTACGAGACGAGAGTCATACCTGTGCTTAGATCCTTGGTGAACTGGCGAATGGTGTTTGCGAACGCCGATCCTAGAATAGCCAGGCTGGACTCTGTGAATACGCTTGTATCCGGTTCTGGCAAGACACCCGAAAATGGCATCAGAGTTACGTCAACATTGTCTGATGTCGAGTTGGCGTATTGTGGAGCAGACTGATAGTCTGTCAGGTTGGCAGGAGCTTGAGTGGCATCTGCACACGTCAGCAGAGATATGCCCATGCCCCCGGCAAACTTACTCGATGCTGTAGACTGAATCCTCCACACTCTAGCTCTCTTGTAGATGGTCCCATCTAGAAAATTGAGCATTGCGAAGAGCTGTTTTGTGAGGTGTATCGCAGCTTCCGTTGGCAATCCCTCCAACGCGGGATCATTCTTCGGCACTGGCGGTGGCCCGGCCGACGAAGGTGAGAGTATATCCAGTGATAGCCACTGAGCAGTCGTGATGGCCGAGTCAAGATGACGCAGAGCCAAGTTGGCTTTGGCTGGCGAGTCGCCGAAATGGAACAGATAGTTGATGTAGAGCAATGCCACCTGGATATGGCGGATTTGAGGGACAGCTTGGTAGTCTGAATCGTCCAGCTCATCGAGACTGATCTGGTGGAGAAGGTCTGGAAGAAGGTCCAAGTCCCACGTAGTAGAGGGAAGGAGGTGGTTGATGAAGGAAGCGGGGGCGAAGCGTACAGAATTGGCTAGTATCTTTGTCCTCATTAGTCCTGAGCCTTGAAAGAAGCACAGTACGTACCATGTAGTAGATGGCCCACCAAGAACGGTCCGTTTCATTTTGTCCCTCTGGTGATAGCGTCATGATGGTGGAATAGGTATTGAGGAAATGGAATCGGTGGATTACCTGAGTTGGGCAGTCAGAGCACAATTCTAGGAAGAGATGGGTTGCTTACATGCCAACCCATGTGCATCGGTCCTTCAAAGTACCACTTGACCAGCTCGGATCCCACACCGGATTCGCTCGGTCTTAGCAAAGCCTTGAGATCATCCACCTTGACATCGCTGTCGACCCTAGTGTCGATACTTGCCCGAGGGGCGGTAACAATAAGATTGGCGCCACGGGGTGTACGCAGTTGCTGCTGAGTCGATCTCACAGAGCTGGAAGCTGTCTCGAGAATGGTGGGTCTCAAAGATCGAGCCTCTGTCAACCCGGGCCTCAACCCTGGTCCAAATATCTCGTCCTCCAGCTCCATCGTCTCCCTCTCTACGGCCCGGGTGTCTTTTGGTGACTCTCCACCCGCTTGTATCGCATGACTAGAAAGGGGCAATATTGCGTTACGAGCACCTGGAGTACCTGATGAGAAAGAAGAGTTGTGATGGTTGGCTGACGTTGAGAGATGGTTTTCAAGCGATGTCGAAGATGAATGGGATAGCCGCTCTAGACGATCCACGCGGTCGAGGAGCTGACGAACTTGTTCGTGGAGAACAGTCACTTCTGTGGATGGTGCTGCAGAGGGTTGCGGGCCACTAGAGATGAACGTGTCAGTCGATGCTGTAGCGCAGCTCAGGGTGAGGCTCACGCTGCCACAGACAAGTCATTGGGCACTCCAGTGATACCTTCCCAAACGCAGTCCCCCGGCTTGCCCCTCTTGATGCACGAGTCGCATGGTATTTTTCCGATGACACCGCACTTTCACTCGAGGTCAGCCAGGCTACCCGCAATACGCCATGAGAGCTCACCTTTGTCTTCCGCCTCTTGCACTCTGTACAGCTCAGCGCACGCCGCCCAGTCGATTTTTGTTTCTTTGCGGGCGGCTCCTCGGACATGTCGGTGGGCGCCGCCTTGACGTTACCTTTGTATTATAGAGGGAAGGGCGGATTAGAGTTACTGCTGTTGGACGATACGTACAGATGCACAATAGGGCACTTTTGACGAACGGAGGTGCCGCAGTCCGGACTTTCCATGAAATCCCGACGCACAAACAAGGCGGATCTCGCCGCGATTCAGGTGTGTTTGGTTCCACCTGTGTTGGTGTGACTTTTGGCAGTGGCTCTTTCGCAGCCTCAGCAAAAGGCAAAAGGCAAAAGGACAAAAACGACGGCACCCGGGATTCCCAGGTGGTCTCCCACCCTGGTACTAACCGAGCGCTCTCCTAGTTGACTTCGCGGATCAGACGGGACGTGGACTTTGAGGAGGCTATGGCCGTCGATGTTGAATTGGCAAATATGGTGTTCATGTAAGCATAGACGGTGACTCAATTGACACTACATAGATCAGAACATCTCCAATGAACCTGATGGAAATATACACCCGTTCGGAAGCCCGACAACCTTGGATCATGTCATCGACCGATCTTGCAGGACAGCAACAAAGGAGAGATGCGGTCAGCTGATAGATATTCTGTCACGCAATGCAGTACCCTGTAGTCCGACAACACACGGCGGTGGCTTGATTGCTCACGGCCGGCTAAACCTTGTACATTTCTTTTCTTGTGCCATTCTTGTCGTGAAACATAGCCAAGAGGCATGGAAGATCTGAGACTGAATCAATGACTAACAAGTGTATGAAGTCATATTGGTAAGGCCAATATGAGGTTGCATACAAGAGATCATATTACTTCCGCGGTCGTTTGGACGGAGGGTCATATTGTTTGTGTACAGTCTCAAACTGATGACCCATGCGAGGCTGATTACCATCAAAAGCATACCCTCCTCCATGCGGCTCACCATACACTCCTCTCCCTAGCCCGCCATATGGTTCTCCCTTGCCCACAGAGCACTTCCCTTTGTCGGCCATGCACTTCCCCTTGATTATTATATACGTCTCCTTGTCCGCCGCCGTACGCTCCCCATCGCCCATGAGACGCGGTACCAGGCCCATACTGACCCTCTTGGTGCCCTTGCCCGCTCAGGCCCCCTCCCTGCCTGGCATACTCTGCTCCGTCTCTGCCGCCCGCCGCTCGCTCTGCCGGTCTGCGATGGGGACTTTGACCGTCTCGGGGTCCAAGGTCATTGACGGACCTCGCACTGGCCCCGCTAGACGGTCCAGGGCTCGGCCCCAGGTAGGTCTCTGCATGATAAACATGAGACCTGGCCCCGGGATCGCCCTCGGTCAAGAGAAGATCTTGGCTAACGGATGTGGGCCGGTCGTCGAGATGCAGTAATCGTTCGGGGCCGGAACGCAGTTCGGTGGATGCTGAGGCAGGGAACAAAGAAGGGGATTGAGAAGCAGTGGTTGGGTCGGTGGAATCAACAAGTCCTCCGCGCAAAGCAACGACTTCCGTGCGCAAGGACGCAATTGTTGCCTTCAAGCACTTCATCTCCTCCTGCAATTCCTCCTGCATTGCCAGAAAGTTCTGCCTTGCGGATGATTCCAGACCTGCACGAGCGCGGTGTTCTTCAAGCTCCTTCCGAAGCCGGTCATTCTCCAGCTTCAGACCGTCTTGGTCCGCTTTGGATTTTGAGCCTTTTCCGAAGAGATTGCCTGCACCCTTCGCCGCGATGGAACATAGGTGGTAGATCAACCCTGTCATCCCACTGGGGCTATTGGTTGAGACTGGGCCAGAGAAGTCGATTGTTTGATCTCGCCATATATTTGATGTCGGAACAAGATCGAGGTCCACATCGGGCACTGGTTTTGAATCCAAGAAACCATCCGTAGCGACGAATTTGCCCTTTTTCCCACTGAAATGCTGTCAGATACGAGACGTGACTGTATTATGGGATACATACTCTGTGATGTAGAGCATGAAGTCGGCGCCGCAATCGAACTTCAGGCGTAGCAGCTATCAAATCGAGATCAGAAAGTGTCACTTCGACAAGTGAGAGCGCAAGACGTACTTAGGCGATGGCTGCAGGATGATTCTGAGTGAATTTTCCAGGATTCGCAGTCCTCACCTGGTGTGCTGCCTCATAAGCCTCTACACCACCATCACATTAGCTTGCTACTCCACGTCTTCAAGGAAGAATCCCTCACTCTATCCATGCGAGGTTAGGTCTCCCTTCACGAGGTCGGCAGGGATACATGTGTACTGCCTGGTCATCTCGTGCGGCAGATCGAGTGGGGTCCTCTTTGCCCCTACAGTTTCGGATGTGAAAGCTCCCGCTGTGGCGGCCGCTGATTTCCTTCCCCCGGTCTTCTTGCGCCGAGGAGCAGGTGTATTGGAGGATGCCAGCTGAGAGCCAAGACCACATTGCGCAGTCGAATCGTCCCCAGCTTCGCCTTCCTCTTCGCTCTCGTCAACCCCTGCATGGTTGGACAATTGATTGACGCTTGAGTCAGACGCCGGCAGGACGGATGACGGATGAACCCCTTTCAGATATGTCAGCAACAGATCGCTATGTGGGCTTCTGTCCAAGGCACAGAGAGCGGACTCACCTCCGTTTCTGAGAGAAACGCCTCTGTCCCCCATGCCTCTGTTCTCAAGTCCATGCTCTTCTTGATCACCGCCACGCGAAGGATAGAAATATGTGGTGGGAGGAGATATTGCGACGGAGGCTCGATTGTGATGGTGCTCGGCCCCCCCCACCGGGGGCTCCAGCATGTCCAGTCCCTTGTGGGCGGTGGCTAGCATGGCTGCTTGGCCTTCGATGCGGCATTGCGGGGAGAGGATTTCTGCGAACGGATGGGAGTTGCTGGGGAAGTTGCCGGGTACCGGGGAGGGACATGTCGAATGTTGTGGAGGCCGTTTGTGAAGATACGCGTGGAGGAGACGCCATGGTTGCAAGCGACTGCCAAGTCCTGAGCCGGGCAGGTTCAGCGACCCTCCCTCTGCTATGTGACCGCCTTATCTGGTTTCTCCCCAGTCTGCTGCGGCTTCGACTCACGTAGTAGGATGAGAGGAAGATGAAGATTCGAGGAGAGTGACGGAGAGAGCTAATGAATATAATGGCTAAGGTTGTGAGGGCTTGTGGGAGGCGGACGTAGACGAACAAAAGAGAGTCCAGGACAGCAGGAAGTAACAAGTTTCGAAGTTCGCCAGACGCGTCCGTCAGACGCGTCGGCGACTTGTCCAAGGGCTACTGGGGCTTGATGACACTCCGTGAATTCTGTACTCGTACAGTAGTACATAGCAGCTCTGGCATGTGTACTTGACAGTCGCCACCTGATGAACTGTATGGTGCATGACGGGACATCACACACTTTATCGTACATACATATGTTCATCCATCGGATCCTCCCATACGTCCTTTGATACACAGATATCCTGATCGCCCACGCAGAACTGCATCGTCTTATGCCTTGTACAGTGAGTCACAAGCACCCACGTAAGCATCTTGTAAGCGAGCTATACACTCTTCACGAATACTTCTGCCTATTTCCAGATGGTGGATATAGATGAGCTGAAGCAAGAAAATCCGGTCACGAAAACGCGAGGAGGTAAGCAACCCGGGGTCATGGATCACGGCGAGCAGCATCGCGCATGTATTCATACTATTGCAGCAAAATCTCGATATATTGAAGGGGTAAGGGGTTAGAGAGTGACTGAGACTGGCAAGCTGGCAATTGCGGAAGTATCGGGGGAAGGGAGGTGTCGACCGGGTTGGCGGTGGGTGGAATCGGCCATGGGCCACCTGGTTACTACTCAAGGAGGCGAGGGGTAAGATTGCTGACTGCGCTGCCTGGAAGAGAATGATCGGGGCATTCTGGCAGCGAGCGGGCAGACGAACCGAACCCAACAACAACCCGAATGCAGAGGTACGGCGTTTCTCATGTGGCAAATTCCCCCTCTCGATTCGCCTTTGGAAGAATATATACTTTAAGTAGCTCGGGGGCGCTATAGAAGTACTTCTAGATTACAGACAACCCCACAGATGTTCTGACTTATCTCTTTAGGCCGTTCTAGAATTGTATCTACTCTATTACCAGACGCTACCGAAGACGCTACCGAGGCCGGAGACTTCTTGATAGTAAAGGTACAACGGTATCGCAGAGATGAGCAAGCAAAGAAGGCCGAAGGGCATGGGATGATCAAGCAGAAAGAATATTGCCCCATGCATGGGCCCGGGTACGCAAGCCGAAGATGAGCAAGCAGGAGTCAGCAGGACTCACCGTGCACTATAAAGGGAGGGGCAGACCATCGCATTTGCCCACTTATCCACACTTCCATAATCTATTCCACCCACAGAAATGTCGAAGACTGTTCTGATCACTGGCGCTAACAGGGGGTAAGTAGCGCTCTTGCCTGTCGACTAGTATACAGTGCTGACACGCTTTTGATTCAGTATCGGCCGCGCGCTCACCAAGTTCTATCTCGGGAAGGGCTGGCGCGTCGTAGCAGCCGCTCGCGATCCCACCAAGATTCCCCAAGAGGACAATGCAGTCATCGTCAAGATCGACTCGGACTCCCTCACCGACGCGAAAGAGGTGAGCCAATCGCACTTCTCCTTTGACTGTGCTGATCGTTCTGTTCAGGCGGTGGAAGAGCTCAAGAGCAAACACGGCATCACCCACCTCGACGTCGTCATCGCCAACGCCGCTTCCGCCCCCAGCCCGGGGCCTCTCGTTAGCGCTTCCATCTCTGAGCTGTCTGCTGGCTTGGTCACAAACGTCAGCGGTCCTCTCGCTCTTTACCAGGCGACAAGGCCTCTTTTGAGCGATGAAGGCGCCTTTGTGGGAATCACCTCTACGGTGGGATGTGTCACTGGGGCCTGGGCGCCTTACCTTGGGGCTTATGGAGCTACGAAAGCCTCTCTCAACTTCATCGTGAGTAGTGGCTCTTCCGGTGGTACACAAGCTGCTTACAATCAATCGATAGATCAAAGGAATCCATATCGAAGAGTCAAAGCTCAAGGCTTTCGCTATCAATCCTGGATGGGTCGACACGTATGTGAGAGGCGATTGTCCACCTCTGTTACTGACTTTTGTTAGCGATATGGGCAACGCGGGGGCGGCCTTGGCCGGGCTTGATGCGCCCCCTGATAAGTTGGTTGACACCGTCCGTGAGTGTCCTCTGCTCGTGCAAAGTTTGGTCGCAGCTGATGTTAAATAGCTGGCATCTACAAGGTGATCGATGAGGCAACGAAGGAAAAGACTTCTGGGCTTTTGTGGAACCAGTGAGTCCATCATCATGAAGTGATGCTGGGGGCTGACTGTCCTTATAGCGACGGTGCTAAGGTCCCCTTCTGATTTTGCCTCCTTCTGCATGCTACGGTCATGACAATACATGATAGACAAAGCATGAGTGCGAAATGACATCCTTATCCTTCAGTGCGCGAGCCGTCCATTTTGGGTATTACCTAGACCACTGCCTTGTGCAAGGCCTTTCGTACATCTTCAAATACCTTTCCGCGATTGTTCTGTGCACATACTCGATCAGCCTAAACTTCCACATCAAGACTATGGTAGGCAGGAAGGCAAATCAGAAAAAGGAGGATATGTATTGAAGGGATGTCCATCCTATGACAGTTTGACGATCACCATCACCGAAATAGGCAGTAGCAGAAGAACAACGCGACGTGGGGGGGGTAAGGGCTATAGGGGCACCAGATCTCTCTTACACATAGGCTCCACTCAACCACGGTGGGACGCAAGAGGCAAAAAGCAAAAGAGCAAGAAACGACGGCACCCGGGATTCCCAGGTGGTCCCCCACCCTGGTACTAACCGAGCGCTCTCCTAATTGACTTCGCGGATCAGACGGGACGCGGTGCTTTGAGGAGGCTATGGCCGTCGATGTTTACCTGGCGAGAGAGTGCACATGTGACGGGACTGACAAACAATGGTCTGCGTGCACAGCTAGCTATACATCTGGCTGGGAGAGAGATCTGGCCCAAGCGACTTGTCGTCCTCAATCGTTCCAACACACCTTTGATGAAATGACTGTGGAACGATGTTGAGTCAACGACTTATCCAACAAAGTAGTCACTCTAAGGTGTACAGTCAACCTACCAACAACTAAATTGGTCTCATCGACTTGTATTAACACCGTTGGTGAAATGGTATCATGCAACTTTGCCATAGTTGCGGCAAGGGTTCGATTCCCTTACGGTGTATTTTTTGTTTTTTTTTTTTTTTTGTTTTTGTTGGCCGTCTGGCCATCTTTCTTTGGCGTGTCTGGTTGAGGAATGCTTTGCCGCTGTATTTCTTTTTGCTGTTCTGCTTCAATGCCACCTCTCTGATTACATTCTTCTCCTTCATCTTGGTCCCTCCGGACAATGTCTCCACCTCCATCTCACTTTCCAAGATGTCTCAAGTCTCGATGGCACGCAATCTCTATCCTGAGAAGCAGAGGTTGGATACCATGGCAAATGCATGTCTAACTAGACTTCTTGAAAGCGACGGTACAGACTGTACTGCCTTTCTTACCACCAAAAGAGAACGTGGGATGGGGCACGCTTGAGCTGTGAAATGGTCAGTAAACGCGCTTGACCGTTTATAGGGACGGCTCACTGGAATGTCAGACCTGGAAGCAAGTCAGCACATGTACAGTATTTGTGTAGTAGAGAATGACATACCGAGATCCTCCTTGCCATACCTCTCTTTGATCTCCTCCTCTGTGAAATTACAGCTCGTGATCAAAAAGAACCCGCCAGGTTTGACAAGCTTTGTAATTCTTTCCGGGTAAACCTCGCTCGGTAATCTCTTACGTTCGTCCTCCTCGACCGGGTCGTTTGAAAGACAGAGGGCATCATAAGTCCCCTTGTCCATGACCAAGTCCCAGGTCTCGCCCTTGAAATCATCTCTCAGCAGATCGCCCACGCGCCATTCTGCAGTCACCTCATTCACGGCTTGTTCGTCTTCAAGCTCATCTTCATCCTCTAATTCTTCTCTCCGGCTTTTCTCGACGCTTTCAGCGAGTGTTTTGGCGGAGAGGCAGTAGTCGATGCCGGTGAGGTGGAAGGATTGCGCAGGGGGCTCGGGGGAGGTGAGGAAGGAGAGGAGGAGAGTGCCGTTGCCGCTGCCGCATTCGAGGACCCTCAGTGGTGTCAAGGAAGAAGGCAGGTTTGCGTGTGCCCACTTGCGCATCTTTCGGACACTGTCCTCACCGAACCTGTACCGTACTCAGCACCTGACAAGACTAACCACAGAACATACGCACCATACCTCGCCCTCGTCTCCACAATCATCGAAAACTCTGACTTCGCGCTCATAGACGCTGTCCCAGTGTTCTTTCGTACCAAGCTTGGATGGGGGCAGTTCTTCGACGGGCATTGTTGTCTAGAAGGAGCCAAACAAAAAGTGTCGTTGGATTGCGGAAAGCCGAAGAGAGCAAAAATAAAGACGGCGGCGATGACCGTCGAGTTGCCACAGCAGGCGTTGACGCGCGATCAGATGGGATATGAATCACGATAATCCACTACACCAAGCGATGAACAACCCCCTCCTATCTATCCAGGTGAGTACGGGGGGAAGCATGGCGTAGCTGACAATTGCAGAGCCAGTACTGGGCTGTCCGCGACTATCTCTCGCCGGTGCGTCCGTTGCCACCCTTCATCCACCGGCACTGACCGCGCTGTAGGTCCTCAAGGAGAGTAAATTCAAGGAGCACGGTCGTATCACTCCTGGTGAGTCTTTCGGCTCGTCACTGGAGGGGCAAAAGCTGAACAAGTCGCAGAGGAGTTTGTGGCTGCGGGTGACTTCTTGACATTCAAGTTTCCAGTCTGGCAATGGCAAGTGTTGGAGCTGTCGTCATTTCGTGTACTCGGCCACTAACTCGAGTCGCAGGGAGAAGGGAGACGGTGCCAAGGCTCGAGAATTCTTGCCAGCGGACAAGCAGTATCTTGTGACCCGGAATGGTATGTGCGCCCCTGGTGTCCAAGCGCATGACTGACTTGGGGCTGTAGTGCCTTGTTTGAGGCGAGCGACGGCGGTGGATTATACGGGGGACGGGGATAAAGAGCAGCTCCTAAGCTTCCTTGATGAGGTGGGTTACTGCAGAGCTGAAGAGGGCGGGAGCTGACATGAAGCAGGCGGACGAGGCGCCTGGACCTGGTAAGGACGATGAAGACTGGGTAGCTACCCACATCGGGCGAGGTGCGTGTCTCTTGATCCATTCAAGCTGTATTGACAGTGTACAGAACCCACGCACGATGCTTCCAACATTGACGAGATCCCCGATATCTCGGACTCTCCTGAGCTCAACGCCTCTTCTGGGCCCACGCGCGAGATGGCGGGCCTCGACCTCACAGGCCAAGGCAAGATGGAGGAGGATGAGATTCCGGATATCGACGATATCCCTGATATGGACGATGAGGGTGCTGGGTTGGAGGATGTGGAAGATGATGCCGCGGTCAAGATTGTGCACCCATCCGAGTGAGCAAGATCACCATGCTTGAGGAAAGGGAGCTGATTTGTGGCAGGGCCGAGGTCAACAAGACTCGAAACAGCAATTTGCTCCAAGTCCGTACTTATGACTGCATAATCAGCTACGACAAGCACTACCAAACACCTCGTTTCTGGCTGTTTGGTTATGACGAGGCAAGTTGCATTCGTTCACCTGCCCGACATGTGCTGATGGTTTCTCAGCACAAGAACCCCCTCACCCCAGCTCAAGTGTTCCAAGATGTGCCCGCCGACCACGCCTTCAAGACGATGACGATGGAGACCTTTCCCCATTCCGGCGCCCAACTGGCCTCTGTCCACCCGTGCAAACACGCTTCCGTCATGAAAAAGTTTATCGACAGAATGGAAGCTGCCCAGGCGCAGCAGCAGTACGTACCCGAGCAGCCCGAAGCCAGTGCTAGTGTGGGTGGGGAGAAGGATAAAGATAAGAAGAAGAAGTGGGGGATTGGCGGGATGGTGAGAAAGGTGACGGGGGGGAACACGCCAAAGGTGGAGAAGAAGGATGATGATGGAGAGGCGCCAAGTGGGGTACCGGTAGACTTTTACTTGGTCATAGTGAGTCGTGCTGTTTGTGGCGATTGTGGCTGACAGGCGAACCAGTTCCTCAAATTCATCGCGAGTATCGTCCCCACCATCGAGGTCGACAGCACCACCGCCACTGGGTTCTGAGCCTCGCGCTTTTCATTTGTAGATCACTATTGTTGGGCCTCGCAATACATTGTACATGAATCAAAGTAAGCGTGGTCGGTCCATGCCTGGTCAGCGTGATGGACATGTCTCTTTTGGTAGCCTGGTCCAGGTCGCGATGGATAGCGCCATTGTTCGGATTGTGCGTGGTCTAGCTTATACGAGGACGATAACCGAATCATCCTTCGAGTCAGGCCGTGTCCGCCTCGGGCTAAAGGTACTTGCACTACTGGTAAAGCCACTGGGAGCTATGAGTTGTGGCACGAGTGCCCCTTTGGGGTGGGGTCTTAGCTTCACGTGCGAAAGTCTATGTGAAGAGGACGATGGATCTACACGTTGCAGGCCGTGAAGATCTTGCGGTAGATTCGAAGTGCACAAAGGTTTGTTTTGAGCGATGGGACGAGTCGTTCAACATGCCATCATGTCATCTTCATCTTTCCCTGGTATGCTTATGTAAGAGCAGCTCCGCCCCGCCGTCATCACAGGCCAACCAGACCATGATGGGCTTCGTTCTACGCTTTTCGCTATGTATTCCAACTCGTGGTATCCTGTATCCTTATATTGCACTGCTATACACGCCAGAGCGCCAGTCCATGCACAAATAGCCCCCCGGCAGCAGCAGGTCGCATTTGCCGAACGGGTGTCCCGGGGTGTGCGTGTAAACAGTCCACTGCACGTGTGCTACATGCCCCCGCCTCGTTCCGCGGCTTATGCTGTATGGATGGGGTGGCGAACGCATGCAGAGGCGTTGTATAGAGTACACCCGAGATGCATGCGCGAAGGACACCCTTGGGCGCCCCTTACTGCGTTTTCAGACTCTCTCTTTCGCATCTCCATATACGTTATTACTAAAGCCCGCGCCGTCTGCCCACCATGGCCACCCACAGCCCGTACCACAACCCCCTCTTCCCCTCACACGCCTTCCCCGACCCCGACGACACTCCCATCCCGGACGACGGCGATATCGACGACGAGGACAACATCTTTCGCGATATGACCTTTGATGAGATCATGGAGGATCTGAATGCGCGCTTTCTCATCAACCTGCCCAAGGAGGAGATGAATCTGCTGAGGGTGTACTGGCAGGCCGAGCAGGCGTGAGTGAGGTCCCCCATGGCTATGGCCTGGACTGATCCTCCCGCAGACATTGGTTTTACGAGGACTACCTTCGCCCCCTGAACCCCCTCCTGCCGTCCCTCTCCCAGCGCCACTTCACCCGCCTCATCATCGAATCGTCTCCCCTCTACAAGCGGCTGGTATCCTCGGACTCTATCGACCACGATTCCGTCTGGGACGAGTACCGCTCGTACAAGCGGATGGTGCCGTGTTGCGGCGGCATCATGCTCAACAAGCAGGGCGACAAGGTGGTGCTGGTGCGTGGGTGGAAGAGCAACTCTGGCTGGAGTTTTCCGAGAGGCAAGATTAATCTGAATGAAACGTTGGAAGCGTGTGCCGTACGAGAGGTGAGTTGTTGCGTGTGCTGTAGGACGACACTGACAGCGGCAGGTGGAAGAAGAGACTGGGTATGATCTGACGGGGATGGTCAAGTCGGAGGATAGGATACAGACGCACATCAATGCTCAAGAGGTGACCATGTTTATTGTGGGAGGTATTGACGAGGGAACGGTGTTTGAGACGCAGACCAGGCATGAGATTGGGGTATGTTTCTACTCGGGCTGCGAGGGGTATCGCTCACATGTGACTAGGCTATTGAATGGGTCTCTCTCTCTGATCTTCCGACGTGGTCTGGCAATAAGAAGACCAAGAAGAATACAAACAAGCGATTCTACAATGTCACTCCGTTTGTCAAGTGAGTATACAGTGTATCGTCTCGGGCTCTGTTGACACAAGTAGCCCCCTCAAGGCATGGATGAAGGCGAACGGCCTCAACCCCCATCCCAAGCCCCGGCCAAAGAAACCGCCCTTCTCGCAACCCTCCGCCTCAACCGGCAACTTTCACAGAGACATCAAGCCCTTCCGATTCGACGCCTTTTCCGGCTCTCCGTCGGCTTCCCCCCAACTCCACACCCCTTCCCCTGCCCCTTCACACTTTCCTTCCCGGGGTTCCTCGGCCCTGGACCAACTGTTTTCCAAATTCATCCACAAGCAGGAGGAAGAGATCCTCGCGCCTAGACAAGGAGATGCAGTCGGCTCGGACAATAATGCCGGGCTTGAACGTCTCTTTGGCGGGCTTGATGTGTTGAAAGAGGAGGAACAGGCGATGCTCGAAAGACAGAAGAGGAGCGACGGTTACAGTCAGGAAGATGCTAGGAGGTTCCAGAAAGAGGATGATGATCTTGTCAGGCTACTCGCGGGCGTCGGCACACCGGCGCCGGATCTCGCAAAGCTTCTCCCGAGGAACCAGCAGTCGCAGCGGCAGGCAGTCCAGCAGCAGTCGCAGCGGCAGGCAGTCCAGCAGCAGCCGCAAGTCCAGCATCAGCAGCAACCTCAGCCAAAGGCGACGCAGAACCACCTGTTGGCAATGTTGAACCAAAAGTCGATCGGTGCCACTCCTGTCCCAGCGGGACACGGCTCCTTGCCCCAGGCTCAGCCTCATCAGTCTAAACTGCTCCATCTCATCTCGCAACCTGCCCATTCTCCCACACAATCTCCGAGGGCATCTGTCTCACCGTCGTACCACACCGCTCAGTCGCGTCCTGGATCTCACCCTTCTGTTGGTGCTGAAGGGACTGAAGAGGACCGCGCGGCGCGGGCAAGAGCGTTGTTGGAGATTAGCTTTGCGGGCTTGGGTCTTGGTGAGGGGTCATCGGCGTCTAGCCACACGGCTGGGTCGCCACAGCCTGCTCAGTCTAATCAGACCAGAGGCCAGCCTCGTGCTAGCGGCCAGGCTTCCGCCCCTGTTCACAACCGTGCACCAGCGACACAGCCTGCTGCTCAATCCCAAGCCTCGCTTCATCCGCAAGTACCAGCCCATCAAGGGTCTGGTCCCGGAAACAGCCCCCGTTCTCAAAATCCTCCACCAAGCTACGACTCTGTCCTCCGCGACAACTTTCCGAGTCAATGCCAGCAAGCCGCCGCCCATGCTCCTGCTCCTGGCTTGCCCCAAGTTCAAACATTTGAGAGAGCGCCGCCTCCTCATATGCAACAGCAAGTCGTGCCCTCCGGCTACGTCCAACAACAACCCATCCCCAATCCTTCCCACGTCTTCCAACCCCCACTCCAAGCCCAAGCCCAATCTCTCCCCTCCCACGTGCACATATCCCAACACCACGCCGTCCACCCCCAGCCCGTCCCCATGCCGCCTCAACAATTCCGTCCCCCGCCTCAAGCTGTACCCCTGGGCGTGGCGATGCAGCAGCAGAATATGAACCACCCGCAGCAACAAGGGCAGGGGTATCGCCCGGTGCAGGGGCAGATGCCACCGGGTATGGGGGCTGCCCCGCCCGGTTTGGGGCCGGGACCGGGCCCGGGGTATGCCCCGCCTGGGGTCGGCTACTACCCTGCTATGCCCCCTCCTCAGCAACAACAACAACAGCAGCAGCACTTTGCACCTCCCCCGCCTCACGCTCAGGCTCCAGCGCAGGGTCAAGGCCAAGGTCAAGGGTATTACCCCGCTCAAGCTCCTGTCGTCCTCCCCGCTGGTGGGGGAGCGCCAGGTCAGCAGGGGATGTATAGACAAGGGTCGGGGAATGTTCAGCCGGTTTACGGGTATGGGCATGGGCAGAACCCTTTCCCGGGGGGTGTGGTTCCTCAGGCTTTACCTGCCCAGCAGCACCAGCAGCAGCAGCCGCAGGTTTCAAGTCAGTCGCTCAACAAGGTGCCGATGAATGGGGGTGGGAATGGGATGCTGCCTGGTATGCAGCAGCAGCAGCAGGGACAGCAAGGACAAGGGGGTGCTGTACATCACCCGGTACCGAGACAACCTGGAAACGCGGGGCTGTTGGCTATGCTCAATGGGGGGAGGTAAAGTAGTTGTGGAGGTGCTTGTGTATGGATATGTTGTGGAAGATTGGGCACATATCATGTGAAGAAGATCTTGAGTGCGATTTTGTGGAGAGATGTAGAAGTATTGGAGGGGGGTTATATGGTACGAGTGGAGTGTGTATATGTGACAATACAGTACTCGTACTCGTTCAATGCAACGCGGGGTTACCGCAGTGAACTATTGGGAATCATCTACTCGTTCCTCGTCAGCGCGCTCAGACTCTACTCGGACAGTAAAAGCACACGCTGATATATGCGGTCCATGCAGTAGAGTGAGTGCCTTGTCCTGTAAGCCATACTCTACAGAAGTTATGCTGCATAGTCTGCTGATCATGATGGCCAGGAAAGCAAAAATGATTGAAGGGCAAAAACAAAATACACCGTAAGGGAATCGAACCCTTGCCGCAACTATGGCAAAGTTGCATGATACCATTTCACCAACGGTGTTAATACAAGTGGATTAGACCAACTTGGATATTGAACAAGTTCATAATATGTTTACATTTGAGTACCACCATTGGATGAGTCGCTGAATCAACTCCACAGTCACTCCATCAAAGGTGTGTTGGAACGAATGAGAACGACAAGTCGCTTAAATCATGAATCTCTCCCGGCCAGCTGTCTAGATAGCTGTACACGCAGGCTCTTGATTGTCAGTCTCGTCACATGTCCACTCTCTCGCCAGCGAGGCAAACATCGACAGCCATAGCCTCCTGAAAGTACCGCGTCCCGTTCGATCCGCGAAGTCAACTAGGAGAGCGCTCGGTTAGTACCAGGGTGGGGGACCACCTGGGAATCCCGGGTGCCGTCGTTCTTTGCTCTTTTTGCCATGCATCCTTTCTTCCCCCAACGCACCATGACGAGATCAGCGGACAAACGAACAAGTCGGCGGCGGCGAGATCCGCTGCTGTCTTTGCTGTGTTTCGCGTTGAACGATCCCATGTTGTTGCGCTGAACCAAGAAGCGATCTTTCCGAGCATGCATATGGATAAGCAACACTGTGAGAGCCATGCATAGAGCATAGAGCTGATGACTGCATGCGACGCGACTGCCACTCCCCCCCGGCATTTCGGTGTTGGGACGCGTGGCATTGACGCGGCTGGCTTTCTATGGGTTACGTAATGACACAGCAGCGGCCAAGAATGTCAACAACGCAAACAAGCTGCCGTTCTGTCCATCTCCCCGTCACTCCCCATGAGTCTCCTGTAACGTATATCCTTCTCCCCCAAGTAGTCCCCAGTAGTACGTTACGTCAGCACCACCACCGCCACCGCTCACCGCTGCAGCCCGCTCACGATGTCCGCGTCCCCAGCCTCGCCCGCCTCGCCGCCCGCCCGCTCGCGCAGAGACCCCACCCGCAACGCCATCATCTCCTCCTCCGCCAAAGGCTGGTCCCCGCTCCAGATCAGCAAGCGCGACTCCACCGCCAGCCTCAGCCCCCCGCCACCAGTCATGTCCGACGGGCCCAGGCGCACCTCGTCGTCTTTCAAAGTCGTCGCCAACAACAGTCTCGTGTCGAATAGCATCTTCAAAAGCCCCCAGCCAAACAACGACGGGGGAGACAAGATCATCCATGAGAGAAGAAGTACGAGAAATCTGGGCGAGATGGCGCCCAGTGCGAGAGGCGTTGGATCTACGCCGCGGGGGGTCATAGGACTCGGCCTCTCGCCGGTCAGGCGCAGTGAAAGCAGATCGCCGAATGGAGGAGCCGCCGTCAATGGACAGCGCAAAGTATCGGCAGAAAAGGCCAAAGTGACTTTTCCCGGTGTCGAAAGAAAGGTGTCCAAGGAGAATGAGAGCCCCGATGTGCGACACTCTATGCGCGTGCCGAGATCCAGTATGGGCTTGAAGGGCCTTCAAACAGGCAGCTATGTCAGCCAGTCGCCTTTCAAGCGACCATCATCCACTACTCTCTCATCCAGCAGCCTCTCTGGCGCCAACAACTCTAGCGAGACGCCCTCTCCCAAGCTCAAGTTGCCCGTCGAGAAGGATGATGTCTTTTCCTCGCCCTCCCCCCGAAGGGTGTCTGGCGGCAAACAGCGTCGGGTATCTCCTGGTGCTGCTGGCACCCTTGGTTCTGTCTACCGCCAGTCTCCTACCCCATCCCCACGCGCTCGAGCTTCAGTCTCCCCTGCCTCTGCTGGCCCTTCACCTCTTCGCAGAGAACTCTCAGCCGATATCGCTGCTGCCTTTGACGCGTCGCCCACTCCTACCCCTCACAAATCCTCCATGACTCCCTCTCGCCGCTTGCGTGGTCCCCGCGATGCTTTGCAAGGGTATGACAGTCCTTCCAAAAAGTCGGTCACTTTCCAGGCCATTCCCGACGTCAAGGAATATGAAGTCGTCAGCGCCGAGCCCAGTATGGATGGGAGCTTTGATGTGGACGCGGGAATGGGGGATGAGGCAGATTGGGAGGATGAAAATAGGGAGAATAGTCTCGACAACATGCTCAGCGAACAGATCGAGCCCAGTGAAGAAGGGCACGACGGGATCACCGAGTCGTCTACCGCCGATTTCATGGATACTCTTGTCGAAGAAGGCCTTTTTTCGCCACCAGAGATGGACACCCCCGCCTTTTCCGACCAAGACGGGTACGAGCTACCTCTCGAGTCGTCCTATCTCGACCTGAACTCCCAAACGGACGACTCGGACCGTCCTTACCTGGCCACACCTTCCCTCGGCGGCTCTGTCAACGCCTCGCCCCTGTTTGCTTCCCACGAGACATTCCCAGAAGTAGACGAGGCGGGGATTCCTTATGGCCGTACCCACCATGCCGAGCGAGCTTCGGAAGCGCACCAGCACAGGTTGGACGTGGGCAGATTCGAACAGCCCAGTCTGCCGAGAGATGGGGGTCACGGGATGTTGTTGAATGCCGACGCGTCCAAACCCAGCTTGTCCATCCCGCCTACTTCGCCTTCGTTCTACCACGACTACAATGATCCCTTTGCTTCCGTTACTCCTTCGCATACGACCCCGAAAGCGAAAGCCGCCCCCGCCCCCGCTCCCGAGCCTCACGCCCACCAAACCGGTCCTTTCCCGGACCCATTCCTCACCATCCAAACTGCTACCGCAACTCTCAACCCCGAACACGAGGAGCGCGAGGAGGACGGCGTTCCGCTGGGTAGGACGAGTCATAAAGAACGGGTCTTGGCTGCGAGGATGATGGCGACAAGGGGGCTTGGATTGGGATTGCCCGGCCGGCCGACGGCGGGGCCTCCTAGCCCCCAGCCTGCTACTCAGGCAGAGTTTGAACAGGCGGAAGAGGTGCCGGAGAGAAAATTGCCAAAGGCGCCTGCACCTGCTCCGGCCCCTATCGACCTCCCGAGCCCGGTTTCCATGTCAAAGAATGAGATTTTGGAAGAGCCCGTCGAGAACAAGGTGGGTTATCTTGCTACAAGTGATGTATCCAAACTGATGTGTTTGTAGAATTTGCTTGGCGCTATGACTCTTCCCAGCATCGACAAGACTTCGCCCTTCTTCCAGGCCACCTCTGCCTTTGACCAGGCGCCTGCGCCTGCTTCCGAATCAGGCTCAGAATCAGCGTCCGAGCCCGTATCCTCTCGTCCAACCTCTCCCGAGTCTGGACTCCAAATGACCGAAGACCCGCCTCTCACGCCCCCGCGCAGGATGGGTGAGAGTACGGAAGCTGAAAGTCCGCATAGGCTGCCGGACTTTGACTTTGGGCTGGGCAGTATTGATTTTGGGACGGTGGGGTCGACGAAGAAGGTTGTGGAGCCCAAGATCATCCGAGAGGAGGAGGCGAAACCTGTCGCAGCTGTCGCGAAACCGGAAGAGAAGGAAAAGGTGCAAGAAAAGAAGAAGGCTCCGCTTGGGATTCCCCAGACAATGTCTACGACTTCACTCAACCGTCACTCGATGCCTGCCTCTCCTGCTTCCCCCACCTCGCACGCTTCCACCTCCCCCCGCCAGCCGAAGACTACGCACGATTCGACTACCAACCGCATCAGGCAAAGAATCTCGCGAGAGATGATTCGCGAGACGATTCAGCAGAGGTTGGCAGATGGTTCTTTGAGCCGCCGGCCCGTCAGTATGGGTTCTGGTGCCGAGCTTGATGCTCTCGCCAAGGGCATGGAGAAGACGAGCATCTCCGACTTTGGCGTGGAGGGCAACAAGGATAAAGATCTACCTGCGCCCCCTCCTGAGTCACCCGCTCTTCCCTCTACCCCCAACAAGGTCCGCCCCAAGTCGGAGATCCTCTCCCGCATGCGCACCCCCTCCACCCCTCAGTCGGCTTCCAAGCAGACGACCACCTCCAACCCTGGCACTCCCACCACCGTCGAGCGCCCCCAGATGCGTCAGCGATCTCAAACCCAGTCTGCCCAAGAAGTATTCAAGCAGAGTGAAGAATCTGGGGCCGAGGCGAAGAGTGCGTTGGACAAGATTGTTTCGCTGGTCAGGAGGGAGCATGGGAGGAAGAGTAGTGAGGTTGGCAAGCCTGGTGGGGCTGGGATGCAGAGGGAGGTCAGTGGGACGATTGGGGATGTGATGCCGCCTGCGCCGAGGACGCCGTCAAAGGAGGCAAAGCCCGCTGGGATCTTGAAGAACCCTAACGGACTGCTTGATACGGCTGTGCAGGACGCGCCGAGAAGGGTCAGCAATAATGTGCGACCACCCTCGTCCTTGTTTTCGTCTTCTACTTCGTCCTCGTCGTCGGACAAGAAGGAGAAGGAAGATGCCAGAGACGATAGACCTACTGCCAAGGAGCAGGCATTGATCACCAAGAGACGAGGCGAGCTTGGTAGAGAGAGACAAGTCAGTGGGGTGTCGATGGTCAGCCAGGGGTCCAAAAAGTCGAGGAGGAGCATGTCTATGGGAGACGTCGGTGAACAAGTTGCTCAGGCTCGTGAATTCCGTCAAAAGGCTTCGTCTCCTCCAGCTGCTGCCAGCACGAGCAACACCCCTGTTAGCGCGCTGAAGAATGGCCCTGCTGTGAAAGCGGGCCGAGGTATCAGAGGTGGCCGGTTGACTCTGGGCATTGATGATGATGAGAGGTCTATTTTGGATTCGTTCCGAGAGGAGGTTGGGAATATCGGGTCCGACGTGAGTCTTGGTCTTTCTACATGCTAGGAGTATACTAATGATTGTTAGCGCGGTTACAAGATCCGAGAAAGACCTGTGGTGAGAGCAAGCTATAATGACAAGGTGGCGCACAGTAGGGCCGGAGATATCGATAGTGGAAAGGCTTGGAAAGCCCTTCGTCGCCCTTCTGATTTGGTATGTCGAGCAATTGAACCATCGAGGTGGCTTCTAACATGGGTATAGCACGAACACTCTGCAAAGATCAAGGAGATCCGGGCTCGTGAACTCTCTCAAAACCCCGCCTCCGCAACCGTCTTTGTCAAGGTTCTCGGTATTGAAGGCCTTCAATTCCCCATTCCCAACGGGGAGGGCAAAAAGACAATGTTCTGTGTGACGCTGGACAACAGCATTGATTATATCCGGACGCCATTCACTGAGCTCGGCGAGGGTGCAAGAGTCAACCAGGAGTTTAGCTTGTGAGTTATACGCCGCAAACTTGTACGGCGCTGACACGGTCATAGGGTTGAACACCCCAACTTTGAGTTTTCGCTATCTGTCGACATCCGCCGAGACCCTCATATCCTAAAACTCATCCACGACAAGAACAATCCCGCCCCTGCCATCCCAAGACCCATCGCCTCTGCTTCCGCCCCCAAGAAAGACTCGCATTTCCGGAACCTCTTTGCTTCTCCCCGGAAACCAAAGGGTCCTACAGCTATGGTGGGTAAAGCCGGAAAGGAGCGCGCTTCTACCCCCGTCAAAGCCACTCTTGCGCCGCCTCAGCCTGCTGCGCCCAAGAAGGATACCATCGCCAACTACCTGCCCGAAGGCAACGGGAATGTGTCCACCATAGCCAAGACGCATATCCAGTTCAAGACTATCGCCAAGAACTGCGAAGCGAGGGTGCTCGAAATTCGGTACCCAATGTTTAGCATGTTCAAGGGCGACCCGACGGCGTCGTTGTCGTCGGCGCCATCCGGCTCTTCAGATGGAAGTTCGAGGAAGGCTTTGGCCAAGGTCACACTCCAAGTCTTCAGACTACCACCCATCCCCGGATTGATGCCCGATGAGCTACCGCAGTGCATCGATGACTGTCTGAGAGGGCTGCGGTATCATGCTTGGCATGAACACGAGTACTTTGAGGGTACCCTGACTCAGGATGGCGGTGATTGTAGCGTGAGTAATTATTATGACTGCGCGGACACAGCTCACGCATCTATAGCACCCCAAGAGGCGACTGTTCAAGATTCTCGGTGGCAATCTTATTGCTATCAATGAAGTGACCAAGAAGCAGGTTGCCAAAATCGACCTTCGTCAAGCCGTGTCCATCACCGATCTCAACACTGCCACTTGCGGGTCTCCCAATACGGTCGCTACTAGACGAGGTGACTACGACGAAGATGGTGGCTTTGGTCAGAGACCGAGGAGCTTTGAAATGCTATTCCAGGATGGAGAAGCTATTGTATTCATGGCAGACACGGACAAGGCCAAGGAAGGATGGTGAGTCTTCTTTTCTGATCACTGCAGCGCAGTCAGCTGATGGACTTTAGGATGGAAACCCTCCAGGGCCTCATCGGCAAGATCCCCGCCAACCCACTTTGGGCCGAACTTCTCACTCTGCGCATGCGAGAGAAGGCTGCGAAGCGCAGTGCCTCTAGCGGAAGTCTCGCTGCCAAGGAAGCGAGAAAAAGTGAAGGGAAAGCGAAAAGATAGTAGGATGTCTGAAGTTGGGTTATGACGTGTATAGGGTGTGGTTTCAAGTTGTCGTTTCTTTTTTTATCTATGTGTATATGATCGTTTGCTCGTATTTTTCCCCGTGCTTGAATACGATGTTCCTCTTGACAGACATTCATTTATCAGCATATCATAGTCGGTTTCTTAGTTTTTTTTTTTTCGTATTTTTCTCTCTCTCCCCAAGGTCCTGACTATTGGTGACCTGGGGTATTTGTCTATATATTTTGCGAAGGGTCAATTGATGCAGATTATCAGTAACATCTCCCAACTGCCAGTCGAATATGGCTACATGAATATGCTCGAAAGCGAGCAAGTTGCCCGTGGCCCCCCGAAGTTAGAGGGAGCAAAAACACAAAAACGACGGCACCCGGGATTCCCAGGTGGTCCCCCACCCTGGTACTAACCGAGCGCTCTCCTAGTTGACTTCGCGGATCAGACGGGACGCGGTACTTTGAGGAGGCTATGGCCGTCGATGTTGACTGGCAAAACTTATCGCATATGTCTCGTAAACACACTTTGAAGACGCAGTGTTTGTTGCGGTGACTTTGCTGTCACCTTTGTGGATAACGCTAACGGAGCGCCTCTCTTTACTCGTGCTGTCTTGTATAATCGTCATGCATTGTTTCTGACAGCACTTTCCGGCGAAACCAACTGACGTTATCAAAAATGGAGTTCAACAAACCCCAAAGACGGTTCGAATCCGAGAGATCATTCGTAATTCTGAAGTACTATAAAATCTACAACTGTTTACCAAACCTTGTACAACCCAAGTCAACGTAGCACAACGGCGCAATCCACCAATATATCTGAGACCCTTATATTTTGGCGTAAGTAAAAAAGACAAATATTGAAAAACTTGGAGCAAGTCTTCTAATGCTCCAACAACAACGACGATACGATAAGGCAACGATCCACGAAAGGACGTCCCACTCTACAGAGGGTATCGGAAAGACAAGTTCTTGTGCTACACTACTCATCAGCTCCCATCCAACAAGCTGTCCGACCGAAAATGAACTTACATCAGTCATATCCAAGAATGTCGGGTCAATCTCATCCCCATGCTCATCCACAAACTTCTCAATCTCCAGCTGGCCCGTCTCAACCAATCGGTCTCGGCGCTTGTTTTCGCGGTTGAGTAAGTAGCGAATGGAGAGGAGGATGAGGGGGTTGATCACATAGGTACCGAGGATAATGCCCCAGGGGAGGTAGTAGCGGGGAGAGTATTTGCTGCAATAAGTGTTAGCTTGGTGGCATAAAGGGAAGGATGGGGGCTTACGCTTGCCACATCTGGGGAGAGAGGAGGTTACCGAGACCTACGAGCCTGTCAGCTTGCCTCTGAGGACTGAAGAAAGGCATAAAACTCACAATAACCAATGAGCAACATGGCATTGGCAGTAGCCTTCTTGGTATGTCCCGTATTGGTCGTAGAGCACCAGGAGAGGGAAAGGACGAATCCGGGGGTACCCACACCACCGAGGTACATGGCAAACAGCAGCCCGCCCTTACACGACCACGGCAGCGCGACCATGAGAACGCCCGAGATGATGTTGGGAATAGAGTAGAAGGCGCCGACATACCCTCGGGCGTTTCTCCATTTCTTGACGACGAGCACGGATGAGTAGATGGTGAGGATTTCAATGACCCCGCTGACACAGCCGAGGAGGGTCGTTTGGGAAGTAGTAAAGCCGAATGAGTCTACTTTTTGTGAGTACGGAAAGACGTGGGTGAGAGGGGAGACGTACTGATGATCAAGCTGTTTTGGTTGGTCAACGAGTTGGCAACATTGTTACTCGCAGCAAAGATGGCAAAGGCCCAAGGTTTCCAGTCCTTCATCGCTTCCATGAATTGCTCGTGCTTCCAGGTCTTGTTCTCAATACCCGTACTCTTTCCCCTCAAACGCTCGATAGCAATAATCTTTTCCTCCTGGGTGAGGAAGTAGGCAGTCATGGGGTTGTTGGGGATGAAGAACCAGAAGCAGACGCCGACGACGAGGGTCATGATGCCGGTGATGAGCATGTAGACTTTCCAGGGGGAGATGATATCGGGGTTGACGTGCAAGACGCCGAAAGACACGATACCGTTGAAGATCTGGGCGGTACCGTTCATGAGGAACCACTGTGATGGCGTCAGCATCGGGCGGCAGGGAGGGGAGAAAGGGGACGCACATAGCCGACTCTCTGGGTGGCTTCTTCCTGAGTGTAGAACATGCTCGTCTGTAGATGATCAGCAATGTTTCTGGACGGTAGGGTGGGACTCACCAAGATAAGGAAACCAGCGGTGATACTACCTTCGCAGACGCCGAGGAAGAATCTGCAAACGAAAAGACCAGCAAAGTTTTTACAAGCAGCATGGCAGCAAAGAGCCCTAGTTGAGATGTCAGCTGTATTCAAGGAGAGATCGAAGGGGCGTACACGGCCCAGACCAGAATGTTGCAGGCCATCCATTTGCCGGGTGGGAACTTTTGGAGAAAGACGGATTGGGGCCATTCAAAGATGAGGTAGGAGAGGTAGAAGATTGTACCGAGCCAGCTGTTGTGCGCCGTCAGTATCGTCCAGAGGAATGATAGATGTTTTACACACTTGTACTGGGCTTGTGAAAGATTGGTATCCGTCTTGATGCCCAGGATGGCACTACTTCCGAGCGTCGTCTTGTCTGTAAACTGGACGAAGTACAATAACATCCTGATACCCATCAGCCCCTTACTCATCACGCGACGAGGACTCACATCAATGGCAGCAAGTGCATGTCACACTTTCTTCTGATCTTTGCACTCATCTCCTCTGTGATCTCTCCCTTCCACCCTGCAACGAAAGCCGCGGCTTCGTCGACATCGTGCAGCTGAACGTGGTGGGCCTGGCCGTCTTCATTGGAGGTCTCGGCGGGGAGTACGGAGACGTCGGCGTTGAGGCCAATGGCCTTTTCGTCGTCGATGTGCTTTTCAGACATTGCGGGTGTGGTGATAGATGAATGGGATCAGGAAGGGAGAGAGGCTTGGAGGTTGTATATATAGAGACTGATAGCCGCATGCCGGCTGGAACGATAAGGATGCCGTGATTCTCATTCGCCCAGCGCTGTGCGGGCTCCAAATGCTGACTTTGGCGCGAGATACCCATGACCCATGACGGCTGTTCCCGTTATCTCTCTCGGGAAACACGGTCAATTCCATCTCTCGGAGAAGTCCACCGCCCTATCAACCGTCGCTTGCCGCGCTTTCAGCGCTTCCCGAGTTCGAGGAGTCTTATCAGCCAGCGCCTTTTGCAAACGAGCTTATCAGAGTATGCACTCTCTGCCTGTAAGCCCTGTATGCCTCTTGTTGTAGGAGGCCCAGGAGGGGGCCCAATAGGCAGCTGGCTTTGGCTGGTTGAAGATCTTGGAGGGAACAGTGAGACATGGCACCAGCCACCCCCCGCGTCCACCGCTCTATTCTCCGGCTGCCCCACCACCCATGGGTCATGCCACCATGGGTGGCCCTTCTTGTCCACTGCACCAACAAGCGCCGGTCAACGTAAGCTAATTATTTTAGACGTCTGACTCCAAACCATGATCTGTGCCGCAGTTGCTTCCGTCCCAAACTCCCAATCACATCCAGACTCCAGTTCAAACCATCTCCGGTATCCTCCCCATCTCGCCTCTTTTCTCGCCTCTTTCTCGCCTATATCACTTTTGCAATCTTTTGACTCCCAGCATCATTCAGTGAAAACCACAACTCCCCTTGTCTCGCTCAGCTCTTCGACTCGTGCATTGCAGGAGAACTTGCTACCATGCAGCTGGTATAGCGATTCCATTCGTTTTGAACGAATATAGCGAGCAGCAGCGGGGGCACGCAAGTCGACAACTCATCCCATCACCTCTCAACAACCCTTGGCAGCGCCACAGTACTATTACTCACGAGCAATCAGCATATTTTGAGGTTCGGACATACGAGGCAATTGACTGAAAGTCCGCGAGCGATAGTGGACCTCTTTGATCATCTCGAAATACAAGTGAGCTCTTTCAAACGCCACCGAACCCCAGCTGACCACAATTAGCCCCAACCGACCCACTATCTCCTCGGTCATACTCACCAGCGGTCGGACCTTGCACTCGCATGTCCTCACATGACCAATGCACACTTCACAACTTTGCACTGCGATACTGCTGATCATGATGGATGACCATTGATCGTCCATTCATATTGAGCAATCTATTGGCCTTCGTCTCCCCACCGCCGCAATAGCAAAAGGATGTCTGTCCGATAATACCCACAAGCCTTGCCATTCGTGGCACAACTATCGTCAGGCGAATAACTCCTCCAAGTAAATCAGAGCGTCAGAGAAAGGAGCAGGTCGGAATGGTTCTCGCGGGAGGTAGGCTCGGGCTGAAAAGGAAGTCGCTCCGGAGGACAGAGTTCAGGGGGGCAGTGCTTTGACTGGGTGGAAGTCGTCAAAGCAGAAATGAGCGATTCGCTGATTGGGCTGGAGCTGAAATCATGTAGCTCCTACCCAAACCTCAGTTTGACGAATAAGGACTGCGGGCTCTCACGCCGTCCAAGTGGTCTTGCGGCGTATATAAACACCCCGCTGAGAAACGCTCGTCAACTGATTTCATCCCCTCTTCTCAGCGTTATTTTTCACGATGGACAGCCACTCATCCCGCGGCTACCCGAGCCGCCCGAGCATCTCCACCTTCCCTTCACGAAAATACTCTGCCGCAGCCCCTTCGGCATCCCCATACAGCCCCAGCGACATGTTGCACCCCGACTGGCGGAGCGGCCGCGGGACCCCGAGCGGTTCTGGCTCTGCTGCCAGACCCCACCGTTCCCGAGCCAACTCGGGTGACAACTCTGCCTCGGACGGCAGTTCGGGGCGGAGAAGCCTAAGACAGGGGGTGACGGAGAGCCCTGTTTCGCGTATGCCTTCGCCAAACTCGAAGGTTCAGAGAGATTGGATGGTGGTGAGAAGTATGACGGACCATTCTTATCGACTGGAATTGAGGCCGAGGATGGATTATACGCCTGAAGAGCTGTTGTTGACCGACGTGTATGTCTGTCGAACGGTGGAGGATGGCAAGGAAGTATGGCATAACGCTTGCAAACGTACCGTAAGTACTCTCTCTTGTATGGCACCACAGACTGATGAAGGAAATAGGACGGATTCTCACCATCCACGTGCGACGAAGGCTACCACTCCATCAACCCGTCGACCGACGTCGCCACCACCCCCATCTCACTGACCGACGAATACCCCTACGCCATGTCCATCCTCCCTTGGGGCCACCCCGACATCAACTTCGACGATGAAGTATTCTTCCGCGACGGCGCTTCCGCCCAGGCGTTCATTGACGCCAACGCCGTTGCCCGGGCAGAAAGTCTGGAGCGGTATGAAATCTGGCAATCCCGTGCGGCGTATAGGCGGAGTTGGCAGAGGCTCGATGTAGAGTCACGCGCTTTCGCCGAGCTGAAAAGTCGGATAGCAGAGCTGGACGGGCATTGTATTAAAGCGACCAAGGTTGTACAAGAGGCGCATGAAAGACTGCGGGGCCAGCGCTTGACGATGGACCAGCCCGATACAGAGACCGAGATCAACTTGTCGGCAGCGGGGAGCAACCTGGATGCTGCGGAACAGTACTTGGGCGATTTAGAGGTTGTGAGAGACAGGATCGGGGCTCTGAAAGGAGGGAGGGAGAGTGCGACGGACAGGCTGAAGTCGATACATCAAGCATCCTCCCTCGCCGTCGACAACTTCCGGACGCTCTATAATGGTGTCAAGTCTGAGATCAGTAAAGCTCAGCGGACGAACTATTCCCAAAAAATGGCTGCGGTAAGCGTTTCGGAGGTGAGCTTTGACTTGCTGCATGGACGACTGGATGGGGTGAAGAATGCCAAAGTGCAGTTGCAAACCCAGCTGGAGGAGCTAGAGCGCGAGTTGAAGCAAAAGAAGACGGATCAGGCGTCGATGACGAACACGGCCAGGTCGCAGGCTCTGGCGAATAAGGACCTGGTCAAAGCGTTGAAGCGGGCGGAAGCGCGTGCGAGCAGGGCGGAGGACGAGGCGTACGAGCTGGGAGGTGGTGGAGCACATGGTAGGAGCTCAGGAGAGTATAGTACGCGGTACGATAGGTGAAGGTCGCGGGGAAGAGACCGTTCTGCAAGGGGGAGGAGTAAGGGCCGGTCGCGGGGGCGTCGTGCCCGGTCACACAATAAGAGCAGGCGAGGGAGTCATGGTCACTTGGGATCTCTGGCGACGCAGGTTACAAAGCAAGTGTTCAATTGGCTTATACAGGAATTCTGAACGTGACTAGAGAAAAAATGCATTTTTTTGGATGAAGAGCGTGCATTTCACAACCATGAAAAGGATGAAACCCTGAACCCAGTAGATTGGAGTGACCAAAGAGCCCGAAAAAAAGGGACAACTTGCGCGAGAGCAAGGCATTAGGACGTAAAATGGAAAGCATATATTTTCGTAAAACCAAAGAATACAAGGATTGAGAGGGATTATTGTGAAAAGTTATATGTTGATGTAGTGGAGACAGGGATGGGTGGGACTAATGATGACAACAGATACAGATGTAGAGCTAAAGATTTGTAAGCGGGTGGGGTGTGTGAGGGCAGGGGTAAGCTCACGAGATGGGTCTCCTTTGATGAACTTCGACTCGTTCTTTTGACGCCGACTCCAGCAGAAACTCGTTCGTGTGACGCCAACTCTAGCTGTGAACAGTCAGCGTAAAACTCGCACGATCATCACGTGTACTCACATGTTGAATGCACTCGAATCTTACAAGCATACTGACGCTCACTCCTTGACCGTCTCAACACTATCCCCGCTCTCAATAGTCTCCAGAGGCGGTCTCTCGAATACCGTTTCCAGCCCGAGCGATTCAAGCGGTGCCACCTCATCGCCTCCAATCACCGACATAGGGATAGGAAGCGCCTTTTGCACCTCACCTTCCATAGACATGGCCACTACCGGGCTCTCCACTTCTTCCTCTCCTGCCCAGAGCCCTACGACAGCCGGCTGGTCAAGCCGAGGAACTCGCGGTAAAGGCGTTTCCGGCTCATCTTCATCGCTCGAAGTCGTCGACGACAGTCGCCCATGCGATGATGATCGGGGAGAAGGCGGAATACCAAGAGGCGGTGGGAGGTGGTGGAGCTGCCGCGTTCTCGGGGAGGAAGATAGGAGGGATGACAGCGGTCGGCGGGGGGCGTGGGAGATGGAGGTGGAGCGGGAGACTTTGGTGATACGTGGAGGAAAGGCGAAGGATGGTGAGATGGCAGGGAGGGAAGGGCGTCGCTCGGGATTGAATGTGGGTGGAGGTACGACTTGTAGCGGCGGGTTGGCCGCAGAGTCAGAGACGACGCTCTGCCGCCGTTGGTACAGCGATGCGGCAGTGATGACCGGCCCATGGTTGACGCTCTTGGACCTGTTTTGCAAGTCTTGGAGGGGCAGACCGAAAAGCTGCGCGGCGGGGAGCGAGCCACGGCGCGCGAGGAGAGAGGGTGGGATGGGGGCAGGCATGGCTTTTTGTTGGTACATGACTGCTGCCGTGCGGTGTCTGGGAAGCGCCAGAGGGGGAGGGAGGGGCGTGTGGCAGGGGGTGGTATCGGCGCTGACTGGCACCGTCCCCTCCACCGTGGCAGAGTGCACAATGGACGGGCGCCGGGCCGTGGGGGGAGTGGCGACGCTAGAATTTGTGCTGCCCCTGCGCGCTTTGGGGGGCGATACGGGCTCAGAGTGCAGGGAGTTCTGAGAAGAGATGGACAGCGGCCGGCGCGTGCGGAAAGACGAGCTGCGAGGGGAGCTGTGGGTGGGGCTGCTGCTGCCGACGACGTCTGGGTACTCGAAGGGGCCCTGCTCTGCGACGGGGGTGCCGAAAAAGGGCTGGGCGGGACAGTCGCCAAAGACGAACTCCTCGTTGGGGAGGACGTCGAGCGAGGAAGTAGACCTGGCCGGTGGCGAGGTGATTGGGGGAAAGACGAAGGTGTTGAAGGCGGGGGACGGGGCTGGGAGGGCGATGAAGGCGGGGGCCTTGGCTGTGGTGCGGGACGGGGGCAGGATCATGGCGGTGTGCTCGTCCTGGGGCGTTATGGGCAGCGAGCGCGGCGAGTCGGGGAGCGAGGGAGCAGACATGGCGAGATGGAGAAAGGAAAAACCAGCGAGCCCGTTTTAACATGTGCACGGCCGCCATGGCCTCTGCGCCGGCCAATCTCAGGAACAGCGCCGATCTCGGTCCCTTTTCCCTCGAGATCGCACGGACTCTGTTTGTTTAATCCCCCTGGGCCCCCTGCGCGGCACTCGGCAACCGGCGCCAACCTTCCATCCCGCTCATTCATGCTGCATCTGCAATCCAAGAGATCTCTCCGTGCAGGCGTCGCTCTCGGCATCTCTGCCGGCATGTCTCAAGCCATCCCCCCGCTGCGACTTTGTACGAGATCTCGCCTTTTTTACTTGTCAACAAAATTCCCCGCCTGATTGCTCGTCTATTGCTGCCAACTCTCGCGTCGGAATCTTCTCTGTCATTCACATTCCGCTGGGTTAATCACAAGCCGAGAAGTGCGAGTGCATGCTTAAATGACGAGTACTCGGCGCCATGCAATTATCTGTACTCTGTACAGCTGCACCGGTACCTATCCTCCGTGTCTCTCAACGGGCCACGGGCAGCGTACGGGACGGCCTCCGTCGCGTCTCGCCTCCTCGCCTTTTCGCCTCTCACCTCTCGCCTCTTTCGCAGATCCCTAAGTCTTGTGCATTATGTAATCTCTTCCGGCTCCTTCCTTATCTCAGCTCCCATCTCCCATAAATCCGGAACAATCCCTTATCAACGAAGTATAGTTTTCGATTGCTATGGCATCGCATTGCACGTGCTGCAAGAGGCCCCACAGTCCTACAGCCTACAGGCAGAGAGGCTTGACGTGCTCTTGGTGCATAAGTGTCGCTTAATTAGCTTGGCGCTGGCGCTGGGCAGAGGAATGATAAGAGATCTAGCATAGCCACTTTGACAAGTCGTATGTCTTTATTGCTTGCTTGTCGGCTTTCTTGCATGTGGAACTCTCGGCTCGGTCCGGCTCTATGGATAATCCTTCGGAGTCTTTTCTGTTCGTCTTGTCTTGTCTTGTCTGCACGTTTGTACGGGGCCCGGTAGTCAAGATCGTCCGTTCCAGCCACAATGCCAGTTCGTCAGTCCACGTCGTTCCAATGCTGGCGAGCGAGATGGTCCGAGCTAGCGACGTTTATCCTCTCATGATCACATGTTCTTGTGGGGCCAAGTAACAAGAACGTGCATAGAGTACTATCCGACGCGCGCTTGATGTTCGGTCAGCCAACGGTTCAACGATTGAACACGAAGGCCCTCGCGGACCAGCTTCAGACCACGAGGAGAAGGAGCCAAGTCGGTTTTGCTCTGATTTTCAATTTTGATGACTGCTATGAAGTCTTGTGTGAACTTGTGAACTCGTGTGGGTTTATGGAGCCGGGACTAGAGAGCTGGAGATGTACTCTACACCTCGGGAGCCCGAAAGGAAGGAAAGAGACCCGCAATGTTGATCGAGCACCGAGTACTGAGCACTTTAGCTTTTGAACACTGCTGGGTATTGAGCATTGAAAAGCGATAAGCTGGATGCATCAAAGGCAGATTAAACCTCCACACTCTCTGGCACGTTTGCAGGCTCTATGAAGATGTTGAGGACCGGAAGACCGGCAGCTCTGGAGGGAGAGCCCCGGCAGGTTTTTCGGCAGACCGGCACAGATTTCAGAGATCAACGTTCAACGTTCAAACGTTCAGACGTACACAATGTACGAGATATACGAGAGAACTATCAGCGAGCCCGACGAGCCCGACGAGAATATTTGTCAAAAAATGTGGCTTTACGTACCGATTACCAGAGGATCCCGAGGCAGATACCGCAGAGCGCAGATGTCAGAGACCAGAGGCCCCAGACCCAGCCAAGAGATAGCGGCGGCAGCTGATGCTAAGAAAATGGCAACACGTAAAAGAGCGGAAAAGGGTACCTAAGGCGGAAACACGGAAATACGAAAAAGAGGCCCAAGAGTATGTAAGTGTACCAATTCACGGGAATCTCGCTGGGGACGTGGATATAGACCTTTGTTCGTGCTGTGGCTAAATTGCCACGTACGACTCCCTTTTTGTTTGGTTTCTTCCACTTCTCGTCGTGCGACTCGTATTTCTCGCCTTTCCGCCTTGCACCCGTGCTCCGCTCTAATCGCTTTTCACCCATATACTGCCATGTAGTACGTGGTAACACACCATTGGAGCTCTGGTGTGGGAATTGGACCCCATCTCGTTATACGGCACCACTTGGTGCTACTCGGATATGAAAATGGGAAAGATGGGTTAGCGTAGGGCGTGTGGGAGTGATATTCATGTAGTCGTGTCTAGTGCATAGTACCTGCGTGTATATGAAGGTCTGACGAGAGGTTGACGGCATGATGTAGCAGGAAGTGGTACCCGCCCCGCCGAGCTCGGCTCTCACCCTGCGGGTTGTTAACGTAAGCTGCAAGTTGACATCTGACATCTGCCTCTGACAGCTGATACAGCTGATCTACTGATGCAGCTGATGGGACCTTCTCTGGAATCAACATGCGCGCCGGAATTGGAACCAACGTTAGTTCTCTCTCTGTGCACATGCTTCCCCTCGATTCCGGAGGAAGAATGAAGAAATGAAGAAGTCGTACTCTTCACCAAGACAAGGCCACGTGCTCTGTCGATTTTGCTGTCAATGAACTTCGTAGACGAGATGCTCTGGGCTCTGGACGGGTCTAGAACAAGGATGTGGGAAGTGGCTAATGCATACGAGGGTCTCACCTTCTAGTCGAATATAGTATATGGACGTATGGTGATAGTCACCAGACCAGATAGACATGCATGGCGGCCGACGGGACGGCTCCTCGTTGTGCATGGAACCCAACGAATGGCCAGTTCAGCGGTCGGCAGCCTGGCAGCCTCGGCGGCATAAAGAGAGAGGACAAAGGACAAGAAGGCTCTTCCAAGCATGCACATGATGCCAATTGCCAGCTGCAGTGGACGCTCGGGCATGAAGCCGCGAGGAGTCAGGTCATATCATCACTCGACTTTCGTCCGCGCCACGAATTAACCCCCACATGCATTTCCATTTCCAGACCTTCTAGCCTCTCTTAGTCCCTATGGAAGAAGGCCAAGAAGGGACGAATCCCCATTCCAAATTAGCTGCTACCACTCATTCCTCCATGCACCTCGAGATCTCAATAATCTCAGATCTACACTTTTTGCGCCGCGCCAAAAAAATGAAATTGATGAAAAAAAGAATTCCTTTCTTTAATTTAGTTGCTTCCCGAATGGTTGGACAGCCGAGACATGAAGATGATTGTCTCATATCTTCACTCACCGCACTCACCGAGTCACCGAGGGGGTCACCCAGGCAGATCAATGAGCGCACCGTGCACCGGGATCACCGGCGACTGCAAAGGTAATAGGGGTGCGATACTACAGAGTGCCGAGGTGCGCGAGGTGGTAGATAGCAGACAATATGGTCACTGCACCCTGGCCCCTGCCGGCCCCTGATGGACGTTGTCGACGCTTTTGATAATGCAAGAAGATGACAAACCGCCGTACCAGCCAGTGGCCAAATCCGGTCGACCTTTTTTCGTAGCAAAGGTCTTGGGTCACATGCGTCAGAATACTGCTGACCAAACCGTTGCATTTGAGATCCATCTACAAGTATCTGACGAACCAAGCCGCCGGAAGACGTGTTCCCTAAGCCCAAGTCTCCTCATGAGATCCATCGCATGAGTAATGTACACGCAAAGAGCCTGCCGTTTTCCGTATGAAGACAGATCTCTGTACTTTGTCGGATGAATTGTATAGGGACCATAGGGGCCGGCTGGACCGGCTGGACCGGCTGCAGTCGAATGGTTAGGTGACATCCTGCTGCAAGATGACATGTCATTCCGTCGGGGCTCGGGTCTCTACATACTTCCCGCCGGCAGCGACCAGGTGCCGGTCGTACATGCATAGGTACAACCCTCAGCCGTACAAGATCTGACGTGTCGACTGATGACAGTCAGCCAACTTGTGGCTTTTTTGCTATCTCTTACTGGCTAGCTACTGCCGGCCGCCATGTGGTCCGGCGGGAGTCTATCCATCCATATGCAACCTGTTCAGTTCTACCGATACTGCTCGAACGAGGTGCATCAACCTTGTACGTCCATCATCACCAGGAGAGGCAGCTGCTGACGATAGATCTTCTCCCTCGAGCTATTCCTGGAGCTCTTGGACTTTTCGACATTTCACTTTCGAGAACCTAAATAATCTGCCTTACGCCTTCTTGATCGCTCACTTGCTGCTCCATCTGTCAACAAATGAACGAGATCTTGAAAGTGGAAAAAAGATCTAGCAACGCAGGGTTCTAGAAATGAGAGAAGCGAAGATGTCACCGTCCGTCGTTAGCCGTCTCTGCGGGCCATGCAAGGCCATGCCGGCGATGCCGAGGCAGGACAAACAGAGTGCCTGATCGAAAATTCTCCTCCCGTGCCCTCCAAGGCCTGGACAGTCACGGAGATCGCCGCTCCCCCTCCTGCATTACATAAGCGAGGACTGAACGCGTCGCGTCGTGAAGTGAGTTGACGTCAACCGGTTGTACATTATCTGCATCTCTGACTTGTTTTGATTTCTTTTCCTTTCCATTTCGGCCACGGCTGGTTTACAATGCCCACCCCCCTCACCCGCAGCACTGCCGACTCGTGAGCACCCTCCGCCCTCCCCTCCCTGCCCCGCTCACCCCCGCAGCTTCAACTCGGCAGCCACCATCGTCCCCGACGACCGCAGACCCACCCGCCTCACCCGCTCCTCCGCCCGCAACAACCCACCCGACCATACCCTCTCCCTCAGCCAATCCTCTTCCCAGGGGTCCGCGAGCCACTTGTCTGCCGGGAGACAGCTCGCTCCCGCCAACAGCTTTGAGCGACGGATCAATAAAGACTTGGGGGTCCATGGAGGGGACGACGGGATGATTGGGCTGTTGCAGACGCAGGATGTGCCAGATGGGTCTGGGTGGAGTTTTGTAAGTCTTGTCCCAGACTCTGTAGGGATGGGCTGACGGGAGGATCAGCTGCGGGATCAGTCACAGTCCCAAAAGACGGAACAAGACGATATGGCCCTCGACCCCCGCTCCTCCCCTCCTTTAGCATTCGACCCCACTATCCTCTCACACGAGCAACGTCACCCAGGCTACCGTCAAACCTCCTACTCGACTGCATCCGTCGCATCGTCCTGCGACAATTCAGATCTCTACTCGACGACGGATATCGACACGGACGACGAAAGCTCGAGACGGCCGTCCATCTCACATATGGGTGATTTAGGATTGGGAGATATCAGTCTGGATCATAATGCGCTTCTGTCGGCACTGCCCAGTCCGGCGGCAGAGATGAGGTCGCCGTTGGGCTATCGCGCGGCAGTTTCTCCGCAGGATATACACCGGGACTCGCCGGTGGCTGGGTATCATTCGCCTGAAGCGACAGACTTGCCGCAGATGCCTAGAATACTATCGGGGCCGACGAGGACGGGGAAACGGGCACCGAGGGGGAAAGCCGCTAAAGATGATGAGATTACTCAAGCCGAAAGACTCGAACGTGAGTCTCCTTTCCTTCTTCCGGCTTCATACTGATATTTTTCTCGTAGATCGTCGAGATATAAATCGCCGCTCGGCTCAAAAACACCGTGCCCGCCGGAAAGAAGAGTCTGAAATCATGGCCAAGCTCGTCGCTAGTAAAGACGCAAGGATCCGGCAGCTGGAGCACGAGTTGGCGGCGGAGAAGGCGAGGACGGAGCAGTTGAGGAGTATGTGGAATCAGAGGTTTGCGAATAACGGCCCGGGGATATAGGGGAGTCGTTTAGGATTGATGTTTTGGTGAGTCAGTTATAAGAGGAAGGGAAGAAATGCTGATGAGGTGTGTAGGTGGTGTATATTTCTGTATTTGATTTCTACTTGTACAATATTTCTATCCAAGCTTGCTGCCACCACCCTGCTCCCTGCCCTCCTTCCCCATCCACTACCACATCTCTACGAGCGTCGCTCTCGGCCCATACCTCTTGGGCTTCCGTTTCGGTCACGTCTCTATACCCCAGCTTGCCAACCCCACTATATTTGTATAGTAACTCCCAAAGACGGGATGCGCAGTGTTCCATACCGGATAGACCAATGCGCAAGAGAGCCACAGAAGGGTCAGAGAAGAAGTGGAACCAGGTAAATTGTGTAAACAGTCTTGTATAAAAGTCTCGGCGTCCCTAATAGGTTAGTCTCAAAGCGCGGTTGCTCGCTCCTTTTACTCGATTATCAGAACCAATGCAAGATGCAAAAGTACCATACCAAAAGACGATAAGACTGATATGCCCCGAGGAACGAAGGAGGAAGGATGATATGACGTGTCTGTATGCAGATATGCAAGTCTCGGGGATCTTCAAAAGGCGTTATGCCTCGGATATCAGCCTCATCCTCCTCCGTCGTGTCTCGCGTGTCGACGGCTCTGAACATTGTAAAAGGAACAACAACACGATTACACGATGTGTTAGAGAACGAGGTACACGGTGTGTGGTTGTTTTCTGTCAGGCTGGCATTTCGGCTTTTACACCGCGAGCCCATTATTAACTATGGAAGAGCCATACTTAGACCATAGACCATAGAGAAGATCGGCGTACGATCACCCAACCCCCATCATGCCCCAATCATATGTACTGGGCCATGAGAGCGTCTCCGGTCTCTGGTGCAACCTCGTGGTGAGGCTCGTGGCTCTGGCTCGTGGTGATGGGACAATCTGTCGTGTCGCCCGACAAGACAACAACAAAACGGCGTACGGCAAAAGCGAGGCGAGGCGAGGCAATCTGTTGTGTAGGATTGATAGAAGAGGGGTGGTGGTGTGGGAGTGGGATTTGTTTACATATGGAGAGAGGGCGGTCTTGTTCCTCTTGTTTTACCTTTCAGCCTTTCAACTTGTTCGTCCAGTTTCCGTTTCAGAATCGTATATCGCCGAAAGGGAAGCACGTCCACACATGGCTTTGACTGAATCACCTCCACATCAAGCGGTGGGAGCACCACAGTATCACCTCGTCCTCTGTTTGACTGTAAGAGGTTTGGAGGCGGTCGTATACGACGACGCTCTTGACGTCGTGGGACGATCAGAAGCTTGTTATGGTACACATGTAAGAGTTTGCTTCCAAGAGACGCTGAAAGCGACGTCGCTGACTCTTGTCGCTCAGACGCAACCTGCTTTGCCTTCTTCGGCCTATGAACCGACATGCATAGCCGAGCTGTACAGCCTGATCACAGCCTGATCGGTCAGTCATCAGCCATACCCCTTCCTCTTCCCATTGACGATAGCTAACAAAGAGATACAGACTCGGTCGTGACGGCCTTGAGACACAATATCGACTTGTCCAAAGTCTCGAGCATCAGCGGTATCCTTTCCCTCCACCCTGCCCCAGTTTGCAAGAGACGACATTCCACTCGGATACCTCCTCTCTGGATACTTTACCGATACCGCGAAAGTCACTCTTCAAGAACTTCAATTCTCTGGGATCCAGTACGATGCAGGATACAGTCTGCGGTGCACGAGAGATCCTGCAGAAGTCATTGGCAGAGTCAATCAACGAGGTGTTGAGATGGGATTACCAGCAAGCTGCGTGGTTTTGCCTTGTACGTCGTATCCCCGTCGGAATGAGTGGACAGAGACTGATATCATGGAAGAACAGTCGTCCCTTCATCCCTTATCCCCCTACTGAATCCTTGGACCTTTCAAGGCAGTCACGAGGTTCATATAGTTTTTGAACCCGATTGTGATACCACCATTATCCGGCTTCGGGATACTACTCCTTCGGTCGGTCTGGATAAGCAGATCGCAAAAATTGGCGGTACCCTTGTCACACGGGTCCATGACCTCTAGCGATGCCCTTGTAGTAGTCGAGGTGAGTCGAGATGGCTTGAGGACCATGAGAGGTAGCCAAGCCAATGCCGGAGGACATGGACGCTTGTGTTGAAGAGAGACAACAATATTTGATCGACAGAGTATCTAAAAGCTATGAAAAAGTGTGGTATTTATATCCAGCCTCAAGCCTACGTATCCCTTTTCCATGACCTTCCAGTGTTTTCTACAGTGGCCAACAGAGTGGCAAAGATTATTCTAGATGCTTCGAGATATTTCTGGGTCGAGTGGCGACAGCCACGTGACAGTCGGCCCATTCTCTATGCGAGCGTCCCTGCGAGCGAAGTATGATTGAGGGTATATTGGAGAAGGGTAGGGATAGAGGGGTGTGGATGATTGTAAAGAGTGTGGTGTAGATACTCATCGACCGTAAGTCAAAGAGTGAAGATAGTTGGTAAAAGAGTGTCGCGCGTGTATCGTTTTTGCTGAACAAGCAAGGACGATAGAGACCTGAGCAGGGTGTGTCGTATCGATTTTGGTAGAAGCGGGGACGATAGAGACCCGCTGTGAACTAGAGGTGGTATCGATTTTGGTAGCGGGGGCGATAGAGACCCGCAGGGGAGAGGTGGTATCGATTTTGGTAGCGGGGACGATAGAGACCCGCGGAGGAGAGGTGGTATCGATTTTGGTAGCGGGGACGATAGAGACCCGCGGAATGACTACTACAAGGTATGGTCGATCAAATATACTGTCACACGGGTCCATGACCTCTAGCGATGCCCTTGTAGTAGTCGAGGTGAGTCGAGATGGCTTGAGGACCATGAGAGGTAGCCAAGCCAATGCCGGAGGACATGGACGATTGTGTTTGAAGAGACAACAATATTTGATCGACAGAGTATCTAAAAGCTATGAAAGAGTGTGGTATTTATATCCAGCCTCAAGCCTACGTATCCTTTTTCCATGACCTTCCAGTGTTTTCTACAGTGGCCAACAAAGTGGCAAAGATTATTCTAGATGCTTCGAGATATTTCTGGGTCGAGTGGCGACAGCCACGTGACAACCCTCGTCCAACCCTTCTCGTTCGGCGTTGAGGCAGAGCCAGAGAACGAGGTGTGGCTCGTTTTCAAAGACCAGAAGTGGCTAGACATCAGGCGTCGGGTGAGAGACAAGTATTGTAACGGCAGGTAAGTCTTACTTTTTCTCAGTGATACTCGGTCTGAGACTCGATTTTAGATGGGACCAGTTCTCTTACCTGGCTGCTATGCTCCCCCCAGGGGGAACGTTGAATCACGACGACAAAGGCTACTGTATACCCTGGTACGCCTATCTTGCACATTGTAGGACATACAATCGATCACCGCACAGGCCATTCCCGTCATCACCATTCGCCCCTCAAAACATCCTCCGTTTCGAAAGGGGTCAAGCCGTATGTCAATTCGCCGACCCACGAGCCGATATCAAATGTGTCTCTGAGGGGCAGGTGATGGAAACCAAGGGCAGGTGGGAGGCGGTTTGCGGGGGGGTAAATGTGGGGTTATGGAAGAAGGGGAGGGTTGTTGTGAGTGGGTTGAGTGATGAGAGGTACGTCATTTTCCCCCGATTTGAGCAGCAAGTTGAACGATGTTATAGCGCTGCTTTACCAAGTATACTGGGGCATGTGTTTGACCTCCCCATGTATTCCTGCTCGACCGCCCCATCCCTGTTGTCAGTTGTCCTAGCGAGTCATGCTACCAACGCGGCATCAAACAGGACCTTTTCAACATACGCTCGTGATCTTCTGAAACGTCGATCAAAGCTGGCGATTGCATCCGCGCAAAACGATATCGAAGGGACCCCAACACCCCGAGTCTCATTCATTCCCATACTCGAAGAAACTGCCCTCGCGACAGGGCATGTACCTCTCAGCCCGGCTCGTACACCTCCTTCCTTCAGTTCAACACGCTCGACCCCATCTCTATCATCCTCCATCGCCACCAGCATCTCATCTTCATCTTCTTCCTCATCATCATCATCTTTAGTCAGGCATACGTCAGACGGAAAGTCTATACCAAAGATGCTCGAGATCGTTCCCGAAGAGGAGCACCTTCCCGCAGGAGAAGAAGAGGGAGGAGAAGAGGGTGGACTGAAGTTGCTTTTCGCGCCGGATGGGGATACCTACCCAAGCAAGATGTATACTTCCATGCGATCCGAATATGAGCGACTTTCGTACGTCCTTTCCTTTCCCCCTGCTTTGTAGATACAGAGACTGACTGCTGGTCACAGGCTTATAGTCAGAAACTCTCTCTTCATCCCGCCATCTCTCCCATCCCTGCGGCAATCGCCTCGTTCTTCTTCTCCTTGGCAAAGACATGACCCGAGACGGGCGGGGATGCCTGTACAGCCCATGAGTGGGTCGAAATGGGTACAGCCTGGAAACCAGGTCATTCTCGATCAGGGCGCTTTGAGTGGAGGAAGATAGCCTGTGCATCGATAGAGTTGTTCGTCGATAGAGTTGTCCATCAATAGAGTGGGGAAGGAGATGGGGTCGTCTGCTGTGCATGATTGGGAATAAATAGGCAGAAGGAGGATTGGTTGGAGAAGTGCACATCTTGGAGGGTCTACTCTACTTGGCCTCGACATGCAGCATGTCGACCAGCCTCGAATCGAAATGTTGAGTGATAACGTGAACAAGCGCAGCATACTTCTGGTCGGTGTTTTGCATTGCATCATCTTCATGCACTGTACGAGCTGTATACGACTGAGTTCTGATAAAATTTTGGATTCATGAATATTTCTTATTGCAAAAAGAAAGGCGGAGAACATGATGGGTTTTTGGTTGTGTGATAAATGAATCGAATGAATGAACGAAGGTATATGGATGTTGTACTCGTATTGAAATGAAGTGCGGCATAAACAATCAACTATCCCCCCCCCCCCAACGAGAAGAAGATAGTCAACGGGCAAATGAAGCGAGAGAGAGAAAGAGAGAGAGAAAGACGTTAGAAAGAAATATCAAGAAAGTTGATCGTTGTCATAAGAAGCTTTTAGTTAGAGGGCATAAAGCATAAAAGGACATGAAAAGAGAGTGAAAGAAAAGATCTTCTGAAAGAAAGAAGAAGGGGGGCATGGACGTTAAAACCTCGAGCGAGTTTTTTTGAGAGTCATGGCACACAAATTACGCGTTCAGAAAAAAGTGTTACAGTCGTATTTGTAGAGAGAGCAAGGTAAATTAGGGATGAGAGGTCGTTTGTTGAAAAAAATTGTAGGTCGTGCTCGTTACGATACGTCATCTACCATCTCTTATCAGCCACCACTCCTTCCAAAAACACAAGGTGGGACTTACGCCAGAAAGGGAAAAGCAAAGGTTTTTTCCCCCAAACAACTACTCTATATCCGAAAGGACACCCCTCCTTTAGATTTCTAAACTCTCCCTCGTCCTCATGATCCCCTCATCCCCACTCCCACTCTTCACACTCCCACTATCCCTTCCACTACTCACACTCCCCGGCCCTTCGCCGATCGTGCCCGCCGCTTCCCGCCCCAGATCCCGGGGGAGAGAAGAAGACAGGCCGGCGCCGGCGGCGGAGGCGCTGGCACTGTTGCTGCTGCTGCCTGCGCTGCCGGAGGAATGGGGCAGATGAGGCGGGCCCATCATGCCCCTGCTCGCTACCGGCCTCAGAGTCTGGGAGAACCCTCGGGACTCGCCCGCCGGTCCGCGGGGGTTCCGCAGCGGTTGCGTCGCATTATTATTGTTCGGCAGGGACTGAGCGTGGGAGAGGGAAGAGGACGAGATGGGGGAGAGCAAGTCTTCAGGCGAGGCGCGGCCGTTAGAGTGGTGTGAGGAGAATGCTTGGTTGGATTGCTGCGAGAACGAGTGGGAGTGGGAGTGATACGGCTGGCCGCTTACCCCGCTGATACTCGAGACAGAGTGGCCCTTGTTGTGCATGCCCACCATCCCAGAAGGAAGAGGCGGCACAGGGGGGATATCGATAGGATTGCCAAACAGGCCGTTGAATGCACCGCCGTATTGAGGGTTGGACGGCTGCTGACGACTCGCCTGACGACCACCCACAGCGCCCATCGACGCATACTCGCGCCCCGTCTCGCGGAAATTGCCCGAACTCCTCTGCGGCGTCAAACTCCGCGACGGGTCGCGCGACACGACAGGACCATTGAAACCGCGCAGATCCGGCATGGACTTTTTGTACCGGAGGTTCGGCGAGACTTCGGGTGCGGAGGACTGGGGAGAAGGGTCGTAGTAGTTGTTTTGGAGGGATGTGGAGGAGTGGAGTTGCGGCCGGGGCTGGGGTTCGCGGCTGACTACGACGGTTTGGTCGTCTTCGCCTCGCGTACGGCTCGAGAGGCCGAGTCGCTGTGCGACGGAATGCACAATCCTCCTCTCCTGCGGGGTCAAGTTTTTGGAAAACGCCAGCTCATCCCGCATCCTATCCTCTTTGAAAACCAAGACGCGAGAGTAGATGTCGAGCGTCGCGGGGTCATTCATATCGAGCGGGGGGAGATTGTCGGCAGATGAAGTCGACGCCGCTGACGCGGAGTGGGGTGGCGACTGGTCATACGGAATGGGGGGCACCTGCTGATGACGGATAGGCAGGTTGAGAGGCGGCGGCATCTTTTCCCTATCAAACTGCAGCGACCGCATCCTCTTCAACGCCTTTTCCCTCTCAATCTTGTCCTTTTCTCCCGGCTGCAGCACTTTTTTATACTCGACGCGCAGCTTTCTCCCCTGGACGTCGTAGCCGTTCAGCGCGGCGACGACACTCGCGGCCTCCTCGGGTGCCCTAAAGTTTGCAAACGCCAGACCGCGGAATACGCCATTATCATGGTGATAGTTGAACGCATAAGGCAGAGGCGCGCCGAGCGACTCCATCACGCCCAGCAGGGTCTCACGTGTGACGGCAAAGGGAATGTTTTTAATGACGATGGCGGTGGGGATCACGTCGTCGTCTTGATGAGGGATCGCAGGCATCGCATAGCCGTTCCGCCATCCGTTCGCCTGGCCCTGTGCCTGCTGCTGCTGTGCGCGTCTCTGGTCTACGGGGTAGCCGCCGTTGAAGCCCATCGGGGGATAGCCCATCGGGGGTGGGGAGGGCGTGTCGACCATGCCGAGGGGCATCCCGAATGAGCCGTCGGGGTAGGACGGCTGGGGATGGTAGGGGTAGGCCGAGGCCTGGTGGTGGTTGGACGAGGCGGTGGTGGGTACAGAGGACGGAGGGGAGAGGGTCGCGGGGGGGGATGCAGGCCTGTACTCGTTCGGGTCATACCAATTCTAGACCGGGGTTAGTGGCGCAAGACACAAGTCGACGGGGACGTACAGTAGGCAGGCCGGATCGGGAGCTGCGTTTGCCACCCGAGGACCAGTCTGGGCTGCCTGCTGGCTGGGGCATGCCTGCGGGGGGACCGAATACGCCATTGTAGCGGTAGTTGTTCTGGGGGGGGTGGTTGTAGCCGCCTGGGCCGTGGGGGGTGTCGATGGAGAGGGCGTGGAGATTGGGGAGGGGCGGGGAGTGGGCGTTCATGGTGAGTATCCCTCTGGGACGTGGTCGTGGCTCGTGGCTCGTTATATGGAGAGAACTGATGAAAGAGGAGATGGGCGCGAAGACAAACATTACCCCTATTTATCACGGCCGTTTTGTGTATTTTATCCCACCGGGTACTGGGCCGGCAGGGTATGCATCACCTCGGGGTGTCCTCTGCTCTCTCCATGTCTGCTGGATGCATACCTCTTCCTCCCCCTCCCCCCCTCCTCCACCCCCCTGCAGCTGCCCCCTCCCCCTGCACGGTACTCACCACGGGAAGCACCAAACAGTCGACAAGAAAAAGTTTCCGTGACGCGTGCCTCCCACGTGGCCAGCACTCTCCCTGGAACCTTACCGGCCCATCATCGCAGACGTAATGCTTCAACGATGCCACAGGCCACAGACAGAGCGACACTGTCGGAAAGCGAGGGGGGAAGAGAGGAGAGGGCCGGCCGTCGGGCAAGATTCCGGGAGAAGGCACAACGATGCATGATGAAACAGGTCCAGCCCTGGCCTGGCGATCTCTGAGCTCGCCCTTGAAAGTCCACCGGGGCCGCAGTCTCGCTCAACGACAGCGCGAGTGAGCATGTCGATGCAATACGAGCAGGCCACAGCTTACCAAGTATCAGCAGGTATATTGTGTAACATGGAGGGGGTAGTAGGGATAGAAGGACTGCCTGCTGGTGCACGAAGCCGCCGAGCTAGGTGGAAGCTGGTGTCGCTTCGTCGCTGCGTCGTTTGAGTCTGGCTGGACTTCAATGTTGATATAACGTTAGTATGCATTATAAACAAGACGAAGTATCGCAAGCAGAGCACTTTTCGACCTGGCACCAAGATAAACGGTGGTGAGGGTGATCAGCCAAAAAGAAGTCAAAAAGAAATACACCGTAAGGGAATCGAACCCTTGCCGCAACTATGGCAAAGTTGCATGATACCATTTCACCAACGGTGTTAGTACAAGTCGATTAGACTAACTTAGATGTATGAGTGCCAAAAAGAACGATCAGATTACATGTATACTACCTACACAAATAATCAACAGTTCAATAACTTTCAATGAGACCTGGGATGGTCTGTTGACCAGCCAGCGAGGGACATAGCGCTATCGTGTTTCGATCTCTCATCAGGGAGCCGGAAGCATTAGTCTGAATATCACCCATTCCGTCAACGATGTCTTTGGATTGAAATCGGTATTCATCACTGATCAGGACACGTTCGTTGAGAAGAGTCATACACAGAACCATAAGCCGCGTCTCTCGTCATCATCATCAGTCGTATATACTTCTAACTACTGTAAGGATGGTTTAGACGTTTGTCTATCTTGATTCCTCATAGAGATCATCGAGCGATGGGGTGCCACAGACTGCATACATGATATTACGCCGTGTCGCCGTGGATGTCCGGTGCGCTGTCCACTCACGCTTTGTTTACGCACCAAGGGGGTCGAATGTACTTTTTGTACCGCTACTGCATACCCTTCCCACCTCCCCACCATGCCCACAAAGCCCCTTCCATCCCCTCGCAACAACCCTCCGCCCCGCAAGCGCCCGCGGTCACCTTCCGGATCCTCTACCCAGACTGCTCGTCACCCCTCCCGTCGCTTTACTCACATCGATATCGACCTGTCTCATCTCGACCTGTCTCAATTGAAATACCGGGCCCATCGACAGCAAAACCCGCTCGCACCGGTCGATCTGGCAGGGGTACGCGACACTCGGCTTTGCCCGTGGAAGACGTTGCTCATCCTGATGTAGATCCTGCGCCTTCAATCTTCGATCCACTGCCCGTCATAGACCTCAGTCACATGGACCTTCCCTCCCCGGTTGCGCCTACTCCTCCACAGGCCAGCCTTGTTCTCCCTAATCTCGACCACCTTCTGCCAGTTGGCGCACCTCCTCCTCGACCCCAGTCGGGCAGTCGGCCTCGGAAAGACGGTCGTGGAAATCATCCCAATTCGCGGCGAAACCTTGATATCGGGCGAGCAGTCCGAGGTCGGGTTCGTCGACCTGTACGGGAGCGCGGCAGCGACGCAGATGGGGGCGATATTGACCTCACTGCGCTCGATCTATCTCATCTTCTGCCTATCCCCGCTCTTGCGCGACCCACACCATCCTCAAGAGTACCCCATGGTGTCAGTGATGATGTTCCCCGGAGCATTCGAAAGTTGGTCCCAGCCCTGCCGGTAGACGAGTTTTGGGCGCCGATGGTGCTTCGAGAACAGACACCAGATTTGGAGTAGGAGGATGTGTCTGACCTTGCGATAGATGAGGGTATCGTGCTTGAAGAGTGGCAGAGGTATCGAGGGTCTATCGCGATGGGGGACGCTATCATATTCAGAGTGAACGAGAGCACGTGGGCGTTGACGGAGTGGGATTCAAAGAAGAAGGAGCCGCTTGTAGGTTCAATTCCCAAGTTTGAAAGATCAATATGCTGACCTGACTGCCAGATACAGCAACTGTGCCACTTGCGATACAAAAATGACAGTGTCGACTGTGATTGCCCTGCAAGAATTAGCTGTGTTCATCGCGCGATCTTTGAAAACTGCTTCCAACAATTCAATTCGCTCCAGCAGCCTGACTTGGGTGTTGAATCTACCCGAGAGATTGTTTTCCTGGCTATGAACATGATTCACCCGCTTGTGGTGTCGGTCCAGGAGAGCTGCAGCCACCATGACTCGAGCTCAAACACCCACAAACGAGTCATCGTCGTTCTGCAGTCCGACAGGCGATGGAAATGCTCCGGGCGCAGCTGTCCCCAGCGAGTGGTATGTGACCATGTCAAGGCTGTCACAAAACGCTGTCAGGAGCGTCAGCTGCTGGATGAGGATGGTGAACCGACATTCGAATTCGAAGCTTTCGATCCCGATGAGCGTCGCGATCAATTCCTCAACGCCACATCCACTTTTCCGCCAAACCTCCACATATCGTCTCGCCCTCGAGCGCCCCCGGCACATATGCTTCTTGCCTCTGATCCAGCCGAATACTTTCCGAGCCCACATCCAAAGGCCTATCCCGATGTCTTCCCTCTCGATAAAGGCTCCCGCTGTCGGTGTGGTGAACAGTGGCTCGGGCCGCAAGGTGGGCAATACAGAGAACTCAGTCCTTACCGAGTGTACACTTTCACTGGTGCGGTTGACCTTCTTGTCCAGATTGTGAAATGCCCGAGGTGCTCGTCAGGTCGAGGACGGATCGGGCCGGACTTGTTGGAGGTGGGGATAGTCAATTATAACAATGACTTTGGGTTTGCTCGAGAGGTCTTTGACCTCTTCATCCTTGCCTTCACCGAGACTGGCGCGACGTTCGCCAGTTGGCATCGCGTCGTGGAGCACATGTACGCCTACACTCCGTCATCCCAACACTCACCAAAGTTTGTTTCTATCTCTACCTTCCGTCGATGCTTCTTTGAGTTCCTCACTCTCATGAAGGGCTGCATGGAAGCCGAAATGGAGTGCGCAGAATGTGGGCCCTACCCCAAAACGGTCATTGCAGACAGTGTCGCGCTCGCTTTCGGAGCCAGATATGTGGAAGGTGGTTTACGCCCTCCCACGCTGCCCACCACGCGCAGCCTCAACCGTCCCGGGGTGAAGAGACTTTTGTTCTCGTCACTTGAATGTTCACTGTTCAACATGAATGCCGCCACTTTCAACGTGCTTCGAGAGGAGTGCAGGGCCTGGATGACAAAGAAGGGCAGTCTCGATGACATGCCGCAGGCTGTTGTCGAGTTTCTTCATACCCCAGCAGCTCGGGAAATCCCGTTCCACGAGCCGCTCACTCTCATCAGCTCTCTCGCGATTTCCATTCTTGAAATCTTCCACGGCCGGAGTATACATGGCGTGATATTCAACGAGGCTCAAATGATGGCGCTGAGGGCTTACATGGGAATGGTAAGTCCTTGGCTTTCATGCTCTTTGTGTTCGGACTGACATCAGGGATAGATTATGTCAAGGGACTCAATCTTTTCGCTATTCCCTCCCCCATTCTTCCATGAGATCGACACCTTCTGCATCGATCATACGTCCACCCCCGAACTTCGAAGACACGTTCCTGCCATCTCCAATCTATGCCATGCTTTCCCCGATCTCCCGATTGATTCCTCGCCTATCTTGCTCGACCTCCTCTTTTTCCTCAACGAGCGTGCTCGAAGTTTGTGGAAGACAATGTTGGATCGATGGCAGCAAACAGAGGCCCTTGATCCAGAGATAGCTCACAAGGTTGAGGAGAAGTTTCCGGGTGAGATCCCTTGGGAAGCGAGTGGGTTCTGCGGACCGGGAGAGAAGCAGAGGGATAGGGACCTATACCCGAACATCGCAGACGATGCTGGTATGAAGCGGGTCAAAGGGGGTGCCGTCAAGGTCAGCGAGAGCCATGCGTTGGAAGGGGATTGCAAGAAATACTATAATGCGTGAGTTCGAAAGCAATTTCGCCTTCCTGTGCTGACATTACTGACAGACAGAAAGCAACGAAGGGTATGACAGGCGGCATTGCCAGCTTGTGGTGCCCGCATGGTATCTGTTGTGCCTACCGTCTGATGCCAACATCGGAAGAACGTGATGATTTCTTCAGCATGATCTATTGCTACTGGCCCGAAGCTCCAGATGTAAGCTTTTTTCTCTTCGATGTAATGGTGGATTTCGCTGATATGTCCGATGGCTTATAGCTTGTCATCTATGACTTTGCCTGTTCTTTGGGGCCATATTGTTTTCTCCGGGCTCCGTCGTATTGGGCCAAGACGCGGTATGTGAAACTTTCCTTGAATAACGCTGTTGGTAAAGCTGGAACTGACCCCCATGATAGTTTTCTCGTTGGTGAACCCCATGCCCAAGGCCACTCCAAATGCTCAGCGTGCTCGTTCCTTTCGACTCATATGGCGGCAATCCGACGCTCACCAGGATCAATTCAAGCATTGCCGAGTCGAATCACTTGCTTCTCAACCGTTTGAGAAAGAGTCTCTCCTACATGAATGAGAGGGATTCTAGTATGTACCTTTGGATCGTGATCCAGTCTCTCAACAGAAGCAGCATGCTCCGAAAAGGGTGGAAGCAGAAGGGTATCGTTTGAGAGCTATCCGATGAGCTCGTCATTGGCGGACTTGTAAGTGGATTGTCTCATCTGCCATGTGATGTGTATAATAGTGTACGCGAACAACTGCATGCTGGCTTCGTAGCTGGCGAACGTTGAGGAGGACGATAGTGAATGATGATACCATGCACCATCTCTACTCTGTAGCAGGTGGATATCGAGCGCGTCTCTGCCCGCCACTTATCATGTGTCATCTCGGCGCTATGCTTGCGGTGCATTTTGTTATACAGATACAATTGTTCGGTAAAAGCGCTGTAATTGGGGTCTTTGGCGATGGGAATTGTGGACGTTGCAAGGATGAAATGCGCAATCATGCAGAAAGTTAAGCTTCAACCGCAGAAGAAGTGTCTTTGCATGCATCATTCATCGATGACAGTCAGTTAGTCTGTCCCATGGCTCTCATGGTGTCTATTTGAGACCATCTACAGCTTACTTGGGGTGGTTTGCTGATACATGCAACGTATGACGATAGTCTCGAGCAGAAGATTGGATGTCGTTGAGGACCCTTCGACGCGTCGGCGACTTGTCCAAGGCTGATCAGAGAAGAAAACGGGTATGATAGATACCAGCTTCACATGCCAGGCAGAGATATTACTCTGATGGGAAAATGACCCCGCTGGACACACCAGTGTATGCATATACTTACGGGATCCCTTGTGCTTGACAGTCACCACCTGATGAGTAGGCTGATGAATACAGTGCAAAGCGCCCAACCCCAACAAATCTCGGGAATTTTGTCCGACATCTAAGGTCATTTAATTTTGGCCCAAAGTGCCGCAATAAACGCCTTTTCGCAAGTGGAATCCAATGGCGGCGGTCGCGATTTTTTTCGGGCAAAAAATGGGGGTGCAAGGCCGGTTTTGGTTCCGGCGCTCCGACCCAGATTGCTTCCGTTTGGCTTCCTTTGGTTGTCGACATTTTGTCCGACATCTAAACTGTATTAAATTTGGTCAGAAACCCCGGAAATCGCCTTCTTTTGCTCTCCGGAGGCCGTTGCACCTGTTTTCGATTTTTTTCCGGGCCAGAAAAATATTAGTTGGGGTTGGGCGCTTTGCACTGTAGTGTGGTGCAGGACGGGACATCTACTCTACCTCCACTTAGCCTTCGGCCTTCGGCCGGGTCTACTCGTACAGTAGTATCATCATAAATCCTTATTCCCTGGGCAGAGCTTCTATACGGCTGCGATGTCGCCTCCGGCCCGTTAGATGTTCCTACCGGATGGTATGACCGATGTGCTAGACTCCTCGGCGACAAAATGAACAGCCAGGGATTTGAGGCATTTTGTATACGATATCCAAACTTCGGTGGCCGAGCCTGCCTCCACATACAAGCATGTCAACCGTATATATCGCGGGGCCACCAGAGGTCGGGGTTCCGAGTGTTGGGTTGTAAAGTTATAGATTAAGCCAGGCGCAGGATCAGTCGCCTCAGTCAAGCCAAGTTTGATCAAGCATACATTGCTCCCGCATATTGATATTATTAGCTCAACATGTCCTCCACATTCAACATCGCAGGTCAGCAAGTCGGCCGTATGGCGTAAGCATCAGGGTGACGAGGAAGAAGGAGCTGCTGCTGAATCAAGTACCAAGCTACGGTCTAATGCAGCTCACATTGACCGCCACCCCTCCCTCTGATGAAGACGCTTTCGCAGCGATGAAGTGAGCCGTCCTCTTCATCTGGTTTCGAGCGCAGCTGATATGGAGTGGACAGAACTGCAGTGGACAACGGCTCAAACTGCTGGTCTTCTGCCGCTTTCTACGGCCCTCCCACAGATCCATTCGCCAACATCAAGCTTCTCCGTCGATTCTTCGACAAATATCCCGAGTACAAGACCAAGGTTGTCTTGGTGATCAAGGGCGGAGTGGTTTTCACGGGGACCGGCCCTGTCGCTGTCGGCGACGAGTGCGTACTGTTGACGTTGATACGAGTAGTGTTAGTACAGCTGACACCAGTTCCTCAGTCTGGACTACCTTCGAAAAGAGCTCAAGACTTTCAAGGACATCCTCGGCGACAAAGCCGTCGACGTCTTTTCTCTCGCTCGTCTTCCCAACCCACCTGTAGAAGACATCTTCAAGGGGCTCGTCACTTTGCAAAACGAGGGCTGGTTTAACGCTATCGCCGGGAGTGAGATGTCTGCCGCTTCTTTGGAGAGAGCTTCCAAGGTGGGTCTTTGTCTGATATCCGAAGGGTACTGTCTGATATTCTAGTAAAGATCACGCCAATCGTCCTTAACGAAATCGAAGTGTCACTCATGTCATACGAACCCTCCATCCGCGCCGCTATCGCCTGGTCCGAAGCAAACAAAGTCCCCTTCTTCGCCTATTCTCCCCTCGGTCGCGGTCTTCTCACACGTACCTTCACCACCCCCGACCACGCCCCAGGCTCTGCAGGGGCCCATACCCCTAGACTTCAGGGAGACGCGTTCTATCAGAATATGAAGCTGGTGGATTTGGTAGATGAGATAGCGGAGAAGAAGGGTGTGAAGAGCGGAGAGCTCGCTCTCGCCTGGGTTTACAGTATCTCCGATTATGCGAGTTTGCATTAACGCTCATGAGACATTGTTGGCTGATGTGACTCTAGTCTATGCCTCTTCCTGGCACAACCAAGCCCGAGCGTGTCATTGAGAACATCAATGCTGCCAACATCAAGCTTACAGCCGAGGAACTTGGTGCTCTACAGCACATTGTCGATACTTTCGAGGTTAAAGGCCCACGTTATATCGAGGCCGCTCTTCCAGATCTGGTAAGTCTTCTCACCTCTTTCTCCTCTTGCTGAGGCGCGAGCTGATGATGACGTGACTTGTAGATGAAGTAGAGGATTCTGTCAGTCGCCAGCTACATACACGTGTTCCCAACTTACAGTCTGCTCAGAAGATGAACCCCAAGTGTTAAAGAGCTCGACCATTGCATCAAGCTTTGGTGATGCATTTCATGTGACTTGACCGCTGCTGCGTCCTCGTTATGTTGCAACCGTCCTTTCACCATTATGGCGGCTGCTTGCATGATGTCTCTAGAGGCACAGCTTTCATGTGACTATGATACTCCCTTCGGAGACTCCGACATACGCATATTGCATGGTTTTCTTCTCGCGTCCGCGATCATAGCCCCCTCGAGCAAGAAGCGACGCGCCGTCGAATGGGCCTCAATGGCTGGCCATCAACTGAACGACTACCGTGCCATCCAAGACACTGCCGAGGACGGAGATGGAGGGGGCTGCGAACGAAATGGCGAGCGAGACGAAGGCTGTGACGTCGGAAAGGACCACAGAGGAGATGACGGTGAAGGAGGCCACGCTGTCGGATATACCTTGGGCTATACAGTTGTCAGCGCGCGTTATGTGTGGCCGATCATGTGGGATTTACTGTAGAGCCTTGTCATCCCTTGAAAAGTACCATTCTTGCACCGAAGACATCACGCCGATCTGGCAGGAGACTAGGCTTGGTCAGTATCCCTAGCCAATTGGCGGGTAGGGATACGCACCTTTGGATGTCCCTTCTTGAAGATATCACAACACTCGCATTTGGTCGGTCCCTCAAAACTGACGACCTCTTTCCACCACTTTCTGAACGCCTGGTCGAATTGTTCGTATGGGCCATCTTGGCTATAGGAGCTCTCGCTCAAGAAGAGCTGGGAAATATCCCGACGTCGGCTGGAAGGGGCGCCATATTGGTGAAACGTATTTTCCAAGGCTGAAACTGGGGCTTCCAGCTACAGAAGTCATCAGTCATGTACTGTGGAGGCTATACCACTCACCTGTCTGCTCCCGCTTCGCCTTGTCGTAGCTCGTATCCCAACTCGGACATGTAGCATCCCATATCCCCTTTTATCATCATGATCTGCTCCTTCCACTCATCCACACCAGCATCCGTCCTTCTAGGCATCTCGTATATCACCGTATCTGCTAGGCCAACTGGGAAAGCCTCGGGTCTCGCGTCGTGTAACGTCAGGGACGTCTTCTGATCTATCGTGGGCCAGACTTCGAACGAAAGGTCTCCTTCGAGCGTTTCTACCACGCGCTTTCTTGCATGCTCAGGACCGTCCCAGCTGTCTACATCGTAAAAGTCGTCGCAAAGGGTCAGGCAGATGTGCTTGAGCGACGGGCCGAAAAGTTCGACTTCTATCAGCCAGTCCCGATTTGGAGGGTCAGTGAAATGGTAGTCGGCCATGAATGGTGTGCCAAAAGAAAGGTGGGTGACGGAGAAGAACAACGGCTCTATCGCCCAGTCCTTAGATACTTTGCCATCAAGCCAACAGGTGGCTAATCTCTGGACCTCATGGTTGCACATCTGCAGCCCCTCAAAAGCGTTACAGCTATCGATATAGAGCCTGCGGCACTGTCGTATGAGGAGGACTTGTCGAATACAGGGGTGAAGGTGGAAGCGGACGTGGGACTCGTACTCGTATGTGGCGTACGGGGCATAAGAGTCGGACGAGAGGTAGGTCGGTCGTTCCAGAGGTCGCCTTGGAGGAGTAAAGAGCTCTATTTCGTCGACAAGGTCTCCTGGCGTAAAATCTGGCCAATGGCTCCGTCGTACGTCTCCACGCTTGGGGATTGCGAGCGCATGGCCTTCTTGATGAAACCACCCGCGACCCATACCCCTTCAAGGAACGCCTCGCAGTTCCAATCGTCGAGCTCCACGACTTCATACAGCCTCGACACATTCTCGAAATAGATTTCCTTGGAGAGCGTGACGAGGTTCAGGAAATGGCTCCTGTTCTAGATGGGGTTTTGAGCGAGATAAAAGGAGTAGATGAGGGCGACGATTTCGGAGGGCAGTGAGGAGAGGCTCAACGCTTCGGGGTCGGTGAGGGAGGTCTTTGGGTGTGAAGGCATGATCTGGTGTCGGGAGTTGCGGTTGGTATGAAAGTCGAAGAGAAAGAACGAAATCAAGAACATCAATCGTCGTTGTCAGTTGTTCTTCCTTCGAACAATTGATCCCGTGCGGAGCACTAATACTGTGCCCGTAGCTTTCTCCTCTAATGGAGATATCCTTCATCGACGGCCATAGCCTCCTCAAAGTACCGCGTCCCGTCTGATCCGCGAAGTCAACTAGGAGAGCGCTCGGTTAGTACCAGGGTGGGGGACCACCTGGGAATCCCGGGTGCCGTCGTTTTTTTGCTTCTTTTTGCTAGTCGGTACGGTCATTTTGTGTCGGGTTCATGAGGGGCTACACATGAGGATACGACTCTATATGAGGGCATGACGAGGTGCTGGGTCGTATCTAGGGGCACCATTGATTTTGTGAACAAGCGCCCGCACCAAACAACGATGACATGCGGGGCCAAGAGAGGCGGATGACTCCGCCTCGTCATTTGTGAAGCCGTGGTACCGTAGTAGGCGGTTCATCCGACATCACTTACGACTTTTACTCGAGGCGGTATACTGTTCCCAGTGGCAACCAATCATTCCTCGATCGACCCGACCTACCTCGTCCGCTCATTACTGTCCATGACCACCGTTAATAATGTCACATTCGACGACTTTGACCCCCTCCTGGTCTTTTCAGACTACTCGCAATGGTGGACTCCGGATCCCTCAGAGCATCCTGAGTGGTACAATTCGACTTCACAAGACACCGGCGTGAATTGGCATGAAGGCGAGACATAACATTGAGGGTGCAGCACACGATTAACTGATCGCCGTTACAGCTACGGTACACTATGCCACTGAGCAAGGCGCTTCTTTCGCCCTCAACTTTACCTCCCCCGCCATTTACATCTACGGCATTGCTGGCCCCTCCTCTACAAACTACACCATCTCTCTGGATGGCACTACCACCTCGCATTCCCTTTCGGGCAACAACTCCGATACCTCGGTGGATGATGGCCGGACTCTGCTCTGGAGCCAGTCGGGGCTGGAGACGGGCAAGGTGCATCAGGTGGAGCTGACAAATGAGGGAAGCGGAGTGGGTGTAGATCTTGTGGTGCTGGAAGTCGATGTCGGGTGAGTGATCGTTCCTTTGTCTCGCAGACCGAGGGCTTATACACAGTAGGCAAAAGGCAAAGAATACGACTGTGGACAACACATCCGGAGACATTTTGTACTCGTCTAATTGGTCGAGCAATGATGGCAACTTCTACAACGGTAGTAGCTCTTACACGTCTGGCAGCGGTAACAGTCTCACCTTCAACTTTACCGGTATGCGACTCTCATCCTTCATGTGCTGTCATGCTCACATCCCTCAGGATCCGCCCTCTACATCTTTGGCGACCAAGTCAACGATCACGGGGTATTTTCCCTCTACTTCAACTCCTCTTCCACCCCATTCTTCACACCCAGTGGCCGGTCTGGCTGTCAAGTCGCCAACGACCAGGTCGAAAAGAGTTGTGAAAAGCTGGATAGTCTGAAGGCTTTCGTGGGCGGTTTGCCCGCGGGAGATCATCAGGTGGAAATTGTGAACGAAGGACAAGATACTTACTTCGGTGAGTGACTTTTGATCATCAGTGCCAGGGCTGACAACAAGCAGACTTTGACTATCTCGTGTACACTACCCCCGAGCAATACCCTTCCTTCACCCTTGACGCCACTTGCGCGAATGGTATATGCGGCGACTCTTCTTCCGCCAACTCCACTGCTTCCGCCTCCGAAAGCGCCAGCTCCAGTGCGGCTTCGTCGACCTCCACGGGCGACTCCGGGTCATCTTCCAGTGGCGCTATGCGGATGGGTGTTGATGGGCTGGCGGGTTGGATGATGCTCGGGTGGATTGGGATCTGGGGCTGGAGGAGGATGACGTCTGCGTGGGCTTGTGACTATAATCTCTGAACAGTATATACATCGTCATCAGGCAGGGGAAGCCATGCACATACTTCAAGACGAGCACAGCACTCTACCATTCATATATCCCCTCGATGTGGCTGCCACATGCGGCGGAGATCTCCGCTATGACGTGGGCCGCCAAGCACTGCTGCTGTGCAGGGGGCGTCGGTCTTCGTTTGCTGTTGCCGTTCGTATTTCTATCTCCATTCTTTTTTTGCATCTCTACATCCTATCACCCAGCAACACATATAAACCAACAATATGGGTCTCGCCTCCAAACTCGCAGCTTCCAACCAGGCCGGTGTTGGCGCCGGCGGTGCCTCCGGCGCTCCCGCCTTCCAGCAGCAACCTCAGCAAGCCCAGCAACAATCTTACGGCCAGCCTCAACAGCAGTCTTACGGCCAGCCCCAACAGCAGCAGTACGGAACTTCTTCTCCTGCTCCCGGTGCCAAGTGAGTGGCGAATATGGCTCCAGTCAGGATCCGGCACTAATGCGGAATACTAGCCAATACGCTTCTCCCTCAGGCGCCCCTCCGTCTCAATACGGCCAGCAACAAGGCCAGTATGGCCAACAGTCCCAGTACGGCCAGCAGGGTCAGCAAGGACAGTACTCTGCCCCCCCTGGTGCTCCCCCTGTTCCCGGTAGCAGGTAAGTGATTTTCATATGTGATGTGCATTCCGCCGACATCTGCGCAGACCTGGCGCTGCTCCCGGCCAGACCCAGTTCCCCAGCGCCTCCGGCACTCCCTCTCAGTACGGCCAGCAGCAAGGTCAATATGGCCAGCAACCCCAGTATGGTCAACAGCAGGGACAGTACGGCCAACAAGGTCAATACGGGCAGCAGGGACAGCAAGGGCAGTATGGCCAGCAGGGGCAACAAGGTCAGTATGGCCAGCAGTCTCAGTACGGCCAGCAGGGGCAATATGGTGCCCAGCCTGGTCAGCATTTGCCTTCTCAGCAGTATGGTCAGAACCCCCCTGCTTACGGTGCTCCAGGCGTCGGTGCTGCTCAGCCTCCTGCCCAAGGCGGAAACAACCAGAACCCCCAGTACTTGCTGTCCCTCTTGCAGCAATGTGTTGTTGACGTAAGTATCCTTCTGCTTGCCGACGCCTTTTACTCGTGTTTACCCAGATCTAGCAAAATATCCAAGCCTTCTACCCTCCCGGATCTCTCGAGCCCATCGCGAACCGCGTCGCTCAATCTGGTGCGCTGAACAAGATTGCCACCGAGTGGAAGATCCCCACCGAGCTCGCTGCGGACCTCGTCAAGCTCTCATTGTTCGACGTCATCCTCTACATTGATGACTCTGGGTCCATGGCTTTCGAGGGCGGCGGTGAGCGAATCGATGACCTCAAGCTCGTCATGTCTCGTGTCGCCTTTGCCACCTCTCTCTTTGACCATGACGGTATCCAGGTCCGCATGATGAACAGCAGGGTTGAGGGTAACGGGATCAAGAGCGAGCCCGACGCGTTGAGGTTGATTGACCAGATCAAGTTCTCTGGTACGTGTGCATACCGTTTCAGTGAGCTTCGAGCTGACTTTGTGCAGGTTTGACTCCCTTGGGTACCGGTCTGTGGCAAAAGATTCTCCAGCCTCTTGTTCTCGGCCCTGCCCAGCAGAACAGGCTTGAGAAGCCTGTGGTTGTTATTAGTGAGTAATGCTGCCAAGCTGTCTTGCACTTGCTGACTACTTTTAGCCATCACCGACGGTACCCCTGCCGGCGAACCCAAGGACGAGATCTTCAACGTCATTCTCCGTACCGACCAAGAGCTCAAGCGTACCCGATACGGCCCTGACGCCATCTCTTACCGTACGTCCAGATCACACGATTTCTCCTTCGGAAGCTGACTTTGATTTAGAATTCGCTCAGGTTGGCGACGACCTGAAGGCCCAGGCCTTCCTTGAACAACTCGATGTTCACCCCGTCGTTGGCGGCCTCGTCGACTGTACCTCCAACTTTGAGGCCGAGCAGGCTGAGATGTTGAGGAAGAGCGGTATCAACCTTGACCCGAGCATGTGGATCGTCAAGCTTCTGATGGGTCCTATCGACTCAAGTTACGACACCAAGGGTGAGTTTGCCTCTCGTTTCTCGTCTGCGGGGGAGGAGGAGGTTTCGTTCGAGCGCAGCTCCACCCGTGAGGGTTATCATCTTTCTTCCCCCATCCTTGGCCTTCGATCTTCACTTGCTGGAGATTCGTCTTGCGCTAGGATGATGGACAGAGTTGGATGATGTCAACCCTCCCGAGGAAGCTGTACTGACAACCCTCTTCCTGTTTTTCCTTCCAGACGAAAACAACAAGTTTACCAAGCATTACTGATTTGTGTCTCCCAGACGAGTAATCCTCTCTTGGCGTTATGAGTTCTGTGAATGTGATTGAAGTGAAAGAGGGGCGTCATACACGCAAAGCCCCATGACTGTAGCGAACTCACGGCGAGAGAAAGGGGCACGACTCAGGAAGGTCTATCTTAATGTTCTGGAGCTTTATATTACTTGATGCAATACCGTGCCATCGTATTTGCCCGCCCGCGCCATCGATCCAATTTCTTCGGGCCGCCCAGTACATCCCCTCGACACCTCTTTTCTGCAATGAACCTACCTGTAGCATTGAGCCAAGAGAACGAAAACGACGGCACTTGGTCGTAGGAATTATCATTTTCGCAAAGGTTCCATCAGCAGATTCTACGTATATAAACCGCCCATAGAAAGCAAGAGGCTGACCAGGGCGAGCCAGATGGAAGAAGCAAAAAGAGCAAAAAACGACGGCACCCGGGATTCCCAGGTGGTCCCCCACCCTGGTACTAACCGAGCGCTCTCCTAGTTGACTTCGCGGATCAGACGGGACGCGGTACTTTGAGGAGGCTATGGCCGTCGATGAGGGACAAGTCCATTAAGAAGACAATGTATGGGCACAGTATCAGTGCTCGGATCCCCGCACGGGATCAAAATTGTTTCGAACGAAGAAAGACGGAACAACTGACAACGACGATGTTCTTGATTTCGCTCGTTCTCTTTGACTTTCATACCAACCGCAACTCCCCTCACCAGATCATGCCTTCACGCCCCAAGACCTCCCTCACCGACCCCGAAGTGTTGACCCTCTCCTCACTGCCCTCCGAACTCGTCGCCCTCATCTACTCCTTTTATCTCGCTCAAAACCCCATCGAGAACAGGAGCCATTTCCTGAACCTCATCACGCTTTCTAAGGAAATCTATTCCGAGAATACTTGGAGGCTGTATGAAGTCGTCGAGCTCGATGAACAGAACTGCAAGGCGTTCTTCAAAGGGGTATGGGGCCCGGGTGATTTCCTCGAGAAGGCCACGCACTCGCAATCCCCAAGCGTGAAGACGGACGACAAAAACGATTGGTCAGAGACTCCAAGAGACCAAATATAGCGCTTTACCCCTCAAAGGCGACCTCTGGAACGACCGACTTACCTCTCGTCCGGCTCTAATGCCCCGTACGCCACCTACGAGTACGAGTCCCACGTTCCCTTCCACCTTGACCCCTGTATTCGAAAAGTTCTCCTCATACGACAGTGCCGCAGGCTCTATATCGATAGCTGGCAGGCTTTCGAGGAGCTGCAGATACGCAACTTTGAGGTCGAGGAAGAAGCCATTGTTTGGCGTGATGGCAGAGTATCTAAGGACTGGGCGATAGAGCCGTTGTTCTTCTCCGTCACCCACCTTTCTTTTGGCGCACCATTCATGACCAGCTACCAAACAAATAAGGCTGCAATTCGGAACTGGCTGGGACATTCCGAAATTTTCGGCTTGTCACTCAAGCACATCTGTCTGGCCCTTTGCGACGACTTTTACAATGCAGACCGCTCGGTTGAGTACTTTGAGGATGCTTTTGAGCATACAAGAGAGCGTATGACGAAACTGCTCCAAGAAGACCTTTCGTTCGCGCTCTGGTCGACGACAGATCAAAAGACGTCCCTGACATTACACAACGCGAGACCCGAGGCTTTCGAACCTGGACTAGCAGATACGATGATATACGAGATGCCTAGAAAGACGGATGCTGGTGTGGATGAGTGGAAGAAGCAGATCATGATGACAAAAGGGGAGATGGGAAGCCACATGTCGGTGTTGGGATACAAGCTACGGCAAGGCGAAGCGGGAGCAGACAGGTGAGTGGTATAGCCTCCACAGCACATGACTGATGATTTCTGTAGCTGGAAGCCCCAATTTCAGCCTTGGAAACTACGCTTCACCAATATGGCGCCCCTTCCAGCCGACGTCGATATCCCTCAGCTCTTCTTGAACGATTGATCCTATAGCCGAGATGGCCCATACGAACAATTCGACCAGGTGTTCAGAAAGTGGTGGGAAGAGGTCGTCAGTTTTGAGGGACCGACTAAATGCGAGTGTTGTGATATCTTCAAGAAGGGACATCCAAAGGTGCGTATCCCTACCCGCCAATTGATTAGGGATACTGACCGAGCCTAGTCTCCTGCCAGATCGGCGTGATGTCTTTGGTGCAAGAATGGTACTTTCCATGGGAAGACAAGGCTCTACAGTAAGTCCCACATGATCGGCCACTCATAACGCGCGCTGACAACTGTATAGCCTAAGGTATATCCGCCAGCGTGGCCTCCTTCACCGTCATCTCCTCTGTGGTCCTTTCCGACGTCACAGCGTTCGTCTCGCTCGCCATTTCGTTCGCAGTCCCTCCATCTCCGTCCTCGGCAGTGTCTTGAATGGCACGGTAGTTGTGCGATTCGATGGCTAGCCATTGAGGCCCATTGGACGGCGCGTCGCTTCTTGCTCGAGGGGGCTATGATCGCGGACGTGAGAACGAAACCATGCAGCATGCGTATGTCGAAGTCTCCGAAGGGAGTATCATAGTCACATGAAGGCTCATTCACATTGAGGAGGACATGTACGGGCTCAGTATTACGTAGTGCTCGGATCCCCGCACGGGATCAACTGTTTAAAGAAGAAAGAACGACTGACAACTGAACGACGTTGGAACGACGTTGGAACGACGATGTTCTTGATTTCGTTCTTTCTCTTCGATTCTCATACCAACCGCAGCTCCCAACACTAGATCATGCCTTCACGCCCCAAGATCTCCCTCACCGACCCCGAAGTGTTGACCCTCTCTTCACTTCCCTTCGAAATCGTCGCCCTCATCTACTCTACTCTAGCCTGCGAAACCACAACTTGGTAGTCCAAGAATATGTCAAGAAGTGGCCTGCCGTCGCAGATTCCATCCGCGATCGCCATGGGAAGCTCTTTCACTGGCTCACAGACTCGATAATGCTCTCCGTCACCCACCTCTCGTTTCCGAAGAGTCTTTGACTCGGTATTTGTAGTCCTCCTCGTCGTAATATGGCGGGATGACGAGCACACTCAACCCTTTCGGCTTGGCGCTTCAGAATATCTCCCTGAGCCTTTCCGACGATTTTGACAGCGAAAACAAGAAATTTGATGGCTATGGTTGGGATCGAGACCTCAGTGTTCACAGCAAGACAGAGGAGTACGTCACATACCTGTTCCAAACTGAGCTATCTTCTGCGCTGTGGCCTTCGGCGAATCAGAAGACGTCCCTGACTCTGCATAATGCGAGACCAGAAGAATTTGAAGCTAAGCTGGCCGACACTATGGTATACGAACTGCCAAGGGAGACGGTTGACGACGATGAGTGGATGGGACAGATGTTGTTGGCGATGGACTTGGAGATGGCAAACCACATCATAGAGCTAGATTCTCTGATGAGGCTTGACGACGTCACAGCCGATAAGCGAGTAGCGCATCTCTTCTGATCGTCCAAGGGCTGACTCCCACTGTAGCTGGCAGCCCACTGCTAAACCTTGGAAGATCTGCCTCACAAATCTGGCGCCGATCCCAAGCGACGTCGATATCTGCCGAGCCGCCCTCACTGCCTACTCCTGTAGCCGAGACCGACATTCCCAACGACTAGCTCAACTGTTCAGAAAATGGTGGCATGGGGTCGTCAGCTTTGAGGGACCGGCAAAATGCGAATGCTGCGAGGTCTTTGGGAAGGGGCATCCTAGAGTACGTATGCGTACGAGATGTGATATCGAGCTATGCTGACCAGGACTCTTTCACGTTTGCAGATCACTGTCTAATGGTTCCTACAGTGCACGAGGGAACCCAGAGGAACCCAATTGTGATGTGATGTACGAGTACGTCCAATCTACATGCGATCTTTGCGACTGCCTTGATTCACGTGCTGAACGCTATGTAGCCCGGAAAAATCATAACGCACGAGTTCTTCGCACCTGCATATCTACCCACTCTTTCATCGCCCCACTCAGACATACTATCAAACCAACGCTACCCATATCACCCATCATCATATCATTCGGCATTCCCCTCCACCATCTGGCTCGACACCATCCTTGATTGATGACGACCGTACTTTCCGAGAGGCACTGCAGGAAGGCGAGGAGAGCCTACTTGTTTCTTGCCAGGGTTATTGCGAGGGAGAAGAGGTCTGGATAACAGTATCGTTGAAAAAGAGATGATGGTTCGGGGCTCCGAAGGTGGGGTGATGGAAGTGGGGATGGCCTCGATACAACCTCATGGCGTGCCTTGACAAGATCCTATTGTTGTATATAACAACATCAGGATCTCATCGCCATACCCTCCACAACCTTTCTAGACATGCTCAACCGCCATTGCGCGCGCTGCTGGCCAACTACCCCTCCTGTCGCCATCGACATCGTCACCCTCTACCCCCTTCCTCCGGAGATTATCGTCCTCATTTTCACCCACTTCCTCGCCCAAACCCTATCCTCGCGCAAACCCCACTTCATCGAATTCATCCTACTCTCCAAAGAGATCTATGCCCAGTACGCTTGGAGACTGTACGAGCGTGTCGTTCTTGATGACCGCAACTGCGAGCTATTCTTTGGGGGCTTGTGGTCTATGGACGATGCTTTGGGATATCCTCTAGGTGGTGGGCGAGGTATGGATGGGCGAAGAGAGGGTGCGTGGGTCGATGGTCTGATGGGAAAGAGTTACGTCCCAGTCAAGTCACCGCCAAACTCGCCTTTAGAGCGCCCGTCGTTCGAGTATGACTCCACGGCTGCCTTTCACCTCCCTCCCTCCCTCCGAAAGGTGCTCCTCATCCGGCAATGCCGACAAGTGTCATTTGAGACCTACGGGGCTTTTCGGACGTTCCTACGGGTGGCTGAGGGCGTCCGCAAAGCAGTACAGGCCATACCGGTGGCACCCAGCCCGGACCAGTGTGTCTTCTTACCTGGCCAACGTGTAAACGGGCCTTTATTCTCCTCTGTCTCCCATGTCTCTTTTGGGGAGCAGTTCATGCCTCTTTTGGGGACAGTGTACGATCACGACAAACCTGCATTGGAGAACTGCAACTTTGGCCCGAGGCTGAAGAATGTGTGTATGCGGCACGACCACGCGTTCTATGCCGAAGATATCGACGGCTCTGGACAGTTCCCAACAAAGTATGTGGCACGACAATACTCCAATGCCGATGCTGTGTCTCGCCTTCTAGAAGGCCATCTCAATTTCCATAGAGGCGTAGAAGGGAAAGGGACGAGTTTGGCCTATCATAACGCCAGGCGGGCATACTTTCGGAAGGGATCAGCGGACACAGTCGTGTACGATATGTCGAGGATGGACGAGGCATATGGGTGGGAGGAGCAGCTGAATGATACGATGGCGTACATTCGGCGCTGTATGGATCGCTTGAGGCTTTCAAGTGACTTGAACATCGGGTACGTATTGTGGATCATGATCGTGTCCCCTGCTAACGTCATAATGTAGCATGCTCGCAAGCGACAAGTATCCCATGATCCGATTTACTGGCATTTCCCTACCGCCCGGCTTTAATCTTCCTTCTTTTTACATGGGAGATTACTACCCAGGTCAACATCCACAGAGATTCGAGGCACTGTTTAGAAGTTGGTTTGAGAGCACTGTCGCTTTTGTGGAGAAGGTCGGCTGTATGTGCTGTGGGGAGAACGACGTGGGTGTGTAATGTTCTATTGTCGTCTCGTGGCTGTTGACTGACTCGACTCAGTGGCTCAAACTCCAGAATGGATACAGGGAAAAAGGAAGATGATTGTGTAGGATATGGCTCTGGATAGGCAAGTGTGGACTGCCAGATGAAGTTGAGTTTACGGATATCGTACAACCAAATGCAATTCTCGCCTCTCGTTTCTATGCGCAACAGGGTATAAACAGCTAATACACCCTGACAGTATCGACGGCCACGTCCCGTCTGATCCTCGAAGTCAACTAGGAGAGCGTTCGGTTAGTACCAAGGTGGGGGACCACCTGGGAATCCCGGGTGCCGTCGTTTTTTTTTTTTTTTTTTTTTTTTTCTTGCTCACTTTGCTCATTTTGCCTGCTGGAAGGCTGCCTGGGATGATCACCTGTGATGTTTTTCGAGCTGTCAAGATGTTTCTTACCGCCTCGCAAGGCCCTTATATGTGATGTATGAAGCGCGAGCAGTATTGACATCATTCCCTCTTCACTGCTCTCTAGCATTATAAGGGTATGCATCTAGTAGAATGGCATGACTCAGTCACGCTGAACAAGAGACCGTATATCTTCTCCATGGTCCATAAACATGTAGTACTGACCGCGCAGCTCCATGCTCATTGCCTTTCTAAGCGCCTCACCAGCAACTGCAGCTATCACATAGTCCGTCCAGCTGTACAAAGAGGCGGTCCAGCCGCTCGATCCACACTTGCACTTCGATCATTGATGATCGTCGTCCATGAATGCCGTTTGACGGGTCGGGGGATGTCAGGTTTCTTGAGGAAAGACGATGATTGTATCGACAGTATGGCGGTTATCTCTTGCTCAAGGACGACCTTGGCTTCGCGTAGGTGGACGAGCTCATCCTACTCGATCGTCAGCCAACAAACAGACACATCGTTGAAGAGAGGCGTACCATGCACCGAGTCAACAGATCAGCCATCCCAAAGAACCCCTCCACCTTCTCCCCCAAGCTTCCAATCTCCCCCTTGAGCCGAACAACCTCACCCCTCTCCTGTTCTCCCCACGACTCGAGCTGATTCCTCACCGCTTCCCCTTGCCGTCTCTCCTCGGCATACTCGGCTGTGACTTTTTCCATCTCGGATCGATCCATAGCTGCACGACGGTGTGAATCTTCAAGTTCCGAGGTGATGCGCGTAAACATGGATTGCAAAGCGGAGATAGATTCTGTAGCGCGTTCGGCGGATGATTCAGCAGTCTCGGCCCGTCCCAGAAGTTGGTCTTGCTGTTCGCGGGAGGTTGCAAGTTCGGTGCGGAGTTGGATGATCTCGGCTTGAGGAGCGGATGCGTCGCTTGATGATGACGATGCACGAGAAAGAGGCAAGCCGAATGGCTGGTTGAGGCCTCGGGTGCGTGAAGGAGTAGAACGAAAAGCTTGAGGAGGGCTCGAGTGAAAGACGTCTTGGATGGGCGGTAGAGCTGACTTCTGGCGTCGCTTGAGAGGTGTTTTAGATGGGGTGCTTGTTGTTGGTTTTGCAGTCTTGGCTTCGAGCTCCGCCTCGTATCAATCAGCTAATATGCCCCTCGATACTCTCGAGAACGCACCTTCAATCTCGTATTCTCCTTTCTCAAATTCACCATCTCCCTCGCCACATCATGATCCACCGACAACCACTTTTCATCCTCCGCCAACGCCTCCACAACCCCGCGCTCTGCGTGAAAGTCGTCCATGCCCAAGTATCCGCGTTGAAGAGCTCGGGCGCAGATGGCTTGGAAGAGGCTGGGGATATTGCCAGGTGGTAAAGGAGACGAGTCGTTAAAGGAGCACTCGGAAATTTGGATCTGGGGTTCTTGATGATTGGGATCAATCCTGGTATGCAGACTGTCCTCGGCGAAAGGGTGTTGATCCAAAGACTGTTGATCCAAAGAGTCAGGAGTATTCGACCGATCCAAGACTTCTGCAAAAGTCTATCAGCGCATGAACAACCCTTACTATCAACATACCTATCAAATCCCCTCCATCGTCCACCCGCTCCCCACCCAGCCCCTCCCCCGTAATCCTCAAATACCCCAAATGCACATCATCTCCAACAACCCACGACGGCCCATCACTCCAACTCCCACTCTCATGCGAACCCACCGGCTCCACCGGCTCTACCGGCTCTACCGTACCCCTCGAGCTCTTGACATCATACCACACTTTCTCTTTCAACTCTTTTTCAGAGAAGAATTGGGCGGTAGTGGGTGAGGGGCTGCCTTGGGCGGTGAAGAGGGCGGGAGAGGTGGGTGCGAGGGCTGAGGATGGGTGGGGAGAAGATAGGTCGGTGTCTGGTTCGGCTGGAGTAGTCACGAGCGATAGAGGTGATGCAAGTGGCTTGACTAGTGTAGCGTCGGAGAAGACCCGAGCAGGCTCGGGGGCGACCGAATCTTTTGACGAGTGATCGGCAAACCACCACTCGGGACGTGAAGACACCGAAGAAGGCAGCTCTGCACCATTGGCGGCGGGAGGGGTAGGAGCAAGATTGCCGTCGGCTTGTGTTGAATTGAGAGGCAGGCTCGAGCAACGGCTAGGAGGAGTGTCTGCACCAGACGTATCAGTTCCACCCCAACGATCTACAATATCACTCACAGATCTCACTATCGACTGTGCTCCTTTCCTTTTGCAATAACGGAATACGCATAGACGATTTACTCGGAGTGACTGACCAGCAGCTCGAAGCGTCACCTGGCCGGCTCGGACGCGGCGCGACGACAGAAGTGTTGACAGAGTACTCGCTGTCGCTCGAGAATGTGCTGTCGTGGGCGCTGCCGTGCGCTTGGACAAGGGATGGTACGCGAGGATGCTCGGCGCATGGGGAGGAGGCAAAGTCTCTTGCAACCATGGCACTCGCCTCGCTGACCCTCGCAACCGGCTTGTCACTCGGCGTATCCTGAACATTCTTCACGCTGCCCGAGTCCAACACTTTCGCTGTTTGAGCCTTTGATATCTTTACAGGGCTTGCTTCTGGGCTGAACGAAAGCTCCACTGTGCTGTCGAGGCTGGTATCGGGGTGGATGATGACGATGGGATTGGTATGGCGCGAGTGTAGCTTGGGACGCAGTGGTGAAGACGTAGCTGAAAGATGATCAGTACAAAATGCCAAGGACGATACAAACTTACCAGGACTGTCTAGAGAGTACACTTGACCGCTGGGAGGTGGTGTGAGGATAGCGGTAGAGGCTGCAGAGGCTGGGGTATAGTCAGCACCATCGATGCGGCATACAACAAAACAGGACTTACAAGTCATAGAGTCGTCGTAGATCATGTCGCCAATGTTCAGCACGGGCAACATGGGTGCCACAGATACCCTGGGGCTTTTTGCTACTGGAAAGGTCAGAAGAACTTTGGGCTGGGGTGGCTCTCAAAAACTTACACCGCTTCTCGGCAGGCTCTCGAACCCTCGGTGGCGATGGTATCTGAGCGTTCTGCCTTTCCTTGCTGTCCCTCGTACGAGCATGCCCTCTTCCACTCCTTCTGCTCTCTCCAGAACCTCTCGGCGACCGGGCTTTGCTATCGTCGCTCACCCGCTGCCGGTCTCCGTCCCCTGTTTCGCGCGTGCGATGGTCGAATGGAGTGGCGGTGTAGATTGGTGAACGATTGGGAGGCTTGGGGAACGCGAGCGTAGCAGGGACTATGCTGGCAATAGACGCATCCGAGGGAGTCCGCGTGTGGCATGGAATAGGGGGTAGAGGCCGGCTGTGTGAGACGGCGACGGGATAGGTGATCTTGTCTTTGATCGATACAGCGTCCTGCGACTTTCTCTTCTTGATCAGAGCTTTGAAGTAGGCCATCTTGTCGTGGCAGGGTGGTCCGGAACGAGCGGGAGTGCAGGGCATAAGAGATGATGCGGAGGGGTGGTAAGGGTGAAGGGCAGGTCGGATGAAGGAGAGTATGGGAGGGGGCAGGGAGAGGTCGGCTGTGAGGTGTGAGCTACTGTCGATCAACGACGTGAGGATACAGCCTCTTCTCAGAAGAGGGATATAGAGGCAGTCAGCGAGTATTATAGCTGGAAGAAGGAAAAAAAAGAGAAGAGAGATACACAAGGGCGCTGTGCGAAAGTCACTCACGCGCGATCAGGCACATAGCCGACGGGCTACCGGCGAGGGACACGGGATCCCCTGATATGGGGTGGCGCAGTGCGCATTGTTGCTGTTCTGTAACAAGTTACCCAGCATCATGTCAAGTCATTCTTCGAGCTCCTTGTGGACACCAATCGAATACAACAGACTCTCTACGCGTTGTCTACGCGTCGTGTGGTCCGGCCCAAAGGTCGGCCGTCACCGCCTCTAGTCGTACGTGCCGACTACTATGACAGCGTCTTGCATGTAGCTAGCAGGTTGGCTGAAGTCTCTCTCGTTCGCTCCAGCGCCGAAGACTTCTTCACACTTTTAAGCCCATAGCCAACGCATTTGCACCTGTCCCTTCCACTCCCGCTCGTGTTTCTCGACCTGTGGATATCCGTTTTTACTCTACGGGTGGGACCACTAGCTCAACAATGTGAGCATCGGAGGGGCCGAAGGTCGCGTTATTTGGAGGAAGTGCGGAAAGACGAGGAGGCGTGACTGGCACCTATCGTTATCATTCCGGTCTGCCAGATAGGCTCCGATATGACGTCCTCAAAAAATAAATCACACATGCTGTTGCCTGTTTAGCGCTATCTCGACCGAAAGTGCACAGCCTCACCATGAGACTATGGACATGTCCAAAGGAACTAAGAGATGAGATAGCATGAAGAGAGGCAAAAGCGAGACGGCGGGCGATGGTTACGAAACCTACGGTAAGGGCGCAGGAGCGGCGGACACCTCCGCCCACCTCCACTTCGTAAGACCACTCGCCCGCGAGCATCCGCCATAGAATCACTCGCAGAGTGATACCAAAGACATTAGCATGCTTTTCAGAGGCCGGGAGAGTGCGTGATGTGATACGGGCTGTGGGAACCTGCTCTGCGATACTAGATATGCTGGATAAACGGGTGGCAAACAGCAAAGACAGAGTGCAGCGTTGGAAACGAATCATCGATGAGGCAGGAAGGTATGTAAGGGACCAAGGAAGCCGCAGAAAGACCCTCATTGATGTCATTTCATAAGAATTCGGCTTAGAGCCTCAGAAGTCCTAAGCCTTGCTCTATACGGTGGTCTAGCATAACGAAAATGATCTCTTTACTTGTGAAAACCGGGGTACCGACAACGGGACTTAGCTTCGTCGTCCATCCGCTAGAGGCTTTTCCATCTTATATTTCTTCCTCTCACGTCCATCACGTCTTGACTGAGTGGATCCCGGCCTTTATAGACGACAGGCTCATTCCCCTTCACTCTTCGTTTCGCTCTTCGCCTCACTTTTTTCATCATCCGTTCCCTCTGTCTTCGTTTCTGTTGTCTCCTTATCACCTGCACTAGAATCCCCAGTTTTCGACGGCCTAGTCCAATTGTTTTTCTTGGCCCATTCGTCGAGTGTTTTGCTCAACGCATGCATCTGTGTTTGCGCCTCTCTGAGAGTCTTGTCCAGCTCTGTACCTTGCTCTGTGGTGAGATTGGTGAAGCCAGCCTTACGGGTGTTGCGAGCCCATTTGGCGCTTTGGGCAAGGTATTTGATACTTTTCGCGAGGTCTTCGGTGGTGGCGACGGTGGGAGTAGAGCCCTTGGTGGTGCTCTTGGCGGAGGAGGTGGCGTCTGCTGACTCGGGCATGTTGGTGCGTGTGTGTTTTTACGCTTGTGGTGTTGTATATGTGTAGTGGAGCTGCAGTGAGTCTTTTGGCAGTGGACGTGCGGTTAAGCCCTTTGATATACGTAGGACCGGGAGAATTGATGTAGTTGACAACGAAATGATATGCACCCTTGAACCCTTTTATAGCGACTCTCCAGCCCTGCGGAGGAGTCAACCGAAACCGAGTCGATCCACGCATCCAAACTCAGCTCCGCACAATGTACACCTTCAAAGGAGGCCTGTGACTCGAGGGCTCTATACGTACCATAGAGTGCCCGGAATTTCGGAGCAGCATTCTATTTGGAACACTTCCTTTGAACTGAAAGGAGACGACTTGTCCGCAGCGGATACGAGGACGGGATTGCAGCTAAATGACTGGTAATATGAGACACACATGAGGGTCACTCACTAAATCCAATGTCACCCTTGAGGGTGCTGTAAAACCCCACCTGTTGCAAAAGTCGGAAAAAGGGCTCTCTTAGTTTTAGTTTCACGAGTTTCTATGGCTGGCCACCGGCAAAGAAACCCGAAGAAGAGAAGCGCTATTGTATCATCCATAGACCAACATGTTTATGCGTTGCATCCTTTCTCGTAGGCACATCCCAGATGAAGCTCATTGATTTCTTACTCCTCCAGTTGCCCATTGATGGTATGAGGTAACCCTGTGCCTGAATTATGCGAGTGTATATAAATCCCAACTAACTTTTACCAAAATCTCAATTAACTTTGGACGCCGGACAAAAATCCCATTAGGGGTATATAAATCCCCAGTAACTATTCAAAAGATACATAGAGCGATCGGACTTGTACCATGCGATAGAGGATGCTTTCCGATGCATCCTCCAGCAAAAATATTCAGGATACATGCATGGACGAGTGAGATACGAGGGGTACAAGACTGTTCGTCGTCCGCCGAGGTCCATCGCTGCGCCGCGTCCTATATGCATTCGTCCTCGAGATCCAGTGCACTTTGCTACAACATGTCTACTTTCTTTTGATAAGGATCAGAGAAATGATGGGCGAGTAGAGGATGAGGTGAAGGAGCGCGAGCAGCACGTCGAAGAGCTCGAGCAACAAGTTGGGGGCTTGAAGCACGAGCCGGCCGAAGCGCTTGGGAGTGTGGCGGATAGGCCAACCCCAGACAATGTGGCGAAGTAGAGAGAGATAGCTGGCAAGACTGCGAAGCAGGGCTAAGTCGAGCAAAACGGTTCGTCGACAAAGGGCGGAATGGGACGAAGCATTCCGAAGTATTGCGAAGCATCGCGAGGTAATACGAAGCATCGCGAAGTAGTGCGAATCATCGCGAAGTAGAGCGAAGTAGAGCAAAGTAGAGCGAAACATCGCGAAGTAGAGCGAAGTAGAGCGAAGTAGAGCGAAGTAGAGCGAAGTAGAGAGAAGTAGAGCGAAGTAGAGCGAAGTAGGGCGAGATATAGCGACCTGGTTCGAAAGCATCTCGACATAAGGCGTCGACGCAGGGCAAAATAGAGCGATATATGTCGAAATAAAGCCAAGCACTTCGTACAAGGACAGTGGCGAGTCCATACATATACGAGAAGAGGAACACTTGAGCCCCGAAGTTTCATACGTTGCACTGTAAAGACTCATAGCCGCCTTTTTCATCCAACCTTTATACTCTATTCGAGCATGGAGGGCGAGTTCCGGGTGTTTTGGAGGTCGAGAAACAGACCATCGTCTTCGGACAAGGCAGGTGTGTCGAACCAGTCATCGCCATTGAGTACCGAGCCGAACAAACCATCAAAATCGGGTGTTTCGCTTTTGGCTCTCTCTTAGACGTATGGGCCAGGCAGCTCGATCTGATGGTTTTCCCGCTGTCTTGCTAGAGCGGGAACCGATGATGTGGCCTTCGCTAGCGAGGATGTGGCATCCGAGGTGACAGAAAAGCTCTCGGGGTCATTCATGTAGAGGGGATGAGAGTCATCGTCGCTGTCAATAGAGGAGAAGGAGGAGAAATCAACAGCAGCCATCGGTGGTGGTTCAAACTGGTAGGCTGGTCGACCCCTTCTTCGAGTGCTTTTGACCTATTCCAGCGTTGCCGGGGACACACCATCGCTCTCAGGGCCCATCATACTCAGGGCCCATCATATCAAGTAATTGAGAGGCCCGAAGAGGTCCTATAGACGCGGCGGACTGTTGTGTCGGCGGCATCATGGCCGATGAGTCGTGTTCGAGGAGATCGGGCGGGGTGGATGGAGATTGTGAGGGTGTCAATTGTTTGTATGAGTGATGTGGATATTAAAAGAAAGTAGACGTGTTGTAGCGAAGTGCACTGGATCTCGAGGACGAATGCATGTAGGACACGTTGAACGACGGACCGCGGCGGAAGACGAGCAGTTTTGTACCCCTCGTATCTCACTCGTCCATGCATCTATCCTGAATATTTTTGCTGGAGGATGCATCGGAGAGCATCCTCTATCGCATAGTACAAGTCCGATCGCTCTATGTATCTTTTGAAAAGTTACTTGGGATTTATATACCCCTAATGGGATTTTTGTCCGGCGTCCAAAGTTAGCATGAACAAACAAAGGCAGAACACAAACCTGGACGTTGATGCGCGGAGTCGGTGTCGACAAACTGACGATATATATGACCAAGCGCAAAGAGAGAGAAAAAAAAAAGGGAAGGTCGTATGCCGGAGCAAAGCGAGACAGGCCAAGGCGAGACAGGGTCGAGAGAAAAGACAGTCGGACGGAGAGGCGTCGTTGGGAGAGGCTACCGACCTTGACTTAGACAACGGTAGCGGGGACGAGGTAGCAGTTCGGGTACTTCTTCTTGATGGCCCCCTGGAGCGCGTAGAAGGGGGTGACGTACGTCTTGTCGATCTCGTCGGTAGGGCCGCCACCGCCCGTGATCTGAGCAATGATACGCCCATCGCGGCCCGCCACGATCGAGCCAGATTCGCCGTCGTCGGAGAACTTGGCGTTCTTGGCCGTTACCGTGTCGTAGCCACAGACGATGAATTCGAGGGTCTTCTGGGCGATGCCGTGCTCGGGGTAGTGACGAGTGATGGACTCCAGGCCGTTGACGCGTCCAAAGGTGGTGCCGGTGGAACGACCGTTCTTGACGGCAAGCAGCGTCCTCACGTTGTGGATGTCGAAGTTCTGGGGGTTCCGGAACTCTGCCTCGGGGACGACGTCCTTGAGCGCAAGGAGCATGTCCTCGGGCGCGTGGAATTCGCGACGATCCTTGACCTCCTGGGGGAACATGTAATTGACCCAGTCGACGGCGGTCTTGTTCCCACCTGTGAGCGAAGAGGGAGAACAAATAAGCGTCAGTTAGATAACGAAAAGAGAATCCGGCCAAAAAACAGACGAACCGACGAAGAGCTTGTTCCCCTTGAAGTCGTCCCACTCGATCTTGTCTTCGTCCATCTGGATGAGACTCCAGTCGTACATGAACTGGTCTTCGCCCACCTCGATCTTGGCGCAGTGCACAACAAAGCCGATGACGCGGGAGACAGTCGTGGTGAAATGCTTTGTGACATCGGTGTGGAGCTGGTTGGCCTTTTCGATATTGTTGCTCGCCGCGTCGATCAAGTCCGTGAGCTCCTTGCGCTTCGACGTGACACCCTTGGGCTCGCCGTCCCTCTGCGCTGGGAGCCTACCGCGAGCCGTCTCCCAATAGGTGATGGCAATCGTCCGGTCGCCGATGAACTTCATGATGGCCGCGACCGCAGCATCGTATGATCCCGTGCCGAGGAGAATGATCTCCTCACGCGCCTGGCTGTCGTTCCTGCGCGTGTAGACCTTGTTCTCAGAGACCGGAGGCGGGTGGGCGACGTGGGCGCAGGTCAGGAGCGCAACGCGATTGTCGCCCTCCTCGGCGTTGAGGCGGAAGTACAGACCGCCGGCCCCCTCGTAGTGAGGCGACTTGAGAGGCGCGATGGAAGGACTGAGAGTGGGCGTGAACGGCTTGCGCAGGGCGGGAAGACCCTCAGAGTCGAGGATCGGGTTGAAGCTCATGAGCTTGGGGTGGGACATGTGGCGACGGTAAACGGACTCGATGAAGGCCACCTGGATCTCGGGGAAGCCGGCGGCCTAGAATGAAGTTAACGTCTGAGCCGATCATAATTTAAAACTTTACTAACCTCGAGGATCTCGACGACGGCCTGAGCAGCAGCCACGGCAGCAGCGTAGGCGAGAGAGCGGGGCTGCACGCCAATGGTGATGACAAAGTCACAGATCAAGGCGGCCTCGCCCGCATTCGCATACGCGAGAGGGTTGACCGTGTTCCAGTTCAGCTGCAGCAAATCGAGCTGGGCGACGATGGCCCATGCAGTCTCGAGCCAGGTGGGTGCAATGGGGTGGTTGTAGATGGGGCGAGCCGCGCGGACGATCTTCTGCGACTCGTTACCTCGGGCGATGGGCCACGCAGGACCCGTCTTGTAGACACAGGGCGTACCAGACCCGAAGAAGTCGGTGAAGGCATACGGGTAAAAGTCGGTCAGGCGACTCATCTCCTCCTGGGTGACAAGATCGGCCTTGGGATTGAAAGCAGCTCCCGCAGTAGGAGAGACGAGAGTGTCGGTGGGAGAGAGCGAAGCAGTAGGAGACGCAACTTGGGGGTGTCGGTATAGTTTGTACGGTGTCTCTGGAGCCCGGTGAAGGGTAGATAGCGGCTCTAGGTGTTGGGCGGTTGGGTACAGGTAGAACTGTGGAACCAACGGTGACCTTAGCCGTCATGTGGCGGGTGGGGACCCCACCACAGTCACGTGACATGACACTGTGGGAACTCGTCGCGTGGGAATTGTTGCCCAGACGGCGTACCCCGCGTGACGGTGCATGCGGCGTGGTCCGCTCGATGGGTCCATGTACTGCCCACACGATCCCTGGCCGTCGCATGGACTCTGCTCCTGTCCACCCGACCCCCCGACCCCCGGCCAGCACCGCCCCCCGCCGCTCCACAACAACGCTCAAGTCCATCCTACGTTCTTTCTCATCACTACCCATCCATTCATACATATACTCAGCACGTACCTCCATCTCCCAGCTTTCCTCTTCACTATCCACATACCCGTATGTCCATCCCAAGCCGAGTACATACATCCCTAGGCTAACAAGCCGGGGCTCTTCTAGGATATTCCATAAGAGACAGTCACTCTCCAGCTCATCCCTGGCGACTTGCTTCAATCAGCTTAATCAGCTTCAAGCATAATGCCTTCCTCGGGCCCTTTAAGAAGTTCCCGCAACAGGTACGTTGATAATCGTGCATTGGGGCCGTCATAGTCGGGCCACTTTTCTGGCGCAAAGTGGACCTTCCTTCCCATTTCGGACATCCCCAGCAGACGGCGGACGCCAGCATGCACCCAGGACTACATTGATGGTGAGCACATACCCCCCCATACCTCTTTTCCGATGTAGACAAACATACCTCGATGTTTGAATTCTTCTCCCACGCCTGAGCCTTTCCTCTCTTTCTCTTCCTTCCTTCGTCGCCATTCAGCGTGCTGACAATTTGCTGCAGAGCTAGCATCTTTTCTTTAAGCTCGGCCACTTCCTGAGATTGGCCAGACAATGCCTCCCGGTAACAACGCGACGCCGCGGCTTCTAACGAGTCAACGACAGTGACGGGTTCGTCGATCGGCAGGCAGATATTGGCAGGCATTGGTGCTTTGAAGACTGGTCAATGGGTTGGCAAGGGGCCGGGAAGGAGGAGGGACGTCGGTAGGCGATTCATCAGCCTGCTGGAGTGTAGCTGATCTGCTGTAGGGTGTATTGGCGCTGCGGGCCTGAAGGGGGGTGCGCTGATGTTGAGTAGGCACAGAGGGCATGTTGTTATGGATGAGTATGAGGTGAAGTTGACGATAGTGAGGCGCTGACGGTTAGGGGCGATGAGAAGCAATGAAGAAACGGCAGCGAGGAGGGCGAAGGAAGGAGCCTTCATATACATCTCAGGAGTGGAGGTGGTGTAGAATATTCTCGCAGTGTCTATGCAAGCTATGAAGTGATAAAAGGCTCGAAAAAGCAAGAAAGAATAGAAGCATGGGGTGCATCGGGAAGGAGCAGCGTAGAAAGTGTTGGAAGCCGCATGGACGGTGTGTGAACATTCGCGTGAACAGTGCATGGGCGGATGCCTGGCTCGGCACAAGCCCAGTGTGCAGAAGCCAAGGGCCAGGGTTCCCCAAGCCACGGACGGTTGTTCTGTGTCCAACGTCTCCACTGAGGTGAGAACCAAGTCAATACCTGCTGCTGTTGGTGTATCGTTGCTCATTTCGGGCAGATCTTCGGTACAATTTTGGTAGGAGATACTGTCCTGCTGAATGGCCTCTTCCCCGACACCATCTACTATTCGATCTTAAATACTGCTGAGCGGCTTCTATTGTACATTCCCGCAGCCGCTGGGTACTCGTACTCTACAGTATTGATAGGCATCTGACGATGCACAGAGAGGCAGGTCTGAAGGGACATTTTTTTTTTTCCTTTTGGCCTGGAAAGTACCAGAATATCTTCCCTCATCTACATGGCAAGTCATACGCCAGAAAAGAAACATACGGATTATTTGAGCTTCACCCGCTCGCGATCGGAAGTACTGAACCTTTGATCACAATAATCAACATTTCGACAGGCGACGGAGATGACGGCTTGTGTCGGCATACCTCGCCGATTATAGCGTCCCAAGCATAAGACTTAGTGACGAACAGAATAAACAAATGCGCCCAGCCACGCCAGGAGAAGAGCAAATATTGGCGTATGGACGGTATGCCGCGCAAGCTCAGAGCGGGTAAAGGCATGGAGATAGTCGTCGGGGTCGTCTGCATTATCACAAGGCGCTTGTGGATTATTGTCCCCCGCATGGACTATCCTTATGAAAACCCATCTCTCATGCCCATGCGAGGCCACCATCCCATTCCCCATCCCCTACCTGGACGAAAGGCTCATATAAGACTGGGGAGATGGGGCGGCAGGGGCATTATGTCTATGATTATGTGACCTGTGGAGGTGTCGCGTTGGGTGATGAGCCGTATCTGGAATCATTTTCAACGTGACACTGCCTATCCATTTGTCGGCATTATTGACTGATGGGTGCACACTTCACCATGTCACCGATGATGATGATCGGTTTAGTACACGAATGTGAAAGTTCTACTGCCCTCGCATTGCTCAACATTGAGGTATGTCAGTCGTACCGTCTGATGGCCATGTGTAGTATCTAGTCACCACGGATATCGTCGCATAGGTTCTATTGTATATGATAATGACGGCTATTCCTCCTTCTTCCCTTCTTCTTTCGTCGAATTTTCCACTGCTGCTGACGCATCTGCTGTTGAGCTATCCTCTGGAGGCGAGTCATTTCCAGCAGGGGTATCCGACACTGTAGCCTCCGTAGATGATGAAGCTGTATCGTCGGTGGACGCGCCGGGAACTGTATCATCTGTTGAGATTGACGACGTTTCTGATTGAGAATCATCGCCAGTCGCGGGGGCTTCTGAAACCTCAGTTGGGTTTTGGGTGGTTGGAGGGGTACTTTCCGGCTCGGGGGTAGCTTCAGGGGCGCTTTCAGTGCCACTGGGCGGAGGGTCATCAGAACCTTCCTTCTCAAAAGCCTCCTCAGACGACGGGGGAGGTTCAGAGGGCGGAGGGTCATCAGAAGGGGAAGCATCCTCCGAAGTTGGCTCCGTCTTTTCTTGCTCGCTCTCAGCAGTAACCTTCGCACTAGCATCCTCCATCTTCAATCATTCCTCCAACCCATTTACTATCCCATCAATCTTCTCTTTCGCCTCTTCTATCTCGGACTTGTAGGTGCTGCCTGTTGCGAGGTCGGGGATGGATTCGGGGGAGGTGGAGGAGAGTGTTTGGGTGGAGGAGAGGAATGATTCGAGGGCTGTTGAGTAGAGGACTGACATGATGTGCGTTGCGTGTTTGGTGATTATAGTTGTGCTTTAGTCCAATGACGGATATTCTATCTGTTGTCTCTTCTGTGCTTATCGAGGTTGAAATGTGGTTTTGATGAGCTGATTCGGCGCGATGCTCTCTTGCTATCTTGACCCGAGCATCCAGTGTTCACTCCGTGGCCCTAAAAATGCCCAAGCGTGAGTGGCAAAACTTCCCTATGGTGGGCACGAAGGCAAGGCCTGCTGGCAAACGAAGCTCAAAGTAAAGGAGGACCGGCATTGAACGGATGTCAATCCTTGGACATATGATGACGATGACGCGGCGGTACCAGAGTAGATATAGTCAAGAGAAGCAACTGGTGGCGGTACTCAATTTTTTCTGGTATAGATAGGGGCACCATGTCTCCCCCTCCACTAAACACACCTATGGAGCAAAAGAGAGGCAAAAAAGTAAAAAACGACGGCACCCGGGATTCCCAGGTGGTCCCCCACCCTGGTACTAACCGAGCGCTCTCCTAGTTGACTTCGCGGATCAGACGGGACGCGGTACTTTGAGGAGGCTATGGCCGTCGATGTTTGTTTAAGTGTCATTTGCAATATGATGGCTATGGGAATCTCACTCAACCCATCTACTACTAAACGGCCTTGTTTGTCACTCACAGCATGCATGCAAGGATGTAAGCCTCGGTGATTCTCCGCGTCCTCTTTTATGGTATACAGACGCATAAAGTAGCAAGCGGGCAACTGTGTGGACAGGTTGAAGAAGAAGAGCAGCATGGGATCTGGATCTGAACAAGGATCTTGATGATCGGGGGCGCCGAGAACAGCTGCTGGAATGACTCGAGAAACCCTAATTTTTCCCACCATGATTTCAGAGCTGGAAGGATCAAGTCTCTATGCACGAATCTGACTGGGTATTCAAGACGACTATGGGATGCATGGAAGGGGAGTGTCCAAGCCGAGTCGCAGTTGAAGCATTTCGCCTAAAAGACGTCCCGTCGGAAGGCCGACGCTTATCGGCGATCACCACACGATCCTTCTTCCCCTCCTCTACTTCTTCCACAACTCCCTCCCCTTCGTCGGTGGAAAGGCCAAAAATGCTCCGTCTGCAGCCCTTTCCGAGAAGACCGCGGTAGAAGAGAGCGATCCCGTCGATTTCGTTGGCAAATTGGCCAGAGCTGTAAGCAGTCTCCCATATCCTCTGTGTGTGTTGTGCTGATAAAATTCATAGGGCAAGCACTGCGTCATCTTCTATGGCTCCCAGACTGCCACCGTGGAAGAATACGCGATCCGTCCCGCGAAAGAAGCCAAGTCTCGGTTCGGCATCTCCTCTCTTGTTTGCGACCCTTAAGATCATGAGATGAACTTGCTCGACCAGGTCCCTGAAGACGCATGCGTCAACGGCGAGGGCGAACCTACGGACAATGCCAACCCTCTGATGGAATCACATGACTGAGCTTGGAGCCAAAAGGATCGGTGAACGAGGCGAAGGGGATGACGACAAGAGCTTGGAGGAAGACTACCTGGCCTGGAAGGATCCCATGTGGACTGCCTTCTCTAAGCGTCGTGTTGTCGAGGAGGGTGGTGCTGGCGATGTCGCCGACTTTGTTGTGAAGGAGCTGCCCGATCACGCCCCCGAGAAGGCCTACCATGGCCAATTTTCCCCTCGTGCTCTTCTCGCATCAGCCAGCGGCGGGAGTACTCCTGTGGGCGCATATGGTGCCAAGAACCCCTTCCCTGCCCCTGTCCTTTCTTCTCGAGAGCTGTTCAGCGTCGGCGGTAACGGAAACTGTGTTCACATTGAATTCGACATTACGGGCTCTGGCATGAACTACCAACACGGCGACCATGTGGGCGTCTGGCCTTCTAATCCCGACGTTGATGTTGACCGATCCGTGCTGTTCTTGGCCTTAGTGACTCTCACAGGCGCCAGGCCATTGTTGACATCGAGTCTCTCGATCCCGCTCTGGGCAAGGCCCCCTTCCCTTCTCCTGCTACCTACGATGCCATTTTCCGTCACTATCTCGACATCTCCGCCATGGCTTTCCGCCAAACGATTGCCTTCCTTGCTCGTTACGCGCCGACTGAAGCTGCTGGCGCCAAGCTCACGCAGTGGGACAATGACAAGGAAGCATATGCCAAAGAAGTCGACGGCCCTGCCTTGAAGTTGGCCGAAGTCCTCCAAGCTGCCAGCGGCGACTCTGTCGAGGAGCCTTTTGTCCCGCAGACTGTCTGGTCCATTCCCTTTGACCGTATCGTCTCTTCCATTCCCCGTCTTCAACTCCGATACTACTCCATCTCGTCATCCGCAAAGTTCCACCCCAACGCCATCCACGTGACCGCGGTTGTGCTCAAGTACCCGTGCTGCCGTGCACCACCACCGGAGCCGCGATGGGTCTTTGGTCTTTCTACCAACTTTGTCCTCAATGTCAAACTCGCCCAGTCTGGCGAGAACGCTCCTTCTGCCGGCGACGTTGCTCAGCAGGTCACCATGAAGAAGATTCCCCAGTACAGTACAGGCTGGCGGGCCCTCGCGGCAATTATGTCAAGGGAAACGTCTACCGAGTCCCTATCCACGTGCGAAGGAGCACTTTTAGACTGCCTACTTCTCCCAAGGTTCCAATCATCATGGTCGGTCCTGGAACTGTGAGTCGGGTGCATGGATGTTGCATGTCAGAGCTGACGAAAACTTAGGGTGTTGCTCCTTTCCGAGGCTTCGTGCAAGAACGTGTTCGTTGCCCTCACCTGCAAAGCTATCGAGAAAAACGGACCGCTGATGCCCTCAAAGACTGGGCCCATATTTATCTGTTCTACGGGTGTCGACGTGCCGGCGAAAAATTTTGTATCAGGACGAATGGCCGCAGTACGAGGAAGAACTCATAGGTGTTTTGAAGATGAAAGTGGCCTTCTCTCGAGAGATGACCAAGCCTGATGGCAGTGCGTATCGTATCTGTTTTCTACGGGATGCTGCTGACCCAATTGACAGGCAAAGTCTACGTACAGGGCCTCATCCACGACCTTGCCTCTGGAACTCGCTCCGCTCATCATCGACAAGCGCGCATATATCTACATATGGGGCGACGCCAAGAACATGTCGAAGGCTGTCGAGGAGATACTTATGGAGATGCTTGGGCAGGCGAAGGGCGGAAGTGCAGCAGTCGAGGGGGCCAAGGAGCTGAAGACTTTGAAGGAGAGAAACGTGAGCACAACGATCTGCGCCCTCTATTCTGCGACCTCTGCTGACTTTTCCCACAGAGATTAATAACCGACGTCTGGAGCTAGTTTACAGCCATCGGGAGCGGATGTGTCACAACAAGTATACGAATATGAAGGGTGTCGTAGGCGGACACATCTTACGAAATGTGCGACATACAAGGAGACTATAGAAGAGTCATGCATATGTTTACACACTCCAGTGACAACATACGACATACTGATGCAATACAGCAATGAGAGAACTTGACACGGATATAGTCATCTGCTATCATGCAAGCCATCATCAACTATCTCTGTTGGGCGCTTGACCTTATCCAGAGCCACTCTTTCACCTGCATCTACGTCCCGCTTTTCTTTCTCATGTCTGCTTGTCACGGCCCTGGGTATATGCCAAAACGGCCTGTCTGGGTGACAGACTCTTACGACAAACATCCAAAGTACCAGCGAAGCCGCAAGGAGGGCTACGGAGAGTGGCTGGAGGATCCAAACGCCATACTTTTCAGCGATGGCTCCTGTGATACTAGACCGCCCGTCAGTCTTCTTGCTCCTCGGGATATCTCAAAAGGAGTCACGTACAAAGGCATCATAGCGCTGCCAGCTTGCCCCAAGCTCGCTACCCACCCAATCGTCCCTCCCTGCAGCTCCCCAGGCAGCACCTCAGTGACGACATTTAGGGCCAATGGGTACATGGGCCCGAGGAAGACACCGACAAGGGCGAAGCAGACGGCGTTACCGACGATGGTGTGGGTGAACCAGATGATAAGGGATAATACTATAGAAGCGATAGTGCTGATACCTGTCAATGGGTCTGGAGCTCCCCGGGATAAGAAAGCTCACTAGGTCCAAATAGAAAGGTGGGGGCCAAGTCGTTTTGAGACAGGAATGAAGATGACTCTTCCGAGTGTGAGACCTGGGACAGCATTAGCATCTGGCTCTATGCCTCGGCAGCATACTGATAGCGTGCTCACCTCCGAAATAGCCAGCCGAAACGTAGCCAGCGTTGCTGTCGCCACCTCGCTCATCAATCAAGAACGAAGTCTGAGAACGAGATCAGCATGTGCCGCGGTATATGGATAGCAGTGACTTACCGCCCAGCCACCAATGGTAACTTCGACACCGACCTATGATGGATGGTCAACTCAGATAGGGTGAACACGCCAGGATAACCTACATACATGACCATGTAGAATGCCATGCAGTGTACCACGGGGGTCTTCAAGATCCTATTCATCTTGCTCCCGCTATCCTCGTTGATCTTCTTCACTGGTGGACCATCCTTTTGAACGGTCTCGGATGGAAACACCTCTTTCTTTTCCTCCACTTCCTCCTGTCTGCTTCCGACGATCTGGTCTGCTGTCCGCAGGCGGAAAACCCCCAATACTAGCGCCGCCGTGAGAACCGCCAGCCCTAAGCTGACGGTGTAATACAAGTACACCCTGTCAGGGATGTGTTGCACGAAAGCGGTAGCGACAAATGGAGAGACCGTTGCTCCAAATCCATAAAACGCATGCATGAGGAACATTTTGGTGGGAGCGTTGGGGAGGCGGGCAGTCAGGGAGTTGACTTGGGCATCCTGTACGATGTCAGTCGACAGGGTGGATATGAGATGGGGAAATGTATTACCTGAAGACCCAGACCAAACCCATTGAAGATGTATGCAATCAAGAACAGGGGATAAGGGCTGCCCCAACACATGAGGATATACGCTAAGCCTTGCATACTTGCCCCCAAAGGGGCAGCGATGCCAAAACCGAGGCGATCGGTGAGGAAGACGTTGGTGAGGCCAGAAGTCATGAAGCCGACAAAGTTCATGATGAAAAGGATCGAGACTGTGCTGATTAATCAGCTATGTATATGGCTTTCGAGATAGTCTATAGACTTACTGACCAGATAGTCGACCTGTTTCACGGCTCATTGTCAGCGAGAGAGCTATCTTCAACGAACGGCATCAACGCACATTGTAATATTCTTCCAGAGACGGTAGTAGTGGGCCTTGCGAGGCGTCATTCCACCCAGCTCTGGTATCACGAGTCTCAGTATGGGGCACATACGGAAAGTAGACCGAAGATAAGCCTACAAGAACATTACTAGAAACAATACGGCGCTGGTGCACGGTCAGTCTCAAGACGTGTCCAGCCTCGGCTGATCTCTACTCACAGCATGACATGCGACAATCGCCGGCTAGGAAGTGGCAGAACCCGGCTGAGCCTCTTGAGGATATAATGGCACTTTTGCAGGCTCCCGTGGGACCGCCGGGAGGAGACATGCTGGAGGCCGCCTTCGAGTTGCGCATCGACGTGGACTGGCTGGTTGGCCATGGCTGCGGTATGGTGGGATGGTTCAGCTTTTGGTGGCCCCACTGGGGATTATAAAGCGGCGAGGGTTGATAAAGCAGGACGGAGAATCAAGGCCGATCACGCCAGCTGTTGAGCGTGATACACAGGTGTGAGGTGATACCCGCAAGATACCCGGGGCCACCGGTTGATTTTACACGGCGTTCAGGCCGGGGTAGATTACTCGTACCTAGCGGAATCAATTTAGACCCTTCTGACGCTTTCCCCATCTTTGGTTTCGGCAACCCAATTTGCCAATTCTGGGCCAGATGCTACTTCCCCGTCTTAGTCGACTCGTTCAGCAACTCGTTCATCTGGATCTGTATTTTCTCCATTTCTTTTCCACAATCTCCTCAAAATGTCCTCATCAGAGCCCACCATCATCCCCTCCTCCAACCCCAATACTAACGGCGCCCCCGTCTCCCACGGCACCTCCACCCCTCTCCTCGGCCCCAGAGGTGGAGGCGCCAGCAGCGGCGCTGGCGGTAGTTTCGGCGTCAAGAGCGGTCTTGCTCAGATGCTGAAAGGCGGGTGAGTATCTTGATGACCATTCGAAGCACGCTAATGGTCAACAGTGTCATCATGGACGTTATGAACGCCGAGCAAGCCAAGATCGCCGAAGAGGCTGGTGCTTCTGCTGTCATGGCCCTTGGTACGTATCTGCTTGTTCCTTGGGCTTCAGCTGACGCATAGTGCAGAGCGAATTCCCGCCAACATTCGACGAGATGGCGGTGTTGCTCGTATGTCTGATCCCGGTATGATCAAGGAGATCATGGAGGCCGTCTCGATCCCTGTTATGGCCAAGGTCCGTATCGGCCACACCGTTGAGGCCCAGATCTTGCAGGCTGTCGGTGTCGACTATATCGATGTGAGTTCTCTTAGTAAACTTTGACAGTCAACTGACAATGTTAGGAATCCGAGGTTCTCACTCCCGCCGACGACCAGCACCACATCGGCAAACACGCATTCAAAGTCCCTTTCGTCTGTGGCTGCAAGAACCTTGGTGAAGCTCTTCGTCGTATCTCTGAAGGCGCCGCCATGATCCGAACCAAGGGTGAGGCTGGTACCGGTGATGTTGTTGAGGCCGTCAGGCACCAGAGGCAGGTGATGGGCGAAGTGCGAAAGGCCGCGGCGATGACGGACGAAGAATTGTATGCGTATGCCAAGGACATCTCGGCGCCGTACCATCTGTTGAAGGAGACTGCTAGGCTCAAGAGGCTGCCGGTTGTTTCGTAAATCGCCGTTTCCCATTTAGATTCTCTAGCTGACCGGCCTTAGCTTTGCTGCTGGTGGTGTCGCTACCCCTGCCGACGCCGCTCTCATGATGCAGCTTGGCTGCGACGGTGTCTTTGTCGGTTCCGGTATCTGTAGGCCCATCTTCTTTCCTTCTCCCCCCAAGCTGACCTCCCACAAGTCTTGTCTGGCGACCCCGCCAAGCGTGCCCGAGCTATCGTCCAAGCCGTCACCCACTACAACAACCCCACCGTCCTCGCCGAGATCTCCACCAACATCGGCGACGCCATGGTTGGTATCAGCACGTGAGTCTCTGTCCATTCCAACACATCAACATTAGTACACATGCTGATGGATGTGAATAGGGCGCAAGAGGGCGCCAACATCCAGGGCGGCCGCTTGGCTGGCCGTGGCAACTAGGCCACTCTACATCTCCATCTTCATTCTCTCCTCCACTGTATCCATCATCTCGCTAAAACCCCACCCCAAGTAGGGGGCGTTCTCAACACGCATATCCACTCGTCTCTCTCTTCTTGACGGGATGTAAGAAGGGACTTCAAAAAGTAATCTGTGAATCAACTCCATAGAGAATTGTATACGGCTCATTTCATCGTTCATCATAATCGGTCAGGAGAGATAAAGGAGTTCATACGGAAGGAGCCGGTGCATCGCGTTCGGGTGTTTGAGTAGCGCTCACGTCTATGAATATCATCGGGCCGCGATCATCATGTTATCGCCAAAGCAGACCATTGTCGGCCTTTCCAAGCACTAAGAAAGACTCGCCATCGAGAGAGGGTTAAAGGCGTAATTCGAGCATCGACCGGTGCCACCCAAAAACGCGATGGGGTCGGATTGCGAATCCATAGCAGTCTATGGCATGAGGTAAACATATGATATCGACGAAGCAGATGGCGTGATACATACGAGAGTCTTACCACCGTCTCCTAATTCGAAGGGAAACATGTCTTTATCAGCCTGCTTTGAGACTCTGACTCGGTGTAAGGGATTGGTACCCCTAGTTACCGAACCCTGCGTTCCATAGTACACGTTACAACATCTCCTCCTACTAGCCAGTCTGTACCAATCCCTTACACTGGCGATATGCAATGAATGACGAGCGCGATGAGTGCGAAGATGGCAAGAGATACTATGGCGAGGAGTACTCGTGAAAGGCAGATAGATTCTCGTAGAATTCGGCTTCAGCATCTTGAAGTAATTCGTACTCATCGCGCTATGCAAGGAAAAATAGTCAGGAAAATCTGTCAAGCATATGAGCATGGAACCTACAATTTCATCCGCTCTTTCCCGAATGGATGCGAATTTTTCCCGGCGAGTATTGTAAGAGTACTTGTAGGCGTCGATCTGTAGGAGTCGGCCTAATCAGAATGTCTTCCCTTCATTATACGCAAGCACGCCTACTTTGGGGTGTCCCTTCTTGAAGATCTCGCAGCAGTCGCACTTCACTGGTCCCTCAAAGCTGACGACTTCTTCCCACCACTTCTTGAACAACCCATCAAAATGTTCATCTTGACCTAGAGGATAACCATCGAGGACGGCCGAAATGATGTCGGTATTGGGTGGGATGGGCGCCATATTGGTGAATCGGATCTTCCATGGTTTCATCGTGGGTCGCCAGCTATACAAGCAGTCAGCCGTGGTTAACCAAAAAGGGTAGATCACATACACGTTGGCTCCCAATCTGTCATCTTGCATCCGCTCTTCCCACTCAAACATGTAAGCCTCCATCTCCCAAGTCATCATCGCGATCTGCCTCTTCCAGTCACCGTCACCATTCTCCGTATTCCTCGGCAGTTCATAGATCATCGTATCGGCCAGCCCAGGCTCAAAATCGTCGGGGTACGCGTTGTGTAGCGTCAAGGACATCTTCTCATCCACCTCGGACCTAAGCGCAAAGATTAGTCGCTTTCAAAGCAGCTTTGTGATGAGCTCGCTTGACTGTCTTTTCTCGACCTCATCTAGGTTCCCAAGTTGGGCTGCCTCCTCATATTCGGCTTCCATATTGTAATATGTGTCGTTGAAGCTCAGGCAGACATGCTTGAGCGCCGGCCCGAAGGACTTGTACTTGACCGCAAATCTTTCGTCGCTAGTGTGGGGAGCATGCACTGAGACAGTCTCTCCAAAAGAGAGATGGGTCACGGAGGAAAAGAGGGGGTCTGTGATCCAGGTATAGTCGGAAGACTCGGCATTACGGATGTCGTGTTCCCGAGGCCACGCATTGACGGCGTCCCGGACCGAGTCGTTTCCCTTTCGAAGTCCGTTAAAGGCCTTCCAGCTATCGATGTAGAGCCTGCGACATTGGTGTATGTGGAGGAGTTTTCGAATGGCGGGATGGAGATGGAAGGGGATGTAAGATTCGTACTCGTATTTATGGTAGGAAATCCTGGACGGGATGTGGGATGGTCGTTTCAACCGTCGTTTGGAATGAGAGTATCCCTCGATTTCCCGTGCGAGGGCTTTCGCAGAAGCCTCGCACCGGAGGTGAGGAGGACACGGGTTCTGACAAAAGTGAATCTCCCTGGCGCTCCATAGTCCGTCAAAAAACGCCTTGTGATTCTGATTATTCAGCTCGACAGCTTCATACAGCCTCCACGCATTCTCTGAATAGACCTCCTTGGAGAGGGTGATGAGACTGAGGAACTGGCTTCTACTCTCGAGGGGGTTCTGGGCGAGATAGTAGTCGTAGATGAGGGAGATGACTTCGGAGGGTAAAGGCGAGAGAGTGGTCAGGTCGCAGTGGGGCTGGGGGTTCTTTGAAGGCGAGGTGGACATGGGGCGGATGTTGAATTGCGATTGTGGGATATCTATAGTTTTGAGTCAAAGAGGAACTAGATTCATGGCAGAAGAGACTTGCGGGCGATATTTGGGCGATATCAAGGCGATATCATTTGGGCGACTGGATATCGTCTGAGCTCATTTGATTCCGTTCAATACCCATAGTTCTCCGTACAGACCACAGAAGTCGAGTTGTCTCGTCTAAGCATTGCGTCTGGAGCCAAACAACGATAACAAGTCTTCACATTCATATTCATTGCAACTTTGCCTACGCCTACGACGACTCAGACCGTGACACATCTTCACGCCGACAATAAACTCGACATCGACGGCCATAGCCTCCTCAAAGTACCGCGTCCCGTCTGATCCGCGAAGTCAACTAGGAGAGCGCTCGGTTAGTACCAGGGTGGGGGACCACCTGGGAATCCCGGGTGCCGTCGTTTTTACTTTTTTGTCGTCCTGCCAGTTTCGCCTATCAGGTTCAGGTGGAGAGAGAGGGAGAGAGGGCATAAGGGTAGAATCCAGAGGTGGCGTTTTGGAGAAAAGATGCTATATGTTATTAGTGATGCTGGGCTGGAAGACCGCGAGGCATGTTGAGTGAATATATTTCCAGCGAGTGATTGTTGAGAGGTCTTGTTCGCCCCCCATGAGCTAGCTGAGATACAGAGGGGCAACATCTGCAAAAGACGACTCTAGAAGTATTTTTCAGAAGAGAGAGGGAGGAGGATAGATGCAGATTGATCACCACAAGTTGGCTTATGGTCCCGCGCATGCGACGCTGCGCACGTTCACAAGCTACATCGCGAGTCGATCTTCCGTCGATACAACACGTAAGTTGCGTGCGTGCATAAATGAATGGTAGAGCTTGAGATACGCCGTTGGACATGGTGGAATGAGAGCCAAGGTCTTGCACGAGCAGGGTTTCGTCGCAATCAATCAGCAGGTATTTGCCAGCCGTCGTCGCTTACTCTCGTCATCCGCCGAATGCTATCTCCCACTTGTCTCCCACTGCCGGTGCCATGCCGCTGAACATTTGTTAGCCAGCTCCACTTGTCACCACATGACGATCTGCAACTTGTGTTGAGCCAGGACAAGAACCGGGAATGCGTTCGGGAATGCAGGACCCGGGCTGCATGTACGAGTACGTTATGGCATCGTGGCTGAACTGGGCCGCAGGCGTCGAGTAAGAGCAATTAGCTTCCACATTAGAGTTTGAATGAAACACGCTAGTGGGCTGATAAGAAAGTTTGTATTGCGGCATCAAATTACCTAATTCGGAGGAACGCTGCCCCGCGCACGCGCCGCCGTTATGTTATTGTCTCTCGCTCATTTATCTCTATCTGTTCTTTTTGTTTACACTTTCCCTTTCCCATATCTCCGCCTCTTGCACGCCCCCTCCCTCCTGCCCTTACATAGCGCACCCATCGCCACCCAACGCCTGCCCACGGCCCCGCCCTCACGACCATCTCCTTTGTCGTCGCGTCCGACATCACCCACCGATCCGTCTCGAACGACAGAGTATCCCCTCCGCCCACCTCTCATCCAACTTTATCTCTCCCCGCCACCCGCTGTGCTGAATCTCTCGCGCTCAGTATACCCGCTCGCCCTTTTTTGAGATCTTGGACACGCGCCAGATCTCCCCAACGCGCCTTTCGAAAAGCGTTACGATCAGACTTTCTTGTCACTCCCACCGGAAACACGCACGATGACCACGATGACAATGGCCACCCCGGCCACGCCTTCCACCTCCACCCACTCCCCCTCCGCCTCTGTGCACTCGCATCTCTCCCGCCGGCTCACCAACAGAATGACCAACCGTTACTCTGTCAACGCCATGTACTCTCTCGCCGCCGAGCAGGATATCGAGCTTGAAGACGAGCTTTCCCGAGCGCAAAAGAAGCTGCGGGACCTCAAGTCCAGGATCTCGTCCCAGTCGAAAAAGAACTTTGTGCTGGAGAGGGACGTGCGATATCTCGATTCGAGGATTGCGCTCCTGATCCAAAACAGGATGGCTGCGGATGAGAAGAGGCAGGTGGCAGAGACGTTGGAGGATGTGGATGAGGATAGCGGGCTGTGGCCGGATGAGAAGAAGATGGGGCAGTATGCCAACTTGTTCTTTTTGCTGCAGAGCGAGCCCAGGCATATCGCTAGTCTGTGCAGGCTCGTTAGCCTGTCGGAGATTGACACTTTGCTTCAGACCGTCATGTTTACTCTCTATGGTAATCAGTACGAACAGAGAGAAGAGCATTTGCTCTTGACAATGTTCCAAGTGAGTCGCGGTGTCTCGCTTGGGGTATATATACTGAGAAGCTTTGCAGAGTGTACTATCCGCCCAATTCGAAACGACGACCGAATTCGGCTCCCTCCTCCGTGCCAACACCCCCGTCTCCCGAATGATGACCACCTACACACGGCGTGGACCTGGTCAGAGCTACCTCAAAGGTGTATTGGCGGACAGGATCAACAGTCTCATCGAGCACAAGGATTTGAATCTAGAGATTAATCCTCTCAAAGTGAGTGTTACCTCTATGGATGTAGACGGGGCTGATGGGGAGTAGGTCTATGAACAGATGATCCAGCAGATTGAGGAGGATACCGGTAGCCTGCCGCCCTCTCTACCCCGAGGCGTACCGCCAGAAGTCGCGGCTGCCAACTCGGACGTGCAAGCCATTATCATCCCGCGTATCACCATGCTTATGGAAATCGCCAACTCGTTCCTGTCGACTATTATTGACAGTCTTGACTCGGTGCCGTATGGGATTAGGTGGATATGTAAGCAGATCAGGAGCTTGACGAGAGTAAGTTGCGCACAAGTCAAGGGGTTGTAGCTGATACGGGCTGTAGAGAAAGTATCCGGATGCAACGGATGCGAGTATCTGCTCGCTTATTGGTGGATTCTTCTTTCTTCGATTCATCAACCCGGCCATCGTCACTCCGCAGGCGTACATGCTTGTCGACGGCGTCCCAGCCAAACACCCCCGTAGAACGTTGACTCTGGTACGTCCCTCTTGCACATTAGAAAGCCGGATAGTAACTCTGGGCTAGATCGCAAAGATGCTGCAAAACCTGGCAAACAAACCGAGTTATGCGAAAGAGCAGTATATGATGTCGCTCAACCCGTTTGTGGAGAACAACAAGACGAGGATGAACCAGTTTTTGAATGCTCTGTGTGAGGTTGGAGACTTTTATGAGTCTCTCGAGGTGCGTCGACACTTCCTAGAGCCGGACAGAGCTGACGAGTATGACAGTTGGACCAATATATGGCACTGTCAAAGAAGGACCTGCAAATCAACATTACCCTGAACGAGCTGTACAACACGCATTCGTTGTTGATGCAACATATGGACGTCCTGGTACGTCTCTCCCCATCTCCGTCTCAATCTATACTAATCCAGCGCTTAGTCTCCAAACGACAAACACCACCTCCGCATCCTACTCGACGAGCTCGGCGCCGCCCCCGCCCAAGTGCCGCGTAAAGAGAACCGCTCCATCGAGCTCCCCCTCTACTCGCGCTGGGAGACCCCGATCCAAGACTTGTCGACCTCCCTCATGTCGGATTCCGTCACGCAAAACGACATCAACTATATGGAGACGAAATCGATCTTTGTGCAGCTGCTCCGTTCGATGCCGACTGTAGCGGATAAGAGGCCGGTCAACTTGGGCGCGCTGGCGGAGAAGGCGGCTACGAGTAAAGACCCCGTGCTCGTGCGACGGGGGATCAAAGTGCAGGCGCTGCTTGCAGAGCTGGATGCTGCTGGGGTGATTGACCGCGCGGACGAGTACAAGCTGATGCAAGATGAGGTCTCTGCCGAGATGGTGCACCTGGGAAATGCCAAGGAGAAAGTCGTGCTCGAAGCGCGGTCTTTGGAATCCGTCTACAAGACGATCTGCGATCACAACAATTACTTGCGCGGGCAGTTGGAGCAGTACAAGGCGTATTTGCAGAATGTGAGGTTGACGAGTAGTAAGGATAAGGGCGCGACGGGGGTGGGGGTGGTGACGGTGAATGGAAAGGAGAAGAAGCAGGTGGATAAGAAGGTGTTGGGGCCGTACATGTTTAAGCATCGGGAGTTTGAGAAGGAGGGGATTATCATGGAGAGTAATGTCCCGGAGAACCGGTGAGTCTTTTCTTCTCTAGCCATGGGGGCTGCGAGCTGACTGACTTTGGGTTGGGATAGACGGATGAACATTTACTTTATGATCACCTCGCCCGCGCCCGGCACATTCATCATCGCCCTCCATTTCAAAGGCCGCGACAAGCCGATACTGGAGATGGATCTCAAGATTGATGATTTGCTGGAAAAGCAGAAAGATCAGCAGGCCATGTTGGATCTGGAGTATGTGCAGCTGAATGTGCCGAAAGTGTTGGCGCTGTTCAACAAAGTGAGTCTGATTCATCCCTTGGTATTGGGGAATGGTGCTGATGGGGGTGTAGCTCTTTTCAAAGAAGCGATAAGGAGGGATGCAAAGGGGTGGTCTTGGGCGCTGGCGTTGAGAGACTTGAATGTCGAGGTGTGATTCCACAAATCCTACTATAAAATGTCATCTGTTAATCTATCTATTTGTTCTTCGCTCATCTACTTTTTTCGTTCCTCTTCATTTTTTTCGGTTTTTTCTTTTGGGAGTTACATACAAATGTCTGTTTCTATTGTCGTCTCAGCCCCTGTACCTGTAGTCATCGAGTACGGATCGGGGTGATGTGACTTGTCAGTATGCACATCTAGTGTCGGTATCTCCTGCCTCTTGCGGCGTTGTCTCTTTCCCTATCTCGCATACCCCTGAACTGCCGACCATACTCGCTTTCTAAACTCTGTTGAACACTACTGAATACTGCTGAATACATCCCCTCCCCTTATCTCTCGACGAGAATAGCAAAGGAAGGTGTGACAGACAGGGTTTAAGCTTCATAGCCGCAAGCCACGTTTAAGCCTCCACATCTCCGGATGCGGGGAGAACGTGGGGGCCGACGGCCTGCGTATGCTTACTTGGCCAGTGACCGAGAGGGTTGGTTTGGATGCCGTACGTGCTTGAAGGGGCAGATAGAGTCATAGAGGAGATGAGTACGACGAGGGGGAGAGAGGGTGCGGTGGGAGATAGTATGCATGGGGTATACCGACCCGTACGCCGAGGAGAGATGCCGGGCTGAGTGCATTCGGGGGTGCCGAGGGATCTGGGGTCTCGGCGGCTCGGCGGCATGCACTGGGGGATCCTGGAGACCGCACCGGTACAGTGAGGATGCACGAGTTGGTGCGAGATCGGAAGGGATCGCAACAGAGAACTCGGCGGGACCCGGGTGGATTAGGTCATCGCTGGGAGCGTATGACCGAGAACAGCTGCCAAGTATATAAACCGTGCTGTACCCCCCCCCCTTGCAGCCCCATCCGCCATGAGCGACTCCCACTCCCTCACCTCCTTCGGCACCGCCCGCGCCACCGTCCAGGGCGCACCCCTCAGCAAGCATGACCTCGAACAGACAGACGCCTACATGCGCGCATCCCTCTACCTCTGCCTCGGCATGCTCTACCTCAAGCAGAACCCGCTGCTCAAGGAGCCGCTGACCAAGGAGCACCTCAAGTCTAGGCTCTTGGGGCACTGGGGGTCGGACAGTGGGCAGATATTCACGTATATCCATTTCAACAGGTTGATCAAAAAGTATGATTTGGATGCGCTCTTTGTTTCGGGGCCAGGTGAGTCAATCCCTCGTACCATATTACACCTACCAACACCCTCTCAGGCCACGGCGCACCCGCCGTCCTCTCCCAGTCCTACCTCGAAGGCGTCTACTCGGAAGTCTACCCCAACATCACCGAAGACGTCGAAGGCATGCGCCTCTTCTTCAAGCAATTCTCATTTCCCGGCGGTGTCGGTTCCCACGCTACCCCCGAGACCCCTGGTTCTTTACACGAAGGCGGCGAGCTGGGGTATTCCATCTCGCACGCGTTTGGAACCGTGTTTGATCACCCCGAGTTGATTACTTTGACGATGGTGGGCGATGGGGAGAGTGAGACTGGGCCGCTGGCGACGTCTTGGCACAGTACCAAGTTTTTGAACCCCATCACTGACGGCGCCGTCCTCCCTGTCCTCCACCTCAACGGGTAAGCCCTCCCTCCCTATTCTAGATTTATATCTGACACTTGTATAGCTACAAGATCAACAACCCCACCGTCCTCGCCCGTATCTCGCACGAAGAGATCGAAGCCCTCTTCATCGGCTACGGCTGGAAACCCTACTTTGTCGAGGGCTCCGACCTCGAATCCATGCACCAAGCCATGGCCGCCACCCTCGAGCAGTGCGTCCTCGACATCAAGGGCTACCAGAAGCAAGCCCGCGAGTCTGGCCAGGCCTTCCGACCCAAGTGGCCGATGGTCATCCTCCGTTCGCCTAAAGGTTGGACGGCGCCGAGGAACGTATCGGGGCATCACCTCGAAGGCTACTGGCGTGCGCATCAGATCCCCCTCGCGGATGTCGCTACCAGCTCGGAGCATCTCAAGCTGCTGGAAGACTGGATGAAGAGCTACAAGCCCGAAGAGCTCTTTACGCCCGAAGGCAAGCTTATCCCAGAGCTCAAGGAGCTGCCGCCAAAGGGGAATAAGAGGATGTCGGCGAACCCTGTGGCGAATGGAGGTACGATCCGCAAGGCGCTGCGCCTGCCCGACTTTAGCAAGTATGCATTCACCAACATCTCCCCCGGCGCGTCCCTCGGGCCGAGCATGGCCAACATGGCCATCTGGCTTCGAGACGTCATTGCGCAGAACCAGACCAATTTCAGGCTGTTTGGGCCGGATGAGACGGAGAGTAACAAGCTGGGCAAGGTGTATGAGGCGGGCAAGAAGGTGTGGATGGGCGAGTATTTGGAGGAAGATGGGGATGCGGGGAACTTGGCGCGTGAGGGGAGGGTGATGGAGATTCTGTCGGAGCATACTGTTGAAGGTTGGCTCGAGGGATACGTCTTGTCCGGCCGACACGGTCTTGTGAGTCCCCCCCCCCACCTCCCCTCCAGAGAGACCGTCACTGACATACGCACAGCTCAACTCGTATGAACCATTCATCCACATTATCGACTCCATGGTGAACCAGCACTGCAAATGGATCGAGAAATGCCTCGAAGTCGAATGGCGCGCCAAAGTCTCGTCGCTCAACATTCTCCTCACCGCTACGGTCTGGAGGCAGGACCACAACGGGTTCACGCACCAGGACCCCGGGTTCCTCGATGTCGTCGCCAACAAGTCTCCCGAAGTCGTGCGCATCTACCTCCCTCCCGACGGCAATACCCTCCTATCAACCATGTCCCACTGCCTCGAGAGCAAAAACTATGTCAACGTCATCGTCGCAGACAAACAAGACCATCTCCAGTACCTCACCATGGAGGAAGCCAAGATCCACTGTACCAAGGGTCTCGGTATCTGGGAGTGGGCGTGTGTCGGGGATGCGAATGAAGAGCCGGATTTGGTCATGGCTAGTTGTGGGGATGTGCCTACTATGGAGTCCTTGGCTGCGACGGCATTGTTGAAGGAGTATTTGCCAGAGCTGAAGATTAGATTCGTCAACGTTGTCGACTTGTTCAAGTTGATTGATCATGAGGATCACCCGTACGTCCCTCTTCTTCTTATATACGCGAGTGTATTACTGATCAGGCGTTAGGCACGGGTTGACAAACCACGAGTGGACCTCGTACTTTACAGCCAACACCCCCATCATCTTCAACTTCCACTCCTACCCCTGGCTCATCCACCGCCTCACCTACAAACGCCCGGGCCACCTCAACATCCACGTCCGCGGCTACAAAGAAAAGGGCAACATCGACACACCCCTCGAGCTCGCTATCCGAAACCAAACCGACCGATACTCGCTTGCCATCGACGCTATCGACCGCTTGCCGAACCTCAAGAACAAGGGGAGCGTGGCGAGGGAGAAGCTGTTGGGGGCGCAGATCAAGGCGAAGGAGTGGGCGTATGAGCATGGGATTGATCCGGAGGAGGTAAGGGGGTGGAAGTGGCCTTATGGGGAGGATAGGGGGAAGAAGGGGGTATTGGAGAGCTTGGCGAGTGGGGTGGTTGGGGGTGGGGAGAATAAGAAGCAGGTGGCAAGTGTCGGGACGAGCGAGTAGAGGTTTTTCTTCCCCCTCGGGTTCTGTTTTTTGTGAAATGGTCTGGTATAAGAAGATTGTAGATAAAGTCTTGAATTGAGATAACAAGAGAATGGATTGCGATTCGAACTGTACGGAATAATCGCTGCTTGCGCGAACAAGGAAGAAGGGGAGGCCCGAGCGCAATAGCTTGGGCGACCGACGTGGCGGCATCGAAGACGGTTGATGAGTAATACCAAACCATTCTCAGGAAGAAGCCCGCGACGTTGAAGGACGGGTCATCAGGCTTCCCATTTGTGATATAGACAGAACGGCGACCTTTGTGACCGCTTTCTTACTCGACTTTCGATCGTCTTCCTCGCCTTCTCCACTTTCACGATCGCATTCCTACCCAAGTAATCTGCAGCTTGATGATCCGTCTGGACCATTAGGCATCAGGTGTACGGCTAGCCAAAAGATTCGAAAAGGAGCTGCACACGTAGAGGTGGCGCGCCAAGTGCAATGTAAGCATGTTCCGTGTTTGTTGAAGTGATACTTCACATGATACACTATGGGTTTACAACATTATCTACATCCAAGAACCTCGCCTCACCGCCGCTAATCTTCCAGGCTTTCCCTGGTCGCACCGACGTGGCAAACCTTCGGAGGACGGAGAAGGCTGCGGATGACTTTGGAGAGAGGTCACCTTCACGATACACCAGGGGGTCGGTGGTGTGGTCGTGTATAACCTTGCATGCGAGAGGCCAGAGGTCACGAAGGTGACGCAAGGTCTCCCCAATCTCCTTCTCCTCGGTCGTCCCAGCCTCGATCAACATCTCCCGTAGGAGATCCTCGTGTTGTTCAAGGAGGAATTTCCACACCCCACCGGTCCCCCGTTCCATGATCGCCTCCCCTCTCTTGTCCCATTTAGGCTGAGTGGAGCTCAACCTTTTCGATGGCTTCTCCTGCGCTACGACATGTTGACGGTACACCGCGACTGTCTCCTCTAATTGCTGGTCAGCACATCACCTGTGGCCAGATCCTGTGGAGAGCCTACCGATTGTTCTTCGGACGTTCAACACGGTGACATCGGCCGTCATTAGAGGAAGAGCTCTCCTCAGCGACGTAGTCTAAGCCAGAGCTCATCAGCTTACTGACGGGGCGACAAGGAATGCCAAGCTTACCGCGGGTGAGGGTTCTGCCCCTTCCATTGGTGTTCTCGACTCGCGGTGTATTCTGGCGCACAATTCGAGTCCGCCCATACGCGGGGGAGCGGTAAGGGCGGGGAGGGGAAAGGCTCGATTGGAAGGGAGCATAGTGAACGCTTTGATGCTGTGTATGTTGTGTAGAGGAAGGATGTCAACAAGTTGATGCTGAAGCTTTAAAGGGCAGTGTGAAGTTGACCGTAGATCGCCACAGGATCTTCAGGGTCATTATCGCACCCAGAAGACGGTTCTGTCCAATGCATTGGCCATTCGGCTTCTTTTTGTGCATGTGCTTATTGCCATCAAGTCGCCTCTGATATACATACCAACACAATCATACAAATCTGGAATAAGTAGAGCTTAGCAAACGTCTGTCCCCCTTGAGGTGGCATTCTTTCCTGGCGTCATTGAGGTCCTCGAGAGCTTTATCCTCATATTCGGCTATGAGCCGCATTCTCTCATTAGCTCAGCCCTCTTACACCGATAGAAAATCAAACATACGCCAGATCTCCTTCTCGCCGTTGAAAGAAATGACCTCCAATGTCGCCTTAGTCAGAGACCTGCACTTTGCCACACATAGGAATGATACCAGCGCCAGACCTTCAGCCGGATTGTGCTTTCTCAGATCAAGCGTCAGAGTGGGCGGGATGGAAGAGCTGGATGACAGAGAAGGATCTTTCGGGTAGCGCAGAAACTCCTCTTCGAGGTTGTCCGTGGCTTCGTCGATGCTGCCGATAGTCAGGCCGACCGTATTCGCCTCGTACTTGAATAGAAGCGCTTCGACAATGCCGTGGAAGTGGAGCCCATTGTCCCTAATGACGAGTTCGATGGTTTCAGCGTCGCTGGTGTCGAGGCGCTCCCAATATCGAAAGCGCTCAAGGACGGCCTCTGGATGGTATACGATCAGCGAGAAGGCTGCTTGTAGCGAGCGGAAGGACATACCAAAGACTGGGTGACAACCTTTGATGCTCTGCGGATCATGTTTTCGCTGCACGAGGGTGTTCGAGTTTGATGGTCTCTGATGTCCTGTCGTCAAAAGCGCACTCGAAGCTACATCATGGCACTCACCTTCATCAAAGGTGGAGGAAACCAGGTATACTCCGGAGGGGGGATGGAAGTGACGGACGCGGACGCGTTTCGTGGGTCGGAACCCAAAGAGTAAAGCCTGAGGTTTGGTGAAGTGGCGATTGGGATGACACTGCGGCGATGGCCCGAAAACGGAAAGGATTCGTGGAGCGAGGCAATATGCCTGGCCAGACGGAGGGCGGTGGGGCGCACGGTCATGACCATAGATGCTTCTGCCACCTTGTGTTGAGAAGAGGCGTAAGGAAAGTGTTTCGAGTTGTTGCGGGAGATAAGAGAAGGATGATCTGTGACTTGTCTGTGACCGTGAGAATCAGATGATCGTTGGCGGAACGGCATCAAATTAGGAGCGGCCGTGCTCATACTATATATCCTCAAGTAACCCTACTCAGCCTCTTTGCTGCTTTGTTGATTCTTATATCTCTTCAGGATGCGAGTTGTGCCATACCCAATCATGCACTTGTACACAATACGAGGGGTCTCTCCTCGCCGCCGCCATACCCAATGATGCAGTCGTACACAATACGAGGGGTCTCCCCTGGCCGCCTTCGTCTTGGACGAGCAGTCTCCCAAGATATAAAATGGGCTACCAGCGTCTATCTCAGATAAAACGCCAAATAATGACATTTCCACCGCAGCTCGGAGGCTCGAACGCAACAACTTGGGCGACCGACGTGGCGGCATCGAAGAAGCCCGCAACGTTGAAGGACGGGTCATCAGACTTCCAGAATCTTGACTAGCGTTGACTCATGCATTTGTTATAAAGACAGGACAACGAATTTTGTGACCGCTTTCTTTCTCGACTGCCTCTCATTCGACTTCCTCGTCTCCTCCACTTTCTTCCTCGCCTTCTTCGGAAGAGGACACTCCCATAGCCGTGTCCTCTCTTGCCCCTGGAGCTACTCTCGGCTCCAGAAAGACGACACTGCTGTCTTCGGAGTACTCCGATCCGTGAGAAGGGCTACTTGATGGAAGGACGCGCGGCCGCTTGCGAGGGACAGATACTGGGAGGGGAGAGGACGAGTGCTTGCGTCTTGACACTTGAGACACATTGGCATCGTCGTCTCTGTCGCTTGCCTCTGCCATATCCTCATTTTCAGACGACGATGAGGGCACAGAGATAGCTGCGCGTTTACCCTTTCCCGGTCGCTTCACGTCAGCCTCTTCCTCGACGTCGACGTTGCCGGATAGGGTGGTTGGGCCGGATGCTTGGATGAGTGCGCGTAGCTTGAAATAGTAGGGATATTTAGTTTTGAGATCAGCTACGTAGTTGTCACTTTCAACAGTCTCATTACAGCCTTCGTACGAAACACCCACCTTTTACGTGGTTGGGTACGTTACTCCAGCTGTACCATGATGGATGGAAGCCGTCATCATGAAATCTGCCCCTTTTGAAGGCGACCGTCAGACTAACAAAGTATTAGCTTATTCAGAATAGCTATGATATACTCACGTCTGTATCGTTTCCTCAACAGGGTTGACCACCGGTTTCTCAAACTTGTTCGTCGCGACCCACTTCTTCTTTCCATTGGTCCCATCCGCTTTCCTAACCAGCCCACGTCTCTCCGCGTGCTCCATTACCGGGTCATTTCTGAAAAAATGTAGAAATATGTCGATGTAGATGCCGTATAAATCCCGTCCGGAGGCGTCGTGTTCAGGAAAACAGGCTTGACGCCACGAGCGACGATGGTCAATACAGTAGAGAAGATCTCTGATACTGGTGTGCCTTCTCTTGTCCCAGGAAGGAGAAAGTCTCGGGACGGATGAGCTGGGCTGATTGCTTCCCGTACCCGAACTGCCGCCTGCCTCCGACATATATCCATCATGCGAGGGGGAGGGTGAATGGGCGGCTGTACGCTTGCTCTTCTTGCCGATTCGATTCGCTTCTCCCTCAACGCCGGTGAGCAAAAGGGAGGACAGTTATCCAGAGGATGTTTGCGACTGGGGTTGGAGGATGGCCGCATGAGTTGGAGAAGGTCAAAATAGTAGGGATAATCAGCTTCCAAACTATCTACATGGTATGTCAGCTTGATTCAAGTTCACAGCTCGCCCGTCATAGCTAGAACTCACCAAGCAAACGCGCGGGAACATCCGGCCAATCCTCCCAAGACTGATCAAAGTGAGGTGTATAAATTCCCGCCTTATAATCTCTCTTTAGTCTTTGCGCGCATCAGCTGCGACACAATGAGGTACGCAATGTACTCACGCCGATACCTTAGCCCTCACAGGGTTGTGCACATGCCTTGCAAACTTCTCTGTGGCAACCCACGTCGGCTTTTTACCATTCCCTTCGATCTTTTCGACCAGCCCCTTTTTCTCCGCGTCCTTCATGGCCGGATCAAATCGGAAAGATCGCAGGAAGATATCTTTGTATACTTTGTATGCCTGTGGCACGGCGACTTCAGTTTCAGAAAAGCAGACTTGACGCCATGAGGGGTTACTTCGGATGTTGCGAAGGAGGCGGCTGATGATTCGCGGGTTTGTGTCCCACTGAGGAGACATGCAAGAGACGGGAGCATCCGTAGAAGAAGCGGTGCCGGAGACTCGAATAGTTGGTTTTGGTTTCTTATGACTCGGGGTCATAGTTACTGGGGCATCGCTGTCGCTCTCCCCTGACCCTGCCATCCTCTCATCTTCGGAGGGCGGAGCAGTTGCAGGTCGTTTGCCCTTGCTCTTTGTGGTCGTCTCTGACACAACACCGCCTGATGATTCGGGAGCATCATTCCCAAAAGTCTCGATATACTTTACAGCCCCGCCGTCTAGCAATTTCTTTTTTTGAGAGCGGTCTAGGAGTGGGGGAGGGCTTAGATTTCTTGTCGATGTTGGGAGATGAGGGATAATCAAAGTCGGGGGAAGACCCGGCGAGTTCGAGTAGTCGAAAATAGTAGGGATGAAGGACTTTGAGATGGGCTACGTGACACGTCAGTCAGGAGGTTCTCAATTTCTCAGACGCCATAGCTAGCACTCACCTCGGAGGTCCTTGGGTACGTCTTTCCATCTTTTCCAAGACGGAAGAAACCCGTGGACGCTTGTGTACACCCCCGCCTTCAAGTCTTTCTTCAGACTGCTTTGATGTCAGTGCACGCCCCCAGCTGAGTAAGAAATGCTCACGCATCGATCTTTGTCCTCACAGGGTTCCCCACCCTACTGCTGAACTTCTTGGTTGCCACCCAAGTCGTCTCTCCATCGTCTCCTTCCACTTTCACGACCAATCCCTGCCTCTCCGTGTCCTTCATCATTGCTCGGTCATCTTTGTAAAAAAGCATGAAGATGTCGATGTAGGTAGTGTATACGTGACGGAGGTTGGTGATCCCCTGAGGGAAGCACGCTTGGTGCCATAGTGGGTTGCGCTTGATGAGCTTGAGGAGGCGGGTGACTTCTGATGGGTCTGTGCTCCAGCTTGAAAAGACGTTAGCGACGGAGTTGCAGGGGACAGGAGACTTATTTACCGGACCCGGACGCTCAGTCTTGGGACGCTGCTGGTCGTAGCTGATGCTGGGTTAGACGAAGGCATCTTTTTGGCTCAGTGAAAGACTTAAGGGATGGAAGTGAAGAATCAAATTTGGGCGTTGACGAGCTACTGACAGCAACATCAGGGAGGCGGCGCACACCTCCACCTTAGCTCGGAAGCCCGAGCGCCTCCCACATCGTTGCAGCCCTGGAGAGTCACTTAACGATGTAAGTATCAACCAATCAAAGAGGCCAAAGAGTTGGCAGTGAGTGTTCGCTTACGCCGCACGATTGTAAAGAAGCAGCCCGACGACCTTCAACTTGAATCCCCATACATGGTGTCGGTTCAATGATTTCAAGTAAAGGAGATGTGCATGATATTGAAGGAAAGTAGTCAAGCTAGACGACTAGAGCACGCTGTATGATCCTTTTCAACAACATTCTCAAGTCCCATTCCCCAACAGCGTATTCTCTTGATGCATGGTTGCGTCGCCGTTGTGCCCAATAAGTGATTCTGCGCAGGTTATCCTGAAGAGGAAGCAACCCGTCCTTCAGCATGAAGTCCCAATACATGTTTTTTTTTTTATTTGTTGATAAATTTCGATTTTTCTCTTCTTGTATCAGGTCGCCGCCTGATCATGATTATAATCTCTAGAACATCTGCCTATTCCTCATCTCGACCGGGAGGAAGATCATGACAAACGCCGCCAGCCAGATACCTCCCGCGCCCAACCATAGGATACCCGAGCTATTGGATGCGAGGTACTTTTGACCTATGATCAAAGTCAGTTTGTGGCTTGATAAGAGTGTGAGACGGCAACTTGCCAGCAAAAGGAGCTACAATTCCTGCCAGACGTCCCAGGCAAGAGAGCATACCGCTCGCGCTTCCACGGTACGTGGTATCAAACAGCTCTGGCGCCGAGGAATACAGCACCGCATTGAAGTACTGCTCATATCAGCACAACGTCAAGCAGAGAACGACTTCACTCACAGTCTGCATGACATACTCCAAGGCATTTAGGCCCACATATCCAGCCGTCGTCCTCACCTGTGTATACATCGCCATCGAAAGCCCCTGCATCGCCGCCGAGAACACTAGCGACCATTTCCTGCCCACCAACGGCAGCTGAATAGAAAAAAGGGCGAGGATGGCGCCGATGATGCCGGGAAGATAGATGTAGACGTATTGGCGGTAGGTTTCGGTGACTGTGGTGGCGCCATCGGAGACGTTGTGGTTGAGAAGGACAATGGGAAGGAAAGAGCCTGCGAGGTTGAAAGACCAATAGTCGCCCTATAAGTGTCGTCAGCGTCCATGTCAAAAAGTAAGTATAAGACAGCGGACGTACCATGTAAGCTACGGCGAGTAATGCGAAAATGAACATCTGGAGCCGGTTGGTAAAGAGCCCTTTGAGATGTTTGAAGCTGCCCAGTACACGATGCGTCCAGACATGCTTCGCAGTTGCCATATTGGTCGGGGCATTGATATTGTGCTCTCGATCGATCGCATACAGCTGCTCCGCCGTAAGTGTCGGCGGAGGCATCTTGTTGAACGCTGCAATCTTGTGCAAGACCTCGATGGCCTCCTCATATCTGCCTTTGCTGAGGAGAAACTTGGGGGACTCGTGGAACGTAAAGATAAAGTATCGGACGAAGAACACGAGCAGCGTCATACACCCGAGAATGATGAATTCGTACCGCCAGCCCATGTTGCTTGAGACAGAACAGCAGGCTTCGCCGTCGGCTACATTCTTGCACGAATCGAGATCGGTATCGCATCGGTATCTGGCGGCTGTGCCGAATGCGATGGCAGAGGCGACGACGACGCCAATGGGCTGCCACATGGACAGGAGGGCGACGAGGAAACGGCGGTTCTGGGGAAGGAACTCGAGGGCGATGGTGGCGTCGATGGGAATGTTGCCGCCGAGTCCGAGAGAAGAGAGAAAATAGATGGCGCAGATGGCGGGATAGTTGAACTTTGGTGCAGACTGCGGAACATGTGTTAGCTATGGAAAGGGTGGTGGGAGGTGGGACTTGCGAGAAGGAGGCCAAAGAATGAGGTGATGAGGCATGTCAAGTTGAAGGCCCATCGTCTACCGATCACATCGACGAGCAGGCCAAAGAAAAGGGCTCCGAAACTACCAATCGCGATGAGTATTTTGAAGATCGATTCGGATCGGACTCACGCAAGGCCAGCATTGGCACAACTGTAGATGATGCCCTGCTTGCCTGCAGGTACTCCCATTTCCTGGCTATGACATGGTCAGCACTGAGCTCTGAAAAAGATCGTAGACTCACTAGATGGCAGACGCTGCGAGACCAACACCCTGGGACCACGCGAGATCGAGAAAGTATCCAAACCCGCATAAGAACCAAATACATATCTGATACCTTCCAAAGCCAAACTTGTTGATCTCCCTATACCTCTCATCAGTGTCATTTCCTTCACGCACAGGTGTACTCACGCATTGATCAAAGCAGCCTTTCGCTCAAAGTTTGTCAACGGCTTCCCAGCTTTTCCCTCAATGATCGCCTTGACAGAAGTATCATTCTTATCGACGACGGATACGCCGAGCTCATCGTGCTCGACTCCTACTCCCTTTGTACCCCGCTCTTCGTCAGAGCGATCAGAGTGAGCAGCGACACTCTCGTAGGTAGCCAGTCCGGACTTGTCGGCGCCTGAACCAGCGTATTTATGCGGGGCGGTGGACATGATTGCTTGGTGGCGAGCGGAACGGTCAGGACGACAGTTCGACTTTTGGCGGAATGATGGTGAGAAGAGATGCGTTGCGATTATCAACGACAAGACTTTATATCACAACGCATTGAAGAGCCAAGAACCGATCGTGGATTGTCTGGAAGATGAATCGAATGAATTCCGGGCACTGGGCTACCCGCCGATGATCAGCTTACATGACATACCCGTCACTCCTCTAAACCTTGCTTCCTTCTTCTTTCCCCAATTCCCTTAATCCTCTATTTTGGACGATACCAAGCATCGACGGTGGTCGGGCCCGACATACAATTGTCGATCCATGCGATATAGGTACTGGGTACATTCTAGTACCAGAGAGACAAGCACGGCGATCGATGAGAAGCGGGCTAGGCGGGAACCCCCGACGTCATTTCTTACGGGAACAGCAGAAGTGGGAGGCCAACTCAGGCACGCATTCCCAGAAACCGACATTGTTTGGTTCCCCTCTGTTGCGTTATCCGTACCATCCGAGCCTCTGGACAGTCTATACCGCTTCAATCAAAGCCCCACAGAACATCATCTGGCGTATGCTCACGTCAGAACCACGTTTAGTCCGCCAGATCGCGGGCGCATGAGAACACGTGTGAACCTCGTGGCCAGCCGCCGGTAGCCTGGAGACGAGCGCGCAAACATTCGCTTGTGATGATACATACAAACATGTCTCTCTTGCACTTCTCTCGAGATTTCGCCATCCTCCCCCTCCTGTCTTTCACTCCCCGCCAACGGTGCGTCTCCTTTCGGCATCTCTAACTCTATAGTCCGTCGTGATGGGCGCTAGAGGTTGACGAATGGCCTAGGAGCGCTTCCCGCCAACTTCTCATCGCCCTCCCCACCATTTTCCCTCTTTTTATCGATGCTCCTGCCCCGGTACTCGCTGCTAGATGGCCTTCCTGGACGACCTTCCAGGCCGCTGAGTCTCGCATCCCCGCTACGCTCCTCCTCGTCCCTGCGACTCTTCTCCAGCCCCCCCTCCCCGGCTGTGAGGGTAAGAGAATCAGCTCCTCGAGCTCTCCTTGCTCGTGCCCTCGTGGGCTTACTGAGCCCCGATCTCACCTCCATATTCGAACTCATGGTCCTCGGCCATCTTTCTCGCGCCGCCCGCACCCTCTGGCTCAAGCTGGAGGCCGATTATGGCACTCGCCCCTCCTACAGGCGAGGGGGAAGAGGCCTCACACAAGGTAAGCTTGGCATTCCTTATCGCCCCCTCAGTACGCTGATGAGCTCTGGCTTAGACTGCGTCGCTGAAGAGAGCTCTTCCTCTTCATACCGCTGATGCGACCTTTCTGAACGTCCGCAGAACGATTGATAGGCTCCCCACAGGATCCGGCCACAGGTGATGTGCCGACCGGCACTTAGAGTACACAGTCGCGGTGTATCGTCAACATGTCGAAGCGCATGAGAAGCCACCGAGAAGGTTGAGCTCCACTCGGCCCAAATGGGACAAGGGAGGGAGGGCGATCCTGAAGCAGGGGACAGGTTGGGTGTGGAAAACCCTCCTTGAACATCTCAGCCTCGATCAACATCTCCCGTAGGAGATCTTGGAGCACCTTCCTCACCTTTGGCTTCCACGTGCAAGGTCATTCATGATCACACCACCAACCCCCTCGTCTATCGTGAAGACGACCTTTCTCCCGGAGACTCCGCAGCCTTCTCCCTCCTCAGAAGGCTTGCTACTTCGGTGCGACCAGGGAAAGCTTGGAAGATCAAGGGTGGTGAGGCGAGGTTTTTAGATGTTGGTGATGTTGTAAAGCCATAGTGTAAGATAGCGGTGATGAGGCGAAGTTTTGGGATGTCGATAATGTTGTAAAACCGTAGACTATCATGTAAAGTATCACTTCACCAAACACGGGACATGTTTACAATGTACTTACGATCTGGCACTTAGCGTGCCACCTCTACAAGTACGTGTGCAGCTCCTTTTCGAAACTTCTGGCTAGCCGTCCACCTGATGCTGATTAGTCTAGACGGGTCATCAAGTCGCAGATTACGTGAGTAGGAAAGTAAAAGGGCGGTCACAAAGGTCGTTGCCCTGTCTATATAACAAATGCATAAATTAACGTTAGTCAGTATTCTGGAAGCCTGATGACCCGTCCTTTAACGTCGCGGGCTTCTTGATGAGGATGGTATGGTATCACTCCATCAGCCGTATTCGATGCCGCCACGTCGGTCGTCCAAGTTATTGCGCTCGGGCTTGATCCCGTTCGTTGATGCATCATCAAATGTGGAAAATTCATCAAAGGAGCTGCCCTACTTTGTCCGGTCCAGCTCGTCTAAGGACAACAACCACTTCCCTCTTCTCTCTTTCATGCGTGTCCGTTCATATACTTATACTTGGCTACAATTTTGTCCTACTTGGGTGACGAATACAATTATCTCGTTATCTCTTCTTGTCGTGCTCCATATCTTGCCAATTCAAGGGGCCGTACGGGTGTCGTAAGCTTGTCGTTGATCCATGGGGATGGTTTGGGGATTACGCGGCGGACGCGGCGTGCTCTTGCCTCTTGATGCCATGCAAGATATACTACCCCCCACAAATCAGTTCTTATACCCACCTACCAACGCCCAAAAGGGAAGGGCAGACTCACAAACAGCGCAATAAGAGTAAACGGGATACTGCCAAGCAGAATCATGACAGCATAAAGACAGAAAAGCGGTGTGTCGACTTGGTTGTTGTCGGGGTAGAGGCCGGTGTATGTTTGGGAGCCGGTGGCGGCGACGATGAATAATTTGAGGAATGCATTTGCGACGAGGACTGCGCGAGCATGATCAGTGGTCGGTCTGGTTTGGGTGGGAGGAAAGAGGGGACGTACAGAAGAACTCGATTTCGACGAGACCTTTTTCGTCATATAGACCATTGGCATAGAAAGCGTCGATGAATTGCTTTGCGATGGGGAATCTCCAGCTAAGGGTTTTTGTCAGCAAGAAGCAAGACGGGTATCTGGGGAGGGGCTTACAAGAGATCAGCACAAGCAGAGATCAAAATGATGAGCCACATGGCAACATCCAAGCCGGCGGCAAAGCTGAGACCAAATGTCAGTCATCCTTCAGTAATCAGGAGGGAGAGGATGGAACGAACATGACTCCTCCGAGATGCTTGGGGATATTGGTGTTGCCTATGTCCTCGTCAGTACATGTAATCTTTCGCACTAGTAATGATAGGCGGAAACGCACCAACATATCCTGCCTCGGAATCGCCGTCGAATTGATCATATCGGGACTGGTCGTTACCCAGATAGTGGTCTATTGTCCATGTCAGAGTTGCACTCGTGACGAGAGATAAAAAGCTCACCCATGGTGTCGGCAAAGGTCTTGGTGTTCTCGATAAAGATCATGATCCATACGACGAGGGGCTAAATGCAAGTCAATACAAAGTCTCGCAAGGTAGAAAGACGAGAGTACCATGATCAAAGCTCCGAGCGCAACGATAGTCCACAGCTTGCAGACGCGCATCCAGAGGTTGGGAAAGGTGCGGGGACCGAGCCATTCTGCAGTCATGACGAAGGGCCTTTGTTAGTTTGAGTCCTTGGCAGAGTTGAGGGGTTGTGTTGAGGAGAGCTGAGAGACGAACTTGAGGGCAGGAGATCCTTGACCTTGAGGGTGTTCCTAGAGAGCTTGGCTTTGAGGTCCAGTCGGGGTCTTGGAAGTCTTGCCTTGGTCTTGAGGTAGAGCCAGTATCGCCGGGTCTCGGAGATATGCTTGGAGTCGAGGAGTGGTGTGGGCGGGAGGTCTTTGTCGGGTTGTTTATCGGTGTGTGAATCTGTGGATTGGGGCGAGGGCGGGGTGAGGATATAGGGGCAGTTGTGGTTGGGGATGTAGGGATTGAAGTGGTGGCGGTCGTGGTTGAGTTGCTCGGAGGCCTTTTCAAAGTGGGCGAGATGTGGCATGGCTGCGGTACAGAAACGGGATCCATTGTGGAAAAGTCGCACAAGAAAGGAAGTCGCGTCGCGTCAAGCGCCAGCAGAGGCACAAAGGGAAAAGTTACGTAATTATTGAAACGCCGAATAGTTCCGCTGTGGCTCGACTTTTCATTCTCTCTATCTTTTTGGGACAGTATACGGCATCCTATATACCGCAACCATGGGTGAGTGGGGGAGGGCATGGGATGGTGTGGTGCTGACAGACGGTAGCTCCCAAAAAGAACAAGTTCCAGAAGGTCGCCCTTACCGACTTCTTCAATGACAGCTGTGCGTCCTGCAAAAGTTCATCGGAATCCGTACTGACTATCCATCAGCCAACACTGGCGGGTCTTGGGCTGACGATGACATGATGGACCTCCCCACTGCTCGTACGTCTACTCATATCTAGCAAAGCATTCCGCTGACCCTCCCCAGCCGCTCCCAAGGCCGACAACGGTCCTCAGCGCGGCGAGCCTGGCTACCTCGACTCCATGCCCGACCGTGGCGCCCGCGAGTTTGGCGGCGTCCCCAACTTCCGCGAAGAACTCCCCCTCCCCACCCAGCCCCCCTACACTGCGCACATCGGCAACCTCTCTTTCGAGCCCGACGCGGAGGAGCAAGTCAAGGGATTCTTTGCCGACCTCATGCCCGTCAGCATCAGGATCATCAAGGATCCCACCGGCAAGCCCAAGGGTTATGGTTATGTCGAGTTTAAGACTATTGAGGGGTTGAAGAATGGGTTGGACAGGAAGGGAGAGATGTTGCAGGGCCGAGAGATTAGGATCAGCGTCGCTGAACCTCGTACGTATCTGTTCTCCCAGGACGAATCACGCTAATATGGTTGACCAGCTACCAACCCTCGAGCGCCTCCTTCCCAGGCCGAAGAAGCCTCCCAATGGCGCCGAAGCACCCCCCTCCCCTCTCGCGAACCCTCTTCCGCCCCCGGCCGCCGAGAAGGCCCTACCCCCGGCCCCTCTTCCGACCTCGACTGGTCCACTGCCCGCGGCTCCCGCTTCACCCCCGCTCCTCCTTCCCAATTCATGGACCGCGAGTCCTCCGGCGCCGGCAGGCCCCGCGAGATGCGTGAGAATGCTGGTGTGAGCGACTCTGCCGACAAGTGGAGGAGTTCCAAGCCATTGGCGGATATTAAGGCTGCCGGCCGTGATGCCCCTCCTCACCAGGCTGGTGCGCCTGCCGGCCCTACGAGCCCTAGTGCGGCCGATACGGAGACTACGTGGTCGAGGGGAAGCAAGCTCAAGACGCCTGCTTCTACCAACCCCCCTACGAGACAGGGTTCCGTCGACTCTTCTCCCCGCTCGCCTCCTCCTGCTCCCGCCGCCCCCGCCGAGCGCAGAAAGCTCGCGCTCAAACCCCGTTCCGCCGCTTCCCCCCCTGCTTCCACCGACGCCCCCGCGAGCTCTGCTGGTATCTTTGGTAACGCCAAGCCTGTCGACTCTGCCGCTAGGGAAAAGATTGCAGAGGACAAGCTGAAGGCGAGGGAGGAGGAGCGCAAGAAGGCGCAAGAGGCGGAGAAGGCGCAGTTGAGGGAAGCGGAGGAGAGGGGAAAGAGGTATCAGGAGGAAAAGCTGCGTTCGATCCGACAGGCTCAGGAGAGTGTGGGTGGACGACCTGCGGCGCCTGCCGGGAAGGGTTCCGCGAGGAAGCCTACGGCGGACAAGCCCAGGAAGGATGAGCAAGGGTTTGAGCAGGTGTCTGGTAAGGGCAAGGCGTCGGACAAGGCCGACAACAAGCCCAAGAAGGACTACTCTACGAGGCCGGCGTTTAGCTTTGCCGCTGCGGCCGGTGCGTTGAAGAGCGAGACCAAGGACGAGGAGAGCCTGTCAAAGGACCTCGAGGATGTCAAGATCTAAAGAGGGATGAGGGAGCTTTGGTTTTTGTGGATTTAGAAGTCAAGGCGAACGTAATAATGCTGTTTGTAACTTTTCTTTTGATATCGCTGAGGTAGACGTACAGATCTGTGATTTCTAATCTGACCTCTTCTCGGTTTGCTGTGATGTTAACTAGTGAAATTGGTAACACATGGTGCATTTGCTGATACATGACTTCTGGCTTCTGACTATCTTACAATCCCTCTGGACGGGACTTAGGCAAAGTACTTTTGGACGAACTCGGTGTTGGTCTTGAAACTGGGATCGAGTCAGCTTGCCTCTTTGGTTCAGGTGATACTTACGCATCCTCTTTCTGGCCCTTCTCCTGGCCATCCTCCATGTCGCCACGAACGGTAAAGCCGTGTACAGCGCCAGGGAAGCCTGCCTTCGGTCAACATATAGTCAGACATTTGTGATTGAGACTCACGCTTGACAAGGACATTCTGTCCCAGATTCTCCTTCAACACCTTTTCAACCTCATCAAGCTCCTCTTCACTCATAATATCATCTTCATCGCCCTTTGTTACCTGGACAGGGACGCCCTTGACGGGCTTGACGTCGTCCACGGTCAGGAAGGAGGGGTGGTTGGCGACGATGACGTCGGGTCGGGCGGGGGAGGTGGATTGGGAGAGGAGGAAGGCGTAGCGGGCACCCCAGCAGAAACCGACCAGGGCGATCTTGCCGCTGCATGCCCGTGTCAGGTGGGAGCTACTGGGGTTCAAGAGGGGGCTTACGTGGATGGGTCGGATCGAACGGCTTGGACGTACTTTTCGATCAGCGGCTTGGAGACTAGAACGCTTGTGTTAGTACCACGACCATGAAGAGGTGGAGGAGACATACCGGCTTCGCGGTGTTTGGCCAACCAGGGACCCATGGTAGCGCCGGCCTTGGCACCATCGGCCGTCTTGGAGGTGGTAGTAGACTCGGCTTGGTACCTCACATTCGGCGCGATCGCCTGCCATCGTCTCGTTAGCTTCTCATCATAACAGCATTGCATCACGGAGCTTACTTGGAGGAGGCTATCGGGGACAGCATCGCCCTCAAAGAAATCCGGCAAGAGCACCTTCCACCCCTTGCCCGCCCACTCATCAGCCAGCAGCTTGGTATTGACGAGGTCGATACCGAAGATGTCGGAGATGAAGATGACGGTGTCTTGTTTGCCCTCACCAGCGGAAGAAGGGGCGGGGGAGGAGGGGGTTGAGGTGTAGGTGCGGAGGGAGTGGAGGATGGAGGTGGAGCCGATGGGTGTGCCGGCGTGGATGTCTGGGAGATGTCAGGGGTGGAGGGGGGATGCAGAGTGGGGGGCTTACGGCCTGTGACGCAGCAGGGGGATACGGATGTTTGCTCAGACATGGTGTATAGGAATGTGGGAATGTAAGAGAAGATGGGCGCAAGAGGACATGAGGCCAGCGACGTCACAGCGGACCCGCCCGGTGGAGGCAGGAATGAGTTAAAGTATGTGGCCGTTGGCTGACATCCCCTTGCATCCTTGCATCCCGGCTGGCCAGGATAGCTTTGTTTCAGTTCGCCTCTCTGCCAAAGCCGGTCGCAGTGCACGGCGCAACATGAATGGCCGAATGCAGCAAGGGTGTTGTTCATGCCAATCTTCCGCTACAGTTTCCACAACACTTTTGACTTCCAGTGTCGCCTCTGATGATGAGGATTACCAGTAATAAAAGGCAGGGTCATCCTCATAATTCTCATCATCCGGATACATTCTCGACTCAATCCTTTGGCGTCACTGGTGCTCTTCGTACTGTGCGAGTATAGAAGTCAGTGTGTGGAAGAAGTTGACAAGCACATGATTGTTTGCGGCCGTTGGCATGCCCCAAGCGTACGTGTTCGTCGTACACCGCGTTGCCGCCGCCGATAAAGTTGAGCTGACATGTCCCGAAGTAGGCAGGCACATGATGCAAACGACCTACACTGGACATCGCTATGTACGAGTCCCATTTCTCTATCGCGTTGCGTTTATAATCATCGACATCCCTGCCATCTTCCTCCAACTGCCCCCTTGACAAGAAACTCTCCCCAGCCCGTGGTGCGTGGAGCACGTCCTTGAAGCTGTGTCCCCTACCCTTGAATAGGTGAAGAAGACCATGGATTTGAATATATATATATAGGGGCTTCGCGCTACATGACTGTCAGCACGTGAGGCTCGCCGATGATGATATTGAACTTACTCTACGAGCCCGTTTTTACTTGGTATATTCTACAGTCGCGTTCGTACTGTAACACATAATTGAGCAAGTCATACCTTCACAGGCGAAAGATGCGCACTCTTGTTTGCCTTTGCCAAAGATGTCGCTGAGCCTGGCGATATGCAAGGAATGACGAGCGCGATGAGTGGAAAAATGGCAAGAGATACTATGCGCAGGAGTACTCGGGTAGGGCATAATGAGACTCGTAAAAAGCGGCTTCAGCACCTATAAGAAATTCGTAATCTTCGCGCTATGCACGAAAATAAGTCAAAGAGGTCTGTCAAGCATATGAGCATAGAACCTACAATTTCATTCGCTCTTTCCCGAATGGATTCGAAATTTTCCCGGCGAGTATTGTAGGAGTACTTGTAGGCGTCGATCTGTAGCAGTCAGCCTGATCAGAATGTCTTCCCTTCATCAGACGCAAGCACGCCTACTTTAGGGTGTTTCTTCTTGAAGATCTCGCAGCAGTCGCACTTCAATGGTCCCTCAAAGCTGACGACTTCTTCCCACCACTTCTTGAACAACCCATCGAAATGTTCATCTTGGCCGAGGAGATAATCATTGAGGATGGCCGAAACGATGTCGGTGTTGGGTGGGATGGGCGCCATATTGGTGAATCGAATCTTCCATGATTTCATCGTGGGTCGCCAGCTATACAAGCAGTCAGCCGTGGTTCCAAAAAGGGTAGATCACATACACGTTGGCTCCCAATCTGTCATCTTGCATCCGCTCTTCCCACTCAAACATGTAAGCCTCCATCTCCCAAGTCATCATCGCGATCTGCCTCTTCCAGTCACCGTCACCATTCTCCGTATTCCTCGGCAGTTCATAGATCATCGTAACGGCCAGCCCAGGCTCAAAATCGTCGGGCCACGCGTTGTGTAGCGTCAAGGACATCTCATCCACCTCGGGCCTAAGCGCAAGAGATAGTCGCTCTCGAAGCAGCTTTGTGATGCCCTCCCTTGGTTCTCTTTCCTTGAACTCATCCAGGAGCCCAAATTGGGCTGCATCCTCGTATTCGGGTTCCAAATCGTAAAATGTGTCGTTGAAGCTCAGGCAGACATGCTTGAGCGCCGGCCCGAACGACTTGTACTGGACCGCAGATCTCTCGTCGCTGGTGGGAAGAAGAGCAACCAATGAGACGTGAATTCCGAAAGAGAGATGGGTGACGGAGAAAAAGAGGGGGTCTGAGATCCAGGTATCGGCATGACGGATGTCGTGTCCCGCAGGCCACGCATTGACGGCGTCACGAACCGATTCGTTTTCCTTTCGAAGTCGGACAAAGGCCTGCCAGCTGTCGATGTAGAGCCTGCGACATTGGCGTATGAGGAGGAGTTTTCGGATGGAAGGATGGAGATGGAAGGGGATGCAGGATTCGTACTCGTATTTCTGGTAGGAAATCTTGGACGGGATGTGGGATGGTCGTCTCAACCGTCGTTTGGGATGCTAGTATCCCTCGATTTCCCGTGCGACGGCTTTGCAGAAGCCTCGCACCGGAGGTGAGGAGGACACGGGTTCTGACAAACGTGAATATCCCTGGCGCTCCATAATCCGTCAAAAAACGCCTTGTGATTCTGATCATTCAGCTCGACAGCTTCATACAGCCTCCACGCATTTTCTGAATAGACCTTCTTGGACAGTGTGATGAGATTGAGGAACTGACTTCGACTCTCGATGGGGTTTTGGGCGAGATAGTAGGTGTAGATGAGGGAGATGACTTCGGAGGGTAAAGGCGAGAGAGTGGTCAGGTCGCAGTGGAGCGGGGGGGTCTTTGAGGGCGAGTGGACATGGGGCGGATGTTGAATTGTGATTGTGGGATATCTATAGTTTCTAGTGAAAGACGAAGAACAATGGCAGAAGAGAATTGCGGGCGAAATCATCTGCGCGATACCCGGGCCCATGATTTGCCCATAGTACGATTGATCGTGTTCAATACCCATGTGGCCTGCATGTGGCGCCAGACTCTTCCGTCCAGACCGCAGAAGTCGGGTTGTTATCTCCAATCATTGCGTCTGGAGCCAAACAACGGAAACAATACTACATGCGCCGGTCATCACATTCATACAGGGAGAGTATTCATGTCAACTTTGCCTACGACGACTCAAACCTCGACAACTTACCACTCCGTCAATGAGCTCAACATCGACGGCCATAGCCTCCTCAAAGTACCGCGTCCCGTCTGATCCGCGAAGTCAACTAGGAGAGCGCTCGGTTAGTACCAGGGTGGGGGACCACCTGGGAATCCCGGGTGCCGTCGTTTTTGCTCCTTTGCTCCTTTGCTCCTTTTTTTCTTTTGCTTTTTGCTAGACTCGAATGCGGGGTGCTCTTGTTACCTGTTACCAGAAGATGCCGCGGTGTGAGAGAGAGTGGGAGATGGACGGCTTGTAGAGAGACGTCCTAGTTGCATGGCCTAGATGATGAATGCTATAGCTACAAAGTCCATTTGACCATCGTCATTTGCACCCAATAAACACTTTTCTATTATAAGCGCGCAAGTATTGCAGGCCTTTTTTTTTTCCTCGTCCTTACGCCCACATATCTTCTAGCTCCCAGACCACATACTCTACATCCGCCCCCGCCGGCAAACCGAGACCCTGCAGATCGAGCGCCGAGAAAGGTTCACTCGGGAACGCCGTGATCGTGCCGACAAGTACGCCGCTGTCGACGTAAATCTCTATCACAGATTTGTCGATGATGAGCTGAAGCCGTTTAGCGAGGTAGTACTATCATACCGGTTAGTAAAGGCCAAAGGCAAAAAAGTGGAGAGGAAGAGGGACATACTTGAGCGACAGAAAACTTGTCGGTGAAAAACACATTCTCAAACTCGGTCTTTCCGCGGTCCAGCCAAGTGACTTTACTCTCCGGGAAATACCCTCCGGTCACCTTCTCCCCGGTCGTATTTGTCGACACCGTAAAGTTGATCGCAGCAGACGCAGAGACGCCGTCGGGGATGGTAAAGTTGACATCGAGGTAGACCCCAGTGGAGAAGTTGACCGTCGTCGTCCCATTGCCGAGAGAACCAGAAGCGAGCTCATCCCCGAGCACGGGCGAGAGATCCACAACCTCCTGAACGAGATCCCAGCCCGCCGACGTCGCGTTCGCCAGATAATTCGTCCTCGGTAACGTCATCGCGCTCCTCCATCCCTCCTCTTCTCCCGACGGTACCACGTTCGTATACTGCCAATTTGACGCCCACCCGATACTGATAGGTGTGTTGTAGAAGAATTGCCCGGCATAGTCGTCTTTGGCAAAGTTGGAGAGACGGGTAGCGCCGTCGATAGGGGTGAAGTGGGTGCCGTTGAACGAACCGGGGAAATACTCGGTCACCGACCCACCGAGCGGGGCGCCAGGGTTGATGGAGATGGTGAGAACCCAGGCAGTCTCGGAAGAATTGGCGATGGGAAGTGAGACGAGATTCGGACATTCGTACTGAACGCCCAGAAGCCCGATATGCGATATATTGGAAGCGTGCGTCCACTCCCTCAAGTCGGGGGAGGTGTAGACGCCGATGACGTAGTCCTCCGAGTACGCGATAACCATAGCCCAGTGGTCCTCGTACCATACGACCTTCGGGTCGCGGAACTGAAGGGAGCCGATATCGATGACGGGGTTGCCAGCGTACTCTTCGAAAGTGTATCCGCCGTCGAAAGAGTAGGCGATCTGCTGGACCTGGGCATACTCGGTGTTGAGAGTGTAGATAGCCACAACTCCGTCCGTCTGGTTAGGGAAGAAGCCAGAGGTGTTGTCGGGGTCGAGGACAGCAGACCCCGAGAAGACGCCGGAGGTAGAGTTGGGAGGGAAGAGCGCGATGGGCTGGTTGGTCCAGTGGTACAAGTCGGAGGAGGTGGCATGGCCCCAGTGCTGGTTGCCGGCCACAGTGTCGGTGGGGTTGTCTATTGAGAGAGTCAGTGCGTGGATGAGCCACTAAGAGAGGGGCATACATTGGTAGTAGAGATGCCATGTGCCATTGGGATCTTGGAACAGGCCATTTGGGTCATTCATAAAGCCCTGTAACCCGGTCAGCATTGGACGGACAAGTGTACGAGACCGAGAACATACCTGGGGAGGACTGAAATGTATTCTCGGACGATAGCTGCCACTATAGTCGCCCTCGGGAGCGACACCAGTAGGCGCGGGGGGAGACGCTGAGGTCGAGCTCTGAGCAAAACCTCCAAGGGCATATGCGATGCCTAGGACGGCAATGGGGATGAGGGAGACCATTATACGGCGAGTACGGGGTGACAAGCAAGACGGGGCATCACTGGCTGTCTCTCGTTTTATAGGGGCGTGGTCAGTCGGTGGCATAGCCGAAGACGCTGCCGGCAACTGGCCAAGTTTAAAGAGCGTCCCGAAGGAATTGGATCAAAAGAAGAAATAATCGGCCCGGTCCGGAGAGATGCCGGCGGTAGATGCCAGGAACGTCGGCCTATGTATGTCGCTGGGCGGGCTTGGCTGGGGTCCGCATGAGCATGAGTCAGGGACGTCGAGGTGGTGGGGAGACGGGGCATACTGAGATTCGCCTGTGGGTGGGGCAGGGAGATGATTGCGCAGAGAATGCATGGAATTCCGTCACTCGCTTTGCCTGACTCTTCTTGAGTCGCAGATTTGATCCCGCCGCGAAAAGGATGGACCAAACAGGTTTTCGCGATGCTCTTTTTCGTGCGGCCAAACACGTCCACGGCGTCTCATTCCCTCCTCTACCCTCTGAACTCTATCAATCACAATGGGCGGTCGTCAAGGTAAGCAGGCATCAAACTCCAAAGTAGGACGCATGCTGACTATGGCTCTGAACAGGTGGTAAAGGTATGTCGAGCTCAGCTCCACCTTGCTTCGATAGCAAGGCTGTGAGTCATATAAACTGACCCCCGCTCCAGCTAAGCCTCTCAAGGCCCCCAAGAAGGCTTCCAAGGACCTGTGAGCTTACCTCCCATACTGGTGGTTTTCCGTGTTGACATCGATCTAGCGATGAGGACGATATTGCTTTCCAGGAGAAGCAAAAGAGGGAAGCCGCCGAGTTGAAGGCCTTGGCTGCCAAGGGTACGTATCTGATTCCCCAGTGGCTCGGATGCCAGATGCTGACGAAGTGTGTAGCTGGTGGCAAGGGCCCCATGTCCGGTGGCGGTATCAAGAAGTGCGTGCCCGTCTATCTGCGCCTGGCCCAGTCATGCTAACGTTTTTGTAGGTCCAAGAAGTAATCTCTTTTCGACTTTCGATGATGTTGTAATATCAGCACCATCCTCCATGCATTGGGATCCTCAGAAGATTGGCCGTGACTGCATTCAGCGCGCCTGTCAGCCTGGAATAAAAGCACTGATCTAACTCTGCACAACGGGAGGCCCGGCGATATCGATACTGGGTCAGCGAATATGGTGATCTATGAGCTGCCGAGGAGGACGGATACTGGCAATGATGAGTGGTTGAGGCAATTCATGATGACCGAAGTTGAGATAGCGGAGCAGATTGAGGCCTACGAATACAGTACGAAAACGGCTGCAAATTATGCCGAGGAACGACGAGGTCGTATGTAGAGTATGTCCGATATGACCACCTGCGATATATGTGCTGACTACCATGCAGCGCAAAATATCTTCTCCTACAGCATGGTCTTCTTGGCCTACAGACGCTTCGCTTTATACCATTTTGCCCTTTTTGTTCGCTATTCCTCATGCTTCTTGCGCCTGGGTTTGGCGACGCCTTCAGTTGGCGTGGTGGTCGTTTGTTCAATCACTCGGCACATGCCTCAATTCACCTCGCCTTGCTGCAATTCCGACACCTGTTCCAGAAGAGGCAACATTCGCAGACAATCTATGAGGAGAGGGGAAACAAAATACTGAGCCGGGGCATGAAAGCAGTTGGGAGTGTGATGCAACATCGCAATAGCATCGCGCGCGTCTCCATACTGGGAACGACAAGCCCGCCATATTTCATGCTACTTCGTCGGAGAAGTGTGGTTGGACCATGAGCCGTGACGATACATATAAGCACACAGGATTCTTGATCAGCTTACCACCCTCATCTTCCCTTGATGAACAGTCAGGCTTCTAAAAGCAAAAAGCAATCAGCAAAAACGACGGCACCCGGGATTCCCAGGTGGTCCCCCACCCTGGTACTAACCGAGCGCTCTCCTAGTTGACTTCGCGGATCAGACGGGACGCGGTACTTTGAGGAGGCTATGGCCGTCGATGGTGAGTTTAATACCAAATTGGTGATGTTGCTAATGTTTGAGTCGTCGTAGGCAAAGTTGAGATGAATATGAATGTGAAGGCTTGTTTCCGTTGTTTGGCTCCAGACGCAATGCTTAGAGAAGAAAAGCCGACGTCTGCGTTGGCGGTCTGGAAGGAAGACTCTGGCGCCACACGAATATCGAACGGGATCAATCGTGCTCATGAGAGCATTGAGAGCAGACGATATCGCCCAGATGATTTCGCCCGCCGTAATTCTCTTCTGCCATTGTTCTCCCTCTTTCACTCGAAACTATAGATACCCCATCATTGCAACCCAACATCCGCCCCATGTCCACCTCCCCTTAAAGACCACCCGACTCCACTGCGACCTGACCACTCTCTCGCCTTTACCTTCCGAAGTCATCTCCCTCATTTACGCCTACTACCTGGCCCAAAACCCCCTTGAGAGCAAAAGCCAGTTCCTCGATCTCCTCGTCCTTTCCAAGAAAGTCTATTCAGAGAATGCTTGGAGGCTGTATGACGCTGTCGAGCTAAATGATCAGAATCACAAGGCGTTTTTTGACGGGTTATGGAGCGCCAGGGAGATTGACGTTTGTGCTCCGTGTCCTCCGTATCCTCCTTTTCTCCGGTGCGAGGCTTCTGCCCTCGCACGGGAAATTGAGGGATACTCTCATCACAAACGATGGTTGAAACGACCATCCCACATCCCGTCCGAGGTTCCCTACCAGAATTACGAGTACGAATCCTACATCCCCTTCCATCTCATCCCGCCATTCGAAAACTCCTTCTCATACGCCAATGTCGCAGGCTCTACATCGATTGCTGGCAGGTCTTTGTCGGACTTCGAAAGGGAAACGAATCAGTCCGGGACTTCGTCAATGCGTGGACTCCGGGACACGACTTCCGTCATGCCGAGGGAGAAGCTTCTCGCTATACCTGGATCTCAGACTCCTTCTTTTTCGCCGTCACCCATCTCTCTTTCGGAAGGACTGTCTCATTGGATGCTCCCCACACTAGCGACGAGAGATTTGCGCTCAAGTACAAGTCCTTCGGGCCGGCGCTCAAGCATGTCTGCCTGAGCTTCAACGACACATTTTACGATCTGGAAGGCGAATACGAGGAGGCAGCCCAACTTGGGCACCTAGAAGAGTTCGAGGAAAGAGAGCCAAGGGAGCACATCACGAAGCTGCTTTGAGAGCGACTATCTTTTGCGCTTAGGTCCGAGGTGGATGAGATGTCCTTGACGCTACACAACGCGTGGCCCGACGATTTTGAGCCTGGGCTGGCCGATACGATGATCTATGAACTGCCGAGGAATACGGCGAATGGTGACGGTGACTGGAAGAGGCAGATCGCGATGATGACTTGGGAGATGGAGGCTTACATGTTTGAGTGGGAAGAGCGGATGCAAGATGACAGATTGGGAGCCAACGTGTATGTGATCTACCCTTTTTGGAACCACGGCTGACTGCTTGTATAGCTGGCGACCCACGATGAAACCATGGAAGATTCGATTCACCAATATGGCGCCCATCCCACCCAACACCGACATCGTTTCGGCCATTCTCAATGATTATCCCCTCGGTCAAGATGAACATTTCGATGGGTTGTTCAGGAAGTGGTGGGAAGAAGTCGTCAGCTTTGAGGGACCAGTGAAGTGCGCCTGCTGCGAGATCTTCAGAAAAAGACACCCCAAAGTAGGCGTGCTTGCGTCTAATGAAGGGAAGACATTCTGATCAGGCCGACCCCTACAGATTAATGCCTACAGGTACTCCTACAATACTCGCCGGGAAATTTTCGCATCCATTCGGGAAAGAGTGGATCAAATTGTAGGTTCCATGCTCATATGCTTGACAGATCTCTCTGACTTTTTTTTCTTGTACTCGAGTATAGCGCGAAGAGTACGATTTACTCCAAGTTGCTGAAGCCGACATCTACGAGTATCAACTTGCCCTATACGAGTGCCCCTCGCCATAGTATCTCTTGCCATCTTTCCATTCATCGCGCTCGTCATTTCTTGCATATCGCCAGGCTTAGCGACATCTTTGGCAAAGGGCATTCAAAAGTGCGCATCTTCGCCTATGAAGGTATGACATGCTCATTTATGTGGTTACAGTACGAACGCAACTGTAGATGATACCAAGTAGAAATGGGCTCGTAGAGTAAGTTCAATCTCACCATCGGCGAGCCTCACGTGCTGACAGTCATGAAGCGCGAAGCATCTATATATATTCAACTGCATGGTCTTCCTCGCCTATTTCTCCATCCTCTCCCTCAGAAACTTCAATCTCAGCAATCTCACCCATTGTATTCGCTATCTCGTTCGGCATCTCATAGTAGGATTCGACACCGTCTTTGGAGGTGTGTCGGTCGCTAATTCGCTCGGAGCGGCCCGCATCCGCCTTGCCTGGCCTCACTTCAAGGCTCCGACACCCTAGCTTTCAACGTATATTGCAAAATATGAGAAGTTTGGAGGACGATGGAGTTGACAAAGAAAGAGGCGAGCCGGAGCATGAAAGCAGCCGGGAGTGGGATCGCCACTCTGCCCTTGCGAGCAATTTGAAAGGGCCAGGGAGGAGTCATTGAGTGCAATATGGCGTCCAAGTCTAGTCCGAAAGCGGCGGGGCAGCAACCATAGAGAGATGTAGCCAAACTAAAAACAGACTCTTGCAATTGTTCCGTTCTCACTTCGCTGCATAATGTGCGGGGCTGGATACTACGCGCGTTTGTCTGAGTAGCCCCGTTGATGCTACAGTTCAAGAGACATGCAAACAATGCATTATACCATACTACTCTTTCAAAGTATGTGAATTTGGGTATGATGGTATCACTGCCGTTGGCGCTTGCAGTCCCACGGGCCAGCCGACGCTACGCGTACGAGTACAGCCTCAGGAATCGGAGATGCGAACTCTGCTCAGCATAGCCAGGTCGGCAGCAACGTCTGCGGTTCTTCTTCCCCCGAGATTTACCGAGGAAGTACTTTTGCTCAATGGAATGAGCTTTAGTATTCCTCCGTGCCCCATAGTGCAAGTTGTGGAGCGAATCGGCTGTGGCCATGGAGCGGCTAGCGGCCGGGGATTCTCAAATGGCGGACAAGGGAAACAGTCTGTACGTGGTTTTTTGATTACTGAGCAAAGGGGCACCTATCGCACAAATTAGGGCCTCCTCGGGGGTGACAGCATCCATGTATGGAGTATGCAGCTAGTGGCCTTCTCGATGGTGAAAGGAAGTCATACTTTGCGGCCTGCTTGCCCGCCGGCTATACGTCCAAAATGAATTTGTATACTCATCACGCTACTTGTATCCCCGTCGAGCTGGTGCTCAAGCATCCGACGAAGACAAGCTCGAATTGCTGGTACATATAAAGGCGCCTCATCAAGACTCCACATCTCAGTTATACAATAAGATATTTGACGGGTTCGTCCAGCCACATAACAATGACACTCGACGATAAAGATCACAAGAACAACGACGAGGAGGGTGGCGACACATACTCGGATGTCTATGAAGAGTTCTACTCGTCTTCCGCCCAATTGTTGGTGGAAACGCTGAATCAAGAGATTCGGTCATCGCCTGCATATACTGAGACGAACACCTCAGACTCTCAAGCGCATGCTCCCTCCTCCTTGACGTTCCTCCGCGTGGAGGTCGTAGGCAGGTGGTCTACCTCGACTGGGGCTGATGGTCAACGCCCCGGTACACTTCACCCTGCGCATCGGCATACCGTTGCTGAAGCTCTCTCTGAGATGACTGAGGACCTAAACTCTTCCATTGCATCCCAGTTGCCGAAGTCGACGCCAGAGGAGACAGCAATCCTCGTTCAAAGAACCCTGTTCCGGATGGTAGAGATGATGGGATTTGATGGTGATGTGCACGTTACACCAACTCCAGGTGGTACTCAGGAGAACAGGCGTCTTACCATCATGGAGAGAGAGTCGGCCAATAACTTGGGTACTGTTGGGTCATGGGGTAAAGGGAGCAATACACTGGTTCATGTCATTGAGACATGAGGTTTCCCGAAAGTGGCACGTCACTGCCCTGGTGATAACGACCGGATAAGTACGTACTATGTGATACTCCATCATGCAAATCAATCGATTCTTTGCCACTAGCTACGAGCAAAACCCTCTACGTGGTGGACAATGCCCCAAAGTTTGACCTGTAGGAAGGACTTCCAAGATAAGAATGAGAGACAGTCGATGTTTGATGATCGCGGCCGCCGGCGATGAATGAGTCTAGCAGTGAGTGTATCAGAAACCTATCTTTCCCACATGACCGAGCTATCCTTTTGACTAGAACACAGCTAGTTGCGGAGCATTCATTACCTTCCATTGTTGCCATAGAGAACTCGGCCATTGTCCAGACTTGTTATATCCACCTGGCCTGCGGGCACGGCTGCCGCGACTTTTAGTAAGTGTCTGAAGATCAAAGGATCTCGTCATAGCAAAAGGTAGTTTGTCCAGCGTGAAAGATCGGCATCAAGCCCCTTTGACTGTCCACAGCAAAGGGTCGGTCAACGTATCCGGCAAATGGCCATTCGGAGCCGATGTCGCTCGACTGCCGATCAGCGAACTCTCGGGGTCAGCAAGCGAATGGGTTCGAAAAGCTATAAGAGCCCCAGCTCATCCTCTATCCTGTCCCTCACCAACAAGGATCAGAATCAACCAACAATGTCTTCCACCGCTCGAGACCAAGAATCTACCTACTCCCAGATGCCGACCAACGAGTCTCTCCGACAGGAAATCATCGATGAAGACCCTTCGTTGTTCACTGCCGAAGAGACGAAGGCTGTCAGGCATAAGTTCCTTGACAATGGTTCTTCTGTCCCCGAGGAGGCTGCCGCGGAGGAACAGACTGCCACCCAGTCTGACGAGTGACCAGCAGTAGTCTGTCATCTACCAGGCCGGAGTCTTCCGAGATCTCCCGAGACAAGCAGACGCGATGGTAGGAAGGATGTCCTGTTCATATGATCCGAAAGGCGAGGGTGAAAGAGGCTTATATACAGTCATATTTGCGAATGATGCAACTTGACTTTAAGCCTTGATACTCATGTGCCGCGCGCTCTCACCAGTCTCAAGGATTCGCTAATACCACCCGACCTATAGCAACAACGCGGAGATACATGGACGTAGACCGCCCTCGATACACCTCCCACCTGGCCTTGCCGTTCCGACCGTACCCTCATACGCTCGCACTGACTTAATATACATTCCAGCATTAGCCATGTACCTGTGGCGTATCAACCTCCATCTGATCATCATCTTTGTCCTTCACGGCATCCGTCTGTTCTTCCCCGGTGCCATTCAACACCTCAGGCGCACCACTGACCGCTGCCGACCCATCACGCCCCTCCCGGACACCCTCCGCTAACGCCTCTCTTCGCATCCGAATCAACTCGCTCGCTGTCCATCCCTTCTTGTTCAGTCCAGCTGCGGTGTTGGTCCCAAACAGTTCTGTAACTTCGGCGACGTTGACTGGAGGTGTGGGGGTGTCGGCGGGTTTGGGTTGTATTATTTGGAAAAGCGCTTTCTGGATATACGGTCAGCATTCACTCGGGGCACAGGAAAGGCAGGGAGAAGGGACGTACGATAGTCGACTTCATCAGCGGGTTCTTCTTCTTCCCACTTTCTGATGCAGGGTAGCACGACGTTACGATGTTATCGATCCTCACCAAGCCCTCTCCTCCCTCTCCCCAGATCCCTTCTCTCACCGCTTCTTTCCCGAGCACCGCCAGTCCCATGACTGCTCCTTCATACCTTCCCGTCGGTGCCTGGCTCGCCCCCAATGGACTTGGGAACGGCGGGGATTTGAGAGCTTTGATGAGGGTGGATACGAGGCGGGGAAGAAGGCCGGGGTACGACTTGCCGTATGTGGAGGATATCTTGCCGAGGACGTCTGATGCTCGTTCGCGGATGTTGTTGGCTGATGGCGAGTTTGGCGTTGGGACAGGTGGATGGGGGCCGAGGGGGACAGTGAGGATGATGGAGAGAAGAGGTGGGAGGAGTTGATGTATCTTTATGACCTGTCAGCTTTGCCTGTGTCGTACGTCGAATGAATGACCCACATAAGGCTCGACGAACAATCCCTCGTTTCCCAGCAAGGCCCCAATAGCATCCACCAGATGGCCCACTGTCCCCAGCGGTGCCATCAAGCACTTCTGCACGCTATCTCCTAACCACTTGACCACATACACCAGCATCCCCGCAACAGCTACATCGCCTCTCAACGAAGCCAGTGCCGCAAGCCTATGCCGTTCAGCTTCTGAATCGGGGGTGCAGTTGGCCGGAGAGGGAGGTACGAGAGCACTGGTGAGGCGGGTAAAATACAGTTGCAGTTCTTGCGGCAAGTGGGCTTTCGCTGAAGCCTTCAAGGTCGTCGAAGCCGGTTGCGCGGCGTTCTTGCTTCCCCTCGCTCCTGGCCCAGCAGCACCCCCACTAGGCGCAGGGTTCTCTGCGATCACAGGCTGGACACCTTCCACCGCCAGCCAGTGCGCTTTCCACTTGACTCCAGCGCTGCTCGCTACGCCCGCCGGCAGCGGTTCTTTCAGATAGGACGTAAAGTCGATTTCGTCGTCCGGGGTGGTGTAGACTGTCTGGGGCGGGGCGGTCCCTTGAGAGGGAAGGGTGATGGGATGGAATGAAGGGGCGGCAAGTGGGCGTGGTGGTATCAGAATTGGCTGTGCCGAGTCAGCTCTCACCCATCGACGAAGGGGGGAACACGCACCTCTACATTGAGCGCCTCCATAGCATACTCCACGTCCTCTGGCATCAATACGGTCCTCTTCGCATGCACCATGAACTTCTTCGCTTCCTGCAGTATCAGATGCAGTCTGTACTCTACATCTCCAGCCAGGAGAGCCGCGGCTCCGGGGCCAAGGGGGTCGATGGGGAGTGACTGAGCGACGTCCTGGACAGGGTCAGCATGCCCCATCTGTATATGGGATAGCTCACGGTGATAGAGTCTGGGGGATATATGCCCATAAGCTGCGGGGCCGGCATTGTGAATGATATATGTGGATGGATGGCAACACAAATGGTACATCAAGTGTCATGTCAGTTCTTTTCGCGACGGACGCGCTGGGTAGGCATACTTTGCACTACATAAAAATGCTACCATTGATTAGTATCGACGGCCATAGCCTCCTCAAAGTACCGCGTCCCGTCTGATCCGCGAAGTCAACTAGGAGAGCGCTCGGTTAGTACCAGGGTGGGGGACCACCTGGGAATCCCGGGTGCCGTCGTTTTTGCTGATTGCTTTTTGCTTTTTGGCCAGCTAGCTTTTCCATTCTTGAGAGACTTTATTACTTCGAAGAGGGAAGGGAGACCTCAACAGGTTAGTGCCTGGGAGAGGGTTGTAGGACTGCAATCGACACGGCTGCGCGAGCCTTCTCATGCATCAATATAGCCACTTGAAGAAATCTTCTGCGATATGTACACATCTTCGACATATGTTCTGACAATGTTCATCAATCAACCCTAATACAACGATTTCTATAGATATCCAAGCAAATATCCCAAGCAAGATCATTACATCACCGATCACCCCGAATTACAGCCTCCTCTTTACACCCTGCTCGCGACCGATCTCACTTGATGAAGAACGGGCTCCTTCTTATCGTCATCTTCCTGGTTCTCTTCCGCCTCCCGAACAGCGATTCTGGCTTCAGCCTTTTGAACGTTCTGGGGTCTATCAAGAAGGTCAGCTGTAGAATTAGCCAGGACATGAGAGTGTAGACATACCTGATATGCTTCAGTTCGATATAACGAAGAGTACAAGCGAGGATGACGACCAACGCCCATAAAGCGATCATGACCTGCCATCCATGTGCGTAATGCTATCACCTCATCAGCCTCTCTACTGTACGAATCCCTGTACGAGAGAGAATGAACATACAGGCGCTTCACTCGCGGGCCAAATAAGAGGACCACTCCATGCGCTGAAAGCATAGTAGAGGGCGATAGCGGAACCGAGGATGAAGGCACGCTGTTCGGCGTCAAAGGGGTTGAGGTCGGAGAGCCAGGCCCAGATGGGGGGCGATGTGGCGAGGGAGAGGTAGCATGCAAAGTCTATTCCCATTAGAGTCAGCTGTGGAATGAGAGGGCAGGGAGGAGGGAGGACGTACAGCTAAAATATTTGGCATTGTCCGATACGGTCCAGATGCTCATGATGATACTCGGTATGAGACCGATAACACCTTGAGCAGCGATGGGGATCCATCGCGTTTCGAAAAAGTCGGAGAAGAAGCCCCAGAACCAGATCATCACCACTAACAAATTGTCAGTACTTGTATCGGGGGATGGGTGGAGGGGCATGTACCGCTGACAGCACCACCGCCGATAGGGATCGCGTTTACTGCCGCGACAGACCATCTCGCTGTACCATCATCATTCTTGAGACTCTTGAGCCACAGATTAAAGTCTTTCTCTATCGTCAGCGCGGCTTGTGGCGATCAGAATTGGAAACTTGCAAGAGTACCCGCCCTGCCCAAGGACGCTCGCGACGTATATGACGACAATAAAGTAGAATAACGGGTTGAGAATAGCCTTCTTGACGGAGCCGAGAGTGAATTTTTTGTTGTCTGCTCGGCGGAAGCGGGCGACACGGTCCATCGCTTGGTCGATGTGCCTTGGGCGAAGCCAGAATGCCCACGGGCTAGAGGAGGCGAGTGAGCGGGGGGTAGAAGAAGGGGGAAAGGGGCGTACTTGGGCTTGGACGGGAAATCGGGGATGAGAATGAATCCTGCAAAGCTGACGACAAGCGTCAGGATGCCGTCGATGACCTATTCTTGTTCAGCTGCGAAACGATCAGAAAACAGGTAATAGACGTACAAACATCCACCTCCATCCCGACATGCCGTGAAGGCCGTCCATGCTGTTGTAGATGGCCGCTTGAAGGGCGCCGGCGAGCTTGGTACTATGTTAGCAAGGGAAGCGAGAGGAGAGAATAGGTCGACGGACCATGTTGCCGACTATCGGACCGTCAGCCTGGCGTTTGCAAAAGAGAAGACGACGTACTTGATTGACAACTCTGGTAGAATCCGATTCTCAACGCAAGCTCCCTGGGAGTATACTAGCAACATAATTGTGAGCGAAGGGGGTCAGAGTGGTTATGATAGCGTACCCATGACATAAGAAGCATGATGGCACCGGGGTAGCAAGTGGCCTCAAAAGCACCAGTCTATCTCCGTCATAATCGGTTCAGACGTTGTGGAATATTGCTCACGAATGCTCTCAGAACATATCTATCCGCCTATCAATGCCTGCTCACGTATTTTCAGGAAGAAACGTACACTTGCTTATAGTTTGTCACCTTGCACGTCGCGAGGGTCAACACTCCCCAGCACGTCTCGAGCGCCGGGAGCCACCAGGAGGGACGGACGTGGGTGATGATGATCTGAGAGGGGATGAGGAAGACGGCATAGCCGACGCTGAACCAGGTGGTGAAGTAGTTATACTCGTTGCCATAGAGGTTGAGTTCTTGACATAGGGTCAGTGAAACTGGCATGATGTGTGGATGAGGCCAAGCTCACCTTCTTTCATTCCCGATACGTAGGCTGCCGAGATGTCTGAGAAAGGGCATCAACTGGTGATCAAATATACCCCTCCACCGCCTACCCATAGCACGCTTTGCTGGGATGATAAACGTACTCTGCTGGTCCAGATACTTGATGACCTGCGAGATACACAGATAGACAAGCAGGATCGCGTCCAGTCTCGCGACGAGCCACCTCTCCTCCTTCGTCTTCTTCTCAACGACTGCCCCTGTGTGCGGGTCAAGATGGGCGGTGGGGTCTATGGCCCCGCCGTCTTGAACTTTGAAGAGCAATGACATGGGGTGGCGGGCACGGAGCAGAGGCAGTCCAACAAGACCACTGTTGGAGAGAAGGCGGGGGAGAATTGAACCATGATGCGATACATTTATGGTACCTAGCTAAGTGAGTCGGCTGAGCTTGTGTCTTGAATCACTGATAAGAGCTCACAAGATGAAATTCAACAAGTCCGTCGGGGAATCGGGATCGCTGTTTCCGACTGACGTACTTTTCCTTCGACGTTCGTCGGCCACATGTGACTTGTTATGCTTATAAAGCTCTACGATTGCCAGAGAATGCTAGGCCAGCATGTGGGGGCTACGCCACAATAGTATGCTTCAATTGTACGTGCTCCAGTCGAGGTTCAGGGCCAGATGGAGGCGGCGGTCGCCGTGCTTCGGTCGTGTCCGATCCGTCTTATTGACCGGGCGATAAGGCTCTGATAAGGCCTTCTTCAGCTGTTCTTCGCCAAGTCCCCCGGGTATCACCCCCTGAGACCACCGCTGGCTCCGCCCATCCCCTCTTACGGCCCTGTTCTGGCCCCCTTCCCCATCTCCATCCACTGTTTGAAGACACGGCAGTGGACGGCCCGCTCTACTCGGGCTCCAAGTCAGCAGACCTCACCACCGGGCACCGGCACTCGCAAGGCATTCAAACGTGGCTGAGGAAAGTGCGCTGTTAGTGCATGGGTACCGTGACAACAGCTGCCAGCTTGGCAAAGCCGAACATAATTCCAATTTGCTCCTTTTCTTGAAAGCCGATCCCAATTACCCGACGGATTCAGTTCCCGTTCCCTGAATTTCATCTCGTGAGCTCTTATCTCCAGAACTTAGGCGCCGTCTGCTCACGTGAATAGACACCGTATATATACCGCACCATGGACGGAAATCCCCCAGGCTCTTCTTCAAGAGTGACCTTGGACTGTCCCGACGAGCAACAACCTCTGCTCACTACCCAGCACCCTGATTACCACATTGATCCCATGCTGTCACTCTTCAAAGCTCAGGATGGCGGCGCGATAGACCCCACCGCCCATGTCGACCCCCAGACTGGTGCAGTGATCGAGAAGAAGACCAAGGCAGAGAGGTGGTTCGTAGCGAGGCTGGACGCGGTCTTATTGCTCTATGTGTGTATCTCGCAGATCATCAAGTATTTGGATCAGCAGAGTAAGTCCATCGCCGATGAGTATTACACGAGGCACCTTGTACCATAGACTGACGATCTTTCTCAGACATCTCGGCCGCCTATGTGTCCGGTATGAAAGAGGGTGAGCATTCCTCGTCAACTCCCCCAAGCAGCCTCACTGAATGTTACCAGAACTCGACCTCTACGGCAACGAGTACAACTACTTCACCACCTGGTTCAACGTCGGCTATGCCATCTTTCTCATCCCTTCCCAGATCGTCATCACCCATGTTCGCCCCTCCTGGTGGTTGCCGGTGCTCGAGACTTGCTGGGGTGTATTGACGATCGCGACATGCAAGGTCCACAACTACAAACAAGTGTATGTCTCCCCTTTCTCTGTCTGGATGTGTGCTGATGAACTTGTAGATATATTCTCAGAGCATTTGTGAGCATCATCCCATGACGCCCAGGCTGGACTGATATATAAAAGACTGGTGCTTTCGAAGCCACTTGTTACCCCGGTGCTATCATGCTTCTCATGTCTTGGGTACGTAACAATCGCCGTCCTGACCAGCTCCGCTCATACCTCGTAGTATACTCCCAGAGAACTCGCCTTGAGAATTGGATTCTACCACAGTTGTCAATCCAGTACGTCATCTTTTGTGTTTTGAGATGCAAGGCTAACGATTACATAGTCGGTAATATGGTCTGTCAACTTGTCCCCTCCCGCGACTCACGCTAACCTAGTCTCAAGCTCGCCGGTGCACTTCAAGCAGCCATCTACAACAACATGGATGGTCTCCACGGCATGTCTGGATGGAGGTGGATGTTTGCAAGTCTTTTCTCGCTTTCAATCTTCTTCACAGCTGACCTCCAGAGATAGGTCATCGACGGTATCCTCACTCTTGTCGTTAGTTTTGCAGGTCTCTTCCTCATCCCCGACTTCCCATCCAAACCCAAGTACGCCGCGCTTTCGTCTTTCCCCGTTCATGTCATGCTGACTCATCTGTACCAGCCCTTGGGCCTTCTGGCTCCGCCCTAAACACATCGACCAGGCGATGGACCGTGTCGCCCGATTCCGCCGAGCAGACAACAAGAAGTTTACATTCCGATCCGTCAAGAAGGCCATCTTTAGCCCATTGTTCTACTTTTTCGTCGTCATGTACGTCGCGACCGTTCTTGGGCAGGGCGGGTACAGCTGTAAGTCTTTGACGGAATATCGTGATGGTCGAGCGCTGATCGGTGGTAAAGATTTCAACCTCTGGCTCAAGAGTCTCAAGAATGATGATGGTACAGCGCGTTGGTCTGTCGCGCAAATCAATGCTATCCCCATCGGTGGTGGCGCCATTAGCGGTACGTCCCCTCCATCCATTCTTCAGGACAGCTACTGACAATATTTCAGTCGTTATGATCTGGTTCTGGGGTTTCTTCTCGGACTACTTTCAGACTCGATGGGTGCCCGTCGTCGTCCAAGCTTGTATCGGCCTCGTACCCGGTATCATCATGAGCATCTGGAATGTCTCGGACAATGCCAAATACTTTAGCTGTACGTTCCTTCCCCTCCTTGCCCTTCGTCTTCACGACTGACCTTTGATGATAGACTTTGTGTGCTACCTTTCCCTCGCTACTGCACCTCCTATCTGGGCTTGGCTATCCGACCTCAACCCCTTTGACGCCGAACAGCGAGCCTTCACTCTCGGTTTCGCCATCGCCTTCTACTATGCCTGCGGCGCATGGAGCGGTCCTCTCATCTGGCCTGCAAGCCAAGCACCTGTATGTCCATTCTCTCCCTACCGAGATTCATACAGAGTAGTGACGCTTACGGGGCGATAGCACTACGCGCATGGATGGCAAGTCACCATCGCTTTATGGGTATTGGTCATCATCCTCGCTTGTTCTCTTCGATATGTCGAGTTGAAACACATCAGGCGAGTCTCCCCTTCTCTCTACGAAATCTGAAGCTGACCATTATATGACAGACCTCGAAACGTCAAAAAGGCCGAGGCCAAGATCGCTGCTCAAGAGGCCGAACAAGCCCGCCTCGATGCCGAGGACGATGACATGAAGAAGGATCCTGTCCTCGACCAGGTGCGACCGGTCGTAAGTAGGGTGTAATGATTCTGGGGGGATTGGGGAAGACTTGTCTTGTTTGGGGTATTTGGGTATCTTTGGGAATCGTTGTAATAGAGTGTTCGTTGATGTATGTCGCTATGGAACCTTGTAGGGTCCGTTCCATCACTGCTGTAGAGAGCTTTATATAATCTCAGCAGTATCGTCTGGGCGCATCGTCAATCATAGCCGAGAACAGACTCAGCAAGAAGAGTATCAGGGCACAAAGAAAGCGAGCAAAAAAAGAAAAAACGACGGCACCCGGGATTCCCAGGTGGTCCCCCACCCTGGTACTAACCGAGCGCTCTCCTAGTTGACTTCGCGGATCAGACGGGACGCGGTACTTTGAGGAGGCTATGGCCGTCGATGTTGAAACTATGAGCGTAGCAAACATGTTCGTGATGTGATGCAATGAAAGGTGGTGGATGTTAGGCCAGTGATGGAATGTTGAAAGGTGTCTACATGGGTCTCTAAAGATTATGCGGATGCTGATATTGTACACCGTGCAGTGCATCATCATTCTGCTTTGTTTGGCAAGGTCTGCCGGAGCGGAGGAGAAAACTGTTTGGCTAGGCGGAGGAGCGGTGAGGCGCGCGCAGCCATGTCGATACAAGTAGATACTCTTTGCCCGACTCGGATCCAAACGAGGTGGAAGGAGATGATGCAGAGATGATGCAGAGATTATTGCCGTTGGGAATGTCTTTAAGACAGCTATGAGCGAGAGTGATGAAACAGCGGTCGATATCTTTTCATGTCCCGCCATGTCCATCAACGTATGCGGTGATGACCGCACCGGCCATTGACCACCTCCGTCATTTCCGGATCGCAACTCTTTCCTACCTCCCTTTGTCTTCATCCCCCTCTCCCTTGTCCTTCTTGTCCTTACCTCCTGCTTCAAAGCACACCCCAATGTCCTCCCTCCGCTCATTCCTCTCAACACTCTACACATACACCCTCGGCTTCCTCCTCTCCGCCCTCAGCGACGGCCTGTACTCGGTTTTTGGTTTGATCAATATGGTTCGGTGGAGTAGTGATATTGTCAAGGTTAGGCCGGTGAAGCCTGGATTGGTGGATTTGACGACGAGGGTTATGACTGGAGGGAAAGGGGAGGGGAGGGGCGGGGGGAAGGGGGGGAAGGGGGTGACGGTGAATGAGTGGGTGGAGGAGAATGTACCGAGTTTGAAGGAGAGGTTTACCCCCGCTGCTTGGTTGCCAAAGTACGTCCCCCCTCCCTCTCCCTCTCTTTTCCTCCTCCTTCTGAAGCGCCTTTGGGTTTGGTGGGAAGAGAAGCTGATGGAGAAGGGATGTTTAGTGGACATTTGCAGACGCTTTTTAGTGCTGCTGGGGATTTTACGAAAGTGGACAAGGTGCATTATGTGCGGTGAGTCCCACGGCTAGTAGCAGTAAACGGATATAGCTGATATGTTGGTAGAACCTATCTCCGACTGCCTGATGGAGGTACACTGTGCGCATAAAACCACCATCGTGGGGAGTATAAGCTGATTGAGGTGTTAGAGGGATCGATGTGACGCCGGAAGATCACCACAAGCTCGCGCCGGACGCGCCGACCGTGGTGGTGTGTCATGGTCTTACAGGCGGGAGCCATGAGAGTTATGTAAGGAATATACTTGGGTGGGTTATCAAGCCCAAGAGCGAGGGTGGGCTGGGGGGACGGGGGGTTGTCGTAAATGTACGCCTCGAGTTTATGGGTAGATGGAGGGAGGGCTGACCTTGGGATGGGCGTTAGTTTCGCGGGTGCGCCGGTGTACCCGTCACTTCGGACCAGCTCTACTCTGCGGGTACGACCATGGACCTAGCTCTCGCGCTGCACCACATCTCGGCGCGCTACCCCTCGTCGAAACTGCTCGGTATTGGCTTTTCCCTCGGCGCGAGCGTCTTGGCAAGGTACCTCGGGGAGTATGGGGAGGACGCGCTGCTGACGAGCGGGGTGGTACTGGGCTGTCCGTGGGATCTGACGGCCATGTCGCATAAACTCGAGAACGACTGGTTCACTGCGCGGGTCTACTCGTCCACCCTGGGGAAGAACGTCCTCCGCTTATTCTTTCGCGCATACGACAAGAACCCGGCGCTGTTTGACGCGGTGGAGAGCCCCGTGGCGGGGTATATGGATGAGCTGAAGAAGCTAAGGAAAGAGGCTGGGAGCGGGACGAGGTTGAGGGGGGTGGATGATGTGTTGACGTGCAAGATTGGGGGACCGAGGGGGATTGGGGCGTGGCCGTTTGAGAGTGCTGCAGAGTATTATGCGTGGGCGAGCCCGAGTAATGTGTTGAGTGGTGTCAAGGTGTAAGTCCTACATTGTAATGATAGAAGCTAAACTATTATAGTCCACTGTTCGCGATCAATGCGTTTGACGATCCTGTGGTGGACGGCCTCGCGCTGCCTCTGGCAGGGATGCAAGCGTCAACGCACATCTACACGGCCATCACCCGCGGCGGCGGCCATCTCGGCTGGTTCGACGGCCCCCTCTTCGGCTCGCCCGCCAAGACCAAGCACAGGTGGATCCTGAAACCCGTGTCGGAATGGTTTGAGGCGTGTGCGAGGGATCTGAGGTCGCCGGGGGAAGATGCGCGGGCGGCGGTGGAGGTGGAAGAGGTGGATGGGTGGGAGTGGGTCAGGGAGGCTAGGTACAAGATTCCTGGGGTTGAGAGAGTGGGGTGGAAGGTGCTGCGGGAGGGGGAGGTGGTGGCTGGGGAAGAGGACGAGGGCGAGGGCGGGCTGGTGCAGGGGCTATAGAGATAGAAATGATAGAGATAGATGCAGTCGGCGGTCGCCGCTACGGACATCCGAATGGCTGTCACGATCTCCTCCCTTTACCCTTCTGCATCCAGCATGTCGCTCGACGTCTCCCACCCGGCCCTCACCGCTGCCCGCCAGGCCGTCGCGGACCCCTCCGACCCGACGGCGTGGTTCCTGCTGCAGTACAACCCCGACTCCCCCGGGCCTGGGTTCCTGCTGCAGTACAACCCCGACTCCCCCGGGCCCCAGGCGATCCCCCTCGACTCTGGGCCCCTCCCCGTCCTGCCCGCCTGGCACAGACACCTGCGCGAGACAGGCCAGGGTGTCCTCTTTGGCTATGCAGAGATCGCAAACAAGGGCCTCGTCCTCGTCTACCTGCCCCCAGATGTCGGGTGAGTCCCCTGCTGTTCCACGCGACGACCTGCTGACGCGCCTTGGACAAGCGGCGTCAAGAGAGCCCGCGCCATCGTCCATTCCCGCGCCATCGCCAACATGTACCCCGAGTACTCGGCCCTCATCACCATCGCTGACCCCGACGAGCTGACGGAAGAGCTTGTGTCGGAACGGCTCGGGCTTGGGGTGCCGGCGCCGCTGGACAAGGCAAGGGTGGAGATCCCAGGTGGGGACGGTCCGAATCCACTGGCCCCGGGCTTGGGCAGGGGGATCCCGCTTCAGAAACAGAGGGATGCCACGCCGATGTCTGCGGCGGCGGTGGGATCAGAGACGGGTTCGCCGTCGAGGGTCAACTTTTCCGAACGGCGCAAACCTCCTCCACAGCTCTCTGCTCTCGGCCTGGGGACGCCATCCGAACCCGCCTCGTCCTCCCCATCCCGCGCGCCTTCTCGCTCGCCATCCCGTCCGCCGCCCGAGCCGCAGGCTGTCGCCGTCCCGTCGGTGGAACAGCTGAAGGAAAAGGAAAAGGACGACCGGAACCGCAAACCGTCATTCACTTCCCGCCTCAAGAATACATTCCACCGCTCATCCCCGTCCATCGAAGATACACCCGCGTCTTCACCGTCCAATACCGACAAACCCACGCCGCTTACCCCGACGAGCCCGTCCTCCCCGAGCATGGGTAGTGCCCGGTTCAAGGCGGCCTCGTTGGGCAAGGTGTTTTCGAAAAGGAGAGGGGGGACGGGGGAGACGCCGCCTACGAGTCCGAGGGCGGACGGCGGGTTTGGAGAAGGCGAACCCCCGAGGCCTATCAGCCATGATTTCAGCCCCGCCGCCGGCCCGGCCCTCCCCCCCAAAGACACCTCTTCCATATCCCAAACCTCCTCATCCCCTCTGGCGCCTTCCGCTCCCTCGCTCCATGCGGTGCATGGGCACTCGCCTTACCCCACCGCGACCCCTCCTGGAGGAGCCCCGCCATTACTGGGCCCGCCTGTACCGCTCGTATCGAGAGACAGCACAAAGAGCGAAGCTGCGAGCTACTATCAGACCCCCCTGGGCTCGCCTTCGCCTGAAGACGAAAATGAAGAGATCGTGCCGAATGCGAGGTCGACGTCGCTGCTTACGCCGGAAGCAGCTGCGCCCCCGGGTGGTGGTGGTGGTGGTGGTGGTGGTGGTCTCTCGCCGTCGCCTTCTGCTCGTCAGGTGTTGTATGACGCGCGGCAGAAGAGTTTGGATAAGGAGCGCGAGATACAGGAGCGTTTCAGGCGGGATCTGAGCGAGAAGGAGAAGGATCAGAAGGATGACGGGGATGACGTGAATGGGCATGGGCAAGGGCAAGGGGGAAGTGATGGGTATGAGAGTAGTACCCGGCTGGCGTATGATGATACGGATACGGAGGATGAGAGGGGCAAGCCGACGACAGCAGGGGAGAGGGAGAGGGTGGGGGTGGCTGTACCGCCGTCGCTGGGTGCGCTGCCGGCATCGCCTGTAGATGACGTGCCGGGTGGTGGGACGTCGCCGGGGCTTGTGGGGAGGGGCGCTTTCCCTTCGCCTCCCCCGCCTAATGGACAGAGTCTCCCAGAGGTTCCAGAGCCTGAGCCCGAGCCTGGGGTGGAAAAGAGAGAAACGCACGAGCTGGAAGAAGCCCAGCAGCAAGCCATGATGCGTGCTGAAATGTCTGCTCTGCATACCGAGCAACAGGCGGAGAAGGAGGTTGCGGAAGAGGCTGAAGATCCGATAGAGAGGGAAGGGGCGGAAGAGAAGGCGAGGGCGGATGGGGAGATTGAGGAGAGGGTGAGAGTGGAGTATGAGGAGAGGGTGAGGAGGGAGAGGGAGAGGGAAGAGGAGGAGAGGGAGAGGAGGAGGGAGGAGGAAGAGGCGAGAGAGAGGTATTTGGCTGAAGAAGAGCGGAGGAGGGAGGAGGAAGAAGAGGAGAGGCGCTTGGCTGAGGAGGAGAGACTGAGAGTTCTGGCGGAAGAAGAAGAGCGTCAGAGGTTGGAAGAAGAAGAGCGGGCCGAGCGTCAGAGGCTGGAAGAGGAAGAGCGGGCGCGGGTGCAGGCGGAACAAGAGAGAAAACGGGAAGAGGAAGAAGCTTTGGCAGAGAAGAAGAGAGCAGAGGAGGCAGCGCGGGCAGAGAAGAAGAGGGCGGAAGAGGAAGCAGAGAGGCAGAGGATTGAGGATGAGTTGGCGAAAAAGCAGGCGATCAGGGATGGGCTCTTGTCGGGCAAGAGGGATGGCGGGGTGATGCTCAGAGGGGTGAGCCATCTCTTACATTTCTATCAGGATGGAGCTGACGCTAGGGCAAGTGGGTGACGGCGCAGACGTACAAATCAATGACATGGCGACGCCGCCACTTTCAACTCTTGCCGACTGAAATGAGACTGTTCAAAAACGAAGGTGTACGTCCCATCCACCCGCCATTCTGTCAATTCACTCTGACACTCTTATGCAGGACGCCAAGCCCATACAGACGATATTCTTTGGTCCCTCTACGACGATCTCGGAGGCATACGAAGAATCCCAAGTCAAGGACAGTTTCAAAGTCATCTCGTCTTTGCCCGAGAAGGGTGATGAAGAGTTCTTTCTGTTTACAGATTCGGCGGAGGACAAGGAGGTGGTGTTGGAGGGGATCAGGCTGTGTATATAACTTGCTGTAGGGTATGCATGTGAATAGGATGCGCAAGATGTAGCTTTTTGACTGGGCCATCTTTGTAATCCGGGGAAAACAGCTTGAAATGGAATGGGCGATATTGATTCCGGCCATCATCTCTTGCATTCAGCGTTTCCAAAGCGTTTCTCGTTGCAATCGTCTATATCTACGATAAAACGCACATGGCGCCCAATCCTCGCGTCTTTTTCGACCTCGCAGTCAACGACAACAAGCTCGGCCGGGTTGTCGTACGTCCCCCCCCGCCGCTGTAGCATGTGCTGACTCTTTGACAGTTCGAGCTCTTTGCGGACGTGTAAGCTGTCCGAACTGCTATTCTCCTCTGTATACTGACACATCCACCCAAGTGTCCCAAAGACTGCTGAAAAGTACGTCCACCCCCGGCACCTGATCCAGGCTGACCTCCTGGCAGCTTCCGAGCCCTCTGCACAGGTGAAAAGGGCATCTCGCCCATCTCCTCTCTGCCCCTGCATTACAAATCGTCCATCATCCACCGTGTCATCCCTGAATTCATGATCCAAGGTGGCGACTTTACAAAGCGTACCGGGTCTGGCGGGGAGAGTATATATGGCGGGGGCACTTTTGAGGATGAAAGGCTGGAAGGGGAGGGATGTAAGGTCGACAAGAAGGGGCAAGTCCGCGGCAAGGTGAGGAGGCAGAGCTGACAATGGATGTAGATTGCTGGTGATGGCCAACAGGGGACCGGATACCAACAAGTCGCAATTCTTCATCACCCTCGCGCCTTCGCCTCATCTGACCGGTAAACATGTGTACGATTCTTTTTTTCCCTATCGACCCCGTACTGATGCTTGGTGTAGAGTGTTTGGCCGAGTGGTCTTTGGGATGGAACATGTCGATGCTATCGGCAATCTCCCGACGGATGACAGAGACAGACCGCTATCCCCCGTAACCATCATCCATTGCGGCGAGCTCGAACTGCGTCGACCTCCTGCTGCCGCCAAGCCCCGCTCTCCTTCACCTACCCCCTCCCGATCCCGATCGCCCGAACCAAGGCGAAGCAGATCGCGAAGGTATAGCGACTCGGAAGATGCCGACTCGGACGATTCGCGCGAATACCGCAGGAAGCGTAAAGAGCGCAAGAGGGAAAAGAGGGAGCGCCGAGAGAAGGAGGGCAAGTCGAAATCCAAGTCGTCGTCACGCCGGGATAGGGAAGAGACGGAAGCGGAGCTTGATGAGCGGCTGGAAAGAGAAGAGAAGGAGATGCTGGAGAAGCAGAGGGTGGAAAAGTTGGCAGAGACAAAGAGAAGGCTGGAGGAGGAGAGACAGAGGATCAAGGATAATGGGGGTATCGTCTACAAGGGCGAGTCAAGCTATCGGCATAGTTGGATAGTGCTGACACAAAACAGGTCGAGGTGCGATGCGCTTCCGAGACCCAGAGACAACCGCCCACCGCGCTCCCCGCAACTTCAACGCCCCCACATACTCCCACCTCCCCGGTCGACCTCGCCACCAACCGAACGGCCCCGGCCCGGGCTTTGGCCCCAGAGTCGACCGCGATCGCCCGCCGCACCGCGATACCCGTCCCAGTCGTCCTGATATGAGCTCGTTGGACAAGGATATGGATAGATGGCAGCATGACCGGTCGCAGCATGATCGAACGGCAGAGAGGAGCAAGTTCAGGAGGGGCGAGGATGAGAGGGAAAGGGAGAGGAGTGTCAGCCCGGTAAGAGGAGAGGTACCGAGGGCGGCGGCTGTTTCGAATGAGAATGGGCAGGATGGCGAAGACGATATGGTTCTTGATCTGGACGATTGAGCGCCTTTTTTGCATGTATCGCATCTTGGCAAGATATAATTGTTATAAGGCAATATAGGCTGACAGGACAGTGAGTATACTACAGGATAATGCACACCACATTCCATTTCCCGCGACCTCGACCCTGCCACCTCTCGCGCCGAGGTGGATGTGCAAGCTCACGTTCCCGAGTACTTTGAAAGACCATCTCTCCTTCCCCAAACCGACAAGTGCTGATGTATCTCACCGCCCATCGTTATTGCTTCTACCCTACCATTATGCGTAAGCAGGGCCAGGAAGGTCAGAAGGCATGACTCACCTTGCGATGATCTTCATGCTTCTTCTTCTTGCTGTCCTTGGCCTTTTTCATGTCCGCTGGCTTCTTTTTCTTTTTCTTCTTCTTCTTCTTCTTCCGCTCTTTATTCTTCTTCTTCTGCTCCTTCTTTTTCCCAATCCTGTTTTTATCGTACTGCTGCTCTTCTGGAAGAGGCTGCATGGTCCGACTTAGTGAGAATCGATAAAACAGGACTGATAGCACTCACAGCAGCCTGCTCTGAATTCTGAAACCCTCCACAGCAATCACAAACACGTGCCTTCTCAAAGCTGACCGTTTCGCAAAACCACTTGCTGAAAAGCGCCTCGCACTCCTCATTTAACGGTTCGTTATTTCGTGCAAAGGCCTTCAAGATGATTTTTGGGACATCGGCGTCGGGAGAGTGCGGAGCGATATTCCTGAACCGGATTCGCCATGGTTTCTTCCCCGGCGTCCAGCTATAAGACCCGTCAGCACAGCCTCACGAATGGCTGGTCCTATCGACTTACCCTTCAGGCCCGACTTCCCCTCTGGCCACTGCACCCCTCAATTCTTTCAAATGTTTGCTCATCACCGGCATAGTCATGAGCACCTTCTACTTGCGCGACGCTCTCCTCTTGGGAAAGTCGTATATCATGGTATCAGCTAGTGACACGCCGGTACTCCCAGGCTTGGCGTTATGATGGAGAGTGAAGGAGGTCAGGTTGTCCTTGGTGGGACCAGCAGCGAAAGAGGGCGCTTGTTGAATGAAGCTCGTTACGATCTGGCGACGCGAAGGTACCCAGAACGCGTTAGGGTAATTCTCGTAGAATCCTCTGGAAGGGCTCACGCATATATGCTTGAGCGCTGGTCCAAACAGAGGCGAGTCCACTGGCGCAGGATATGTGAGCGACTTGGAAATCCGCCCGAGCGCCACATGGGAAACAGAAGAGAGCAATGGCTCTTTCAGCCAGTCCATGACAGAGAAACGCTCCTTCTTCCATACCCCGACCACCTTTGGCAGCATGCTGATCCTCTTCTGGACGTGGCCGCCGACGTGACGTAGCAAGTCGAGAGCGCCGCGGCTGTTGATACGGATCTTGCGACACTGTCGTAGAAGGAGTATCTTGCGAATGAATGGGTCGAGACTGAGAGGTACCACAGAATGACCTCCTGTCTGGGAGCCTGGCGAGACAAAGAGCAATGGCTCGTCTGCCCACCTGGCTGAGAGGGGCAGTATGAGTACAACTGCTTGTGAAGGCTACTTGGCCAAACAGGTCTGCCATCGGTCCCGGATAGCAGAATACACCCGCCAAAGGACAGCGGATCGCGTCGGGATATTGGCGATGTATGCTTCCATATCCCCTCCAAAAGGCCAAGGCAATTTTCGTCGTTGATCTCGACCTGCTCGTATAACTTCCAGGCGTGATGGGCGTAGAAGGCTCGGGAGAGGCTCATGAACTGGATTTGGTGGTAATTGCAGTACTGGTGATTGAGAAAGAAGAAGTGACGGAAGATCATAGAGATGAAAAGTGACGGAAGATCATAGAGATGATTTCTGGAGGGAGGGGAGGGAGTTCTGTGATGGTGATGCTTGGGGGCGGGGGGCATTTCGCGCAGGGGGAGTCGTCTGGCGACATCGCGTCTTGTTGTGGATGCCCGAATGGATCCCCCCGCCGACAGGCAGGATCGATGTCGTGAAGTGAGGGCACAAAGCGACCATGCACAGAAAAATTGCGACGAGATTGCAGGTACAGGTACACCGCACGGCCTCCCGGACGAGCTGTCCTTCTCTACCATCGTTGACCTTAGCTCCTCTTTGCCCTGTTGTGATATGTCTGCTGGAAAGAAAGGAAACACTCTCCAAGCTCACTATTGCGCTGCATGCTACAAGATATCCATGTTGTAAGATTTTATAGGCGACAATTTTTTTGGGGATCTAGATTAAGATAAGATAAAAAAGTGTTTTTCTAATGGACTGAATCTACGGGCCGGCGACCTTATTGGCCACAGAGCGCTGGATTGCCGCCAGAAAGCCCACAGAGTTGCTCTATCTAAGCGGATTTTGATTTTGTGCACTATGTTCCCTTGAGGTAAGAGAATGGATGTTTTCCAGTCTTTGTAAGGGCCCTGGCTTATGTGTGCAATTCAAGTTCAATGATGCACACTGTTGCGGCCTGGGAGGCCACTTGCGTGCTGAAGCCCTTTTAATCTTTTTTTAATTGAGTGCTCTCTGCGTTCACAAGTCATATTGAATCCTGGGAGGAGTCTAAACTTGTTTCTAGGCAAGAGGGATATCTCAAATGTGTTTTATTGACGTGTAGTGCCATTTGCATAGAGTTATGTCCAGTTTCATTGCATACTCTTCACAATCTCTATACGTATTACAGTCCTGTTTTACAATTCTTTTTCCTTTCCCTTCCAGCTGCTCTTGTTCTTTGTTCTTATGAATAGAGCCCACACGTCCGCCTTGCGATTTGCCTCTTCGCGCGTTCTTCCCCCGGCGACCACCACGCTTGCTGGAGTCAGCTTGCCTACTCCCCTCACCATTCCCCAAGCCAAAGACTGTTTCCGCCTTCATTGCTGAAGGTTTGGGGGAATTTCTTGCCTTTGAGGGGCCAGCTTCCGGGTTAGAAGGTCGCAATGGTGCCCCAGGGGCGGAAACCGGCTCCTTGTCGGCTGGGGGGGCAGGGGAGGGCTTACTGATTGTGTCCTTAAACGGACATTCCTCCCATTCCAGCGCATTCCCGTGGTGCCGCTCATCAACACAAAATTCACAAAGCTTTTCCATCCCTATTCACGTCATCCACTTCGCCTTATTGTACACCCATCGCTTGTCCCCTTGCGTCAAGTGCACCGCACCCCAATTGGGCTCTCCTTGTACTCGCCAGGACCCTCTCTCTGTCCTGTTGAGGGGAGTTGACCTGATAAGGCCGAGGGACGAGAGGAAAGGGAGGCCATCTTCATCCTTCCACTCCAGGAGATCCTGACGGATCTCTTCGGCTGTGGCGGCACCATGGCTGGAGCTGATGGTCCACAGTACTTCTAGATTGACGGGGGAGCACTGGGGGAGGGGAGGGACAAAGGAGAGAACCAGTTCGAGACCAGCCACCGAGGTGACGCCTTGTCGATCTTGGAATTTCTGCCACAAGAAGCGCACTCCTGCGGCACTGAGGCCAAAGAAACACTCCTCCCAGTCGGTGAAAGGGGGGTAATCAACAAAGAGGGCCTGGAGGTCAAAGAGACCCATGTGGTCACACCAGGCAAGGAAGATTTCAGGGCGGAATGCCCTTCTGATGTCTTTGGCAAACCCCAAGAGACGGCGCAGACAGAAGAGGAAGCCACCAGAGACGTCGTCGTTGTACCGGTTGGGGTAGCGGAACGACCTGGGGCGGGCGCGAGCGATCGATAGTGCTCTTGCCATCTCGACAGGGGACAGAGAGGGGACGACCTTACGCCTTTTGGGGGGCGAGTCTTCAAAGCCTTGGGCCCGTTTTACTGCCTCGAGGAGGTCGGGGTTGGCGCGAAATAGAGCCAGGATCTCCTTGTCGGTGGCGAGCTGACACTCTGTCAACGCTTCGATGGAGGCAGAGGCGAGTTGGGGAGGCGCAACAGTGGTTGTGTTCCCGCGAGAGGACAACGCCTGGACAGATGATGGGGGTTGATTGCTTCTTGAAGCCGGAGGCTCTGTGTTATCGTTGTCGTCTGCCTCCATTTCACTCTCGGCTTGATAGGATAAGGAGGGGGAAGCGATCCGAGGGCGTTTGTGGATACCCACTCGAGAGCCTCTATGGTCTTCGACGTCGAGGGAAGGTTGGAGTTTGCGTTTGCGGCCAGACTGACGTGCTTCGTCGTCTGCGGAGCGTGGGGGGAGGACGAATTCGGAGGATGACTGGGCAAGTTCCAACAGCTGAAAGTAATATGGATGTTCAGCCTGGAGGCTGGCTGCGCAGAGGATTAGCCAGAGTCTCGCATCTCGAGGGTCATAGCTCATACTCACCTCTCGTGTGCTTGGGCACATTGCTCCATCTCTTCCAGGACGGATGAAACTTGTTGGTATACGTCCCGGATTTCAAGGCGCTCTTCAATCTTCACAGGTGTCAGCGAGGCCACGCTGAAAACTCTGGCAGGTACTTACGAGTCTATCTTCCTCCTCACGGGATTTCCCACCCTACTGCTGAAACGCTCCGTCGCTTCCCACTTTTTCTGCGTACCGTCGCCTTTCACTCTCTTGACAAGTCCCTCTCTCTCCGCGTCCCTCATCGCTGGGTCGTTTTCACAAAAGACGAGGAAAATGTCGACATAGATCTTGTATAGCTTGGGTACGGTGGTGATGCCTTGAGGGAAGCATGCTTGACGCCATAGAGGGTTGGACTTGATGATAGAAAGCAGACGACAAATCTGTTGGGGGTCTGCGCTCCAGCTACGATGAACGATTAGGGATAGAGATACAGGGATCAGGGTGCTGACCGAATGACGACGTTGAACTTGGGAACGCTTCTGGCCTGCGCTGCTGCCTTGGTCGAAGAGGGCATCTTTTGGGGATAGAAAAGAGAGATAGCGCGATGGTGGCAACGACGAAGAAGTGACAGCAACGGGAAGAGGGAAAATTGCGGGTGGGAGTACGAAAGGACAGTAGTCGTGCTGAAAATTTGGATCAATCTTTTGCGAGCTGATGGCAGGGACAGGTACACGCACGGGATGTGTGCATCCCTGCCACTTCTCATCTTGTCATCCAACTTGGTCATGGCGACAAGGTGGTATGCAAGTTGATCCATGCTGTTGCTGCTATAGACATGTCTGCACAGAAAGATAGTCATGGAGGACCGGAAATGACCCAAAGTACTCTATATCCCTTACATACAGTTAAACAAGAGATCACGCGTTACACATCTATGGTACTGCCACGAAGCGGCTGCCAGAGCTACACTTCCATAGCGTACACCCGCCCACCTCAGACATGACCCTCTCTATCTACTTAAACATCTATGGGCTGCGTCCCTCTAGCCTCTCTGGCTTGACAAAAGCCGCCCCCTCCACGTCTTCTGCTTCATAGCTACTTCTGGAAGTCTCCCCGCCTGTCGATAGCCACTCTAGCCCGGACACATCCGTCTCTGGGGCGTCGCCGCTTTCGACAGACGAAATACTTTCCATACCCTGATGCTGCGTCCCCAACACCGTCTGCAGGCCGCTTGCACTGACGATATCTTGTGGAAGTGGGAGGGGAGGGGCCGCAAGCTCGGCGAGGAATGAGGTGGTAGGGAATTGAGGCTGAGAGAAACTCCTCTGGCGCTGGTGCGACATGCCAGTCAAGGTACCACGACTCGGGCGAGGCTGCAGCTCGGCGCTGGGCGGGCCAGCAAGCTCCGGAGTAGGGGTGGTGGAGGGGGAGGCCGAGCTTGGGAAACGCCATGTGGATGGAGAGGGGTCGGTCTGGGAGTGGGTGTGGTGGCGGGAGAGAAGGTCGGTGCTGGAGATGGGTGTGGGGTAAGCAGTGGGAGTGATGATCTGCTGGACTCGAGAGAATGCTGGCAATAGCACCTGTCTTGTGGTCAGCAACCGAGCCAAGCGTAAGATAGCAACGACTTGCCTCCTTCGAACCTGTCAGTTCGACCTTTCCACCATTCCCCGCCTGGCCGCCCGTAAAGTCGCCCTCCCTCCCCCACCCCATCCCATCTTGCCATCCCCAAAACTCTACCCCGCCTTCGACCACCTGAAATCCGACAGCAACACTCTCCAAGCTCACTCCCGGGTTCGACGTCGCCTGTAGGCCTTGGACGGTAGATGGTGAGAGGGGGATGTCGAGGCGGAAGAGGGTGCGGTGGAGGATGTACAGGTGCAGTGTTGGGGTTGTGGGGGAGAATGATACTGCTGCGCCGAGGTCGGGGTGGGTGTGACCGGTACCCGGGGTGAGGAAGCGGGTCCATTTGGAGATGGAGAGTACAGTAATGGGCAGTATCGTCAGGTTTGCTAATGGGCAATCAGTCTTGGACTCGGATGGAAAGCCGACTTGACTCACTAGAGTTGTCTCGCGTGAGCCTCCTCAGCGCGTCTCTCTCCGCCCGGGTCTGCATCGACCCCGCCCCTCCTTCTGTACCCGCAGATGCAGGAGACGCGAGGGATAGACCGATCCGCTCATCAGCTGATAGTTGCCGGGGATTCGGGCAGGTGGTAGATAGCTTTGTAGGAGCGCCGTTAGCAGCATTTCGCTCTTTTGCTCGAGACTTTGACCGTCTGGTCCTCAAGGTCAGCTGATGTACAAGTGGGAGAGGTGAAAAGCGCACCTGTTCTGAAACCATATCTGCAACGTCTTTGGCCGTACTTCAGGTCCCAGCTGCCTTGCCAAAGCTTCTCTCGTCGGTCCATCGGGGTTCCTAGGCACGAGTCAGCCCCGCTCTGCAGCTCCCCCGATAGCCATAGAATTAAGAGAGACTCACTTGTTCTCCTCGTAAGACTTGATCAGGATATCGAGCTGCTCTTTGGTAGGCCTGAACCTAGGCGGCTTCGGCTCCATTCCGATGCCCATCGCCCCGCCGATACCGAATCCCATTCCCATCCCCATGCTGATACTGCTCGCGCCAGAGCTTGTGCCAGAGTAATAGTGAAGCCCGTCTCCTCCTTGCGCTGGACCAGGGGAAGGATGAAAGATCCGCTTTGTCTCGCCGCCAAATGCCGGAGCAGACGGTTGGCGGAACAGACGGCCAATTCGTGGGTTCTCCGGCTGCCCTTGAATCTGGACCTGCGCAAGATGCTGATGCGGCGAAGGTTGGGTAAAGATGTGTGGGGAAGGGTAGGGGTAGTATGAGTGGGCTGGAGTGACGGGCGAGGCGGACGATAGGGACATGATTGTGGAGGCGCGCCGTCGGTTGCCCAATGTCGGTAGAGAGCCAGCCGAGTAGCCTCTCACTGGTCTTGGGCGAGAGGTGGTGGGAAGAGACGTGGGGCTGAAGGGCTCGTTGGTAGGTGTGATGGTGCTGAATGCGCCAAACATTGGCGTGAGACCAGAAGTCATGTCGAAGGAGGCAGCAATGCCAGTGGGAGGAGAGGAAAGGGCATCAAAGGAAGGATAGACGGGAGTCGCAGAGGTTCCGCTGGGGGCTGGGGACTGAGCCCATGGTGTCTGCCCAGGGAGACTCTCGAAGGGAATGGTCTGCTGAATGGGTGTTGGGAAAAAGTCGTGGCTGCAGGGTGTAGGCGCGGCGGAGAAGGGGTCGAAAGAGGGCTGGGAGTGAGACCAAGATGACTGGTAATTTCCCGAAGGCTCGTATAGGGAAGACGTCTGGGACACGTCGTCCCTCTGTGAGCTTTGAGAGCTTTGGGAAGGACTGTCGCCCGCTGGCGACGCCGTCATGGAAAGATTGAAGATGGAGGAGTCCATAATGCCTCAATGTGGCGAATGGGCACAGCCTGTGTGAATGGTGGAATGGTAAAGAGCGTGGGTGGTAATGAATGACGGATACTAGGACGATGATCAGCACCGTTCAAATACAGTCCGCTGTTGTGACTCACAGCTTGGCGCTTACAGCTTGGTTACAGAGCAAAAGACGAGACACGATAAGACAGATATGATGTACAGTCCGACATCAACCGCTGCGGCTGGGACGGGGCATGTAAACTACGGTTGCCGTTTTGATCTCCCTGTTGCAAGAGAGGATAAAGGAGTGCGGAGGAAGGAGAAAAGGAGCGAGGAGAGGAGGGCGAAAGGGGTCCCGGGCAGCAGAAGAAGCAGGAGGGGAAGACGTCGAGCCTTTATAAAACAGAGGGCGGGCTTGGGGTTGTTGACAGAGAAGAGACGATGGAAACGTCTCGACGTGCGATGACACCCGGGAGTAGCTGAGGGGCGCCTCTGCGCAGTGTCTCTCGCCGCCAGCATCGCGTGTCGTACGGGGCTGCCTCGGCGCTGCGTCACCCTGCATTCTTGTGTTCTCCTTCAAAGGGCCGTCGTCAAGCACACCCCGTCCGAATCCAAGGGAAGCCGATCGGGTGTCCGAGCGTGCGTGTGTCGCCCTCCGGGTGCCTGTCGTCAGCCGACGGCCCGCCAGCCCGAGACCCGAGATGTGCGCGTTGAGGCGCGGAGCATACACTGTACGTGCAAAGATTGGGGCTGTCTGCTGCGTGTGTGCCTACATATGCATACATGGGGTTACTCACAGAACAACAACGAGCGCCGTCAAGCAATTCTGGAACCCGCGAAACCCGTCTTCCCCAGGCCCCGCCCTGTGGCTGTCCGTCGGCGAACGGGTCTTGAAACATCTGGTGCCTAGGGCTTGAAACTTGCGACCAAAGTCGACATCGAAGAGTCCTGATACTGTAGGTTGTCTTGTTGACAGGTCATGATCATGATTGTTTGCCGAGGAGGAAAGGCTGACGTGGAGGCGTGGGGCGCTCGAGCGGGCAGGAACTGCGGTAGCCGAGTTGCTTCGATCCAGGATGTGATGTGTTTTGAGTCATCATCCAGAGAGAGTATGTAGAGGGTATGCGATAGCGACGGCGAGAAGTGCTCGGTCGTCAATAGTGAATGTAGGCGTGCTCTAACACCCTCGTCCCGGCGAAATCTATCGATGACTCTCACGTATCGTACTGTCCGACGATAATGTCAAGCTACGAGCGTCGAACGTGTCGAAGATTTCGAGGAGGTTGGTTGGATGTACGCCGAGGGGAAGGTAGAGATGCAACACAGACAATACCTGGCATATGCGATCAGTTGACATCAGCTTTTGTCGGTGTCGGACACAAACGCACTCCGGTGATCTCCGCGACACGCCGAGCGGGTGGGTCCTATCGTCGATTCAACATCTCGAGATATACATCCGCAGTTCGACTTATACTGATGGAAAACGACGTCCAGTACTTTAAAGCATTAGCTCGCTGCTGAGATGCGCTTGAGACTATCTACGTCTTACGAGGCAATGACAATGCACAGCCCGCCATATGGGCGAACATGGCTGGCCTTGATGACATTGTGGCGTCGCGATGAGGTGGCACTCGAAAAGATGCATGTCACTGCCGAGATGAATGGTGCTTACATAAGGGAACAAATGAGGAGTAATCTGAGAAGAAATCACCTAAACAGCCCATAGCCACAGCGAGTACAGTTACACACAATTGATGTTGGACGATCATGTCCCTCTTCAAACGTGTCGCGACTTGAGGTAATTTGCTGTCCAACTAACATCGACGGCCATAGCCTCCTCAAAGTACCGTAACTAGGAGAGCGCTCGGTTAGTACCAGGGTGGGGGACCACCTGGGAATCCCGGGTGCCGTCGTTTTTGCCCTTAACTTTTTTGTTGCTTGAACACTTGTAGCTCTTTTGGAGCCCAGTACACCTGCACAGAGCCTTGGCCGACGAAAAAGATCATGCAGCAGGTCGAGTACGAAGCTGAGGAATGATGGATGACACGGAGTACAGAACATCTTTTTGACTGGTGGCTGCTATGACTGCTATTCCTTAAAGGTTACTCGCAGCAAAGCTCAGCATATTAGAGTACAAACTCCAGCGATCATTTGTCGTCGGACGGTCAAAGTGAACGAGTCCACAACTTCGGCCCAGACTTTTGTTCACATATCGAGAAGTGTGATCTATTTACGGTCTGATATACGTACTTGTTACACATTGATAACAAACCTAACTATGCGCAACCATGTTTTATGAATCTCCTCTAAATGATCCGAAGTCTCTCAAATACCTTGCCCCTTCTGAACATTAATAAAACCTCCTGCCCTCCCACCAAATCGGTCTCGTCTCTATGTACTGCCGCGTCTGGAATGCCTGCCCCATTTTCCCCTGACATGTCGCCATTCGCTTGCCTCTCTCGAGCTAGTTTTCACTCCTATGTCTTCTTATCACCTTCCTGACAGCTCTCTTCATGCCCACGAGCAGTATCCCATCACCTCCTCTCTGCGCTCTCCTTCCCCCGGCGCCATAACAACAACAGCCTCTTCACAATGACCGGCCTCTTATCTATCGCTGTCCCCTATTGCGTTCTCTTATCCAACTCATACCACGGGCTCTTTTGGCCCCCCTGGTTTCTGGGGATTCGCGGCGAAGAAGGGCTCCAGCGCGATCAGATATTTGGCTCTCTCGAAGGGGAGCCAGCTGTACCGATCGGCTCCGTAATATCCCTTCCACTCAACCTTAAACTCCAGCTTATTACGGTTCTGACGTCGGCTGTCGACGACACGCTCGACGGGATACTCTTCTTGGCCAATCACAAGAATTGGGGACGAACCGCGCTGTTGAGGAGGGGAAGGATCGAGGGAAGTGTCCTCGAGCGCCTGGGACTGATGACGAGAAGCGCGGCGAGCTGGAACAGCAGATCTCAAGTGGTAGCGTGGACGTGAGTCGTTGGAAGATGGGGTAGAAGATGATGCTGTTCGAGATCGGGCACGCTTTCGGCGACGGGAGGAGGTTGAAGTCGGGGCGGGGCGGGGCAAAGGTGGAGAGATGACGGGGGGATATACATCCCACTGAGTTGGATCATAGTAGCCTGAAACAGCTCTGCTGGGACCAATCCCACTTCGTGCCGGATCAAGATCATCGGGAGTCGATCGCCTTTGAGCTTGAGACAAATGCGTGTGCGTATCTGTTGTGCGAATGCCTTGAGGGGTATGAGACGCGACACTGCTCTTCATGTCTATCAGGAGTCAGCTTTGCCTGTGCACTGTTGTTTCAAACGTACCATGGGTAGGGCTCGGGGCAGGCAAAGAGTTCAAGACTTGCGCCGTCGTCTTGGGCTCCTTTTCTCCTGACACCCCTTCCTCATCGCTTGACTCCTCCTTCTTGCTTTTTCCCTTTCTAGGCTTTCGCGCTTTTTTGACAATAAGAGGAGCTGCTGTAGATGGAGAAATGATGGATGAAGAAGACGGCTCAGACGCCGACGAGGCAGCAGAAGGTCCAAGAGGTGGGGTAGGGGAGACTGAGGTGCCGCTTTTAGACCCTCGCTTCCTCTTTTCCTTCACTTGCTGTATCTCTCCCACGTGAGAGTCGTTTCCGGCTTCTGGACGTATAAAAGGCCCGGGGGAACGAGAAGAGGTGGCACTCTTAGATGATAGGGCTGAAGGGCGGAGAGGCGAAGGAGGGAATCCCGCTGCTTCGTCGTCCTTCGGCCCTCGCTTCCTCTTCTTACTCTTCATCTGTATATCTTTCACTTCCGAGCCATGTCGAGATCCTGAAGGGGTAGACGGAGTGAAGGAAGAAGGGGCGAAGGTGCTCGAGGAATGTTTCTCAAGTGAAACTTGGTTATCGGCCAACACTTTCGCAACAGCCTTTGCGACGGTGGCGGCGGGCGAAGACCGGGTAGGAATGGTAGAGGAAGGGGGGTCTAGGGCTGAGGACGAGTCGGAGGAGCTGGACGAGGACGAGGGGGACAGATGAAACGCGATAGCTAGGCTTATCGACTTTTGCGCCTTGCGAGAGAGTTTGTTTTTACACAAATCAAAAAGAGTCTTTGCGTAGGGACACGGGCAGCGGTGAATAGCTATCATGACGTAGTGTCAGATGCTTATTGCAAAACCATGTTGCGCGTCCCAACTTACAGCGATCGGGAGGACATTTACCGTCGCAACCTGTCCAAATGTTGCTAAAAGGGAACCACGCGGCCAATTCAGGATTGGGGGTGGCCAGATACTTTTTGATGTGCTCTGTCATTTCGTGGCGTACCCTACGCGAATGATGAGCTCCCATTGGTCTTATAATCATCAGGAGTCACTTACTGCTCGATGCATTCCACTAGTGGATTACGCACATCGCGCCCCCATCTCCTCGTTGAACCATAACCCCTTCTCGTCATTTTCACAAGCCCATAAGCAGCTGCGTGCGGAATTACTGTCTTGTCATGGCTCGAGCTGTAAATGTCCATAAAGAGCCGGCGGCCCAATCGCCGTTTCTTGTCGATATATGACGGATCGTTCACCTTCTCTCTGGCTCGAGGGAAGAACAGTCGAGCAAGCTCAGGATCGTCATGAATCTTCATTAGCGTACGCTTGATCAGATTAGGAGATAATCTGAACATACTTCAGCACAAATGCGAAGAGATAAGTATGTAGGCAGATGACTCACTCGGTTAAGAGGCCTTGTTATCGGTAAGGAAGGCTATAGGCCGAAGACTGCCTACCATCTGCTGATGAACGGGCAGTAGGGAAGTTTTTGAGGACCGGTGCCATGGTGTCGCGTCAAGGAGGAAGGGTCGTGGTGTTCGAATTCAGGCAGTGAGGTTCGAGAGAGGGTGTATCTCATATATCGTGAGCAAGTGAGAGTCGCGTCGCGTCTCGCAAACCTTTCAAATCTTTTCGATACATTACCCATTCCGGACGTGTCCTTCAACGCTTCGAAACAGAGCTACGCTATGACGTCGAGCACTCTGACAACGAGCACGAGCCCTTCCTCGACATGTGCGACAAGAGGGCCTAAGACGCCCACAAAGGAGATATCGTGGTCAAAGGATACTGTTAAACTCGACTATTACTATACCGGGCAGCATTGATGTGTTAGCTCAAGTGCCGTTCAGTCCGTCTCAGGGAGAATGTACACTCGCTCGGGCTACCTGTCTCGTGCAACGCCGCAGGCCGCAGGAGTTTGCCGGACCACGACACCCGTAAAGGAATGGAGATATCCTTCATAATGAACAAGAGCTCGGGGCTTATGGCAACCACATGACTACACTCTGACATATGCTGGCACGATGGCAAAGACAGGCAAGAGACGGCAAAAAGTTGTCCAAGATCTCCGAGAGGCAAAGTAGTAAGACGACAGCATACAATCTCAAAAAAAGACAGTTCGGTCCCTCTGTCCTGATACATGTATGTACTTTAGTGGTATGAACCTATGGCTGACCAATCGAGGAACGACGGCCACGCGGATGAGCGTATCATAACTCGCGTTGGCGAGACCGCACAGTTCTCTTTCCGAACGCCATCGCTGGTCGCTGGCCTCGCTGGATTGCTCAACCACCAGCGCAACCGATCGGCGCCTCCTTCCTTTGTGCAGCACGAGGTACATCTGCTCTTCCATGTCATTCGTTGTACCAGGACCATGGCCGACAGCGAGTTATCCAAGTCCGGGCTCATTCAACACTGATTCCTCGGGGTGTATTCAATGGGTCTCCCAGACTTGGTCAGTGAGGCCGCCGATGCCGAAGATGCGCCGCGTCACTCGCACCCTACTTCTCCGTTGCAGAATGTGCATTATTGTCCGCTGTTCGAAAACGGAAGGCAACTTATGCTGGTATGTAGTAGATGGCTGTAATAGGATAACTCCCTGGCGCTCATCGAGAGGGTCGACAAGCTACTAGGCAAAAAGAGTTGCATAGGCGAAGGCGCCTTTCATCAATATCGTTGTAAGTCACCAGATAGTCCGGTTTTTGGCGCTTACATGGGGATTATTATTACCTGTACAGGTAGTATGTAATCTAAGATTATGCGCTCCACGCTCTCCTGACATCATGCACCGGCCATACGTGGCTCGCGGATGCCGTCTCTCTCTGAGTTCCTGTCCGTATCCCCGCCGTCCTCCTTTCCTCGTATCGCCCCCTCAGACCTCAGACCTCAGACCTCAGACCTCAAACCTCCTGTTGCACGACATACCATAGAGGCGCGCCCTTCTTATCCGAATGACACCACGCCAGAATGTTCTTCGTTGGGTGCCATACAAGGCAGTTGAGGGTTGCGGGGATGGGGATCTTTGATACCACTTGCGACGCATGGGTGGACAGCTTAAGACCGATTGGATCAGCATAACAGCGGCGGAAAAAAGAAATGACACACGATGTAGATGAAGAGATCATCGCCTCCGGCTGCTATGAACTCCCCGTCAGACGAAAATGCCGTATGTCTTATTGCAGATCTATCACGGACATTTAGCGAGAACCACGGTCTAAGAGAAGTCGACTCACGAGCAAACGTCCCAGTTCTTCTCGCATATCCAATCCCTCGCGTCGATTAAACTCAGCAACGCATCTTGTCCTCCAACCGCAAACCATCTCCCGAGAGGGTCGAATGAGAGTGATAGAAGAGATGCAGCGTAAGGGGTGATGTGTGCGACCCGGGTAAGATGGGTAGCTTTGGGGGCGGGGATGGGAGCAGGGGGTGTGGCAGTTTCTGGTATGTCGGCGGAAGGTGGTAGGGCAGGGGAGGGAGGGCGACTGGGGGTGGGTTGTTTTGAAGAGTGGGGTGTGTTTTCGGTCATCTCGACATCGTCCTTGCTCGCTGTCTCATCTCCTGCGACACGCTCCTCTGGCTCTGCCTCTGCTGCAACGCCCTCGGCCTCTTGAGATCCCTCCTTGGCGGTCCCTTCGGGGGCAACGGTGGCGGAGGGAGCCTCTCCCGTCTCTTCTCCATTCGCCATATCGACATCGGTCTCCTTCTCCACCACTGCCTCGCTCGCCGCTCCGCCAGCTGTCCCTGCCTGATCCTCGATACTGTGCTCCACAACCGTCGATTCCACATTTTCCAGCTCCACCGGTGCCTCTATGTTTTCGCCTTCCAAAAGCTCTAGGGGATACAGCCAAGCGCCAATACTGCCGTCGTTCGAGACGGCACAGACGAGCTGTCCAGAATTGTTGAAACGAAGAGAGTTGATCTCTTCAGAGCCTATACCGGGGGAGGAGCCGCCAAGGACAATGTCGGTTCTTTTTTCCCATTTGCCGGCGGGAGGAGTGGGAGACGATGAAGCGGAGGGGATGGAGGAAGGGGAGAAGCGATAGAAGTCGACGACGTCGTGGATACCCATGGGGTAGACAGCGGCAAAGTGGTGACCAGAGGGATGCCACGAGAGGCTGATCACGTCCCCGGGAGTTTTGAAGGTCGCGATGGGTTGGGAGGGGGCTGTGACATTATCAGGACACCCCCTGGTTACAAGCCTCACAGAGAAAGACGTGTCGAGACAGGATGCAAGGTCAACTCACAGGTCAGATCCCAGACGGCAATCACGCTTCCATGTGAGAATGTCTTGTCGGCAGACAGCAAGATGTTCGGATCAGTTGGCGACCAAGAGACGGACGTGACATGATTTGAATGTGGGGAGGGATTCGATGAGGCAGGGAGCGGTTTCGCCGACTTGATGTGGAGCTGTTAGATGGCTTAGCGACATCAATCGGATAGCGCATGAGCGTGGGCACTTACGGTGTTGTCCCAGACATGTATATCCTTGTACTCGCCTGCTGTCGCAGCTCGCGAGCCGTCGCAGGACCAGGCGATACTCCGTACGAGCTTGACGAGCCCTCTTATTTCTGTGACGTTGGAGAACCTGGGGGGGGCGAGTTGGCGGGCGGTGTGTGTAATGTAGGGGAACTCGTCGATGCCTGCATTGTTGCTGGACATGGCGGAAAATGTCGTTCGTTTGAGATGGATGCACTTCCAATTCTTGCCAGAGGAAACGCGACCGGTTGTCGCGGCGGCCCTGCCCGCCTCTTTTCGTTGCCTTTACCGTTGATTCGAGATGACGAGAGTGTTGCATCGTCCCAGTACTACAGTACGGCCACATTGGGCCACTAATACCTTTCTATCGGACGAACAAACCTGACCTATTCAACAATTAGAGGCCCAAAAATCCCAGAAATCCCACAAGCCATGAAAACCTTCTTTCAGACGACGCCACCCTCTCCTCGTGGCCCTGTCCTGCCAGAGCTGGGCCACCTTCGTCAACCGCACCAGGATGTCCGACTGTCTGCTCTACGACCTCCGCTTCCCCGCAAGTCTGCCCCCCGGTCTCCAGCGCCTCCTGCCTGTCGTCCTCGCCTTCATCCACTTCCTCCTCATCATCCCGGCACTCTCTGCCCTCTTCTTTTTCCTCTACCAAACCACCACTCATCTCTCCGAGACCTGTAACCTCTTCACTATGTTCTTCTCGTCTCGCGCGTTCAGCTAGGATGACTGGCTCTGCTGGGGCCCCAGCTTTATGGGGATTGGCCGCGAAGAAACCGTGCAGGGCTTCTTCCAGGTGCTTCACCTCATCGAAGGGTAGCCAGCTGTATTGATCGGCCCCTGTGTAGCCTGACCACTCAACCTTGTACTCAACTTCATCTCGCCTCTGGCGCCGACTGTCTACAATACGCTCCACCTCATAGTGTTCTTCGCCTTCAATGATAAATGGGGAAGGAGGGTGCAGGCGGCGTAACGAGTGGGAAACAGCTTCTTCTTGTGTAGACTGGGAGCGGCGAGATCGTCTAGAAAGCGAAGATTGGTCAAGCTGGACTCGAGGAGAGCGGCGGAGAGAGGAAGTGGGGACTGCTTGCCGTCTTTTGGCGGAGGGACGAGAGTGCTTTTGGCGACGAGTCGGTCGGGGACGAGAGGAATTGGTTGACGAGAGGGCGGGCGGATAGATCTCCCATTGGATGGTGCCATCACCAATAACACCCAATGCCTCATCAGCACCTCTTCTCGATCGCTGAGCCTCGGAAGCCAGCCTCTGCGGAGCCTCAGATGAGGAAAGTGGCGCATCGATAAAAAACGGCTCGAGAAAGCTCGAGCTCCCAGGCGGGAGTAATCTCCTCGATCCGCTCACTCTTTACAACCCCAGAGAAAAGAGCGTTTTCCGGCTCAAAACTCTGCGCCTCATATGAGAAAACTCCTTGTTCTTGCTCAACCTCAGCGCGCTGCTCGACACATTCCTCAGCCTGCTCTTCCCCAAGTGAGGACCGCTCGCTAGCAGCCAAGATCTCAGCTGCCTGTTCCGTGGGCACGGGAGGGGATGGCGAAGGGGTTTCGATGGAATGGGGCATGCCGGATGCAGGATTGACACCAGCGCAAAGTGGGAGCTGGGAGGCTAATGGTGCTGGCTGTGGCAAACGGGGATCGAGAAGGAAAGCAGTCCCCAATGACGCATTCTCCAATGGGAGTGATGGTGAAGAGGAGCTGATGGTTGGACGAGAGGTGAAGGAATTGGCGATTTCAATCACTATCACCCGAAGTCAGAACAAAGTCAGATCAATGCAAAGACAGAGTTGATGTACCTGGCTGATGTAAACTCTCGCCAATCTCAGTCAAGCTCGTTGAGAGGTCTGGCAGCCCAATTCCGCTATCGACGCCGCGAACTTCTTCTTTTCCTCCGTTTGTCGCTCCCCCGTTGCCCCCCATTTCGGCTTGCCTTTGCTTCCTTTCCCTATCTCTCTTCTTTTTGCGAGGCTTCCTCTCCGTCTTCGTCTTAGACTCAGACTTCGCAGCTTCATCTCTGATCCCGATGGGATTGACATCCACATTGGGCGAAAAGGAAGGCTTTACAGCAGAGGAAGGGGCGGAAAGCCGGGGAAGCTTGGAGGGAGGGGGCACGTTGTCGTCGTCTGTCGAGCGATTCTTCCTCTTCCTGGCCTTCTTCGGCGGGCCGGCTGCTCGAGAGAGAGGTAGGGTCGCGGCTTTGGGAGCAGGCAGAGGGGCTGGGTGAGAAGAAGCGACCGAAAACGGTCCCCAGGATGCTCGAACCACCACTGAAGATTCCGCCCCTACCTCCTCAAGTATGCAGGCGACGTTGGAAGAGGGCAATGATGGCCGAGAATCGGAAGGGGAAGATAAAGACGATGTTGATGGGGGTGATGACCTCTTTCTCTTCTTCTTCGGTTGCCCGTTGGCAGCTTCAGAGTTATGATCGATCTTTGGAGGAAGACCAGCAGTCTGCACATGAGCAGATTGACCTACAATCTTCTGAGTCTTGATTCAGGCCTTGGGAAAAAACAGGGAAACAGAAGGATCGGCTGAGGACAGCAAAGGCGAACGGGGTAAAGACTCCTTCTTCTTCTTCATTTTTCTAGGCTTGCAGCCCCTTCGAGAGCGAACCGACATCCATGGAAAGCTATAAGAACTGTCAGATCTACTTCCAAATCTCCTGTAAATTATGATAGAGTGAACTTACAGCAGTCAGGGGGACAATCGTCTCCGCACCCTGTCCAATGATGGCTAAACGGAGCTAGCTGCTGGTCGTCGTCGATCAGCGTCAATGCTCGATTGATCACAGTTGGGGACAGCCTAGGGACAGCTCAGCGCATTTCTCTCGGTAAATGGATGACTCACCTAGCAGCAAGGCTCTTGGAAATCTCGGCGCGGGATCAAACGACTAGAAGAAGTGCTGCTGGTTGGTATAGCAGGAGTCTGATTTTTTTCGAATGAGGAGGTCTTGGTGTCTAGTATGAGAAGGATAGGGAGTTTAGGAACGAGGCAGTCACATGCGAAAAGATGTGGCCTTTATGGAGTCAGCGAGAGTCGCGTCGTGTCTCCAAAGTTTCGATATTTTCGCAAATCTTGTCGATACATTGCCCGATCTGGACGCGTCGGCAAACGCGTCTAGACGCAGATGAGCTACGATGCTCAATACACTGACGACGAGCACAAGCCCTACGTTACCATGGGCGACAAAAGGACCTACATGAGATTAAACACAATCTAAAAGGACCACTAAACGCCTAAACTCGACATCTACAGCGCAGAGTACTATGCCAATCATTCACATAGCGATCGTATCATACTCAGGTGGATCTGGGGTAGTTCGGTCTTGTACATAATCCCTGAAGAGGCCCAAGAGGTGTGCCTAATGGTATGTATGTATGTACGATACTCGAGTATCGTACTGTCAAAGGGACGAGCGAAGACGTGCTTGGATGACGAAGTGCCTATACTCGTATGATCTCGGATGTCAGTACTATACCACTGTACTCTTTCCCATACTTTTCTCGTACGCAGGCAAAGACATAGACAGGCGATGGCCAGTACGGTCTGTGCGAAGACCGTTAGAGCAGTGGTGACAGCAAATGAATTTCTCAGATGATCTTCCAACTCGCACAAGTCAGCACATCCCCGAGACCGCGCAGCTCACTGTCCGAGCATGCACAGATCCTTGCGCGTTTTGCGCCTCCAGCCTCAACTCCGACCTCAGTCAGCGCAACAGGCACTACTGCCTTTGGCATGCTTCAATCGTGAGCTCGATGTGGCAGAGGTGCTGCTCCCCCAAAATCACTGTTCCAAGTTCGCTGTGGTATGTAATGTCCTGCACGAGTACCATAATTTGCGCTATGCGCCACCACATTGCATCTCTTTTGTAGCAGCTCATCTCGATAATATATCTTAGAGTTACTGCTATCATGATGCTAGATGTGCTTCACAGAGAGAAACAGCTGAATCTGAACGCCCCATGCTGTTCATATATACATTTTTACGAGTACAATAGAAATGTATAAGGATGACCATCTCCATGTCCTTGATAGCGCCGACCTTCTGCTCATCTGCTTGAGCGAGCCTAACTTTGACGTTTCGTTCGATCTCCCCGCTGCGAGCGTCCACTCCTTCTCTTTTCCGTCGACTTGGTCTGTCTCTGAGCCAACATCGCTGCTTTTCGTCTTGCCACATCCTCCGCCTGATCCTCGATCGGCATCAACTCATCCAGCTCAATTATGATGTCTATTTCAGCTGACAATGCTGGGGGAGGCGATGGAGAACGAGGGAGGAGAGAATCAGAACCGGGACGGGGTTTTGGAGGGGTACTGGTGACCCAAGATGGACGTTTTCGCTTACGCGGTGAGGCTGGTTGGGCGGCGACTAGTGGGGGTGAATGGGAAGGAGTCGGAACAGGATTGAGCTGTGGTAGGGAAGGAGGGGTTTGGAAGGGATCCTCATGGCCAACAAGACCCGACGAGCTTGCGGCCAGATTAGTCACAGCGTGACATATGTCATGGGTAGGAGGCAAGTGTCCGGAAGAGGTCAACGGTAGCGACGGAGTTCGTCTGACACTGAGAGGAGGGGTATACGTTGGGGGACATTGGTACACTTCGGGTCTCGCCGAGGGAAGGGCAGTAAGGGCGTGAGGCGAGTCAAACACGGCGTCTTTGATACGTTTTTCTCCAGCATCATCCTCACCTCTTCCGACCTTGACCGCGAATGTCCCTCTCTCTGGCGTGGGAGATCGGGATGGAACTCTCCACCGCGGTCTGCCATTTGGCATGCCAGTGGGACGTTTGCTAGGGATCGACTCCGAGAGGTGAGAGCTGGGCCGGGAGCGGACTATGGTGCTGGGTCCGGATGACAAGAACCCGAATGGCAGCTGGGGAGAAGGAGGCGGGCTGATGGGGAGATCGGTGCCGATGAGGGCTATGATTTTTGTCAGCATCTATCGCTTGTTTGGAATCATTGAAGCGAACTTACATTCCCTTGCCGAGATGTCTATGATACGCTTCTGAATCCTCTTTGCCTTTTCCTTAAATCCAATACCGTCTGCGTTGGTAGCCACCACACTCCCCGTTCCCTGCCCTCGATCGCCTTCTTCTCGATTGTGAGGTATATCCATCTCTGGTACGTCTTGTAAAGACAGATCTTCGGACCTCCAGGTAAGCTCAGAGGACAACCCATGCCTGATCTCTCCTTCTCCGTCGGTCTTTCGAGATGATCGATCGGACCTCATCTTCTCCTTGATCGATGTCTGGGATGCACTCGAGTGAGATGCAGGGAGTGCAGGAGGGGCGTAAGCGGCATTCATAAGTAAAATGCGATCGATATACGGCTGGATCGGGCACGAATTGTCGTTTAAGTGGAAGGAAGTAACGGGGGGAGTCGAGATTGAGGACGATTGGGAAGGGTGGGATACGGGGTAGGGTGCGCAGAGGTCGCGAAGCGTGAAGTAGTATGGGTAGTAGAACCTCAACATAGCTAAGCAAGGTCAGCTGGCTCGCTCGGAAGGCGCACGGGTTACACTTACGGCGATAGCATGGCGGTACATCAGCCCAACCCTTCCATTGCTCTTGAAATCCGACCTGAGAGAGCGGACATAGGAAATGTTGGTTTGTCTCGCTGGTGTCCAACATAGCTTGCCTCGCGCTTTGGTTACGGTCAGCTCATGTCATCGACGAGAACGAGAAACTCACACTTCAATCTCTTTCACGTCTGGAATCTCCACATTCGCAGTCCAGCGCGACGTAGGCTTTGCAATATAGCGGTCGTTCCCAGCATCCACACTAAGCTTCAACAGTCCTTTGTTCGCCGCATGTTCTAACACGGTCCCCTCTAAATCGTTTTCGCGAGTGCTGTAAACCTCGATGTAGACCTGCCGGGCTGACTTCCATCTGGGGCGCGCTGGGAGTCCTGTATGAATGGGAAAGAAGGCACGGCGGAGTGCAGGATCGGCTTGGATGGTCAAGAGAAAGCTGTGTAGAACGAATGGAGTATTGCTGAGAAGGATGAGCATCAAGACTGGTGCCAGAAGTGTGGTCTGGACTTACATGGATAAAAGAGTGACAGAGTCTGCCGGGATAACCTGCTTGTCGCTAGACTGCCGTGGTTTGTTCGTTTTCTCTGCTCTGTCGTACGGCTTGGCCATGATGGAGGCTGGAAGATTTGTTCGTGTGCGGGGAGGAGACAGTCGAGTACATCGTGAGCAGAGAGGCAGCTTGCTCCCGGGGTATCCAAGACCGTGCGGCGTTTAGGACTCGTTCGAGGCACCCACCGTGGGTCTGCGCTATGTTTCCAGGGGCGCAAAGGTGTGTTGCGCATATCGCTATGGAGATGGAAAAATTGTACCACTCAGGGCGGCCGACACCGCTTGCATCATGTATGCCCGACGGTCAACGAGCAATGCCAATGTCCCGATCCGTCATCTTTCCTCTCTTTCTATCGTCCCTTATCACCCAGGCAATGTACACGGCGACAGAGTTTGAAGTCTGTCAGTGTCAGCCTATGAGACCCGGCAAAAGTCGGGCTGAACAAGGGCTATCGGAGAATTCGACATTGCACGGTACGAGTACGTCATCGACCCGATCCAGCCGGGGGCTGGCTTGGGGCCTGGGGCAATGTCAAGACTCATATCTATATTCAGTGCATTTCTACTCTGATATGACGCATAGCAATGTCAAAGCTCTGTGTGATCTGCATATATCTACTTCTTGACGATAGTACATATTCACTGAGCAGCCAGCGAGTCAAAGGGATGCTGTGGTCTGGTGGGGGATGACGCAGAAGATCTTGTTTTGGCCTCATCCCGAGCGAGCGTTGACATGACCGGCACGAGATTCAATAAGGTATTAAAGGGCAATGTCTGCGATCGCCTCCGTAGCGGTGCCTGTTGGACCTTGTAGGAGACCATTGGGCCGCGATTTGAGAGCATGCAACTGTTGTCCATCCATGTTTTTCTCGCACCAATCGGAATTCATCGTTTTGCACTATTCTTCTTCTTTCGCTTTGCGCCCTCTGTCGCTCTGAGCTGCTCGACTACTTTCTTCCTCCCCTTCGAAAATGATTTCCAAATCCCTCCACCTTGTTTCTTCACGATGTTGTAGATCTTCCTCTCCACCGCCTTCCTCATCCCATTGTAGGTGGCCCATAAACAGACCTCTTCCTCGTACCACTCGTCATCAGATAGATGAATCATGCACTCTATGATGCCCCGTTCAAGAGCAGAGCGTTCGTGCTCGAGAGTGATTATCTGGGTGGCGTACCGGGGCATGCGGCGGATGGACTCGGAGGGTACAACAAAGTTTTTGAAGTAGGGGGGAGACTCGAGGAGGAGTGGGACGGTCTTGAAGAATGGTTGCGAGAGGATGGATCGAAAGGACGACGGAGTGATGTGGCCGCTAAAAAGGATCAGACGAGGGAGTGGGAGCGCTCTAGTCAAACCCACCAGCCGATACTACACGAGTGTCAGTGCACGATTCTCAGATATTAACTAACACTCACTTCGCATGTCTGTCACCTTTCCCGCCATGCTCAACGTGATTGTCGCTCACGTGCACCCCTACCACTCTCTTCCACCCAACGCGATCCAACAGCTCCCACATCGCATTCCTTCCTTCCACCTCATTCAAATCCAACTCGTTTACGTACAAATGCGAGAGGTCGAGACAGAGCTTCAGCCGAGACGGTGGAAAATGAGTCAAAATTTCGATAATAGAGGCGAGGTTAGTGAGGGAAGAGGGGGAGGAGTGGCAAGTGTTTTCGAGGGCGAGCGTGACGTCAGGGACGGAGGATATGATGTTTTGAAGGGTTGGAATGAGGCGCAAAAGGGTTTGGTGGCGATGGGAGGAAGATTTCACTCCTTGGCCTTCGGATCCAAGGCTACCAGGGCCGTCAGCTGACCGTCAGAAACAACAAGAATCGACTCACTGTATGATAAGGGCCCGAAATCCTAGGTCGCGCGCTTGTCTCATCTCCTCGATAACACTAACTTTCGACCTCTCGAGGACCTCGCTGAATTTGCCATCAGCGAGTGGCTAGACTTTGAGGCCTCACTTACGGATCACTGCTCAAAAGGTTCACGGTATAGACCCCATGCACCATACTTGTCTCTCTCCAGTCCTCCATGAGCTCATCCATCTCACTTTGGAAAGCCGAGCAATCAGCCGAGGGCGCCGGCGCCGTGGACTGTGTCGGGGCACAGCAGACCCGCCGCTTGGGATTGTTGATGTACGTGCTGATGCCCAATATATTGGACCAGACAATGGGCGCATCTTCCATTGACTCTCGGAGGCGGGCTATAGAAGGTAGGAGCCCGCCGGAGCTGGGCATGTGCGCCAGCCATCGCAGGCCGACATTGACGTCTTCGGGCTCGTCGGCCCGAGCGATGGGGACAGTGGGAGGAGGGAAGATGGGTCGTTCAGGAATGTCGCATGTATCGGCGTGAAAGCGAATGGGGGTAGGAGTGTCTGTCACCCAGTCCTGGGGAAGCTGGAAGGTGGGAGGGTGCGGTCGTTTGGGGCGTGCAACCACCGGCGGCCCGTCTTGTTCGCCATGAGACTTGAAGGCGACGAAGGGATTGTCATCTGGGTCCGCCATGATAGGCTCCAAAAGCGAATGGCACACCCGAGGAGTTTGGATGATGTTTCCGGGGGAACCAGGCGAATTGCTGTAGGATAGAGCAGGGATAGAGCTGGCTGGAGTGGAGGGGAAAGCGGCGAGACCGAGCGGTGGAGTGAGGGGTGCCACGGCAGCGGCGGGGAGCAGGCATTGTGAGGCTAGGGAAAGACGGTTGTCGGCACCTGTAGAGCAACTGCTAGTCCCAGAGGGAAGACATCCATCCTCCCACAGCTCGCTCTGGGCAAACGCGGCGTGCCCCTGGCCAGCAGAGGTACGCGAGGGGGGAGATGCGGGGAGAGATAGCGGTGAGGGAGTTGGAGGCGGGATATGAGGTGATTGGGAAGGGAGATCGTCGAATATGTCCAGCCAGGAAAAGCCCGTCGGAGAGCTCGACTCTGGGGCAGGCATCCCGGGCGACGGTTGCTGAGATGCTTTCTGTCCTCTTGACCTGGACAAGACCTGAGATTAGGGGAAGGGGAAGGCGATGGTGGAGGGAGAGAGGAGAAAGTCCCTTTCCTCGAACATTCTACCGCCTCGTGAGCTTAACAGCCGCCATTCAGCGTTCGTTCGCCTACCAAGTCTCGATCGTCCGCCGCAAATTTGATTCGTGGTTAGGCGCGCCGTCAAAGGTCTGTGCTGGCATTTCTGGGTGGTATCGGGGCCTGGCTGTGTGCACCGTTCGATTAAAGCCGAAAAGTCGCATGCATTAGTAGAATTCCGAGTTTGAGGGGGGTTTCGCGTTTTTGGTGTTTTTGAGAAAACGGGCGAGCAACGGCGAATTCGTCGCATCTCGCATCTCCGCGAGCGGCCATCGCCGCCTCCTGGGCTGCGCCGTCGTGGCCGCTCTAATCGTCCATGTGTCACGGCCGAGCTGGGACACAGCAGGGGGGAGGACTGGAAAAGGTGATTCTGGAGGGGAAAAGACCTTTTCGGTATTATCGCATAGAGAAAGAGTAGAACAGAGAGATATAATTTGAGTATGTACACCACGCGTCCTTCAACCATACACACAACTCAGCGCACATGCCACTTCAGGGAATTACTACGCGTGACAAATCTTCCTGCCTCCCTCTCTCCTTCTCCTGCTGCGCCGGCCCGTCTGGGAAGGAGACGAGGGCAGCCGGTCGTAGCCGGGCTTGTCCGGGTGGGTATCGTGGAACAGCCGGACACGGGGGTCGGTTGGCGACAACTGAGAAGCAGGGACCCATGAGCGGTAATCATATCCATCATCGGCGCGCACCTGGAGGTAATAACGAAGCCCGGTGGCACGATCCGCGGCAGAGTCCACAATGACAGCGGCTGAAGAGGAATGGTGGGGTGCTGGGAGAGGGGAAACGACGGGGAACGAAGAGGAAGGGAGGGGAGAGGGAGGAGAAACGACGGGGGACGAAGAGGGAGGGAGGGGAGAAGGAGGAGGAACGACGGGGGACAAAGAGGGAGGGAGAGGAGAAGACGTAGAAGGCGCAGGAGTACGGGAGCGATAAGGCTCCAACAGACTGACATGAAACACCGGGTGCACACGCGAGAACTCTTCGGGCAACCGCAGCTTGTAGGCATTACGGCTGATGATGGATACAATGGGAAGAGGCCCCAGCATCACATCCTCGAGTTTGCGAGAAGGGCGGGAGGAAGAGAGGTGTTTACGGTTCAGCATGACGAGAGAGCCGACTTGGAACGACGCCGGGTCAATGGCTTTACGGTGCCGATCTGCGAAACGCGCGTGTCGATCCTTGGCTGCCTTCAAACAGCGGGACACCTTCTCCCGAGTGGCCTGCAGGGCCTGTAACCAAGAAGCGGCCGAGGGAAGGGAAGAAGTAGGGGGTGGGGGACCGAGATGATCACGGGGATGACGCCCGTGGTCAGCAAAGAAGGGAGTGGTACCTGTCGAGCTGTGATACGAGTTATTGTATGCAAACTCGAGAAGAGGAAGGTACTTCACCCAGTCCGATTGCTCTCGATTCACGAACACGCGCAGGTACTGCTCGATGGTCTGGTTAACGCGTTCCGTCTGCCCATCCGTCTGAGGGTGGAAGGCGGTACTGTACAAGGGAACGGTCCCCATGGCCTTGCAGATTTCCTGCCACCAAGTTGCGGTGAAGGTGGACCCCCGGTCGGAGACGACATGGGACGGAAGACCGTGAGGGCGAACGACATTCTGCAAGAATTGTTGCGCAAGCGTGGGGGCGGTGTCTTCCTTGTGCGCAGGAACAAAATGACACATCTTGGTAAAACTGTCCACGATAACCAGGATGGCGTTGAAGCCGTGGCACCTGGGGAGGTCCGTGATGTGGTCCCAAGAGATGGTGTGCCACGCCGTAGGAGGAATGGGGAGGGGTTGGAGAAGGCCATGGTATTGATGATGGGGGGGCTTGACGCGTTGACAAGCATCGCACGAGCGAACATAAGCCTCAACATCCCGCTGGAGCCCAGGCCAGAAGAAATCTCGCCGGGCCCGCTCAACAGATTTGCGCTGACCAACATGGCCGGAGAGGGGCACATCGTGGGCCTGTTGAAGGAGAGCCAGTCGGATATCATCAACCTCGGGGATATAGACGAGACCGTGGTGGAGGAGGAGGCCATCAGAGGAGAGGGAGTAGGGGCGGAGGCGGCGGTGCAGGCGGGACGACCGATGGGCAGCCGGCGCGCGGAGAGCAGAAACCAGAGGTTGAGCGTAGGGGTCGTGGTCGAGGTGAAAACGAATACGCTCTACCAAGGAACTGTCAGCTAAGGCGAGAAGAGGGGTGGGGCGACTTAGATCTGTGAACGCAGTGGTAGCAACCACCAGCTCCTTTCCCGAGGGCAGGGCCAACGGTCCCACTGACAACGGTCGTAAAATAGGGAGATCCGAGGCGGCCTCCTCTCTTGGCTTGGCGGAGGCGTAGTCCGCCCGACGGGAGAGGGCGTCACAGGGACCATTGAGCTGGCCCGGACGATAGCGAATGTGGTATTCATAATGGTTGAGCTCCGTGGACCACTTAGCCACACGTCGACGGTCGGTCAAGGGTTGGGTCTGGAAATACTGCAGGGTCTGATGATCAGTGATGACAGTAAAGGGATGGACGAGACCTTCAAGGTAATGCCGCCAGACCCGCATGGCCTCTCGAACAGCCAGTAGTTCCCAATCATAAGGGCCCCAGGACGCTTCCTTAGAAGTCATCTTCCGAGAGAAGAAGGCGATAGGATGAGAGGCACCGTTGGGTTGAGTCTGAGAAAGGATGGCGGCCAGAGCATGGGAGGAAGCGTCGGTCTCGATGGTAGTGGGAAGGTTTTCATCGAAATGACGGAGGACAGGGGCAGTGGTGAATGCGGTACGAAGGGCAGCAAATGAACGGGCACAATCGTCGGACCACAAGAAGGTGGTCGAGGACTGCGTAAGGTCTTGGATGGGGCGAATGAGTTCAGCAAACCCGTCAATGAACCGGCGGTAGGCGTTCGCGAACCCTACAAAGCGTTAACGTCCTTCCGACAACGAGGGGCCGGCCACTCGAGTATACAGCTCACCTTGGACGGCGCAAGCCCTACACCCTGCGACGATATCTGGTAGCCCAGGAATTCACAACTCTCCACAGACCAGGAGCACTTCTCCCCCTTGACATAGAGTTTGTTGTCCAGTAAACGTTGAAGAACCTCCCGGACCTGCGCCTCATGCTGAGAGGGGTCAACCGAGTAGATGATAATGTCGTCCAGGTAGCAGGTAACAGAGACGTCAAGAAGGCCGCGGAGAACGTGATTCATCAGACGCTGAAAGGCAGAGGGGGCGTTAGTCAGGCCAAAGGGAACGACAAGACACTCGAAGAGGCCGTAGCGGGTGCGGAAAGCCGTTTTCCACTTGTCACCTTCACGGACCCGCAAGAGATTGTAGGCCCCCCGTAGATCCAGGGTGGTGAAAACCTTGGCAGAAGACAGACGATCGAGGGTTTCACTAATGAGTGGGAGAGGGTAGCGGTCCTTCACCGTAAGCAGGTTGAGTCCGCCATAGTCATGGCACATGCGGAGGGACCCGTCTTTTTTGGGCACGAAAAGGATAGGCGCACCAGCAGAAGAAGAAGAAGGACGAATGTGGCCCTTGGCCAAAGCGTCACGCAACCCCTCACGTAAGATCTTAAGTTGGATCGCCGAGAGGTTGTAGAGGGGCAACGACGGTGGGGAGGCACCTTCCTTCAGCTCGATGTTGACATCTAAGCCCGGGCGGTGAGGGGGCAACTCGTCCGTGGTAGCCTTGGAAAAGACTGGGGCTAAATCATGATAAGCGGTGGGAATGGACGGAAGCACGGTGGAAAGATAGGGCTCGGCGGGGGTGGGCACGGCGTCCGCAAGCTGCAGATCACCATCCACAGCGGCCTCTAGGCCCCAAAGGTGAAGAGGCGCGCCGTCCACAGTATCAAAGTGCAATGCGAACACCTCAGCTTGTTCGTCCCGCACCAGGTCATGAAAAGCCAACGCATCGAGAACTTCGACGGTAGGCGGGGCAACAGGGGGTGCAGGTGGAGGGCAAGGAGGGGGAGGAGGAGGCAAGGAGGGAGGGGGAGTAGGAACAACAGCGGAGGAGGACGACTTAGCTCTGAAGAGGCCCACAATACGGTCAACCCAATTGATGTCCGGATTATGCGCATGTAGCCAGGTCGTACCCAGGACCAGATCGTAATGGCCCAACGCACAGACAAACAGGTCGAGCCGTTCGGTGTGGTGAGAAGAGGTCAGCGCAACCGCAGCTGTATGCGTGACGGCACCCGAGGCGATGGGGCGACCGTCAATTACCTTCAGGGCACGAGGCTGAGCAAGCGGTGTTAGAGGAAGCTGGAAATGATCGACCAAGGCATCGGAGATGAAACAACCAGTGGCCCCAGAATCGATGAGGGCCGGGAGCGGGGGCGAGGTGAGGGTAGGACCACCAACTTGAACAAACCGACACGCTAGCAGCAGATATACATAATGGACTATCCTCTGCAGCGGGCGGTGTGTCAGCTTGCACGACAGGGGAGGAAAAAGACGTCCCCCGAGGCTCACATGATTTTCCTTCGTCCTTAGCCTGGGCCTTGGGGCAGGCGTCCACCCCATGGTCGGGGTCCCAACAATACCCGCAGAGAGCCCACTCGGCGCGGATGAACCTCTCCAGGGAGGGGAGGTGCGGAGGGCGGCGACCATCACCCCAAGGGGGTGCCGGGATGGCCTCGGCACGGCGACCGGGAGGCGACGGACGCGAGCCTTGGTTGGCCCAGGAAGGAAGGGCGAGAGCCTGGGCGAGGAGGGTGGAGTCGGCGGGGTCGGTGGAGAGGGGCGGGACAGCGGACAGCGCCTGGAGGTGGAGGGGCGCGCTCTTGTTTGTGGCGGGGGCAGGGGAGGCAAACTGGTGGGCGTTGGAGATTTCGATCTCCTCCACCAACTTTGCCTTGGCCTCGAACGAGACGACGGGGTATCCTGCGGCCGCGCGCATACGCATGTCTGACTCAAGGATGGCGAGGAGGGCGGGGTTCATCCGAGAGGCCCAGTCGTCCTGGGCCATCTTGGAGTCCAAGGGGTACTCGGAGTCCTTGGCCGCCAGACGAAAAGCCTGGTTATAAGCCGCGACGCTGCCCGTGTGGCGCACGGCACGCCACGCCTCCCAGAGCTCGCGCTGGCTCTTCTCGACAACAAAGCGTGCGCGAAACTGGGCCCGGAACTCTACCCACGGCAGGTGGCAGTGCTTATCTGCCCACTTCTTGGCCGTACCCGAAGTGTGCATACGCACCCAACGGGTTGTCCATTCGCTCGGAAGCTGATGGAAATAGGGGTTGCCGTCGATGGCAGTTTCGACGTGGTCAAGGAACTTTTTCGCGTCCTCGCCTTCGATGCCAGCGAAGGTCATGCCGACCAAAGGCGGGGGGCCGTGCATGTAGGCGGGGGCAGGGGCAGGAGCGGGGGCTGGCTGCTGGATGTAGTGAACGGGGGCGGGAGCAGCCGGCTGGGCGTAGTGATGGACCGGCGCGGGGCCAGGCGCGGAGGGAGAGGCGGGAAACGGCGCGGGCGTGGACGTGACGGGGTAGGAAGCGTCATGATTGGTAGGGGGGTCGAAGTGGAAAGAGGAGATCGAGGGAAGAGTGGGGTCGGCGTTGGTAGGACGCGGCAAAGGAAGGACCGTGGGAACAGGGCTGGACGAGCGCGGAAGAGGTGTGGGCGTAACGGTGGTCAGGTTGGAGATGTGGGGGAGAGTGAAGGAGGGTTTGTGCAGTACGAAGGGGCGCGGAGGAATGGGAGGGGCAGAGGTAGAACGGTCGAGGGTGTTCCCCGGGGTCAAGGGGAAGGAGGGCGCCATAGGCGTTTCTGGTATGCGATAACTTTTGTCACGGCCGAGCTGGGACACAGCAGGGGGGAGGACTGGAAAAGGTGATTCTGGAGGGGAAAAGACCTTTTCGGTATTATCGCATAGAGAAAGGTAGAACAGAGAGATATAATTTGAGTATGTACACCACGCGTCCTTCAACCATACACACAACTCAGCGCACATGCCACTTCAGGGAATTACTACGTGTGACACCATGTACCAGCCATGTACCGTACTTTTACCGTACTTTGAAGTATACAACAGCAGCATTAGCCTTTGAAGCCTTTCTTTGCAATGCAATCATTCTCATAGAAACCTGCATGTATACCGTGTTGCAATGCGAGAGACTTGGTTGACGCTGCGTGGATCGGCATCCAATGTGTGTGTGAATAATCAAATCGCCCCCACTACCCTATCGCAACGGCAGCGAGCTGTCAACCCTACCCTACTGCCCCTATACGAGCATTATGGAGATCACGGTACTTGAGCCATTTACTTTATTCTTGCCATTTTATGTCTGGCATACATACAGGTACCGTATGCTTGTTGATGATCGCAGTGCTCCTCCTTTGAGCGGATCTCGCCACGCTGCATACTCTGCGCTGCCGGATTGGGAGGACGCCTTTCATTATGGGCCCTGATAGTATGTATGCTAACGATTTGAGGTGGATATGTTCCGGAGCTATGTAAAATAGTGTCAAGTTGAGTCAACATTAAGATTAAGATGATAATTGTTATATTTGTCCAATCGACATCGACGGCCATAGCCTCCTCAAAGTACCGCGTCCCGTCTGATCCGCGAAGTCAACTAGGAGAGCGCTCGGTTAGTACCAGGGTGGGGGACCACCTGGGAATCCCGGGTGCCGTCGTTTTTGCCCTTTTAACTTTTTTTTGGTTGCTTGAACACTTGTATCTCTTTTTGAGCCCAGTGCACCTGCACACAGCCTTATACCCTTCTTAAAGGTGGTTTATATGATTTGATCATTCATATCTGCTTGCTCTATAGCACCACCAACAAAAATATCTCGAAAATGTTGTTCAACATGGTATGAGTTCACATCTGCCAGACTGTCCTATATACTAGCCTGCTCAGTAACACAATGATGCTAGCCTGCAGCTGGATGATAGATTGTATGAAGGGGAATGAAAGACAGAATGCAGTCTCATTAAGGTGGAGGAGGGCGCACTCACACCTCTCGTTGTTTGGTTCCACCAATTAGCCTTTGAACTATGCTCCAAGCTCTCAGAGGTCATGAACACTGCAGGAATATCCGTAACATCATCAGTCTGCCAGGATGTAGGGAATGAATCATCCACTCATCTCATTGACAATCATCATAGCGGACGGGCCGCATGTTTAATGAAAGCAATGTCTAGAGAGTGGAGAAGAACAGGATTTTACATTGCAGAAAGCCATTAGTTCCTATTATAAGGATGGTGCCAAAGTCCTTAGAGGGGTGTAAGCTCACCAAAGTTTCCTTCGTGGTATTAACTACCATATAGGATATAACCTTATGCCTCACATACAACCACAGTTCTTGATCGTATAACGGTTTAGTATGCTCGCTTGTCAAATACGTAATCGTAAACAACGCGGGAGATCGGGGTTCGATTCCCCGTCAGGAAGATTTCTTTTTCACACTTTTTGCCATATACCATCCCTGCAATTGTCTTCTTGGGCACTCATTCAACATACACATATCATTGGAAAAAGGTATTTGTGAGTCCTGCATTGAGAGAATGACTCAGGGCTGGCTGAGTAATTATGCCTGCCAGATCTTGTTGGTCTGTTGTATGACCAGTCTTGCAGCATGCTAGGCGCCTGCACACCCCATGGACTCTTTTTGCTTTGCTCACCTCCATCTGCATTACCTTTACTCATTCTCATTCTCTTCCTCTCTTCCAGTAAGGCTGTCCAATGCACATTGACACATCCATATTTGCTACCCTTACCTTCTTCCACCCATCTCCTCCTTCTTAATGTCTTTAGCCTTGTTGTATGCTTCACTGGTCAACTTGTGCCCTTAATTGTTTTCTGGCCTCGTTGTGTCACATAGTCGCCCCATCTTTTGTCTCATGACTCATTTGTATACATAAGAAAGGGGTGTTGGGACAGAGACTTTAACAAAAAAAAAAAAAACTCTTTGACTCTCTTCTCTCCCCTCCTCTTCTTCTTTAGCCTCTAATGCTCCTTCCAAGACATCATCCAAGCACAGCTGTGTAGTCCTCTTTGTGTACTTGGATCAAACCTTTGATCACACTTGGTGATAACTTCAGCTGCAACCCCAGAGCAGGCCTGATCACTACATCTGGGGGCCTAGCTGGGTTTTTATCCTTCTACCTGAAATTGGCCACACACTTGTGTATTGACTGAGGGTCTAGTACCTCCAACACCGTACTCCACCACCACCCTACCTTATTTCCATTTTACCACTCCCCCCTCAACACAAGCCTTTATTGTTGCTGCTATACATCAGCGGCAGTGACACCTTTTCCCGGCCTGGCCCGCTTTTATTGAGCCGGTTTGGGCCGGTTTTACTGGAAGTTTTGTAATTGACCCAAATTTCGGCTTTGTCCGAAAACTCACCAGAATTCCCACAAGTGGTTTCAACCGTATCGATTAGATTTTTAAATCTCTTGATTACTTTAAAAAGTCAATTGGACATCCCACTTGAAACCAAAAGATAGCGAAAATTCCCATGCAGAACTTCAAAACGCCGAGGGATTTCTGCTTTCAATCTCGATGATCAGCAAAATTCCCTGGCGCATCTGGGGTAGATCCACTGCTATACGAGAAAGAGCTAAGGTTGCAGGGTGCAGCAACTTGCAGAGGGCTTTTATCCTCACCACGTCCTTGCTTAGGGGTCTATGGAGCACAAAGCCAATGGCAGTAATTTGCAGGCCTAACGTCTGTGCATGTTATTGTGTCAAGTATGGGCCAATTCAAACGACCATCCCTCCCTCCTCCAGCCTTGTCATTGTCATCGTGATCATATCATCATTTTTGTTGCTCTCCATAGCATCACTGTCATCTGTGTCCTCTTCAGTGCGATTGTCCTCAATGAGCAGTGTTTCCATCTGATCCAGACCATTGCAGGAGGATGTTGCGGGTATGATCAGGACTTGTCTAGTCATCAAGAACATCAAACAGCAAACAAAATCTGACAGCCAGGAGGAAGAGTGTTTTGCCCAGTTCCGCCCCTTGCAGGCAGGCCATCTAGTCAAGGAGTATAGATTGTAAGTACGTGAATTGATCTCCTCAATGTAATGCTATAGCAGCATGATAGTAGTTGGTGTAAGAGAACAGGCCTCTTACATACGTACCCAACACCACAAATTAACTCCCACGTAATGCCAAGATTCCGACGCACTTGTACTTGGTGGAGCCAAGAAACCTTTTTCTTCATCTCTCGTCTCTCTGGCTTGTCTCTTCACTAGAGACAGCTGCTTCTTTGTGTGTTGTGCAAGTGAGTCCTGAATATGATAGTCGAAATTGTCCTCAATACTAAATGGACTACTCAGGGCTCAGCAAGTTCTGACTTTAGTCCAGTTTCTAGCCTATGCAATACAGGTGACCGTTTGCTGTCCGACGTGCTTGCCTGCTATCACCACTTTTTGGCTTCTACGCTTGACAGATGGCCCGATGTGCTCCCCTCCTTCCTATTTCCCCATGACGCCTCACCTAAAGATACCATAGAACTTGATACACACTGTTGGAAGGTTAGGCTATCTAGTTTGCATATGAAGAAGAAGGACTATGTACACGAGAACATGAAGAACCTAGAAAGAAACTTTCGTGCGCCTAATCTCCTCCTTCGCCTATTCTACCACTTCAAGTTCACGCCCGGAACTACAACATGCACTCCTTCCTCAAGAGCCGAATTGTGGCATATGTGAGTGAATACCTCTGGATTTGGAAGCTAAAGTCACTGTCATATGCAGATTTACAGAGCTTTGCACCATGGCGTAAGTACAGTACTCGTATCCGCAGCCATCTTGATGATGTGGCCATCTTGGAGAAGACCGCCAATTATGTCCATGAACCCGTATCATGCAATAAATCCATAACTATGATACATATGCATTACAAATTTCACGAAGTCCTAGCTGGGCCCTGTAGGCATGCTTGCTGCTCGTTTGACTGCGCACCGGCGCGTCAATTACGAGCTCGCTTTGCCCGACCCTCCCTGTTCTTCTCTTCTCTGTCTTTCCTCTTCTCCAGCGCTTCACGGTTGTCATCCCTATACTTGGGATCATATAGACGCCCACCCGGATTCTGTACCGCCTTGCGACCTCCCCTGGTGGCCTGGTCTAGCGCCGATGCTGCTCTAACTTCCTCCAACTCCTTTTCCACCAGCACAAGCTTTGACTTTACCACCTCTGTTTCCGTCTGGGACTGCGTAAAAGCCTCAAGTAGGTCCAGCTTCCCGGTTCTAAGTGCAGTGTTGATCCTTTGGGAACCAAGAGGGGTTCTGGGGGAGGGTGGTGCAGGTTGGGAGGCCTGGGGGGGGAGGAGTGGACGGATCATTGACATTGCCAAGGATGATCTCAGCGCTGAGAGGCCAGAGACCCGCCTTTGCCCATGCAAACCTGATCTGCCCGTTGGTGGCAGTCTTGGCCCATGCCTCTTGATGCCAGGCCCAAAACATACCCTTAGCCACCCGCCTTCCTTTGGAACCTCGCGAGTACTTGTCCAGCTGTTGGGAGTATTTTAACTTCAATTGATTGAAGAAGTCCACGTCCAATGGCTGGAACTTGCCACTGAGTTTGGCAGGCAAAATGAGCACGCTGATGTTCCTGTCCCAGCAGGCTTCCAGAAAGTCGACCATGATGTGAGACTCGTGCCCATCCATGATGAGCAGACGAGGATGACGACCGTTGTCTGCCGCTGGGCGGGTATGAGGGTCGAAGGCCTCCAAAAGCCACTTCTTCATGATGAAAGTGTTGGAAAAACCAGAGTCGGTGTTGGTGGCCAGCTGCTCAGCCTCCTTGTCCGCCCCAAACCATGTTTCCATGAGCTTTGCCCCTTGATAGACGACAACAGGTGGCACAGGAGCGGAGCTCGTGCCGATGCAGGTGAGGACAGAGATGTGATCGCTAGTGGGTAGGGATTTCTGTGCATTCTTTGGGTGGTGCTTCCCGGCGACCCTGCGCATAAGGCGCTGCCCCCCCAGGTCAAAACCGCACTCGTCCATATTGTAGATACACAATGGGCGATAGACTTTGCTGTCGTAGATCTCTTGGAGCTATAGATGCATCAGGAAATGCCTCTGGACCAGCCAAATCACTCACAAGCTTGAGAAAGGCACCACAATTCTCCCTCGTGTTTGCATTCTGGCGGCCAGCTTCGGTGTAATGTTAAATCTCGAGCTCAAGTCGACGCAATGATGCTCAACGAAAGTTGTGCCCCATCTCTTGCCCAGGGGTTTGCCATGGAGAGCTTGCCCGAGTTCTCTCACGTGCGCCGGGGTCAGGAGGGTACCGCGGTCGGCATACATGTTGATTTTGTCGACCAAAAGCTTCTCTTGTATGACAGAGAGCTTGCGAGGGTTGTTGGTGGCATGGGAGGCGTGTCTTTTGTGGTATTGATTATTGAGAGTGAAAAAGTGACGTTGAATCGATTGGCCACCTTAGCGAAGCTCTCTTTGGGATGCGCTCGCTTGTATTGGACTGCCAAGTCGATTGCATCGGCCATTGTTGAGGTACGTGGAATGAAAGTATAGAGATGTATGGGAAAGATAAACGCGCGCAATGTCCAAGATTGCCACGTCACCAAAATTGCCACGGATACAAGTACAGTAGTCACCAGCCCTTCGCGCATTCCTAATACTCCTCTCATCTACAACCTGGATAACTCTCTCACCCCTCACTGACCAGAAAGCTGGAAGCGTACTAACCTCTTGTCTCGAGCATGTACTTCTTGACATCTAGGAGCTCCTTGCCGTAGTCCGCCCTGACTTAAATTGGTGCCCCATGCTCTTCGATCGCTTTCTCGAAGACATCAAGGATGGAGGCGGTGCAGTTGATGTTCTGCACTCGCAGCCCAACAACTTTCCTTGACTTGCCATCAATGATGCCGATGATGACAAAGCGCCATCTAAACATTTTTTGATGTTGACGACAGATTGCCAGTGAAGAGCTGCAGTGGCTGAATTGACCTCCTTGAGACATAAGTGTATACACCATCGGGGGACAAATATCCTTCAGCTGCTGAGAGCTCCTATGATTTTGATGACACCAATTGCGCCCATTGATCCTTTGGATATCTCATCAATGATATTTGAGACAGAGTGAGAGCCCATGCAATTGCCCCCCTGACAAGCAACTTACTTGGGACAAATCATGGTGAGAGATGCCAGTGAATTTCCGCCTGCAAAGCCCCATCTCACGTAGATGGTTCTTCACCGTCCTCTTATCAATTCCCAATTGAGTTCCAATGTACTTGTAAGTCTTCAAGTCCTCCCATAGCGTTTGGAAGAGCTTCATATCGAGCGGCTTTCTGGGTGCCCCATCCTTGGAGACGCCAAGCTTGCTCTGCCTCACAATGAGCTGCCTCAGCGCTCCACCTGTAAAGGACCTAAATACCAAGTAAGATCAATTAACCGGATGAGCAGCAAAAGCCACTGC